GAACCTGGTCGATTTTGAGAGTGAGAGGAGGGGGACGTCCACCATACACTTCAGTCCAAAACTTGCCGGCACGCATCTTTCGCATCAGCGGGTGCCAAGCTAGAACTGTTGTGGTAGGAGGAGAGAAACAAACCCAGAGGAGTTGAGAAAAAAAGGGAGAAGGTGAGGGGGGTGGGTTTCGCCTTCGATTCCTTGGGATTTCCAGGGCATTCGTCACCACGAAGCACACATCACACATCAACACGCATGGTCCATCCAGCGCCGTTGCTCTCGCCCATTGCTGTCAGATCTTCCCGGTCTCGTCAATCTCACCTCCCGTCTTGCCGCTTCCTCGGGCCCAAACTGTTGGGTCGACATTTCGCCGAGGCTTTCCGCCTCTTGTCTTCCCTCTTTTTCTCTTCTTTTTCCCTCCTTTCCCCACGTGCGTCGCAGAGGGAGGAACGAGGGGGCAGCAAGTGGCAAACATGGGCAGATTTAGCCGAGACATGCATGCATCGTCTCAGCCAGAGAGAGCAGATTGCGCACACAAGAGGCTCACACTACGAGGCGCCACGTCTCACCACCCATCGAAAAAAAAAGCTCCCTCCCCCGGCAAATGAGGTGCCACACGTCCTTGTACGTTGTGATAACGTCACGACGGGCGGCTCAGACCTCGTAGCATCCGTGCTCAGGTATGGCCCGTTCTTTGGACTTTCCTGATGAGGAAAAAAGGGTGACTACCTTGGCTCCTCGTTACCAAAAGGTCTGCTCACGTTACCGCCATGGAGGGTGGTACGGCATGTGGGTGAACCGATGACACGAGGGCGGCGGTCCGGTCTTCTCTCGGGGCAGGCTACACTATATGTTTCGCATCTGCAGTCTCAGAATATCGATCTACAAGCGAGCGGTCCATCGGACATGTCATGGCTCAGTGAACCAACCACTTCCTCCCTCTACCAGCCCCGCCGGCGTATAGGGGCATGTTAAGAACTGTCGGCGACGTGGTGGGGATTCTCATGGGCGAATTTCTGGACATGGGCCATAGACGAACATGACGGCTTGAACCGACTGCGCCGTCTCTTCCCCACCTCAGCTGGATCGCATTGATCATCCCACCCTTTGGACTGCCCTTCTGCGAGCTTTCTCCATGGTAAATATACACCCCCCCCCCTCCAACCTCTTTCAAGGTCCCTGAAATAGCTTCGGGAATATCTCACGAATTGGGGGCTTGTGGGCTGGGCAGTGACAGCAACCTCTGTGCCCCCCCCCCCCCCAAGCCTGCTCCTCCACATTGCCGCCTGTCTTGACGAACACGATCGACATTGGCTGCGGGAATCCTATCTTACCATGCTTCCTTCCCGTGGAGGAGCGACACAAGCCAAGCCACTTAAGGCCAGAGTGTTTGAACCATTCGATGTCAAAAGAATCCACCAGCGTGTCTGAGACCCGTTTCTCGGGCCATCTGGCGTCCTACTCATCCCTGCCTATGCCGGGCGCTGACTCGCCGCATACATCATTGAGCCTGGCTAGAGACATGTGTGGCTTCGGCGCTGACGCTTGTTTTGGGTGATGGGGTTATCCATAATACCATGACATATCTCAAGGGCACTCTTTGGGAAAACGAATACGGCTTACCACCTACGAATGTGCCGACGAAAACTGTGTCTCTGCTGTTTCTCGATACTGCCAGACCCCGGTGTGGGACTTCACGCCTCTCTGTCTTTTACAGCAGGCCCGGTGCGTCACCTATTCCCAATCGCGGCATATAGCCCTGCCGTCTTGCTTGCACTAATGGCACACCCGCCCAGGTTTGGTTCTTGCAGAGCTTGGATTTTGTACGGAGTACATGCTTCGAGAGTACCAGAGCGGGAAAGACGCCACGTCTTTTTTTTTTTTTTTTTTTTTTTTTCCAGCAGAAGGATTTCCGAAGGTTAGTATGTCAGACTGTGACATGTCGCTCCCTTGACCCCTTTGGATCATGCAGGACCACCCGTGTCGTCGTCCCCCCCCCCCCCTGGTACATAGTACCTCAGCCCAGAAGATATGAACCAGGACCCGGTTCAGACAAGACCTAGAAGCACCGACAGAGGGCGGATACAACCTGTCTGCTGTGCCACCGGGAGGTTGCACTCCTATACACAGACCGGCGGTGAGGACCCGGTTAGGTGGTGAACATAGAGGGGGATAGGATTCGGTTGCTTGGTAGACAAACATCCACAGGCCGGGCTCACTCGCTTTCGCCAGTAGGAGAGGGCCAACTCCATCTAGGCCGCGAAAAGACGACTGGCAGGTGGCACAAACGGGAAGAGATCACTATCCAGGGCGTTGCCAGGTTGGTCCCAGGGAGATCAGAGACAGACGGTGCCAATTGTGGTGGCCACTACCGTCCCGTGTTGCGGCATGTGTGCACCCCAGTGTCTCGCGGGTTCGCATCCAATTTGGCCGTTGGCAGGCAAAAGCATGCTCACCTTTTTTCGAGCAACGGAGAACATAAGCACTGCCGCCATTGTTGTCTAGCGGATGCAGTTGGCCGGTGGTGCGCGGGCTTTTCACTAATCAAGCTGCGACCCCAAAAATACTGGCAACCCAACTTGATGTTACACAAGGACCTATATCAAGTTTCTGACGGCGCATATATAAGGCCAGACCATCATGCTGTAACGCCAAAATGTGATCTCTCACAAAGACAAAGAGACCGGTCTCCCCACCTCCCCCTTCCCCCTCTGGGTTTCTTTTTCCTATCGAGATTGGGTGAATCGGCAGTCTATTGATTTTCTACTGATCTCCTACAGCTAGCGCACGTGGGCATTGTCTGATGTTCACCAACCAAAGAGAGGTGCGCTGATAGGCGGCGAGCGGGTCTGTTCGGCTTCCCTTGTTTGTCGGGACAACGTATCGCCAGATCTCACAGCGCATCCATTTTCCCTCTTCCTTTCTTGTCTTTTGGGCGGGTTGGCTTAGCTCCAATCCTTCCGACCCCGAGCTGGAGGTCGTGGCTTTTCTTGCTCTCAAGTGTCACTGCATAGGGCATGTATAATTTCCTTGTGATATCGACCAGGGGCTCCACCTTTTCGGGAGCAGCCCGCAGTTGGCGTCGAACCCCGTTGTTTAACACACCTCGGACTTTGTCTGCTGCAGATCAGCCCGTTATTGGGCAACCGCGGCGTTTCATGGTGATAAAATGTCCCATCTCGCTTGTCGCCGTCCAACCTGGACATTTTGGAAGCACCCACAAGGCGACAAGCGAAGGAAGGATCGGGGCACGAGCAGGGTGTTGAGACTGGGACCGAGACGAAGGAGCTGACCTCATGATCAATCCCAAAGGAGCCGTGTGCATGTGTGTGTGTGTGTGTGTGTGTGTGTGTGTGTGTGTGTACGTGCGTGCGCGCGCGCGTGTGCTTGTCACATTGTTCCATGCACGTCTTGGGGGGAGAGGGGCGTCGGGCAGAGGAGAAAAAAAAGGGACGGGAGGATCGGAAAAGCTCCCCTAGGAATGAAAAGGCCAACGTGCGACAGGGCGAAGGGCCCAAAGTTCAGAAAGCCTGCCCTGTCTGCCTGCCCTCTTGCTCGGTACGGGCCCTGTAGCTTGACAAAAAGAGCGAGCCACAGGGGCCCCGCGGCCGGACGACACGCATCGGTCCGCGATCACAAGGAGGGAGGCCCACACTGGATCCCTACCTGTAATGGCTAGAGTCCTGCGCCAGCTTTAGTGACCAGGCTGCAGCCGGCATCGTCGCAAGGGGGGCGGGGGGCGGAGGGGAGGGGAGGGAATAGCTTCCAAGGTTCTCTTGCTGCCCTTGCCCCTGCAAGCTCTCTTTTGTCGGTGACCACTCTATCTCTTTCTCCTCCTCCTCTCCTCTTCTACTAAACTCTGCTTGGCGTGATTGTCCTGTACTTGGGGTTCATCCCGATACATTCCGTTTCACCCAACATCGTGTGTGTGTGTGTGTGTTCGCTGGTCTTTTCCCCACCTTGTTAATGTCACCGCTTCTTCATCTTTCTTCTTCCTTCTCTCCTGCAGCCTTGTGCACGTCCATAACGTACTTGCACGCTACCCTGTGCTCTGCACACCAAAGTCGACCTGCTGCTAGTGGGAATTGGGTGCACAGATTGATGATTTGGGGTAAAGGGGGCCGGAACGGTGCCCAACAGGCCCCTCCATCAATCAAGAAAAGGAACCACTGGACTGGATTGAGGCGGCGGCCGCCCGCAGTCAGGTAATTGACTTGGTGTCAGTTCTCAGATTCGATTCGGGTGCCTCTTCTGGTACCACCACGACGTAGGTGCAACACTCATTTGTTTGACTTGTTCCTCTTTTCAAGGGTTTCCTGGGGGCCAAGATGGGCCGGTTACTACTCATACTCAGTTCCACACCCAGGGCGTTAAGCTGGGAGTGTAAGAGAGGTTGTCCCTAGTCTAGAAGCATTGGCCTAGCTTGGTGGTGAAATGGTGATGTGTATCTGTATGGCACCATTCGCGAGGCTCTGATAGCCATCACTTTGTTCTCTCAAGAGGAGGACGATTCGTCGTGGAATTTTTTTGGTTTTCAGTGTTTTTGCTCGGATACTTTGCTCGAGTGGGTTTCTCCAATCGCCAGAATTGCAATGTCTAATGACCAGTCTTTTTTCGAAAATGTTTCCGAGGGACATGACTAGGCGCCTAGAAAGTCTCCGGCCGCGTTGCTTAAAATGTGGCCTTCAATTTGCGTGTCTGGGCGCGTCCACTGCTGGTCTGTGCTGTTTGACTACATTGCTTTTTTCCCCCCCATTTCGTATCGTCAAGCAGGAAAAGGGGAAAAAGAGATCAATTGTTGACTGGAAGTTGTGCGCAGCTTGGCCGGCAGAAGAACGGGCTTCCCATAATCGTACAGCATGGAGGACAGGACGGACCTGAACCGGGCTTACTTCGAGTAGGTTGCCATCATTGCTTGTTTTTTTTTCTTCTTCTTCCTGTATTGTCACTCTTTCGAGATGAAGGAGATGGGAATGCTCGCTCGGCTGGGTTGTGTGGAAAGCTAACAAATGTGTGATCCCTCCCCTCCCTCCAGTGACGAGGCTGCCAACTATGACGAGAAGCACGAGAAAGCTGCTGCAGAGATTGCAAGGCGCATTGGAGCCAGGCGAGGCTTCATCGGTGTGCCTTGGATCGAGGACGATGATTCCGAGGAGGATGGGAAAAGCGAGACAGATGCAGAGCCTGCACGCGCAGTGAGGGTTCTTGACTATGCTTGCGGCACCGGTGCCATGTCTAGAGTCAGTCCTGCGGCCCTCTTCTCCTTTCTCTTGGCGCAGTTCTGTGTTATTCTCGAGCTATAGACCGCGGGCGACTACTGACGTGGGCTGTTGAGATCAGAGTTTTGCGCCGTACACGACGCAGTGCATAGGCATTGACCTCTCGCAGAAGATGGTCGATACTTACAACACGCGAGCTAGCAATCAGGTGAGTTGCTATCCACCAATCCGGCGTTACTGTTCCAGACGTTGACATGCATTTCTTATTCAAAAGGGTCTGGCTAGAAATGAGATGTTTGCATATAATGGCAACCTCTGTATCCCTGATGACGAGGACCCAGAAGTCTTCAGAGACCCAGAGTTCTGGGACTTCGACATGGCGATCGTCGGGCTCGGGTTTCACCACTTTGACGATCCTCTACTCGCGGCAAAGCGTCTTGTGTCTCGCCTGAAGCCGGGTGGTGTTCTGGTGATTGTCGACTTTCTTACGCATGCGCCTATTGCAGGCCACGGGCATGGGCATGCTCATGATCACCATCACGGTCACGGACACGGTCACGGACACGGGCATGAGGACGGCGAAGACGCAACAGTGTTAAAGGCACTGCAAACCGTGACACATCACGGCTTCGGGGAGGCGCAGATCAGGGAGATCTTTGTCGATGCCGGGGCGGGGAAGGACTTTGCCATTGATAAGATGGGCGAGGTGACTATGGGGGTGAAGCTTGGGAAGAGAGGCTTGTTCATGGCCCGGGGAACAAAGGGGTGAGCATGAATGAGTGTTGCTCTGGGGGACGTACATGGAGGCCATAACACCCAGTGTCAATGTCAGCACTGAATTCTCCCTTCGAAGAAAAAAAAGAAAAAAAAAAAGGGGGGTCTTTTGCTATCGCTGATTTGGAAAACTTGGGTCTGCCCATTGGAATATCATGATAATAGCAAGGGCGGTATAGTTACACTGCTTGGCAAGCTTCCTGGTGGAGACGACGTATAGGGAGTATTAAGAACGAGCAGCTGCAGGTCCTTTTCTTCCAGGTACAGCCGAGAAGAGACGTCGCGCCCGAGATGAGGAGCCCAAAGGATCTCACCGATTGTACTTTTGTCTGATATCTTTGATACTGCTTTTTCTCATCCACCTCTTGTAGGTGTTGCTCACCCTGGTGGTCATGGTCATGGACGTCAGCCCTGTCACCCTGCAAGAACATCATCTCCGAAAGCACACACGGGGCTGGGTTCAGAAGCTGGTAGAGCTTTGGCAGAAAGATCTCAACCTCTGCACTTATCAGAGAGACCCAATGGGCTAGAAAATGGTGTTGAAGAGGGGCATTGCGTTAGCAAACGTCGATCAAAACTTGACGCGAGTGGTTCGGTCCGATAGTAGATCTATCTACGGGATCGGGCCACTCCGTGAAAGGAATCAAAGGGTATCAGAGAAACAATCAGACAAGCAACTAGACCGCACAAAGGAAGGAGAAGAAGAGGGAAAGAGAAGGGGCGGAAGGGTAGGCAAGGAAGGAAAAGAAAAAAAGAACCTCGCACCAAACCTTGAGCCGAGGGCTCTTTGTTGCTTCTTCTTTCGTGGTGCGTGGGTCCATCTTTTGATCGCACAGTTTACCACACACGGTGACGGGACATCAGTAGGAAAACTAAGAAGCAAAAAAAGGAGAAGGGGGGAGGGGGGCTGTCTCTAGCCAGGAGGACTCTTGGTAGCCTGGAGGTGCAAAGTCCGCTGGCGGTCACAGGTTTTGATTTTGGTTGACTCCAGTGGGCGGAGCATGCACCACGTTTAGCACCGCGCTCGTCAGACTGAGCTGGCTTGCATTGTGACTACTGAGCACCCCCTCCTCCTCCTCTTCTTTTTCCAATCGATAGTCTGCGAACGCACGCACACACACGCACACCACGCTCACTGCCTCACACGCCCCACCCTCTCATCATCTCCTCCCCCCCTCCCCCCCAAGCATGCCGCTTAGTTACAATTACTTTCCCTTGGACCGGAACGTGCTTGACACGGCGGCGATTGAGATTAGGGGAGGGGGCCTCCCGAGGTCGGGGCGGGGCAAAAGAGTTCGGAGGAAGACTGCTGGTTTGAGCTGGGTTGTTTTTGAGCTGAGGAAATATACTGGGTTGATCGTGGTGGGTTTTTGTCTGGAAGGGATCGTGATGGTGCCTTTTTCTTTTCAGGGACAAACCAGGCTTGCCCTCTCCCAGCATGGTTGTCCGCTCCAGGACGCTGCCTAAAGGGTGGTTCCCGCAGCTGTTCAGAACCACGTGGACGGGGAGTGGACAGGCCGGGAGGTTGGATGCTCCTGGGGAGGCGTTCTCACTTTGCTATCGACCTGTTGGCGAGCTGCGTTTGTGTCTTTTTGCAAGACATCTATGATTCATTGCTTATTGTAATGCATGTTCTTTGATCTGACCTTTGTATTGGTATGGTATTCACGTGTGTACGTAACTCAAGGGGGGATTTTTGACCCTTTACAATGCCATTTTCCAGAAGATTCTTTCAACGAGATTGTTCCCTGAATCTCGTCTGTCAAGCTGCTTAGGGCCACCTTGCTCTGAGTGATCATCCCATCCCTAGCTTCGTGAGTCGTGTGCGGGAACGACGGATTCAGCACGGCCGTCCCGTCCGTCTTCGTCCTGGTGCCAGTGCAAACTAGCCCTGGACGCGGTAGCCCCTTCGGCCTGTCCCTCCAGCATGTGTGGCATCAGGCTTTCTGCAGAGGGCATGCTATAGCGCTGTTTGGGATGGTGGTTGTTCCCTTTACGCTACGTTGCAGACCCCCCCCTCCTCTTTTGGGTGCGCAGTCTCGAATCGCCAGGGCGTAGCAGAGGTAAATTGAGTTGGTGCATTATAACCAGTGATTTAAAATAGAACCCTCCGCCTGTAGTCTGGGATGGAATTCACCCTGCTGCTGCTATTGCTGCTACTACTCCTGTGAGTCCTACCTTGCAGCGTTGCGGCCGTGGTCATGGTGCCTCAGTGAATGCTGGCACAAGCTGCACTTGACACATAAGTTTCGATATAGCAAGATGAAGCAAAGAGACAATATACAACCATAGTACCATTAGTTGATTTCACGAGACAGATGCTTGTAAATGGTCCATGTAGATTAGCCTTTGCCTTGCGGGTTCTAGGATCCTTGAACAGCCGTTTCTTCCGGTAGAGACCAAACTCAGACGCATTCCTGGTTGCAATGAGATCTTGCTCCTGACATAGGAATCTCCCTGCCTTTTAAGAGAGAATACACGGTGTTTCGGGGCCAGAGACGACAGTTTCACCGTAGCCGACCATGAACCATTTGACCATGCGTTATGTGCCAGGTGCAAAGCTGAATACAATCAGAAAGCAAGTTCCTCTTAATTATTGTCCAGTTTTTATCATGCTCAAACGAGGCTTTGTCCTCCGACCATCTTATCAGACACTACTCAGACACACGGGTAGGCTCAAAAGACCGAAATAACCCTCAACTTTCTCACGTTCCCATCATGTTCGAAAGGCCCAGCTTGGGGAAGGCCCAACAGACTCCAACTGGCCTGAAACAACCCGCAACTCCCAACCAATCTGATCTGCGGCCACGATCTCCTGTAGCCGATGCAAGCCCAAGGTTGCCCGGGATGGCGGCATTACGCCTGCCTACTTCATTAAGACATCCTTGCAAGAACCTTTGTGCCCACCCTATGCAGCGTTTGCGTCGTACATAGTTTGGTGAAAAGTCTATCGTTGATTGCCTAGAAGTGATGAGCACTCGAGCTTGCCAGAAAAATCAGCCATGTATAGTGAAAGAGTCGGCTTTCTCCCACGAAGGCGCACATAGTTTCGGTCTGGCTCAGATGGACTACGGGGCATGCGCAGGCCCAACATCGTCACCAGCCCGCATTAGGGAGAATCTATGAGACATTAGTGTAGACACAACCCGCGAAAAGAAACCTACGTCTTGGATCGGCGGGCAAGGGCGAGGTTTCTCTAGACTATGGCAATATCAGGCATGTCGACGAGGGATGAGTGCACCGTAGGGCGGAGGCCCTGCTATCATATCAGATGAGGTCGCTGACTGAACTCGGCCCACCTCCAGAGCATAGCATGCGACCGTAGTGATTCGTCATACGGTATATAAGAGATGTAGCTCAGCGTTGTATGCTAATCGCTGGTGGTCGCAGGTCACACTTTTAGTTGACTATTTTGTCAATGTAGAACCCTTCCATCTATTCGTGTTCCGATGATCTGCTTTCTGCTGCAGCTACTCCAGTACAATACTGCAGTTTCTTCGATCCAGCTCCAACCACTTTCCAAACTGTATGAAACCAAATCCAATACGATGAGATACGCCCTCATTTCCTGGCGTGATGTAGGCTATGACCCTCAACAAGTCATCCGACTCTTCAAAAGCCACAAAATTCCTGTCATTTGGTCGGTATGGGTCAGCAAAGCGTCGGGCCAACGGAGAATCCCACCATTCGTATTCATGAGACACTGAGATAGCAAAAAAGCTGATCTCTTTCCCCATGAATATTTGCCGGTCTTTGTAATCATCGAAGGAACCAATTCCCACACATTCTTCTCGGTGATATATCAGGAAATCGTCTGCTATGGAATCATGAAGTTCACTGAATTTTGGCCTCACAGTCAGTGGGACAGCCTGTGAAAGGCCGAGAACGCGCTTAGGCGTGGCAGCGAGTCTTCTCTGTTCTTCCGAGAACTCTGTGAAATAGGGCGGATGCGCTCGAGTGCCTAGATCTGCATCAATCCCACGGCAAGCTATCCAGAAATCTTGAATATTCGACCAGCGATTCAGGAAGTCATCATATGTAAAACTCGCCCCGTCTGATTCTTCTCCCACGTCCGAGAGTCTCAGTGGTGAAATGGGACCAGGGATGCAGCCAAGGACATAAGCCTTAACCGCGAGACGTATTCTTGGCTTGAATCTGAGATACGCCGTGCCTCTGAAGTTCATTATTAAAAATTTATGATTTCCCGGCCTCGGGTATACCATAGAGACATTCCCGTGGGCATCAATTTTGTCTATGAAAGCCCAGGATGCAAGGGGGATAGTTGCCAACTCATAGTAGAACTTGGATATGACGCATGGGCCTTTGATCGAGAGCCAGGACCAGGTTGGGAAAAGGAGGTGGCCATCATCTCCTAGTCTTCGCTCTCTTTTCTCACCCAAAGCCACCCAAGACATCGCGTCGTCGAAATCAGTCATTGGCAAGGCGTGTCTGTGGTTCACGCCCAGGGTCCTGTTGCAAATGCCAGAGAAGGCGTAGAAAGCATCTTCCTGCTTACTAAGCTCTCTTTGAGTATAATGTTGGACGGCGTCTTTATACTCGAAGGTTCCGTGAAACATGGCTTTACCCACGCCGAATAGAGGAGATGGATCGAGATGACTTGAGCTTAGATCAGGGAAATTTTCGCTTTCAAGGACAACATCATGTGCTGTGAAAAGCATCAGCCGGCGAGAGAGCACGGCTTCTTGCAACGTCCAGGCGCGGGTTGCCCATTTAGATCTCGCGACAAGATAAACTCCTTTATAAGGGGCGGGTTTGAGCTGCAGGCGAGTGGATACGCCATGAAGACCGTGCCTTGGATCAGCGCCTTCGACCGCTGCGAGCGTGACGAATGCGTGATTGTAAATCCGGCCCATTTGACCAATCTGTGCCTCTCTGTCTTTTTTGGATTTTTGGGAACCATCCTGCGGAATGCAAAGTCGGTCTACCCAGAGGTACTTCTTGTCGAGGATGCGGCACACGGCCATGGCGTCTTCGATCGTCGCTGGTGCGCCCTCGAGACTTCCAGCCTTTTCATAATAACTCGGGATGCCGTGCTCGCCCTCCTCAAGCTGGAATTCCTCCATACCCCCCCAGACGTAACTTAAGCAGATGTAGTCAAAGTGAGCCCGTGGGGCTTTGACGACGCGTTTTTGCTCTACGTCGATGAGTCGGAGTCCAGTAGGCATCGGATCCAAGTTAGGGGCCGAGCAAGTCTTAGCCAACCATAATTTGACCCGGTCCCAGTTGATTAACAACGACGGGTTCGAATCATTGAGCCGGTGGTCGAAATGAACATGTAAATGGAAGGAAGGATCAAAGTAAGTGGAGGAGGGCATATCGGTGTTCCAGTGAGCAGGGGACTCGATCTCTGGAATGAACGGGCGAGAGAGAAAAGTAAAGAAAAAAAGAGGAGACTAGATGACTGCTAAAGGCTGGCTTATGAGCAAAGTGAGATTGGGAATTGATATCAAGAATCAACACAGGGCAGTTGTGGATCAAGTTGAAGCAATGAATTGATCGCGAGACGTCTCTAATACATATAGGGCGAGGCTAAGGCATCGTTTGGAGGTGACAGGTGGCGCGAGAATGGAGCGGGGTTGGACTATTTAAGCTTGACCATAGCCGCAGAATAAAACTTGCCCCGAGACCAACATATTGGAGGCACCATTCATGCATGCACTGCCACGTTACTGTTTACGGCGTTGTCAGCAGACTTGACGGCAGAACCGTGGTATGGTGTCAGTGGCGGAGCCGGGCGGGGCGAGGACGCAGCGGTATACGTTCACTGGTGCCTAAGTAGGTCAATAACATCATGTCCTTTACTTTGCAAGGCTCGAATATTAGCCATGTCGATTCCATATGTCTCAAAAGATTGAATAGCGACCGCGATAGCGATGGCCTTCCTGTGCCTGCGTAGTCAGGGTCCCAAACAAGAATATTATTTTCTCGTACACCATACTTTCGTGCACACATGATGCGATTGCAATCCGGTCCGTTCTGTAAGTTGATACAGTAGTGAAGCGACTGCTCTGGAGCGAGAATCGAGTGCCAGCTGGGGAATTCTCCCTCTTCATGCTTCTATATGCTCAGTCTATCGGAATGCTTTTCCCGTTCTACAATCGAGACCTAGGTGTCCATTGTATCCAAGGGTGGGAGTCGGAAGCTCGTATCAACGGTTCAAGTGCACTGGTGTTAACCATCCCGGGGTGAGCCTGATCCAAGTCCGTGATCCCACTGAGTTTCATCGAAGTCACAAGCTCATCTTTCAAGATTTCACACATGTGCTCGATACCATCCTGGCCGTAGTTCACTGCATACAACCAGGCCCGACCGATTCCTACGGCAACGGCACCGAGTGCAATGGCTTTGAGGATGTCGGCGCCTCGTGTGAAACCACCGTCGACATAAACCTCGAGTTGATGGAAAACCTGGGGACAGGCCTGGCAATAAACAGTTTCTTGTAGTTAGCATGAGGTCCAGTATCCACAAATCGTAGGAATTCCTCAGCCTCACCTTGTGCAGTTCTAGAAGAGTGACCATTGCAGGTTGAGTTGCATCGAGGGAACGCCCTCCGTGATTACTCAAGAGGATCCCATCAACACCGAAATCAACAGCCTTCTGTGCATCTGCTGCCGTCTGAATTCCTTTGAGAACGATAGGGATCCCTCCGGCCGCTTTTCGAATCCATGCCAAATCCTCCCAAACAAGCGTCGAGTCGATATATTTTGCCATCACTCGACCAAGTCCGCCACCTTTCTTGTCGTTGGTTGCTACAGCGCCACTAATGGCGGACACAATATTCTCGGCAGCTATTCGCTCATCTGCCTCCCGTTTGCCAGGTACAGGGGCGTCCACGGTGACGAAGATGGCTTTGATACCAAGCTGATTTGCCGATCGGAGCAGAGCCTCCGTCTTTTGTCGGTCTGAGTTGACATACAGCTGAAGGAAGAATGGTTGGTTCGGCTGTCCAGAAGCGACAATATCTTCTAATGGGTAAGATGCATTTGTCGATATCTAGTTATAGCAATGCTCGTCAGTATTAATCAGAAACCTAGAGTTTTTATGTAGTCTTGTGTTACATAATTGGCTGACGTGCAACTGACAATTTGAATGATGCCCTGTTCTCCACACCCTCGTGCAATCGCAAGCTCGCCACTTCAACACGCTTTAGCAATCAGATCATACCGTCGTCAACGAGTTATCTAGATGTAAGCGGTACTGTAACTCACTCTGGATGAGCCAGCTTTGCCATAGCTGCAGGGCTGACAAAGAAGGGCGCACTGGAGTCACAGCCAAGGATCTGTCTCCTGGTGACCGCATCCCGAACATTTCTCAAGACCCGAGGCCGCAAGAGGAGCTGTCTATGGCAATGTATGTTGGCGTGGTGTGAGACCAAATCGGTAGCGGCGGACGAGTAGAAGGCCATCGTCTTGGCGGAATACGTTTCCCGGGCGACTTTTTCAAAGTCATGCAGAGATATGATGCTCTGTAATGGTGGCTTCGGATAGCTTGTGTTGGACTGATGAGTATTGCCATTTCGACTGATGTGGTCTACTGCTTTGGTTTCTTCTTGGACGGGTATGCTGTGGGGATCTACTGGGCCTCTGAGCTGGTCTGGGCGAAGAGCCTTGAGAATGCCCGGGGCATGTATCTCATTGAATGCTGCAGTCGCATCGCTGCCTGCATATTTCAAAATGACTTGAAGCAATTAGTACACCAATATTGTCTAAATCGGAACGAGGGAAGGAGGGAGAGAGAGGGGGGGGGGGGACACAAAGGCTTGATCCCTCGTTAGGTCTTCTAAGATGAAACTCACTGTCTGAACCGCCAGGATGATCGAACACTGACAGATCATACACCTTGCCGTCAACAATGACCCAACAATCCCCAGCAAAACCATGTTTTTTGACTTCAGAAAACGGGATCAAAGGAGAGCCAGCTTCGCTAGCTCTTGAAGCCATGATGTTTGGCAAGACGAACGGAGACGAACTATTGGGTAGAGAGAATTAAGGCGAAGCTCAAATGCCGAAGAGAATACACAGGCGGTTTCACGCAAGGATTAAGAATTATACCCGAAAAGCGAACAGAAATTACCTCCAAAAATGCTCCTGGATGACGCCGATGATCTTCCGCAGCGGGTTTCGCCCCGGATCCTCCCACCGACCTCTGGACCCAACACCGGAGCTGCCTTCCGGCCGTAATCGGGGCCAACGCCGTAGTTATGCCGACACGCAGGGAAAAGGTTACCACTCTCTGTCTCATTCCTTGGGATTGAGAGTCATTATGACTGGCTTTGGATCTGATCAGGTCTAAGGGCTCTCACTACAATGCCGCGCAAAATCAAGTATTGCCTCACAAGAAAAAAATGACCATGGAAAACAAAGAAAGTCTTCAAAGTATCTCCAAAGAAGATGCTTTGAGCCGCCTGCCTCCGCCACTGACGGCAGAGGCCAAGGAAAAGCTGCGCGAACTTCCCCTGACCTCCCTCCCCGTGCTTGTGGTTCTGGACGACGACCCAACAGGAACTCAGACATGCCACGACATCAATGTCCTGACAGTCTGGGACCAAGCTACTTTAGTTGAGGAATTTCAATCAGATCGCCATGGCTTCTTCATCCTCACCAACTCCAGAGCTCTGCCTCCCGACGATGCCCGCCATCTCATCCGGTCGATATGTCAGTCGGTTCAGGAAGCTGCCAAAGCCACAGGCAAGGCGTTCGAGGTCGTGCTGAGAGGAGATTCGACGCTGCGTGGTCATTTTCCCCTCGAGGTCGAAGCTAGTGAGGAGATCCTCGGCGAGGTAGACATCTGGATATTGGCGCCTTTCTTTGAGCAGGGAGGAAGATTGACAGTTGACGACGTTCACTACGTCGAAAGTCCAGAGGGCGACCTGGTTCCGGCTGCCCAGACCCCGTTTGCGAGAGATGCCACGTTTGGATACACACAGTCCAACCTCCGAGGGTACATCCAGGAGAAGGCAGGAGGGCGCATTGCTGCGGACCGCATCTACTCGGTCACGCTGGAGGATATTCGCGTTGGTGGTATTGCTAAAGTCACTTCGAAACTCTTGTCTTGCCCTCCACGATCCATTGTTATTGTCAATACAGTAGAGACTGCCGACATGGACGTTTTCGTACGGGGCTTGCTCAATGCTTCTGCTGAGGGCAACAGAAGGTTTATCTACCGAACGGGCGCCGCCTTTGTGTCCAGTCGTCTTGGTATCCAGCAGATCCCTCCGCTCTCTCCTATTGATCTGCACATGGATCTCTCTTCATCGGCTCCCGGTGGCCTGATCATCGCTGGCTCATATGTACCAAAGACAACGGTGCAGTTGGATTCCCTCGTCCAAGGACGCGGCACGGACCTCGAGACCATCATGCTGGACGTCTCGGAACTCCTCAGGTCGCCCGAAACGGTACATGGGACTCTTTTGGACGCTGCCAACCGGGCTGGCACCTGGATCACTCAAGGCCGCGACGTGCTGGTCATGACTAGCCGGGAGCTCGTGACGGGCGCGGACGAGCTCTCCAGTCTGAAAATCGGCAGCGCCGTCGCCGAGGCGCTCGTGGCGTTTCTGCGGTTCCTCGTGCCGAGACCGCGCTATGTGATTGCCAAAGGAGGTATTACGAGCTCCGATGCTGCAACCAAGGGACTTATGTTCAGACGTGCTGAGATAGCAGGGCAGGCAGCCTCGGGAGTGCCCATCTGGCGATGTTCAGAGAGCACATCAAAGTGGCCCGAGATTCCCTACGCTGTGTTTCCAGGAAATGTGGGAGAGCGCGACACACTTCGGGACTTGGTCGCGAGCTGGGCTGTTCCTAGATTGAATGGCACAAGTAATATTCTTGGTTCAAGACCGCAGATGGAGTACGCTCGACTGGGAAACAGCGGCCTCAAGGTCTCACGAGTGATACTCGGCTGTATGACTTATGGAAATCCAAATTGGCAAGGCTCTCCATGGGTGTTGAACGAGGCAGACACTCTTCCGCTTTTGAAGAAGGCGTACGATGTCGGCATCAACACTTGGGAAACGGCAGATACGTACTCGAATGGACAGTCTGAGTCTATCATCGGCAAAGCTCTACAAGTGTATGCCATCCCTCGCAGCAAAGTGGTCATTATGACCAAGCTGTTCTATCCGGTGATGGAGGATGATCCAGACGCCAGGCCACAACCCGCACTCAATGATGGCCCACTCGTCAATCAGGTAGGCCTGAGCCGAAAGCATATTTTCGAAGCTGTCGAGGCTTCTCTCCGGCGGCTGAACACCACATACATTGATGTGCTTCAGCTGCACCGACTTGACCACGACACCAGCCCAGAAGAGATCATGGGCGCCCTGCATGACCTGGTGAAGTTGGGCAAGGTGCACTATCTGGGCGCGTCGAGTATGCGATGTTGGCAGTTTGCGCGTCTCCAGTATACGGCCAAGTCCCGCGGCTGGACCACATTCTCGAGCATGTCTGGGCTGTACAATCTTCTCTACCGTGAGGAGGAGAGAGAAATGATTCCCTTCTGCCAGGCTGAGGGCATTGGGCTGATCCCCTGGAGCCCCAACGCGAGAGGTCTTCTCACGAGACCCTGGGCCAAAGAGACAGACAGGAGCCGGCAAGACGGAAAGGCAAAGAAATGGTTTCGGGGAAGGGGTTCTCAGAACGAGCTGATCGTGCAGAGGGCGGAGAACATAGCAAGATCTAAAGGATGCTCTATGTCTGCTGTTGCTCTTGCTTGGCTGCTGAAGAAGGGGTGCTCTCCTATTGTTGGGCTGGCTAGCATAGAGCGTATCGAGGCGGCGACGGAAGTGTTCTCTGTCGACTTGACGGACGCGGATGTCAAAAGCCTAGAGGAGTTATACCAGCCTTTGGAGGTAGAAGCCATTTAGATCAGTTCCTGTAATAGTATCATTGATTGTTACTTTGATCAAAAGGAATTAATTTTCCATTTCGAGTTTGGGAATACTGCGAATTTGATGACACAACAGGCTTCTCTTCCTAACTTGATCTCTATCCTGAGTATGCGGCCACACTGAGCTCAACGAATTTCATGTAATGTCTTCTGCTTGACAGGATTTGAAAGGATAGCGGAGAAAAGAAAAAAAAGGAAGAAACAAAGAGGGGCCGGAAGGAAGGCGTTTTGATTTCACGGAAGACGGTTCCGAGGCACCGACCTGGAAGCAGTGCAGTCGCTGACTTGGCTCCCACATCAACCTCCGAGTCTCTTCAAGCCGATGACCCACTTCGAAGAACAGGCCAGTCTTGGAAGATGGTCGAGCCAACCTCTTGCCCAAGATAACCTTAGGTAGTGATATGTTTCTGAGGTTAAATGAGAGCAATGTTTTATCGGGCTATTCAGTTCAAAGCTACGTTGTGAGTACCCTCTGGAACGAAATACACTGGTTTACACTTTTTCCAATTCCATTCTCTTTCTTTTAAAGAAGATTCTTTCCAAACATCTCAGCTTTGTATTCAGTCATAATTCTCAAAATCAAAAGTGAGGGACTTTACATCGGCGAATATGACTGACAACGATGCGTCCGGATCCCACATCCTCATCACCGGCGCTGCTGGCTTCATAGGCCAAGCTCTGGCGGCAGCATTACTTCAAGAGCCCTCTGTCACCAGGATCGTTCTTACAGATGTAGTCGCGCCTACAGCCCCTCCATCCAGCGCCAACACGGCAGACAAACACGAGCGTCGTGAGATCCACACGATAGCAGCAGATCTTACGTCTCCCACCATATGCCAGAAGCTGTTCACCCCGGACCTCACACATGTCTATCTCCTCCACGGTATTATGTCAGGGGCCACAGAAGCAAATCTTGAGCTTGGCCTCAAAGTCAACTTGGACTCCATCAGGCACATACTGGATGTCCTCCGTGGACGTGACAGGCCAGCCCGCGTCGTCTTTCCGTCCAGCCTTGCTGTTTTTGGGCCATCTGATGGTGTCGTTGTCAGCGAGCAGACCATGCCGCTTCCTCAGTCATCATATGGCGCTCAAAAGTCTATGGTGGAGATTCTGCTCAATGACTTTTCACGAAGGCGCCTGATAGATGCGAGGATTGTGCGTTTGCCTACCATGTGAGTCCAAAAAATTAAAATGTCATCGTGTTTGGCAATGATATACATGTCGGTGGGAAAGGAGCGGATTGCTAACGATTGAAAATGAGCGTGGATCTTAGCATCGTGCGCCCTGGGAAACGGACAGGTGCTGCGTCGTCTTTTTGCTCGGGCATCATAAGAGAACCCCTCAATGGAGAACAGGCTATCTTGCCGGTGCGAAAGGATCTGAGCCTCTGGGTGTGCTCCGCAAGAACCGTGATTCGCAACCTGGTCATTGCTGGAATGCGCCTCACGGGTGATGATTTCGGTGGAAATCACAGGATTGTAAATCTCCCTGGAGTGACCACAACAGTACAGCAGATGCTCGATGCGCTGGCCGAGGTGGGCGGGCAGAAGGCCATGGCTCTGGTGAAGGACGAATATGATGAGAAGGTGTCAAAGATTGTCAGTTCGTGGCCAGCCATTTTTGACATCACGCGAGCCATAGACCTCGGATTTCAGCATGATTGTTCTCTCGAGCAGACTCTAAGGGATTACATAGCAGACTATCTTTCCTAAATGATTGGAAACATGGTATCCCTATCAATAGCTCTTCAATGTGGATGTAGTCTGTTCTGGTTCTGATGGTCGCTTGTAGTGAATAGAGGTTGCTTCCATATTTAGGTCAAGAATTAGGAAGTTCAACGAATACGGTGAATATGATCGTAACAGCTGAAAAGGTTAGCTTCTGCGAGGAACAATCTATGTTGATCAATGCAAGGCCCAAATGTGTATGCATTTGAATTTCTTGACGTAATTTAGTAGAATTGACAGCGTTCTACGCTGCATCCAACACGGCTGGGTCCAGCTCTACATACTTGATATTCTGCCTCCAGTATGTGAAAGCTATGTGCACCTTCCCATCCGGGCTCAGTGTGATACTCGGATATGACAGCTCACGGTTCAGCTTTTCCTGGCTGTTGTTTGTCATACAATATCCGTCGCCTTCCTCGAGGACCGTGTGCTTCCACGAAACCCCATCATTGTCACTCCAAGCAAGACACAGCGGCGCTCTTGGTGCGCCCCAGAAGGCTTCCTTCCCATTCTGACCAGCCCCCTGGTTCTTGCGGACATCCGAAGCATCTGCAATATCATCGTAGAGACCCTCACGACGACCTTGCGCATTAGCCTTTGACGAGTGATTATACACTGCCAAAATTCGTCCGCTAGGAAGAACATCGAAACAGATGCCAGAGTTCGGATTGGGCAACTCTGTCGGGACCGGCTTCGACCAGGAAACGCCGTCGGCTGAGGTGGATGAGTAAATATTATCGGCCCAGCGGCTCCGAAACAAGGCGAAATAGGTTCTGTCTTTCAGCTGCCGGATCACCATGTGCACAGCTCCGAAGCTCTCTGGAACCTCAGTCTCGCTCCAAGTCTGGCCCTCGTCCCGTGAGATGCGGACAGCCGAGATATCGTCGTTGCCGATCCAGCGCATGCCAGGTTCTGTTCGACACTTGAACGTGGGTACCGCCCACGCGCCATCCTTCAGGATCACGACTGGCTGTCGTATGAAAGTTCCTGGCTCGCCGAAGAGGATATCTGGCTGGCCCCATGACCTGCCATTGTCCTTGGAAACTTGCCGCTTGACGACCGCTGAGTCTTGATTGCCAGCCTCCTGAGAAGTATACAAGAGCCAGAATTCCCGAGGAGATGATGGCGTTTGAAAAAGAACGGGATTCTGTTCGCTTCTAGAGCCGTCAAAGGTGACTTTCTCTGCCCTGAGCCACGGGCCTGCGCCTGCAGGCCGCCGGCTCAGATAGATGGAGATGTCGGGTTTGCCTTCTTGGGTGCCACCGAACCACGCGCACAAAAGATCGCCATTGTCCAGTAGAAGTAGGTTGGATGCATGGCATTGAGGCGTTGTTGACGGGAGAAAGCATTCCAGGTGGTCGAGAGGCTTGTTGAGCCGGACCATGGTGTTCTTGTCGGAGCCTGGCATGTCTTGTTCCCAGTTGCTTCCCATGAATGGTTACCAGCTCAAAGAAGGGACAGTAATAAAGAACAGGTGGTGACGATAGAAACTTTAACTTCGACTATATCTTGTCATGCTTCCAGACCTCATCAGAGAGTGTCATGTATTTAAGATGTGCACACCCCGACGACACGGAATATGGAGTGGTTGATCCACGGTGGCCACCCTAAGATACTGTACGAGTCAGCTTGAGATGGTTAGACGGTCGTCTATCATGGCAGGAAAAAAACAAACCAATGATCTAAAGCCTCCGAGCCGGAGGGGTCTTCCGCTCTGGTGCGGAAGGCCTCGCCGGTCTTCATGGAGCATTGACCCGCTACCCCAGATTGTCCCAGATTGGCACAGGGAGGGGCCTCCACTGTTCCCCGGATTTTCCCCGGATTTGGACCCGCATGAGACGCAGCCCTGGGTGACCATATAGCTCCTGATGGCCCCGAGACACACTGCAAGACTCTCTCTCTACCGGTAGAGAGCGGAGAAGACAAAATATTCTTGCTGTGCTGAAGTCTCGTCTGGAAACAAGCAGTACTGCCATATTCAAGCCACCAGACCACCAAATTGAATACCATAGGAACACGACCAAGATGGCAGGTGGCACGAGTCTTTGGTTCAGTCAGGACGCCAAGAATGATCCAAGAGAGATCTTCAACTTCCGACTCTTCTATCTGCTTGTCACTGTCGCTTGGGCAGGTTGCTTTTACGGCTTTGACTCTGGTAACATCGGCGGCATCTTGACTTTGCCTTCCTTTGAACATGCATTCGGGTTAGCTGACCTGGACGGAGCTGAGCTCGATCGGCGTAAGGTAATCATGGCCACATCATTGCCCACCATCTCACTCTTCATGATCTGGGCTTGATGATCGTTCACTGACGCTCCTGGTGTACAGGGGATCATCGCCGCCATGCTTGCAGCAGGTGTAAGTAATCACTATATTCTTGTCCCACTTCATTCATCATACACTATTCCGTATCTGTTTTACTCATGCACTAATCGTTCTCTCTTGACTACATCCATAGGCTTCTGCCGGTGCTCTCCTTGCGTGGCCTACATCCGACATCTTCGGGCGCAAGTGGTCAGTGTTCTTCTGGGGCATCATCTTTGTCATTGGTGCGGCTATGCAGATGGTCGCCAATTACCAAGTCCTCCTGGCTGGCCGCTTCATCGGGGGCTTGGGCGTCGGCGCGAGCTCGATGCTGAGCCCCCAATTCCTCGCCGAGAACTCGCCCAAATCCGTTCGCGGTTCCTTCGTCGCCATGTACAATCTCATGATCGTCACGGCCCTGATGCTCGCCTTCTTCATCAACTATGGTGTTAGTTTGTGGAACACCTCAGCCACCAACGACGGCCAGTGGCGATCTGCCATGGGCATCCAGATCATCCCAGGTGTTCTCATGTGCATCATGATCCCATTTGTGCCCGAAACACCGAGATACCTTATCAACCATGGCCGCTCGGAAGAGGGACTAAAGAACTTGACTAAACTTCGAAAGCTGCCGGCCGAACACATCTACGTGCAGACTGAGTACCAGGAGATTGAGGCACAAGTCCGCAGCGAACAAGAGGTAATTATCATCATTATCCCCTGCCGGCCAAGACACATGTACGAACCATACAAAGATGCTGACTTGATGTGTGTGTGTGTGTTTCCTGTCTAGGCACGTCAAGGTCATAGCATATGGGCCATCGTTCAGGACATTCTTCTTGTCACCAGCAATCGCCGGCGCTTTTTTCTCGCAGTCATGCTGTTCCTGTTCCACAAGTTCACTGGCACCGACAGTCTCAACTATTACGCTCCTTCAATATTTCAGCTGATTGGTGTGAAGGGGAATAGTAATACTTTGCTGACGACTGTGAGCATTGAACAAAAGCCCCTATTGTCTCGATGAATGGCTGCATGGCGGTGACTGACATATGGCTCATATCACCAGGGCATCTATGGCGTCGTCAAGGTTGTGACAACAATCTTTTACGTGGGATTTCTGGTAGAGTACGTCAATCCAACTGCTATCAATCGACTCATCGAGACGAAGAAACTATAGAAATTAATCAACATGCCACATCACAGCCGGATTGGACGACGACGCCCACTACTCGTTGGAGCCCTCATCCAAGCCACTGCCATGCTCTACCTCGCCCTTTACATCCGTTTCAGCGGAGGCAATTCTAGCACCGACAGCGTTGGGGGCACACCAGCTGGTGGAATAGTCGGCATCATTTTCATCTATCTCTATGCCTTTGGCTGGTCCTTTGGGCACTCGGTCGCATGCTACGTTGTCGCTGCCGAGATATTCCCCACGCGGATCCGTTCCGTGTGCATGTCGTTCTGCTTCTTTGTGAACTGGATTGTCGACTACGGCATTACCCAGGCTACGCCACTGATGCTCTCCGAGATGGGATGGGGTACGTTTCTTCTTTATGCCATGCTCACGTATGTAGGCTTTGTCTTTGTCTACTTCTGCCTTCCGGAGATGAAGGGGCGTTCCATCGAGAGCATGGACGACCTGTTCCAGAGACCGCTGTGGACAATGTGGCGGCATGCGTACCCCACGGAGGAGGAGAAGGTGCGCCATGATGTGCAGGAGATGATGGATGTTGAGGATCTCCCGGGCAAGGGGACTGCGAAGCACATTGAGGTGGCGAGTTGAGGTGGACAACATTATGTATTTGCTCAGCAGGTAGAGAATATTATCTTCTTTCCCAAATCTCTCTAGAGAGATGTCAAGACAATCAAGCCGTCCTATAGACCAGAAGTTAAATGATGACCAAATTGCCAGAGCAGCGCAATAATTTTAAATGACAGACAAGTAGGGGCCCATAGTGATGCTGTTCCGCAAGATCATGCGTGTCCTCCTCTCAAGATTCAGCTCATATACCAGGACAACGGCATGGGTGCAGTACACTCGACGTCTGAGAAGTATACGCAAAGTTAGGGCCCAATGAATCAGAACGCAGAATCTGTAGTTGACGGAGAATTCCTAGGTGTATTCATCAGCAGACGGTGGCCGAGACAGATCACTTCACGCCAATGATAACATCGCAGCCCTAATTCTTGTTGTCTCCATCCACATAGTCTTGTTGTGCGGATGCTCTGAGCCGGGCTGGACCTCATATCCGGACCTTGGTTCCCGCAGGGGTAGACTTGGTGTGTATGACAAGAGCAGCCCCCAACCTGCCCGCGCGCGGAGCAGGACCCGCATCGGAAGCCCTCCGCCGTAACGCAATACTGTAGCTTTGCACCACCCCGTGATCAATAATACTTGCCGAAACCACGATTTATCCACCCCCTCAGAGGGCTTCACAGTATATCGAACATCACTTTCGTACTTCTTCATCTAGCTGAGTGTTGTGAGAGCAATGACCAACGGCCTGATTTTATACAACCTATTCCTATAATCTATTCACTTCCACTGATTTCGGTCTTCTTCCTCTTACTCCACCTCTTGTCTCGACAGAAAGAAACAGATCTGTCGACCATCGCATCACAATATGCCAATAATAGACTCAAAGGCGCCTGCGGTCCCCGCCGGGGTCTGGTGTCCCGTCGTGAGCCTGTACAAGGACACACCCCGCCAGGAGATCGACCTGGACGCCATGTACAAATACTTGTCATACATGATCTCGAGCGGCGTGAACGGTCTCGTCCTCCAAGGGTCGACGGCCGAGGCAGCCCTCCTCCTACCCGAGGAGCGTGTCAGTCTCATCCACACCGCACGAAAGGCCGCCACTGACTTGGGCGTACCGAAATTTCCCCTGGCTGTTGGTATTAGTGGCCAGTCCACGGTTGAGACTTTGCGCCTTGTCGACGATGCTGTCGATGCTGGTGCTGACTTTGGCCTCCTCCTACCCCCGAGTTATTGGCCCAAGGCTGTCTCTGAACAAGCCATCGTGGATTTTTACTCCGAAGTGGCGGATCATAGCCGCGTTCCCATTATCGTTTACAATGTAATTAAGCTACCCTCCCCCAAGAATTAATTGATTTATCTCTTTCCAAGATTCGTTTCTAACCCACTCAATCTCAAATTAGTTTCCTGGTGTTACGGCTGGCGTTGATCTCGGCGTGGACGTGCTCTCGCGTCTTGCAGTACACCCAAACATCGTGGGCGTCAAGCTGACATGTGCCAATGCAGGCAAGGTGTCATGCCTCACTGCCAAGTTTCCTCCTTCTCAATTTGCCGTCTTCTCAGGACAGTCCGACTGGCTTCTCCCTTGTCTGATAGCCGGTGGTGTTGGCTGCGTGACAGGAATCGGCAATGTCTTTCCGAGGGCTGTTTCAAAATTGTACGCCTTGTGGCAGGCTGGCAAGATAGAGGAGGCTCGTGAGCTGCAAGGAAAAGTGGCTCTTGCCGAGTCGGCCTGCAAGAAAGGACTCGCCGCCACCAAGGCTGGAGCTGCTCGCTTTGTGGGTGCCTTGTTGGGCTTGTCCTCCGAGGCCACATTCTACCCACGCAAACCTTACAAGCCTGCCTCTCCAGACTTGTATAAATCAACCATCTCTACCATGCAGGTCCTAGAGACTCTCGAAGCCTCACTCACCTCCTCCGCCACCACAACCACCACAACCACCACTACCAACAATCCAAAGGGAGAAAATCAAAAGCCACCCTCCTTTTTCACCTTGAACACTGGAGCCAAAATACCAGCCGTTGGGTTTGGCACTTGGAAAGCTGCACCAGGAGATGCAGCCCGCGCTGTCGAGGTGGCCTTCGCAGCGGGCTATCGACACTTTGACTGCGCCCCTCTGTACGGCAATGAAGCAGAGATAGGCTGCGTCTTTAAAAAGCCTCCTGTGGCCCGGTCTGACTTCTTTGTGACCACTAAACTGTGGTCTTCTGACCACCGTCGGGCGGGGAGCGCTCTCGACAAGTCCCTGCAAGACCTCGGCCTGGACTATGTCGACCTCTGGCTCATGCACTGGCCCGTCACGCTTCCCAGCCCGGACCAAACAGGTGCCGAGTACGGCAAGGAAGACCGCAAGACGCACGACCCGGAGTGGAACTTCTGTGATACCTGGCGCGAGATGGAGAAGATCCTCCAGGACGGCACGGGCAGGGTGCGCGCGATTGGTGTGGCCAACTTCTCGACTGTGAACCTCGCCAAGTTGTTGGCAAGTGCTACGGTTGTGCCAGCCGTCAATCAGACCGAGATCCAGCCGCTACTGCCCCAGAATAAACTGCATGAATTCTGCGCGGCCAAGGGCATCCATCAGACGGCATTTGGACCCCTTGGCGGGTCTGGAAGCACCCTGCACGAGGAACCTGTCATCACAGAGATCGCCAGCAAGAGAGGGGTGGCGACGGGAAATGTGATGCTGAGCTGGGGAATCGCCAAGGGATGGAGTGTTATTCCTAAGAGCACCACCCCATCGAGGATCCAGGCGAACCTGAGAGACAATTTTGTGCTAGACGAGGACGAGATGAGGCGGATTGACGAGCTGGCTAAGACTAAAGGCAGGCGATTCAACCGGCCAGACTGGGGCACGACCATTTTTCACGATGACGATGATCAGTCTTGAGTGGTGGTGATCTTGGTTGTATTACATGTCTGGTGTCAAGGCAGAGAAGGTCGCATTTACAACATATATATATATTTTCATTGAGGTAAAATTTGTGAGGTCGAATCCAGCTCTCCTGCATGTGTGGTCACAGCTGAGATTGTGACGCCGGAAAAGCCAGATGAAAGTCTCCAAAGTCCCCGTACCAGAAATCATCCGACAGCCCGCCAAAAGTCTGCATATTACCAGGAGAGGTAAACATCGCATGGATCACTTCACCATTGTTACCACTGCTACCACCGCTGTTGGCTCCTCCTTCTCCTCCGCCCATTCCACCACCAAAGTCGGCCATAAGATTGGTATACTCAGCCTTCTGAAAAGGGCTACCCGTGAGCACCGACTCCATACCCAGGCTGGCCGTGCACTCGTTGAGCTTTCGTGTCAGGCCAGCCAGGGCTCGCGCGATGGGGTGCTGCGGCAATGTGGATGTGCTGGCAAAGAGGGTCAGCACCGCGGCGATACGGCCAAAGTCGTCCTCGACCGCGATGCCCAGCTGCTCGCGGTGCTTCATGGCCATCTCGAGCAAGCAGTGGCCCGCAAACGAGATCATGATGTGGAAGTAGTGCGGCATGCCCACAATGTTGCTGCGCAGAGCGGGATTCTCGATAAGCATGCTGAAGATGCGGTGGGCGGCCTCTCGTGCCGCAGCCGCAGCCGGGAGAAAGTGGACAGGAATCGGGTCTTTGTCGTCTAGGCCTTGGAATACGTGATGGTTCAGATATAGTCGCGCATATTGATAATGTATGGTGAGACCAGCCAGCGGGAAGTCACCAATGTGTTCATCGGGTTCTTTGATTCATACCGGTAATGTCAGTCTAGTAATCCTCATTGTCATAGCCCTGGTATTAATCTCAAGATGAGAGGAGAAAGGGGGGGGGGTGGGGATGAACGAACCAAAGGAGGGCGAGTATTTCCCATACCACTGGTCCAAATCGTTTGTAAAATGGGAGAACTGAATGACGAATGTCTTGGGCAGGGGTCTGGGCCGCTCACAGCCTAGAACATCCCGGATTTGGCCCATGATGACTAGTAATGAGACCTGTGAGATGAGACGGATATCTAGGTTGGATAGTGACGATCCTGCATTTTCACTAGCCAGGAAACTGTCCCTGTTCTCAATAGCATCTTTCTCTTGCCGGGTCAACGCGTCTCTGTTGTGCAAGATGGACAGATGTCGGTCAGAGACGAAGAGCAGGTACCAGAGACGAACTCGGTCTCTCGCATCCTCCTTCGGGTCATCACGCGGCACTGGACCTGTGCCTGGACCTGCGCCAGCACCAGTGCTTGTATCTGCAGAGGCCGGGACGAAAGACGCAGTCGGAACTTTTGACGTCGTGGTTGTTGTTGAAGAGTAATCCATCCACCTGTGGAAATAGTGATGCAATCGAGAGTCTGCAGCTCTTCGCACGGCGTCGCTGAGGAGGATCCTGGATGTGTCCAGAAGCCAGAATGAGCCGATGCACAGAGCCCGAATGTACTCGAGATCCCTCTTCTCAAATAAGGATGTCGACACCAGAGATCGGTACTCTTTATAGCACTGATCGAAAAGATCCTTATTGTCGACGTCTTGAAAGGCGGCGACGGCACACATGGCCGCAAAGAGTGTGGGGGACGCCATGCGAACCTGGTGGGCATCCCGATAGTGGCCGGCGATTCCGTAAAGAAATCGATCCAGATAGAGCAGATAATGCTTGACCAGCATCTCGGCGCGCTCTGGCGTGATGATGCCCTTGCTGACCAGATCCCCCCTCTCGCTCTCTCGACCCCGAACCCTCTGCGCTGGACTTCCATGCCCCCCTGTGCCCGTCCCTGCAGTGAGAGAAGCATCTGCGCCAATGTTTCCGCCGCTGAGGTACGGGTCGATGGGTGCCTGGACTGCTGATGGCGAGGCTGGTGGTGACAACTCGTACACCCCCGACCTAGTGCCATCTTCGCCTGCTTCTTCAGTGCCCTCGGCAGACTGCTGCTCCAGGTGGCTCTCAGCTCCGTTTGCTCCTTGGGTTGACATCAATGGCCAAGGAGGTTCGATGCTGAGCTTGTCGCAGACGCGTTGGAGTGTAGAGAAAATATTGGATATGTCCTTGCCGAGCAGCATGACTTGCCTTGAGGTCGGATGGGAGGGTAAATTAGTATTGAACATTCCAAGTTTGCGACTAGGATGACATGTAAATGATCCATATATATAAATGTATATTATCCGTACTAACCTGTGATCTGGGTTGGAGACTCTCAGCGCAGACGTATGCAATACGCACGAGAGGCCTCGTCTTTCGCATCGTGAACAAGGCGGTTCCTCGGTAGGCATGTCGCATTTGATCTAGTTAAAGCATTAACCACTACATCTCAAGTGTCAGACACTCTTTTCTTCTCAAAGAATGAATGTTTACACATTGCCTTTACAAATAGACAGCATTTCTCGTGCTGCAAAGTGAGTTGCCCTACTTACTTTTTGCTTACGGCAAGCAGTGCATGCTGCGGCCAATTTCTTGGGCTCCGGCCGCGGACCCGGAGCGGCATCGCTCCTCTTTCGCTTCAGCGGTGTCGTCATGAGCACTTGATTACCCGCAGAAGGTCCTCGTCTCCTTTCCGAACATCAGCTTTGCCGATCAATTAAGTCAAGGAAGTAAGTATGGGCTTAGAAAGATGAAATCGCAAGGTAATTCGGTATTCGGCAAAACGAGACCCTCAAACCGACCGCAAACCAAGCAAGTGAACAAGGGCTGAGAACTTGGAGGGATGGTAGAAAACATGGCTCCAGTTTTTCTCCAGGCTGAAGGCAATAACAATTTTCCGACGATGTGGGGAGGGAGGAAAAGGGGAGACATGGCTCATGTGACGGATCTAGTTTCTTGTTCTGTCCAAGGATGGCCTGGCATCGTGCAACAGTCAGTAAAAAGCTATTGAAATGAGAATGGTTTACTTGAGAATGGAATATGCACTGGAATGAATGTCAGTGTATTGGGCCTGGACTGGAGCATATGGAGCTGAGAGGCACTTCCAGATTATGCCCATAACAATATGCATTCACACATGAATAGCGAATTTTTTGTAAACCAGACATGCGTTCGGTCATGTCATAGTATCGTGTTTATTTTTTCTTTCATTAGTAGCAGCAATGTTTATTTTGATTGTCGTCTCACACAAGGAGTTTAATTCAACTCACCTCCCCAGAAATGAGTTGTATTAACCAACATTGAATTCTCTCTTCAACAAAGGCAATGGTATTGTTATGTTGGTGAGAATGACTAGATTATAAGGAACACAAGACAAGTACTATTGATTGAGATAGTACGATTTGTTCCATTTCTCTACTCTGGACTCAAATATAATAACGGGGATGAAGAACAAAGGGTGTTGATGACAAGTGCTGATGCTTGTTCAGGTAATCCGAAGGATTCCCTTTGCAGAATGACCAGCAGAAACTTGTATAAGTACCTGCGAGTCACTTATGGCTGACAGGCTCCGAAGGAATGCTGACTTTACATTAAAGTAGCAATTATCGAAAACCAGACATGATGGAACCCATACAGCCACGCCCAACACGCTCAACAATTGATCAACGATCTGACCAAGAGATTCTTACGGATCTGCAGACATTCAAACCTGTCGACGGTTCAGAAAGGAACATCTGGGCGTTTTGGGACACAGGTCTTGCAAATTGTAAGCCATGGTGCCAGCGCAATATCATCAGCTGGGTGCGGCGCCACCAGGACTGGACCGTACGTGTGGTCGACATGGTAGAAGGGTCAGCGAATCACTGGTCCAGATACATCTCCGAGCCCGCGCTCTTCCTCCCTCGCTCGCTCCTCCAGCCTCCCTCACCGGGTACGACAGCCAGCAACACGCACCTCGGGGCGCACATGGGCGACCTGATGCGCCTCCCACTTCTTTACCTCCATGGAGGGGTCTGGCTCGACGTTGGCTTCATGCTTTTTCGCGGACTGGATGACCTCTGCTGGAACAAGCTCGCGGACCCGCAGGATGACCAGGAGATGATGGGATTCAAGATGACCATCAGCGACGAAATCGCCATGTTCTTCAACGGCCTGATAGCTGCGCGCAAAGGCTGCCTTGGCGTCAAGTACTGGCACGACATCTACCTCGCCTGCTGGGAAGACGGCGCCCCTGGGACGGCGGGCATGAGCCGCCATCCCCTGCTGCGCCACCTCCCGCGTTACGAGGTCCCCAACTCGAACGGGGGCCCGCCCGAGTTCGAGTATGGGCCTTATTTCGACTACATCTCCCACATGTTCTGTGTAGAGCGCCTCCGGCACATCCGAGACCCGGTCCTGTCGTGGGACGGCCCAGCGTACTTTGCGAAGCATGTGCTTCTCTACGAGTGCATCACTGAGGTATACTGGGCGCAACATCTGACCCAGTGGTCCGGCCGGAGGCAGTTCGAGCTCCTCAGCCGGCCGCGTGACGGGGCAGCGCACAACGAGGCATACAAGGAGGCCGAGGACTTTGTGGAAGGCATCTTGGCCATGTCGTCAACCATGAAGTTTTCGCACGGCCTTTTGAGCAAGCAGAGGGAATATCTGGCTAGGATCTGGGACGAGCCTGGGAACGCAGATGCTGATCGGGCCCCAGGAACGTGGGCGGCTCATTTGCGGTGGGCGAGCGTCTACTTTGACCAGACGAGGCATCTGGAACCTCTTCTCTTCCCCGTTCGAGCGGACGCCCTGCTGACTGGTGGGCTGCTCGAGGCACATGGAGAGCCACACTTGCACTGGGAAGCAGAGCATTGATCGGGTGAACCTGCTCTGATTTGTTCTTTTCCTTTTTTTTCTTTCACATGGCTCATTTATTATTCGCCAAAACGTACATGGAATAGATTTTGTGATGCTAGGAATATTGAGAGGCCTTCCTTTCTTTGGCCTCTTCTCTCGTAGACTGGTCAGGGGATCTATTCCTCTCTATTCTCAATATGTAGCCTAAGCCTTTATCTCTCTCTACTAAAAGAAAATCCCGGGATTCAGACACGACTAGACGTTGGGTTTTGTAAGCCCACGAGAACCCCCGGAGACCATGGAACGGTTCTTGTCTGCCATTTCATCTGTTCAGATCCTAGGAGAGCTGCTTGTGCCCACAATATCGGAACAAGTCCCAATAGAGAAACCGCGCCCCAAGCAAGGAGATGCCCTTTTGGAAACATCAATGCTATCCAGTACAATCCAATTGTACCGCACACCCGCACGATACTTCCAAGAGGAATCTGGAGGCTCTCATGGGGCCCAGAGATAAACAAGGCGGTGTCTCCTGTTGTGAGAAAGGGGTCAAGGAGCAAACCTAGGCCCACCAAAAACAGCAGAGTGTACGTCTTTCCCCATTTAACTGGCAAGGTCCTCATGCCGTTTGCAGCGTCCTCGGCGAGATCTCTCGTATCGCATACCGTCTCCCGGAAGAACTGGTAGAGTATCACGAGGCAGAGACTGCGTGCACGGAGCGAGCTATCTGTGCACTTGGCAGTCGTCCTTTCATGACAGCCGTAGAACATGCCCACGTCAGCCGTGACATAGGTCATGCAGACGGCAACGACGAGAGACTTGGCCTCGAAGAACTGTTATTGTCGTTGTCGGTAAGTAATCAGCACAGTCAACAAGGTGTCTTAAGCGCTGGTGTTCATACTTACGAGAGACTTGGGCTTGACTAGGTGCAAGCCCTTCGAAGGCGAGAAGAGAGGGATGCATGGAGTGCCCCATCCAAGTCCGATCAGAGAGAAACGGTACATGCGTAAGGATGTCTCAACACCGGTAAGGTAGGTGGTGACAAGGACCACAAGCCATAGTGAATACATCCAGGCCTGCCATATACACTTCTTCGGTCGCTTTGATATTGGGATGTCCTTGTAAGAGTCATATGCTAAAGCCATATCAGTATTTACAGAGCCAAACACCATGTATGGAAGATAACTACTCACAGTCAACGATAGAGGTAGCTGCGCATATCATGCTCAGAAGAGCTATGGGGAACTCGTAAGACCCAGTCACGACATGGATAGATCCTATTACGGGGACAAGATGCCCCGAGGATATAAGGAAAGGCAAAATCCCCAGTCTGATGAGAAGATCTCCACGAGACTCGGTCGTCATTGTGTAAAGTTATCTATCATCAGCAAAGTCCCAAGACGTACGTGCTGCAACGGATGGACATCTCGAGTCAGGAAAAACAGGAGGAGGACCACAGCCGGACTACGTAACTCTCATTTGCTCGGGACATATCTACTCGGCACAGAAACAAGAGACCTAACTTTAAATCTCACATAATTGATCATTACACATGAGGTACATTGTGGCGCCGCGAATCGGCCTTTTTCAAACTCGATGAGGACTTTTATCCTAAGCTGCATGATTTGAAACCCCAGTGTATAATTGCTCATCGGTGATCGATTCTCGCGCGGCGAGACACTTGTCGAAGCCTTACACTCCGCCCAGCACTGCTCTCCAACGAATCATAGAGCGCCAAGTTCTTATCACAATACGTGGACCCATGCAAGCGTAGCAAGCCCGTGTGACCAGTGAGATGGTGTAGCTTCGAAATATATGGCAACAAAAGGACACAAAGTTTTACGCCAAGAATCCTTTAGGAGTACTAGAGGAATATGGGGTGCGGGGTATGTAAGAACATTACTCACGATGACTGCAGTACCGTCTTGGAGCTTACAAGATCGTAGAGTGAAGGAGCCGGCTTACCCGTTCTTTACGATCCGCTCATGCATGTTCCCCTCAGAAACTTGATTGCTAGACAGGTTGAATTGTGAGGTACTCACTACATCCTCACAGTTGTAAGAGCACTGTATGACTATAGCCTCACCGAGAAAGCACGCCTTGCATCTTGGCTCCGGCGAGAGGAGTGTCTCGCCGAGCCTTGGTGATCATTCATTGAGGCAAGGCAAGGAGGAGGGAGGAGGAAACAGGATTCCAATTCCCAAGATCTCTACTCCTGGTTGCAGATTGCTTCAGTCGCCACCTTTCCACTCGTGTCTACAATTTCCCTCAATTCGTGTATGTGTAGAATCTTCAGGGTCGCCTATTTTCTACCAAAGCAGACAGATCAAGAATGGCATCGAATGCTTCGCAGAAAATCACTTCTCTGGAGTCTACTACTCCTAACATTCTCAGTCATGTAATGACACGGCATTTATCCATGCCTGGAGTTGTTGGATTTGTTGAGATCGCTGTGGTGCTGGTGCTCACCGGCTGGTTGTTCCATCTCGTCGAACCCGCATTGCGTGTGTCCCTCTCTCCGACGTACGCTCCGTATAAATGGGTCAAAGGAAAACGAGGCTTCGGCCAATTTTTCAAGGTGGCCTACGAATGTGTCTTTGCTTCTGAAGGACTTTTCAGGACATCCTATGAGAAAGTAAGTTTTCCTTGTTTCTTCTTCTTTCTATAATCAATATTGGCGACAACAGATCGTAAAAAACCATGGTTCTAATTACAGCCATCAGGTCCGCAAAACAGCAAACGATGTCGTCATCGTGCCTTTTCCTCACATACAATCAGGCTTCCTCATTCTGCTGCCTCTGGATTTGATAGATGAGTATGTGAAACAACCGGAAAATGTAGTCTCGTTCAAGACGTTCGTGGCCGGTGCCATGCACTCCAAGTATGTGTGCTTCGGGGAGAACATATTGAACAACAACATCCAGACGCCGATTGTGCTGCGAGAGCTTAAGAGCAAGCTGGCAGACAAAATGCCTATGATGAATGAGGAGATGGTGGGCGCCCTGGAGCACTATGTCGGGTCAAGGATGGATGAGAGCGGCGTGATGCAGATCAACATGTGGGACATGGTGACCAAGCTCATGTCGCGCTCCAGCAACAGAATCACATCTGGCTATCCGCTCTGCAGGAATCAGGAGTATCTGGATGCCATGGTCCAGTACTCGGTCCAGATGTTTTCCACAGCTGTTTATATTCGCTTCATTCCTCCTTTTCTGAGACCGTAAGCAATTTAGCCCCAGATCCGCCACTGATCCATATCATATTATGCCATAATTACACACTGACACTGTTTCTCCCCATTGCTAGCCTTCTGGCTCCATTGGTCCGCCGGCCTCTGACCAAGAAGCGCGAGATCATCATCAAGCATGCAGAGCCCATCATCGAGGAGCGCAAGAAGATTATCGCGGACGCAGCTGAGAAAGGAATTGAACCAGAGCTACCGGTAAGTATAGGTCATCGCAATCTACCTTACATTTGACATCAGGACCAGCCACATATACTGACAATCTCACAGAATGATCTCCTCAGTGCCTGTATGAAGGTTGCCATTAAAGACAAGAACCGCCAGCTCGAATACTCAACACCTGTACTCTGCAACCGTGTCATGAACCTCAACTTCCTGCAATCCTACTCCAACGTTCTCAGCTTCACAAATGTCCTGTACGACCTAGTCTCGCTGCCCAAACCCGTCTTTGAGTCCACAGTTGCAGAGATGCGGGCCGAGATTGTCGCGAACCTCGGCCGCGGCGATGACTGGTCCAACGACTTCGTCAACCGACTAGACACCATAGACGCCTTCATCCGCGAGAGCATCCGCTACAATGCCATCGGCGAGGTCGGCCTGGAGAGAACAATCGTAAAGCCTGGAGGCTTCACTTTCTCCACCGGCGTACACGTGCCGCAGGGCGCCATCCTTGCCTCTACGTTGCGCGTAGGCCAGCGCGACGAGAGCCTCTATCCAGGCGGGTTCAACCCCGAGCGCGCCCTGCAGGATCCGGCCCATCCAAAGATGACGGACATTTCGCGGGAGTTTCTCAATTTCGGCCTAGGCCGCTCTGCGTGTCCCGGGAGGTGGTTCACTGCCAACCTACTCAAACTGGCCTTCTCACACCTGCTCCTGGACTACGACTTTGACCACCTCGAGGAGCGGCCTCAGGGGGTGCGCAAGGTCACGCTGATCGAGCCATGTGGAACATCGTTGGTCACAATTAGGAAGCGCAAGGTGTCCACTGGCTAACAATATGATTTCAGTGCGTATATACAAAGTTCATGTGTGGATTATTATCTTTCTCTTTCCTGATGAAGTGTGGAGGTCGTGGCGTAGCATAAAGACAATCCGAATAGTAGCGAAATTTCAAGCAGTCATATAGAAATTTCAATACCTCGAGGGCCACAATCGCGCAAAAGCGTAACATTGTCGAAGAAAATTCACTCTCAAGTAGTTCCATACTTTACTACTTGGACCCAGACAACTCTTGCTGCCGTGTGCTTTGTATTCACCGGCAATGTCTTACATCAGAACCTCATTTCCTTTAGTCATATACGTATCATTTGGAGGACTTGGCTTTTCATCCCAGAATTCCATCGCAAAATGATCAAGACATCAAACAGTCGAAGCCATCTTCACTCTCATCGTACTATCTTTGGGTCTCGATGTGATCTGAATAGTCTGCATGCAAAAAAATACCATTAGCCGTCATCCACAAAATTACAGGCATAAGCACGAAGAGAAACTTACACAGTAGACATCCTGCTTAACCTTGTACTGATTCTTGTCGTTGAGTACAGGTAGACCCTTCTCATCGAGATCAAGCTCGCCGAGCCCGGTCTTGACAAAATCATAACGTCTAGCCACCAAGGCCATAATGACACGTGCCTCAACGTTGGCAAGTTCCTGGCCAATGCAGTCCCTCGGCCCACGCTCAAACGGCCGCCATGCCGCTGCAGGGAATTTGCGATGCTCGTTGCCATTCGGTACCGCTGCTGCTGCTGCCGTTGTCTTTTTCTCAGACTCGCCAATTCCGCCATCCTCAGTTTTGGCATTAGATGTTTCTGTGTCGCCCAGCCAACGCTCAGGCACAAAGTCATTGGCCGTGGGCCCATACACGCCTGGGTCTCGCTGGATGGCATAGTGATTGATGTAAACTGCCAAGCCATCCAGGCACAGCTCTTGACCCTGCGGGGTGCGAACGCTGAAATTTGACCCCTTGGGCACGCCTCGCATGGCGGATGCCGGCGGGTAAAGACGCAAACACTCCTTGATCACGGCAGAGGCGTACGTCATGCGCCGAATGAGATTTCCGCCTTTAGGGGCGGCCAGCTGTGCCCTCACGACCTCTGGGTCTGGATCTGGTCCAAAGATGTCGTCTAGCTCCGCCCGCACGGCCTTGAGCACCCGAGGTGTCCGCGAGAGCTCGTAGAAGATCCACAGGAGAAGCGTGCTCAGCGTGTCGTGTCCGGCGAAGAGGAAAGTCTTCACATTGTCACGCGTCGAGGTGACAACGTCAGCTGGCAGGTCGCTCGACTCGGTGCCCTGCACACAGAGGTCAAACACACTGCGCTGGACGCGATCTCCCTGCTCGGCGTGGCGGAGCGTGGTCGACTTGGAGCGGATCATGGCCTCTAGTTGCCGGTCGATGGCCCTCCCGATGGCACGACGACGCAAGTTCCTTCGTGGGGTCATCCACCAGGGCAGGCGGCCGGGATCGTTGGTGAAGCTGGCGAGCATCTCGCTGTACAGGTTCATGAAATCGCTGCGTCGGGACTGATCTAGCTGCTGTGCATCCAGGTCGATATCCATGGTCACGGCTCCGATGATGTCGAATGTGAGGGCAGTGGTCAATTTGTCCATGCGGACAATCTCGCCGCTTCGGGCATATTGATCAAGGTTTTCCAGGAAGCGAAACGACTTGTCCAGGATGGTGGGGAGAAGCGTTAAGAGGTGCTGCGGTGCGAAGCCTGGATTGAAGCGCTTTCGCAAGGCCTTCCACTCTTCATTCTGAAGGATTCCGTGTCAACTTTCATCACTGACACACACACACACACACAGATAGAGAGGGAGAGAGGAAGAGAGAGAGGCCACATGATTCTTTAGATATTTTCCCTTACCTCGGTAGCAAAGAGAGACTTCGTGCCAAGCAGAGGCAAGGTCTGAAGCACACTCGTCCTAGGTGTACTGTAAGGGAAGGTCTTGGATCCCTTGGCGATCTGGTCGGCCACCTCGTGATTTTGGATGACAGCCGTGGCAAACGGCGCAAAAGGGCGAATATCAAGCAACCAGACTGGTGGGCTGCCCAGACGCTCACCCATCCATTTGAAACCCAAGTCTGGGAATAAAGTTGGTCGGTCAGTCCATCAGTTAATAGTCTCATCCTCAACACCATGTATTTTTTTTATTTTTTTGAACTCAATGGAAAAGGAGCGTCAGTACCAGGATGGCGATCTGGTTCTCCGTTCGTCGCCCACTCCTGCACCTCCTTCATGTTGCCCCACAGGAGGGACGGTGGTCTCTGTGGTAGAGAGGCATACTGCTGGAAGCGATGATATCGCAACCTATTGTAGAGGAAAACGGCAAGGAGCCCGGCTCCCAACAGAATGAGTGGCAGCATGATTGAGAGTGAGGTATTTGCATACAACTTTGACGGACTGAAGATTGTATAGAGAAATCTTGGCCGTCTGCATCAGGTCAGTACCATGGCAGCACTACTTCGTGTTGTTCCAGACCATAAGACGTAACAACGTCTTATTCCCCATGTTCTTCTCTAATCTTAAGCCCTTGTCATCATGCTTACTAGGAAATTCTGGGTTCCATCCCCCGCACCGGGATTGGAAAAGCAGCCTAGAGGATAGAGGATTCTCATCCTCGTCAGACCCGCCACTTAATACATCTCGTACAGTACGGATCTATGTCTTGTCTGACAGTACGCTGTACCGTCCATGTACTGAATACTCAAGTGTAAGCAGAGGACAAGCTAGTCCCACCGAAGTCGGCAAAGAAACCTTTCGCAGCCTTTTCAGGTGAGAGCCGCAAATCTAGAGCCACCAGGATGAGGGAACCGAGAATTCCCCTCGCACTATCTTTTCGTTTCTCATCAAAGTCACGGTCATCTAGAGTCATTGGTTGTATTTCAACCCATCTACTTGACTCAATGCAAGGCTCGTCAGGATGACCCATCAGAACGTGGACTCTCCTTCACAGGTATGGGACAAACTATCGAAGCTTCTCCCTACTCGCGAAGTCGATAGTGAATTTTGGTGGCAGCTCACGGGACGGCACCTTGCCATACTGGTTGATGCTGCTGGTTATTCGTTGGAGAGGCAGTATGAAGCCTTGTTGTTCCATTACCACTGGGCCGTAAGTAATAGTCCTGACCACCAACTCACCCAAAATGCCTCGTGAGCAATAAGTATCTCTAACTCGGACATTTTTAAGGTGTCCCATATGGGCCGGAAACCCTCACCTTCAGGCGAGCTGCAATACAAATCAGCTATCACGATAGAAGGTTCTCCAATAGAATACTCGTGGAAATGGAACAAGCGGTCACCCACCAGCCAACCGGACATCCGCTATTCCCTTGAGCCCATCGGCCCCGTCTCTGGGACAACACAAGACCCAGAGAACCGGCAGGCCGGGACCAAGCTTGCCCGTCGCCTCGCAGCAGCGTTTCAGGCTGACCTGACCTGGACGGACCACTTCCTTTCCACCTTGTTCGACCAAGGCCAGCACCAGAGGGCATTGGAGTTGGCTGAGGCTGGCACGCCAACCGGAACCACGTTTGCCGTGGCAGCTGAGTTCGTTCCCAGCGGCCTGGGTTTTAAAACATACTGTGCGCCACGTGCCGTGACTCCGCCGTTTCTACCTCATATAGAACTGTTTACGCCCTCTTTGAGACAACTACATCCCACAAGCCCTGCCCGAGACGCTCTCCTGGACTTTCTATCTTCAGGACCAGAGGGGCAGGCGCTGATGCCCCTCATGGTCGCTGTTGATGCCGTATCATCAGCCAAGTCACGGTTGAAATGGTACTTTATGACGCCACACACCAGCTTCGCGTCGGCACGCGACATCATCACCCTGGGCGGGCGGCGGCCCAACATGGACAAGACGGTAGAGGAGGTACGCACTTTGATTCATGCGGCCGTGGGGCTGCCTGCCGGTTTCTCAGACAACGAAGAGCTTCCCAGCGCCCCGCGGCACGACCCAGCCTCTGACAAGTATGCCGGGGAGGCACCGAATTCACCGCCAGGACTGATCTATTATTTCGACATCCAGCCTGACAAACCGCTGCCGGAGGTGAAGCTGTATGTGCCCGTGTGGCGGTACGCAAGCGATGACCTCAGCGTCGCCCGCCGCACCGTAGAGTGGATGAAAGAGCGAGGACGGGGTTCGTATGCAGACCGGTTCCTAGGCATGCTGGAGAGGTTGGCCGATCACAGGGCCCTGTCAGATGGTTCCGGCCTGCAAGCGTCTGTGAGCTGTGTTTGCAACGAGGGAGACGAACTTGACGTTACAACATATCTCACACCCGAGGCAAAGCATGCAAAGCGTTGGGCAAACGGATCGAGCAATTGAATAGTTCCCTATTCTTATTTATGATGTGACTCTGCGTAGACTGGCTCCTTGGAAAATTTTATAGGACTTCTCTGGAACATATAGCTGGCGGGAGGTACTTTTCAAGAAAGACATTATTCTAAACGATTTCCCTACTCTGTAGGATCGACTGTAACTTATCATTTGTTAAACGAGTAACTGCTTATAGTACTGCATATCTACAGGAGCTGTGGCGTCAGTCTCGTGGGTTTTACCAAGTAGCAACAGACATCTGTACCACATGTCAACCGGAGACCAGTTTGTTGACAATATCCACGACGCTCTGTGTTGCACTAAAGTTGGGGCAATGAGCAGTCTCCCAACGTAAAGACCTGCACTTCCCGACCAGCCTTTTCAGCGCCCTGGATCATATCCAGCTGTTCGGCAGTGGAAATCGACAAATCTTGCGTGGTGCGAATGTAGCTGGCCGGAATCTCTCTCCAGGCAGCGTGCTCGGAGGCCTGGAAAATGGCCTGTCCATTCCAGCGACACAGAGTTTGGACATAGCTCTCTGCTTCCGTCTTGTCGTCCTCTACAGATAGGAACATCCCTTTGGGGTTGCGAACGGTCATCGTATGGTCCTCAGCCGTGTCAAAGCCAACAAAGGATTCGGGATTGCCAAATTTTTCAAACTCATCGAACGTGGACATGCCCTCCGGAAGGAGGTAGACCGCCATGTAGAGCAAGCTGGACACGCCGCCTTTGAGTCCCCTGAAGGAGCGTGCCTCGATGCCCAGCCCGTACAACGCGTTGGACATGACATGTGCTCCGTAGGAGTGCCCGATGGTGATGACTGTGTGCCCAGCCTGGACCAGGCTGTCGACTTTGTTGCGAACAAGTTGTGAGTCGTCAATGAAGTTGGCGTTGGGTGGCCGTGACCCATTTGTCGTGGGCATTCGCGGGACGTGGACTTTGTAGCCGCATGCCTCAAGTGCAGCGGTGAGTTTCCCGTAACTCGTGGGCGTATGAAAAGCCACCACCAACAATGACGATCGTTGGCTTAGAAGTAGAAGATATATTTATTGAGGATAAAGATGAGTTCCACTAGCATAGGAAATTGGGAGCGAAATTATCAAGACGAATCACAACAGCTGGTAGTCCAAATCCAGAAGATGTTGTGGCCGGGGAATAGGAAGAGGAGGAAGATTTCAAGTAACACTCGATAGAAAGGGGATGCGATGAGTACTCTTAGAGCTTGATTTAAATCCTCGGAAGAAAGCATCGTGTTCTGAGCTTGCGTCCAACGTGCAGGCCACGGGACAGACTGATGCGACCAGGAGCAAAAAATGTTCATTCAAAATTCAGTAAACCTTTCGTGGACTTTCCGCTGTTGGTTCGCAAATTCGCCATTCTACATTTTGAGAAAGAGAGTAGTGGGATCTTTACTAGGGGTGGGAGAGGACGGTTGGCCACATTTTGTGACGGTTGGCAGTCCTATTAGGGCTGCTACTTTGAACGTCGCCAGGCGATTCGTCGACAAATCTGAGCTATGGAAACACTTCCCAAAAGATTCACTGGCTATTGGCTTCGCGTCAGCTTATGGGTTCATTATCATCATATGTACTTTTTCATTAGCCTCTAATTCTTTTTGTTGGCTTGTTGAAGCTCGTTATCCGACGCGTCAGTTTCCTGCTACTATGAAGTACAGTACCTTACCAGCTTCGTCCCCTGTTGTAATCTTGAAAATGCCGTCGTTGTCATTGACATTAGAATTAGTTTTATTGAAAACCACCACATTGCCTAGCAAATGATTAGATACGGGGTTGATCAGCCCACCCATCTCTCGATCATACCCCGTAAACTACTCGACAATATCTGCTCTTGCGCCTCATCACCTAGAGTCCTGAGCCCCTGGAAAGGTCTCTGGTCTCTGATCTCATCTTCGGAGAACCATGCGCCATGTAGACCATACGGCACCCTTTGTGGCAATCTGATTCGAGCCACCACCTCCTTCATCGTTCTGGCATCAATGATCCAGAGCTCGCTGACAGCGTCATCATGACATTCCCCGGCGTGGTCCCCTGTAGTCTCGAGCTGGCTCTCGTCAAAGACGTATGTTAATAACCAGCCGTCATCCTCACTTTTACGCTCGCTCTCTCGACGGGGCACAAACCGCGCCTCTTGTGCATACCAGCCCTCCGGCATCCTGAACAGCTTTATGGGGTCGTCTGGGTCGTTGGCGGCCAGAATCTCAGCAACAGTTCTGGTGTCGACGCATCCCTTGATAGGCTGGGGAGGCTGCCGGACACCGCGATCGATGAGCGTCTGCACGTCGATTTTTGCGAGGTGATTGATCTTTGCGGCTTTTCCAAGTGCAACGGTGTAGGAGGCATCAGCGGTGGAGCAGCCGTAAATATACCGGGCCGATGCCATGGAATGATCTGGCGACATAGTGGGAAACTCAAACGATATAGCCGAGAGGGCCCACTGGTGGCGAGTCCGGTGTTCTGGCTCGTCACTCAGGTTGTCTGGAGAAAGGGGAAAGTTGTAATAGTAGAGTCTGCACTGCTCTTCCTCGGCGTACTCGGGAGGCACAGGCTTGACGGCTGGGGTGGGCAAATTTCCCGCGCTGAAGACCAGCGATGCGGAGGTCAGTCGACAGGCAAGAAGATGAACCGATGTCTTCTCTAGCTGGGCGCCGTTAATATCCAGCATCTTGGTCGTGGTGTCCCAGCAATTAGCTGTGTGGAAGATGACGCATGGGTTGGTCTCGAACCACTGTATACGGTCTGGGCTGTACCTGGGAAAGACTCCGAACCGTGATACACCCGCCGAGTCGTAGGACAGTACTGGGACGCCGCGGGCCAGGTTTGCTGGGTCCAAGGTGAGGGGGAGGTCGAGGATGACTGTATGGTTGCGAGATGCACCAAAATCGTGCATCATCTTGGGGGCCTTGACCCCTGGCACAGGCATCGAGAACCGTGCCGAGCCCATCGACGGTGCTCCAGACTTGGCACTCACACTCGACGGCGGTACAATGGAATAGTAACAAAACGGTCTGATGAAGACGGAGTGGAAGGCAATCATCTCTTTTGTGATCGGGTCGACTCGTGGGTGCGCAGTTGTCCACTCTTTCATAAAGGACAAGAGACCTTGCCCCCCAAACCCGCCCCTTGAGGCTGAGAGCTGGTGTGAGGGCTCGTTCTCGGCACTTTGTCCGTTGAACCAGCCTATCGTCTCCAGGCTCGGCAGGACAAAACGAAGCGGCGGCCCGCTCTCACAGAGAGCTAGCGCCCGGCCGTCGTGGAAGATGACAGACGTATTTGCGACGCTGATCTTCTTGATGGGATATCTTGCCCTGTAGAGATGAGACAACATCACAAGGATGATTGTTCTGAGTACGGACCAGATGATGGTGAAGATGCCTGCGCAAGGATTGACAAGCGTCGCTATACTCGGCAGGACAGGTCGTCTCAGGGTTCCATCCGAGGTCGCACAGGCATCTCGGCGGTTGCCAGAACTTCTCTTTGCGTAGGCGTACACATCCGTCACAAGGAACTGGTTGACAAACTCAGGCTGAATGAGTGTTCCCTTCTCACCAGTCCTGTGAAACAGGACGCCGCTGAGCATTCCATCGCCATCGAACCAGTGGGCGTCGCGGCCAAGATCATCATTTGTCACCGGATTTCCCCCATTACGCACGTACTGTCCACCGCCCAGGTCATGTGGGATGGACCCTGTGTACGTACATGGCGTGAGAGGTGTTGTTTTCTGAACAGGCGCGAAATTTCCGGATAGGTATCTGCAAAGATGTTAGACGGTGTTATTACTAGAGCTATCGAGGCTGAGCTAGATCTCATGCAGGCTGTAGCACAATATCTCTAATGACAAAGGGAAGATTGATCCAACTTACGGGTGGCGGTGCTTGGGCGCATCATATTGTGGCTCGTTCTCCGCAAGCAGAGCCATTGCCCTCAAATGTGAATCCCCAAGTCGCAAGAGACGATGAATTCATCAGTGCCTGCTCATGTTCTCATGGCTATGTGTGATTCAAAGGCTGCGTATGTCGACGAATGTGTGATTGCACACGTCCACCAAGAAAAGATGTCGTCGTTGTTTCTTTATGATGATAATGATTGGGCGAAACGTAGGGCAGAAGGCGTTGGGTTTTGTCTCAGCGTAGCCTCAACTTTAGAAGAACCAAAAGGAGAAGAAAAAACCAGCAATCGTTTCACGTGTGCTGAATACATCAGGATACATCAGTTTTCGTAAAAAGTACTGTTCCCTGGCAAATTGTGTGTGTAATATCGTAGTCGTCGGTCGACAAGGGGGGGGTTGTTGTATGACCTCATCCCCAACTGAATGTTATTTCCGGTACTTGGCCAGCGGGTTTCATTGGCAAACGGCAGTAGTTCTCGACCACACCAACCTCGGCCTACAGTGCATGCGCGGTGTTCTCGGATCCTTGAGCCGTTCAGTTGACCAGGTGACGCACGAGACTTTTCCACCAACCTCTTGCCAGAAGTCTGGGCAGGGGACAAGCTTGATGAATTGTGGAAGGGAACCAGCTCCAGGATGCGACGAATAAAGTGCTTGGCTGTGGTCGAAATAAGCTTCAGGATTCCCTTCCCAATTCTTGGCCATGGACCAGCCTGCTGCCGGCTTTGCTGATGTACGATCATGACTACTGAATACTGGACTACACAGTCCTATGGTACGTAGTGGATGAGAATACCCGCACACCTTGAGCGGCCTGATCCGCCTGGAACCTGTGCCGTGTGTGCTGCACCGTCTCCACAAAAAGAATTTATGTACCGTAGTACTTACTGTACATGCATATATCAATGACTATGTAATTTCGCAAAGGTAGGCAAGGGGTGGCGTCTGGCTGTATGTACCTCTTCCGATGCCGAGGATGGACCGTTGCATTGGGGAACATGGTCCAGATCTCATCTTGCTCTGCCGGATCTAACCTCCCAACTGCGTCCCTCTCCCTTGGACCATGCAACCTCGCAAACTCCTTGTGGACCGCACCAATGACAGTGCAATTAGTTCAGGAAGATACGTGATCCGACCAAGCTAAGTTGACATGACGAAACGCTTCACATCAAAGGGCTTAGTCAATGCTTGTTCAAATTGAAGAGTTACAGTAGACACAGGGGAGGGATCGGGAACTAATAACGTGTGGCCGTTGGTTTGTTGATCCTAAGTTTTTCTTTTCTTTCATATGGGAAGACGCGCTAGTAGAACGTCTACCGACAGAAAAAAAAAGTCATGAGATCATCGAACCCGATTTCGTGTCTGACAACCTCGCTTGTAGCGCAAATGAGACAGACACCGCATGAGCCCAGCTAGAATAGGCAAGACTTGAGAGGAAATGCTCCGTTTCCCGCAAGTCCATGTGTATCGAAGAGACATACATCTTGGACTGCTTGTGTGATCTTCACTTTCGGCATGGGCCTCTCCTCCTGTGGGGTGGTATTGATCACTTACACGGACTTTGATATGGCTGGTGTCTGTGACCATGTGCTCAGGCAAGTTCCTTCGATCGGCGCCTCTCGCCTTCACCGACTTTTGATGTTGATGTTATTGTTCCTTTTTTTTTTCTTCTGTTTCTAGTGAGTTCAACATGATTCTCCTTCCTCGCAAGAATCAATGGGCTTGAACAGTAAAGAAAACAATAAAGTCGTCTCCGCAAATAGCAGTGTCTCACCCAACCGAAACATAACATTGGCACTCCTGAAAAAATCCCCCTTAGCATCTGCACCTACAAATGTCAAGAGGCAATGTATATCCATCCACCCCTCCTCTCGCCAACCAGTGCTTGGGTACTACTCCTCTGTCGTCTCAAGGGTCTCCTCACAAAGAACGTACATACTTATTCATCGGCAGCCAATACTTACTATCCTGGGCTCTCCACCGGCGTACACAGACGTCATGACCTCTCCGAGCATGCCGCAGATGAACTCTTTCCCCTGCACCCCCTGAGCGCCTAAAATGTCTTAATATCACCCACGCCTCAAGGGAGGAGACAGGGAGAGTAGCTTAGTATCTTAGCACCATTATTGAAAATCGACTACGGGAGAAAACAGTCCTGGGATCTATGTTGGGGGGGGGCATGGATGATCTCATTCTACCATAGTACATGTACTACGTAGTGACATACCACCCTCATCACGGCACGAGCAGTTGATTCAAATAGCCATCTCCTCCTCCTTCTTTTCAATCTTGATATTGGTTTGTTTATTTTGTCTCACCCGTCACCATCTAGCCTTTCGTCCTCCCACAAAATACGTTAGAACGTCTTCCCGGCGTGTCTGATACTTCTTGGGGAACGTTGTACAACCTCATCTTTTCACCTTCAGCATCAACACAACCGCAAATAAAACACCAAAAACAAGACCTCACGATAACTTTACACAATGTCTGGGAACCAGGCATTGAACGTTAATAGTGTGGTGGCACAACATGCCGACCTCGAAATTACCGTCCACGCGTCAGACTGGTACTTTGCAGTGTGCGCTGTGATGGGCGTCTCGACCCTCGTCTTCATGGGCATGGCGATGACCAAGCCTCAGACACATCGCCTCTTCCACTACATTACTGCTGGTATCACGGCTGTGGCCTGCATCGCCTACTGGTCCATGGGTTCTGACCTGGGTCAAGTCCCCATCCAGGCCGAGTTCATCCGACCCGGCACCATCACGAACGCCGCCGGCACGCGGGAGATCTTCTACGTTCGATATATTGACTGGTTTGTCACGACGCCTCTCCTGCTCACCGACCTCCTCCTGACGGCCGGCGTTCCGTGGCCTACGCTCTTGATCACCATCCTGGCCGACGAGATCATGATCGTCACCGGTCTGGTCGGCGCCCTTACCCAGACCTCGTACAAATGGGGCTACTGGGTCTTTGGCATGTTCGCCTTCTTCTTCGTCGTGTACGAGCTTGTCGTCGACGCCCGCCGCCACGCCAGTGCCCTCGGCGGTACCATCAGCTCCACCTTCGTCCGATGTGGTGTCCTGACCATCTTCCTCTGGTTCCTGTACCCCATTGCCTGGGGCCTGTCCGAGGGTGGCAATGTCATCCACCCTGACTCCGAGGCCATCTTCTATGGTATCCTCGACATCTTTGCCAAGCCTGGTTTCGGCATTCTCCTCCTGCTTGGTCACAACAAGATTGACCCGGCCGCGCTTGGCCTCACTATCCGCCAGGCCGACCACACCCGTGAGAAGGCTTCCCACCCGACCACCGGTACGTACGACAATGCGCACAATGGAACTCACAACGGTACTCACACTGGTACCCACAATGGCACCCATAATGGTACCTCTGCCGTGTAAGGACTCTGCTGAGTTAGGAGGATATGGCCCACGCGTGAGCTGGTTGGCGATGAGTATGGTGGGAGTGAGTTGAGTTGAGTCAACAACTCGTGATTGGATGCGTTTTGATTGAGGCAATTGGCTTTAGTATTTGTTAAGGCCAATTCGTGGTCTCTTTTGTTGCTTGCTCTCTTAATATTAATTATCAGGGTGACTGGATCTGCAAGTCTGTGGATGGTGCTGTTATGGATGCGGCCGTCACGGTGGGATTTTTTGGTTGGTGTCTGGGATTGGAGTAGCAATTGTCGTACTCTAGCAAGTTAGTTGCATATCATGTTTCGACTATGCGATACTTCAAGGTTCAGCCTTTTCAATTGTGAAAATAACTTTATCATTACGAATATGATGATTGCCTCAAAAGTGCATGTCGTTACAAGTTTAGAAGTCAAAAGTCATGGACAAAATGAAGTCGCACCATGACCACCTCACATTCCGATTGGGTGACAACACTCGCCACTGTATTGTCTCTCTAAATTGGCATGCCTACTGCTCTTCCACAGCACGCGGCGCCCTATTATCTTGCCCACTCGCAATGCCGCAATCGCTGCCGCCCTAGGTCAAGCGTCTTTCGTACATATACATAGACTGATAGGGGAGGTTTTTGAACACAATCACTGCAGCGCTCTATTGCAATATTCTTTCAAGGCCTTAATATGATCTTAGTTGGGCCAATGTGGCAACAAACTGAGATAACCTTTTAAGGTACCACGGGGGGCCTGTTCGTCCTGGCATCGGAAGCCGATCATCGAGCACCAATTTGCTGGACTGCAGCCATCCACTTCTGCTCGTCGATTCTATGTAGGTATGAAATGTCAGCAAGCAGTATGAGTGGGTGACAAAACCAGCAAATGTTAAATAATATGGTCAGACGGCAAGTCAACTCACTTGTCAAACCTCAAGAGTTTTCCCAGGACAGGTACCAGCTGCGATCGCAGCTTGTTGTCCTTCTGCTCCAGGAACTGGAGCAGGATGGTCTTGAGATACACAGTATCTGGGCCAGACCCACCACCGGCAGCACCATTGCCTCCCGCCAAGACACCAGACCTGTTGGAGTCCATGGAACTGCGTACTGTCGGGCTGTTGACGCCGGTGGCGCTCAGCTTGGCCTGCACTGACTTGAGCTCTTTGGCCAGCTTGTCGTAACGAATCCTGTAGTCGTCGAGTGACCGTCGCAGGTCATTCTTGGCTTTTTCGGCGTCTCGGACCTGCTGCTCTGACGCATCAAGAGTTGCGCGCAGATTTGTCACGGTGGAGCGCATCTCGCTGACCTCGGCATCTGCCTTGGACTCGACGGCCTCGAGCTCCTCTCGGCGCCGCCGCCATTCTCTCTCCTTGTGGCCCAGCTCGTCCCTCTCTTCGGCCAGGGTCTTGCTCTCCTTCTCGAGCTCTCGCACGCGCTGCTTCAGTTCCTCGAGCTGGCGGTTGTGGCGCCTGGACGAGGACAGCATTTCATGCTCGAATTTATCGCGCTCCTTCTCAGCCTCCTCAAGGCGGTCTTGCATCTCACGCGATTTGCTATTGGCACGCTCGTCGGCCTCGGCAAGCAGGCGGCGCATGGTCTCAGCCTCGCGCGTGCGTTCACCGAGCAGCTTGCGACACTCGGTGATCTCTTCCTCTAGCGATTCAGCTTGCGATTGAGACTCCTTCAGCTGGATGCTAAGCTCATGTGTCTGGTCGCGCATGCTGCCTAACAGATTCTGCGCATTGGTGTATTGTGATGTCTTGAGCTCTGCCTCCTCGCGAAGAATCTCCTGTTCCTTGCGCAGCTTGGATGCCTCCTCCTCGAGATCCTTGACGCGTGGACGGAGCTTGGTCATCTCCTCCTGTAGCCGCTGCAGCTCACGGGTCGCCTTTTCTTCTTTGGCGCTCAGCTCAATCTTTTCATTCTCTGCCCTTCGCAGATCGCGACTCGATACGCGCTGAGCCGCTTCGAGCCGCTGTCGATTGCTGGTCTCCGTCGCGAGCTCGGTACCGCGTTCTGTAGCGAGCCGTCGAATTTTCGTGACTTCCGCCTTCAGTTCCTTCTCGCGCTTCTCCAAAGTCTGAAGCTCCACTGTCTTCGCAGCCAGCTCTTCCTTGGTAGACTTGAGGGTGGCTACCTCCTGCCGCAGACTCTTGAGTTCTGGCTGGGCCTTTTGCAAGACATCACGGAGTTCTGTCAGGTCCTTGTACCTGCTCTGAGCCAGCTGCTGTGCGGCACCGAGGTCCGACTGTAATGTTGCGGACCTCGTTGTGAGATCGTCAAACTCCTTCTTCAGCGAGTCGAAGTCCCCCTGCAATTTTTGGTTCGACTCCGTAGAGGCCGACGATGACTGAAGCTCCTTCTCCAGCTCAGTAATTCGCTCCTGTAACTCCTTCTTCTCAGCTTCTAGGGCCTTGATTTTGTCCTTGGCATCGACATGGTCCTGGCCGATGTCCAGCAGATTCTCACGCAGCGTCTCGATTTCTTCGCGCAGATCCTCCTCGGTCTTCCGCTGTTTGGCAAGCCTATCAATCTGCCCGTCTTTGTCCGCAACGTCTTGTTTCAATGTGTCAATCTCAGCCTGCAGTTCGGCCACCGTGGGACCCGAGCTCGACGATACTGGACCCTGCGTTGACGCCTCTTCGCCACCAGGTGTCGGGGTCTCTGTTGTGGCGGTTGCCACACCTGCACCACCAGCGCCACCCTTCTTCTTCTTCTTGTTCTTCTTCTTGGACGAGGAGGTCGCTTGTGTTGACGTCGAAGGAGGTTCAGGGGCTTCTGAGGGCGCAGGCGTGAGAGGTGACGCCTGGAGCTGCTGTTTAAGCTCTTCAATTTTCTGCTCGTTTTCCAGCTTAGATTGTCTCAAGGCTTTGATCTCTGTGGTCAGGTTGACAATCCGGTCATCGAGCGCAGCCTTGGCCTCGGTGACCTTCTTCAGCCCGCCCTCCAGCTCTAATTGCAGGGAGCTCGTCTCGGCCAGCCTCTCCTCCTTCTCCTTGATGGCAGCTGCGGTTGCGCCTTTCTCATTCTCGAGCTGGCTTTGTAAATCCTGGAGCTGCGTTTCGGCGGTCTCGAGACGATCTGTTAGGGTCTTGATCTCGATGTTTCTGGCGTTGACTTGCGCTTCAAGGGAGTCCTTGATGGCCGAGTTGTCGCGGAACTCGCTCAGCTCCCTTGTTGCCTTTTCCAGATTCTCAACTAAGCCGGCACTGTTTTCTTTGGCGGTCGACAATTCTTCCTTGAGATTATTAACTTCGGACTGGAGCTTCTCGATCTCCCCATTCTTGGTTTCGACCTCGGCCTGTAGCTGCGGAATTTCATTGTCGTAGGAGAAGAAGTCCTCGCCCGCCTCCCCTTCGGCTTCTCCATCTTGAGCCGGTTTCTGCTTGGGGGAGAAGATGCCCAGGACAGACTGGACAGGCGATTTTACAGTAGAGGATGGAGGGGAGGCTTGGGTCTCGGCTTCCACCTTGTCTGCTCCCCCAACATTTGTTTCTGTCTTCTCAGGACCCGCGGGCTCCGGGACAGCCTTGACGGCCTCGAGAGCAATAACCTTCTCCTTAAGCTCCGTAATCTCCTTGTCGGCGGCATCGTGTTTCTTCTTGAGGTCTTCCTTCTCGGCAGAGACCCTCTTGAGCTCATCCATGACCATGTCTGCCTTGAGGTTCAGCTGGTTGAGGTACTCGATGAGAGCGTCGGGATCCTTAATCGACGTCAGGGGGGTATTTTCTCGCAGTGCTCGTTCGAAGGGCTCGATCGAGGTGGCACGACCATGGGCAATACGGTAAGACCGAAGCAGCTCTGCGAACAAGAGGATCAGCTGGAATTCTACCTTGTCTAAGACATCAACGGTAGACTAACCTGGATATGTCGCTTCCAACTTCTCTAACTTGCGAAGTTTTGCGCGAACTTCGACGGGGAGGTCGGGCACAGCTTGTTTGGGCGGAGGGACAGGCCTGTCCTCGCCGGCTTGCTTCTCGTCCAGGCCCTCGTTCTTCTCTGGATCCTTGCCACTGTCGCCAGACCCGGTGTCACCCTTCTCGTCTTTCTTGCCCTCGGCTCCGTCATTATCTGCATCCTCTGCATCCTGAGATGGCTTCTGGTCGGAGACTGGAAGCGGAGTCGCCGCCCGGCTGGGCTCGTCATCGTCTATGACAAATGCAGCCTCGAAGACTGCTGGGTCAGGATTAACAACGGCAGAGTCGGATTCCTTGGAGCCATCCTGAGCAGGCTTCTTTTGCCTAGGTTTTCGGCCTGCAGCAGTAGATGCGCCACTGTTGCTTCGTGATACAGAAGGTGCCTGCCTTGAATGACCACCTTGCGCTTGGTCTGACGCGTAAGCCCTCTGTCGAGCCTGTTCCTCTGCTATTGTGCGATCAATTGCGCCTTTGATCCTGGAAAACATGGTGATTGATGGACTGAGAAGTCATGTATGTCGATCGTCAGATGGTAACAAGGAGAATAAGATGGTAAGAAGGTATTCGGCACTTTGCAAAGGCTCAAGGTTGGGTTAGGATTGGGTTGCTTCTATTGAGGTTGGCAGGGCATTGTAGTACTTGTGCACAACAACCATTGATCATCAGCGCACTTCGAAAGTATCTCATGAAAAGAAAGTGAAAAATGAAGAATTCAGGATTGATTCAGGGATTTGATTGAAGAAGCACAGGGAGGAAGCCACAAAAAAAAAAAAAAAAGAAAGCAAGACGCCGTTGCTGGTGCCCCGAACTGCAGGATAGAATACAGCCTCAAACTCTTTGAGGCCAGCAAAGTCCCCAAAACACAAGTGAGCACATTGTGGTTGTCATTAGCTGTGACCAGGGTCTAGTCAGCCCAAAGTACCTGTGCACGGCTGTGGTGCCGGGGCTGGCAACTCCTTACAAGTTTTCAACAGGAGATCACAGAAAGACACGTACAGTTGAGCTGCATCTTCAGGGTTGCATTGGTAGGGGTAGTGGGGTTGCCTAGGCCTAACATAAACGCAGTCTAGGGCCAGAGTGCCCTGCTAGTACCTATTTATTATGTACAACCTTGCGTGGCACGGGTCTTAGCTACCCATGGGCCATGAGGTCAGAGCCAGAGCTCTAATTTCCACGTCTATTTGCCTGATAATGTGATGTGCATGTGCCTGGTCTGCCACATTTCCTAACACCAAGCTGCGTCACCCCAAACAACATCGTCACCAACCACGCTGCCTGCAGACTCTAGTCTGCAAGGCCAGCAAGGCAACCATCCTTTTTGCAACTGCATGACGGCCCTTTTGTCCCTTACCTTCATCAACTGAATACAAAGAAAGTGCTTCTGCTCTTCCCCACAAACTTTAACCTGGCCTGAAACTTTGGCAGAATCTTGCACTGTCCAGCGCCCCCTTTTCTGAGACAACAAGTACAGCTGGCATAAGGAGGACACCCGTAACAATGGTGTCCCTCTGGCCGTGGAAGGTAAGTTGCTGCAGTCTGCTTTACATTGCTCTCCCCCAGTGCTATCTATCAACTCTGACCATCTTCGTTTGCAGCAGGACAACTCGTCCCCAGCTTCCTTCGAAAGAACCCTGTCTGCACTCTCTGCAAAGATTGCAAACACTCAAGCCAGCCTCGACAGAACAAGAGCCTCCTCACGACGTATTAGGGTCCTCGGGACTCTCTATCTATCTTTTGCCTACCTGGTTTATGCTGTTGTGGCCTTTCTTGTCGTGGGCTGGAACAAGATGGGAGTCTATGAGTGGACAGGAATGGCTGGTGGCCCCGTGCTGTGAGTCGGACACAATGTTGATGCAATGCTAGCAACAAGTCTGTCAGGCCTGTCACTGACCAAAAAGTAGGATCTACCTTGTTCGCACTATTTCTTCGACCGTCTACGAACTCCGCATCGAGACCTTGACCACCCGGTTGAAGGGCCAGCAGGCCGAGCGTGCCAAGACGATTCAAAAGTTGAAAGATGCTACAAGGTACGACTCGACCCTAGAGTTGCTGGAGAAGTACGGAGGCGGCGAGGGAAAGCCCAAGATCAAGAGAAAGTCCACTGGGGACCGTCAAGAGGAGGGGACAAAGAAAAGCCCTGGGGCCAGCCAGAGACAGAACACAGGCACACCGAACCGCATCTACATGGCCCCTCCGCCTACGGCGAACATACAAAGCCACAAGATGGGGTCTCCCAACCCAGGGATGCCGCAGCAGCAAGAAAAGGGGCCATTCATCCATACTCCGCAGCAACAACAACAACAGCGCCTGCCTTCGCCTGACGGGCGAATGGACCTTACCGCCGAATTCTCTCCGAACGCCTTTGATCACCCCAGACCACCCCAGGTCGCTGGGACACAGTACGAGGTGGCTCCGACCGGTCTACAAAATCATTGGTACGATAGGATCATGGATCTGCTGCTTGGGGATGATGAGACGGCAGCCAAGAATCGCTTCGTCCTCATCTGCAAGCGGTGCCGCCTGGTCAACGGCCAGGCCCCACCAGGAACTACCAGTCTGTCGGACTTGGGCATGTGGAAATGCATGGGCTGCGGCACCATGAACGGTGAGGTGGACGAGGGTAAGAGGCTCGTCAAGGAGGTCCTGGGCCAACAGATGGAGCAGGACTCCCTGACAGATGGCGGGCACGACGATGGAGATTCGAGCGATGTGGCTGAAAGTCAGAGCGAGAAGGGACCAATCGAAGGCGATGATGCCACGGCACCGAAAGAGGAGGCAATCAAAGAAACACCAGTGGCCAAATCGAAGGGAAGGAGCAAAAAATGAAACCAGCACCGCGGAACTGACTTACACAACGAAAAACGAATCTAGGAAATAACCATAGCCTATCGAGAACTTTTGGCTCCTGGTTCTACACTCACATTGTTCTTTACTTAGTATGCAGTCAATCCATATCCCCTCCTGGCGCCATGCCTCGCCACCCCTCAGCTGCACCACCACTCCCTGCGCGTGTCAGCGTGTCAGGCATCGTCGAGGGACCCATGAGATATTTATACTGCTACTTAGTGGGCCGCTTGGACTGGTCTGCCCTCCCACATCCAAGATCTCTTCGTTTCATTCCGTTTCCGCACTGCCATACCCCCTCGACCTTTCTGCTCTGCAATTCAGGTCTCTTTCACAGACTGTTACGGTGATGAAGAAATGTGTGACATGGGCCTCACAGGCACCGAGCTAGCAGTATCCCAGGGGCAGGTGTTGATGAAGCCAAAGAGGATTAGCTCTTGCATCGGTAGCAAGGAGAACTCTCTTTGGCGTCTGGGTAACAGTGCCCGAACCTCTGAGAGCTGAGTAAACCATGACAACGCACTGGATGGACACACTTTGGTATGGTAGGAGGGTCGCACAAGCTTGCAGGCGATACAGATGGATTTTATATTGGTAGAAAGCAATACTGGGGAAAGAATAACACAGAATGTTCAAGAATGGTTTCGCGAATGCTCTGTCTCCATGAAGCTGCCCTGATCTGCTCAAGTCTGAGGCTTGGCCCACCAGCGAACCATTCTTTGGCTCCCCTGTGTCTGTTTTCGTAGCACTATTTTGTTCTCTCAGCCTCTCCTAGCAACTCCCCCATGCCAAAAGCCTCCATTTCTCCAGGCTCGGGAAGGGCTTCCTATGAGTACCGGGCAAGATAGGAGCTTCACCGGCTGGATCATAGCAAGTGCAAGTATTGCTGGCGGACATATGCCCCGAGCAAATGCCAGCTCGTTTCGTTCGACCCAGGGCGGTATCTTCAGCTCGGGAATATCAGCAGCGGAGGCTTAAGGAACCTCATAAGGCTCTATGGAGGATTCACCGCCTATGCGGGCCGGCTCATATTCCTAGTCTGCCTTCCTTCAAGTTATGAAGTATTGTTTTAAGAGGCTAGGATGGGGGTAGGAGGCTCCGACGACCCAGCGGTCAAGACTTGACCTGGCGGAAGAGTTCTGTGACCATCCCGTGGTTGCGGTCGGGGAGCATCGTGAATATCAAATTGAAACGTTTCCGAGAAGCAGGGTCTCAAATACGAGGTGTTTGATCAGTGTCATCCCTGCGTCTATGAAGATTTGGGCCCCTTGTTGGACAGGACTGTTCAGGTGTGATAAGAATATACTGTCACGCCTCTGTTATGCCTCGTTACTTACACAGCATGAACCAAGGCTGCCAAAGCAGACCTCGAAAGGCGGACATGATCTGACGGGCAGAGGAGCCGAAAGACCAGGGGTTCCTGCTTTATTTAATTTGTTATTATTATTATTAAGTTTTTGTTTCTTTTGGCGCTGACAAGGCTGAGGTCTCTCGCCACGATTAGTTACCGAGACCCCAGACGTCGATCTCCATGCTGGCCAAGATGCAATCTGCATCTGATAGCTGATGCCTAACGTTACAGGCTTGCAGGTCGTCGCATGTCATACGAAAGAGGGGGATTTGGCTGCAAATGATCCGCGTGCGACCGCATAAATTGAGAGTCAGAGGAGTGATCCCTTGAGTTCGATGTTCAATATCTGTTACATGTCTGTGGCGCCATTTGGAGTGTCTTGAAGTACTTGATATATTTCATGCGACCACTTCATTCAACACCATCTGCAGACACCTGACCGAGAAGTCGAAACCCTGTATCGTGACGCGCCGTTCCTCCCATCCCCTCCCCCTTCAGACAGCAGAACGCCCCGACCTTGCATGAGTCCAATCGGAGAAATCGCATGTACGGGCCGTCGCTGGGCTGAAGGTTGCTACTGTGGCATCTTTACCGCGGGATGACAAGGCGAAGACCGCCCAGCAGGACTGAGAGCCGGGCCGTTGGGAGGGCAGAGTACCAGCGGCCTGGGAATTAGCCTCGAGGCTAAGAAGAAGAAAAAAGGAGCCGCAGCAAACTTCTGTTGTATTTCCTGTATTATGTTTTGCAGGACAAGATCTTATCGCGAGCATCCGTGGATCCCGCCACCCTTAATCGGGATTGAGAGCGGTGTATGCTTGTGGGGGGGTGTGTGTGTGTGAGTGGGTGGGTCGTCAGGTTGGTGGGAGCGTGTGAGTGGGTGAGTGGGTGTATCGGTTCATAGACCGGTAAAGTACTGTGGCACGTCTATCTCAAGACAGGGTGAGCAAGCCGGAAAGGTGGCCCGAGGACGTGGGCAGTGGCTCACGCGTGAGATGCAGTTTAGCCGCCATTTCTCCGCTGTACGTGTTGTAAGCGGGATCTGCCATACCTAGGTACTTGGTACAAGTAAGCACCCATAGCAAGGCTCAAGGCTGTTAGACCCGACGGATGTGTCGATTAAAGAGGAGTACTCCGGCTGGCATGATCTATAACACACACGCCGAGCACACTGTGGTAGTATACGCCATGCCTTGAAGGTTACGTTCGGGTAAAAGCACCTAGACAGTACATGGCGGGTTTCGTGCCTACTGCATGGAATGTGACGAAGATGGTGAACCGAGATCCAGGAGCAAATGTCACGACATATGGCGACACATGGGACGGTAAGGAGCTGCGCGCAGATTGGAGGAATATATTTCTGGCCTCCTCCCACTCCAGCTTTGCCGATACGAAGAATGCACCACCTGGAAACCATTCTCTGTCTCTTGGGCGACGCTGACGAGCATTATGTCCAAACAGTAGTGTGTTCCTTATGAAAGACGGGACTCCAGCTCCGGAATTCTCAGTCCAATGGGATATGGCGGAGAATAATTTATCACGGCTCAAGTCATGCTTACATTCATTCAGCCGTTTCGTTCTAATGTACGTATGGTGTGCCGTCCTCGTTGTGATTGCTCAACTGTGCAATGGTCGACAATGATTTGATGTAAATGATAGTGCCAGCTGATGAGGCTTGTATACATGTTCCATGTATGATACAGATGGTAGTACACAAGGTACATGAGATCTATTTCGTGCTGTTACCATAGTACAGTAGCGTCACACTTCACCCCTCCTGGGCGGAGGTGGAAGTCTAGGCCGCAGTCCAGCTACAGGAAATTCGCCGGAACCTATAGGAGGGCAGGGTCTTCGGGGTCAAGCATCTACCTTGGGTCCATTTGGAGCCCCGGATCTGACGGCCTGGCGGGCTGACGGGCCGTGGGGTGGTGGGGCTCGAAGGCGTGCTGAACGTGCTGGTGTAACTCTGGTGGGCCCTGAAACTAGTTCACTGGGCCGTACAACCGCCTCAGTACCTGCTGATAAAACACCTCGTGGGATGGAGATTGATTCAGCAGCATGGGGCAGCGAGTGAGAAGCAGCTGAGGGATGAACGAATACATGTCACGAGTGGTAACATCTCAGGACCATCATGCAGGGCGGAATATCGTTCCGTGCATGATTCCTTATTCTGAGGTACTTACTCCCCCGCCACCCCCCTGCGATGAGACGAGAGATAAATAAATAAATAAAAATGGGTGTGAACAGAGGGGGGAAAAGAACGAGAAAAGACCTTCCATGATTAGATCCATCACTAATACCCAGATCTCGGTGATGTACTGGTCTCAGGCTGGATGCAAATGCATCGTGAAATTTCCGAGGCTCGGTCCTGATCCCAGTCTCGCTGGAAGGCTTAAATAGAAAGGGAGATGCTCTTCCTGCCCACATGATCCAGCCGTGGTGACTTTAGGACGTAGACAAGGAAACGATCCAGTCTTATGCCGTGGTCACCACTACTGTCTGACATGATACTTGATCATCTTAAGTCTTTTGAGCACAAGCAGGCTTGGCAACTACCAGAAAATACGACACGTCGAGGCATCCTCTGCTCTCTCTCCTCTCTCTTCCTCTCTCTCTCTCTCTCTCTCTCTCTCTCTCTGTCTCTCACGCAGCCTTATTATCGTGTCTACATCCAAGATACTCTCACCCCCTGCCTCTCTCGTACCACCCACCCTCTCCCTTTCTCTTCTCGCCGTGGGACTCATCCAAGACGACAATCACCACCATAGCAACAACAGCTCGAGTTTGAGATCGGCATTCACATCCACTACCTGCAATTTTGAATCATCATCGATCACATCCTTCCCCCGGGAACGTTCCCAAAGAGGAAATCCAGCAGACCGCGGCGCCCTCAGCTCCGTAGTGTCGGAATCTCACGCACTTCCTGGGACCAAGTGTGAGAATCTCGGCATATTAATTTTTGCTCACGAGTGGGATTTACTCCTTGGAGACATACTCCTTAGCGTGTTCTTCTTCTACTGGCTGGAAAGAAGTCACGCGTCGAAAAAGCCAAAGCAGCAACGAGACAGAAACAGGGAACGAGACAGGGGTGGGAGGGAAGAGAAGAAGAGAGGAAGAAGGGGGGAACGAAAACAAGGGGCCTGCGGCTTCGATCTGGACCTTCAGATTGGGTTAAGGTTGATCCCCAAGTTGGACAGTGCGCCAATCTCGAAGACGAGATACGGAGGATAACCAAAGCAAAAGAGAAAGAAAAAGAGAAGCCGATTGTTCTCTTCTGGAGAGGATCAAATTCCTGTACTGTCCAGTACGGAAGGGGCCAAACAGAGAATTGCAAACGCAAGCGCGGGATAGCGCAAAACGGGATTAGGTTCTAAGCATCAAGTTAATTAACCTTCCCCGCGCGCAGCCCGGTCGACACTACCCCAGCTAAATCACGGGGCCCCAAACGAGGAAGCCGCGAGCGAGAGGGAGAGAGGGAGAGAGGGAAGAAGGAACCACCCAGAAGGGACTATACAGTGCAATCTCACCGTGACTAGGCCACCACCAACAGCACGCAGCACATCGCAGCGCGGCATCTCACGGCACCTCACAGCACCTCCCAGCACCTCCCAGCACCTCACAGCACCTCACCTCGGCAACACATCTAGACCGTTTCACAGACACCCACACACACTCACTCACTCACACTATAGCCTGCTGTGCTTATCAGACCAAGCCTGTTTCTCCAACTTTTCCCCCTCTAATTCCTTTTTTTCCTGAGAGGCAAGGACCTTTCTACTCGCTCGTTTGTTCAAGATGCCTGCCAGTCAGCTTGCACAGGCGGGTGATCCCCCACCACCACCGCCTGCAGAGGAGAGGGATCCGTCGAATTCAAGTAGCGGCGCTACTGCTGCTCGCTTCAACAATAAAACGACACCTCCTGGCTCATCTTCTCAACCCACGACGACGGGTCGCCCAACCCGCATCACAGCCACAGTGAGGATCTCTGGGCCACGGGCACCCCTTCGAAGGAAGAGTAGGAGTAGCAGTAGTGTTTTCAGCACCAAAAATCTTACTGCAGCTGTCAAGATGGTTTCTGCCAAAGTCTCAGAGGCTGGGCCTCTGGTTGCTCCTCCGAAGCCCCCTTCCACCTCCCCCTCCTCAGCGACAGAACCAACAACAACAACAACAACAACAACAGCGGCGGGGGCAGCGGCAGCAGCAGCAGTAATGGCAATATCAGCAATCACAACACCAACAGTCACAACTCCTCTGTCCTCGGCCGCCCCAAGCTCCTCGAGCACGCCAGTCGGGACGTCCCACCACAGGACGCACTCGCAGCACCGCGTCACCAAGAACACAGGCAGTATAGGCAGCCGCAAGGTCTTTGCCAAAATCGGCAGCATGGAGCCACCAGTGCAGTCCTTCTACGGCTCAGAGCCCATCCCTCTACCGACGCGCTTCGCCAACATCAAACGCCGCCTCATCCAGGGCAGAGAGGCTGCCATCGCGGACTCCTGGAGGCGTCTTCTGGCGGCTCTGAAGGCCGAAATCCAGCATATCCAGAGCCGTGGTGCAGATCTCATTCCTACCATCCACTTCTCCGACATTGACGACCCGGCCAAGGTGGCCCCCTTTGAGCAGGATCTCAAGCGGTACGGTGTTGCTCTTGTGCGTGGCGTCGTCTCGCAGACACAGACAGAGACGTGGATCCGGCAAACGAGAGAGTACATCACCCGCAACCGAGACCATATCAAACCTACCATCCCCCAGGACCCGACCTGCTTCGAGCTCTTCTGGACGCCCGCGCAGATCGCCATCCGCGCCCATCCTTCGGTGTTGCGCGTGCAGAAGTGGGCCATGACCTTCTGGGAAACCAAGGGCACTGACGCCGACATCTCACGCGTCGCCACTCGGTTTCCCATCTCGTACGCGGACCGCCTGCGCATCCACGACAGCAGCATTATGGGCAGCAATGCCGCGCCGCAGCTGTTGAACGGCAACTCTGCTGCCGATAATCTCACCACCAGCGCCGCCTCCACCCTTATCGCCCAGGTCGACAACGGCAGCCTTGAGCGGTGGGAACCGGATGGCTACGGCCGAGGAGGGGCATACGAGGCTATATTCCGTGGCGACTGGGAGGATTTTGATCCATGGGACCCGTCTGGCCGTATCAACGTCACACAGGATCTGTACAACGGCGCTGGGTCGTGCAGTATCTTCAGGATGTTCCAGGGCATCCTCGCCCTCACGTCGGGCGAGCCTGCCAGCATCCGCGTCCTGCCCTGCCCCAAGCTCGCGGTGGCCTACTTTTTGCTGCGGCCATTCTTCTCCCCAAAGACGACGCCGCCGCCCACTTCGGGGTATGACGAGGAGGGCGCATCGCCTGAGACCATCGCTGAGTGGGATGCCTTCCTCGACCCCGACAACTGGACCTTTGACGAGGAGCAGTCCACCATCATCCATGGCGCTGTGCCAGGCCATGCCCAGCGGATCACAGAGTTGTGGCACCCGCACCTGCGCCTGCGCCGGTCCCTGGTTGAGGTCCCCACGCTGCAGGCCGGCGACTACGTCCTCTGGCACTGCGACCAGGCATACAGCATCATGACCACCGCGCCCAGCAAGCCTGGGACCCCGAAACCCGACCACCCTGCGCCCAGCATGCTCATGTACACGCCTGCCTGTCCACTGACGCAGACGAACGCGCTGTTCCTAGCTCGACAGAGGAAGGCATTTATGCAGGGCCAGCCGGGACCGGATTTTGACTCTGCAGGCAGCGCGATAGGTTCCGAGGCGCCGCACGAAGGACGTCCTGGCAAGGCCGAAATTGCAGAGGTCGGCGGCGACGCGGGCCTGCGGGCCATGGGTCTCGCGCCCTGGGAGCTGAGCAGGGACGGGAGCAAGGTCATGACGAGGCCCGGCACAAGAGCTGGCACACCAACGCCGGACGAGCCTCATGCCGACATGATGGATGTAGATAACGAACGCGGCAGCAACCAGGAGAAGACGGCTGAGAGGGGACCGCGGGAGCGCGGATCCGGTACGGAAGGTGAGGCAGAAGTTGTGAGGCTGGCCAACATCATCCTCTTCCCGGACAGGTACGACTTCTACATCCCTACGGAGAGGGCTGGGGCGCAGAGGATCAATGGTAAGGCGCAGGCCGAGCAGATGGCTGCGACCAGACAGCTGATCTCGCGGATTTTGTCATGAAAGTGCATCGTGGATGAAAAGAACAGCTCGCCTGCAAAGAGCACATGCATGCATAGAATTACTGAGGCTCTTATACAGCTTTAGACGGGGACGGTGCGGTCCCATAATGAACACATGAATGCGTACTATTCTCATGAATTATCAAAGTAAACTCTTCAAAAGGTTAAATGCAAAAGACTGGTAGCTTTTAAAGCCCCGAACAAGAATCCCCTAGTACAAATTCCGTATTCTATCTGCTGCAATCCCGAACTTAGTATTTGCTTTTTTTTTGTATTCTTTTTTTCAGGCGACAATATCGCCAATGTCTACAAAAAGTCAGGTTGAGGCGTTCAGATGCTCGAGACCCGAGCTCCGAGCGCCGTTTTACGCCCTTCCTTGGGCTCATTATCAATCAAGTTGTCTTTTTTCAATTCATAAGAGAGCTTCCACTTGCTCCTGCCTTACGACCCTAAACTGTTTCTCCTCTTTAATGATAGCTCGGTCCATCAACAAAGCAAATTCCGAACGATCAACATTGGAACAAGCATCTCCTCCTCATATACAGCATAGTGGATTATAGTGCCACTTGATTCTCGATACATTCTCCATCTTCAAAAGCGGGGGGGCGTTCAGCAAGTCAAGCCGACAGTCTCGAAATCCTAAGCTACAACGTCATGGCCTCCAGACTGGACAACCCTCCGAGCGATCTGCCCGCCGGGTACACACTGCACGCAGGGTTCCCGTCGGTCTCGGAGTACCGCAACCTGCGCAAATCAAGCGGTCTCACGCCCGTGACAGAGGCACAGGCTGCAGGTGCTGTGACGGGGAGCTTGTACGGGTGCCACATTACCTACTCCTCTGGGAGCGAGTCCGAGGCAGCTTCTCCACCTTCAGCCGGGCTACTGAATAAGAGCCAGGCGGTGGCTATGGGTCGGATCATCGGCGATGGTGGATGGTACTTTCATATTGCGGACATGGCTACCCTGCCGGAGCACCAGAGGAAGGGGCTGGGGAGCGTGGTCCTCAAGCATCTGTTGGCTTATGTCAAGGACAACAGCCCGGAGGATGGGGAGCCGTACATCACCTTGTTTGCAGACCCGCCAGGGCGGCGGTTGTACGAGAGGAACGGCTTCGTGGAGAGTGTGACTTTGAAGGAGGTCGGTATGGTCTTGGCGGGAGAGAAGTAGGAGGTTGTGCCACCATTTGGAGAGCATTGTGTTAGTCCGTCGCAGAGGGGTCGTTGCACGTTGGTAGAAGTCCACCTGTTGTTATCGATGCAGAAAGGTATACACTCATCCAACAGAGAAAGACGAGGAAGAGAGAATAGGCGAACTTTTAGTCATTGTCAACTTGGTGTTGATACTACTACTTTTACTTGGGGTGTCTTCTCTCGAAACTTCAAAGGATTGACACTTTGTTAAGAAGCTGGGAGTCCAACGTATTACTTGACAAGCATCGTCAAAAAAGAAAAGGGGGGGGCTGTGTCATTCTGATTCTGCGAGAGTTAGCAAAAAGTGTTAAACCGAACCCAGCATTCGGTCAATTCTTCAATCAATTCGATTAAGCTATCCTATCTGTAGACGACGTGAAACCTGGCGTGACGAGAGTAATCGCTTAAAGGCTGGTCCTGGTAACAAAACGTCGTAATTTGATACCTTGTTGTGCAATCTACAAAGTAAATTATATCCCAATTCAACGGGCATCATCAAGTCTTGACCGAAACAAGATACAGCTTGGAGGTAATTACTGGAGAGTATTGAGGATCGGCGTTGCTGACCGCGATGATACGTCGGGTACGACGGCTGCACGGGTCCGAAGAAACTTTGTTTTTTCTTCTAACGTATGAATCTGGTATCTGAAAGGGGTAAGGTATGGATCGGTCGTATCCCGGTAACAAGTCGGTAACAATATGGTAATAGTGAAGGAAAGGAAGAAGAAAAAAAAGAGTCAGAAAGAAAAGAAGAAAAGAAAAAAAAAGAAGAAAAAAAGGCTGACTGAGCCCGCGCGTCGGACGAAATCAACCCGGAGGCGCGTGCAAGTCGAGAATTTCCAAGGTGAGGCCATCACGATAACTTCCCTCGATGCTCGGTCAAGTCACCCTGTAGCGACAATTGCCCTAAAGGGGACTTGGAGCCCTAACAAAATTGACGCGGCCACGCCCGGTCACACGTTTGAGGGCCACGGTATGGCCACCAGCTTTGTGGCGCGACCCCAGAATGGGCGGCGGTTCGGACCCACATTAGAATCACGCCACTTTTTGCAAGGGCTGCAGGAGAATGGTTCGTTTTAGAGCATTTGTCGGCACACCTCTGTGTTGGCTCGGCTCGGCACTCTTCCAACCAATGAAAATAAATAGAATAAAAAAAGGAAATAAAAAAAAGAACAAAAATGTTACAATCAATACTTTCTTTGTGACACCTGCAGGGAAGAAGAAAGTCTGGATGCTCCACTACTCTGCAGCAGACAAGCAGGGAAGAGAAGGGGGGGGGGGAGGGCAAGGTAGGGCTTGAGCTGAGATGAGGGGGGAGAAAAAAAGACGTTGTGCTTTCATCACGATCCGTCTAGGGTTTCCCATCACTGAAAAAAGGATCTCCATGTCGGATTTGCAGTGTGTTCACATGTATGGACCCGGGAAGACCAGATCTTTGTGGATCGCATTCGCATACATAATTCCCTAGTGGGTAACTCCTCCGGATATGGCATCTTATCAAAAATTCCATGCAGCAACTTTGGAGTCTGGATTGGTCTTGTCACTGTCGATCACTGTGATGTAAGGCCTAGAGTACGGCCAAGAGGGCTGAGCTGTCAGCGGGCAAGATTAGCCGAGCGGTGACCTATCGCATGCAAGAGTGAATCTTGACGGGGAACGGAGGGATCTCAACTAACAGCTTCAACCTGCGGGGGGCCCGAGTTCGCATGTGGGAGGGATTTGCACTCCATCATGATCTACTCTGTACAATGATATCTTATTTTTCCTGCTGCCTTTCGGCCGAGGGAGACGTTACTCACCGCTCGGCAATGGGGTAGACCGGCCACTACCGACGATTGAATGAATCGCTGTCGCGGTGGTTTATTGGATGGACTAAGGGTTGACGGCGAGAAACCATTGGGGACTGCGCCCCAGTACATCCATGGCAAAAGTTACTAGAAAAGAGAGAGGAGGGAGGGACTACGCGTACCTGCAAGTTGCAATATTATGTACTCAAACCAAACAGGTCCAACGTACAGTATAAATGTCCCGACGACATTTTTGTTTGCTTGTTTGTTTACATGAACCCTGAACATGGCTGTCGATCTCGAGAAAGAGGGGTTCACCCTTCCAAAGGCTAGGAGGGTTTCACCAGTTTTTCAGGGACCATAGCTGGCACTTGGTACCGGAACGCTGGAATGCATGCAAGTCAAACGGGGCTAGCCGCCAATCTACTTGTATAGTAGGTGACATTGAGCTCTCCGGGAGGGGTGATGGCTTTTGAGCTGGAAATAAAAATACAGGCGGGAAAAGAAAAGAATAAAAAAAAACCCCCCCCATGACAGGCGCCGGAAGTCGCCATGGTTTGCTGATTGAAAGGGGTAAAGGGTGGAGGGGGCCGTTTGGTTTTGGGTAAGGGACTCGGAAGTTTAAAAGTTTAGTATTTGTTAGAAGAGGACATGTCTGATAAGGTGGGCCCAGTGGATGGTCACACCAGTAGACGAGACATGGAAAGGTATTTTTATAGCACTCGTTAAATACTGCACCGTACACTACCCACCCCCTTGGCAAAACTTGTCCATGTTAGCCCTCGCGCCTCGGAATCGCACCCGAGACCCATGTGCCCTTAGAAGGGAGAGAATTTCTAGGCGCGATATTGAGAGAGCCCATAGGTGTGTAGGTAGGTGTGAGTGTGGTGTGTGAGTGTGAGTGTGTTGGGCTCATCCGGGCTCGGCCTCAGCCTGAGGACCCGGGAGCGACCCCCCTCCCCCCCTCCACCCCAGGGCATTGCCCACTCGTATGATGCCAGATCGATAATCGACAGTTTGAAGGGTCCACACGTTGCACAGCATCCAAAGGTCGCGATCCTTGTCCTCCGGCAGGTCGTCGGTCCCTAGAGGTCCAGGGCCACGCTCATCCCTCCCCCCCCCTTCCAAGGTTCTCGCCGAAGCGTCCCGAGGCCCCGTCAGGCGCCAGGAGAATTCCCAAGACGAGATGGCAGGTATATATCTATTGGGATGTATCTGCCATCGGATGTCTTGGACCACGGCTCGATAAACCCATCATTCCACCAAGGATTTGGTAATAATATTCCAGCACAACCACTTTGAGAATCATCACCCAACCCTGAACATCACGCATTCAAGTCTCCCCAGAAGAGATCTATCAGTCACCCAACCTTACCACCGGAACAACTTTCGATATTGACAACACCCCTGCTGTCACCACAACCACTACCGTCCCACGCCAGACACACAGCGGATCCTCCTTTCGAACAACGAACAAGCCCTCCTACTCTCTCTCTTTCTCTCTCTCGTCTCAGCAAGGTCATCTCTCTACTTGATACCTTACACAGCGTCCGAAGAGAGTTACACACACACACACACACACACACGAAAAACGCCCCAAACTGCCAATCAGATGGACAGTTTCAGTTTGGCAGACTTGCAAGCTGTCGGCCAACAATCTATGTTGTTCGGCACGTACCCTCAGCAGCCCTCCTCCTCCTCAACCTCCACTCTCAAGCGACAACAGGTCAGTTTTTCTATTTATCTATTTGTCTTTGGGACCCAGTGACCCACTTATCACGCCTCCCCGTGTCTTGAGTCCTACTCTCTCTGTCTACCAAGTACCTTTCCATGCCATTTTGTGCTTCCATTGAAACGTTATAATGGCCTGCTTTCTCCCCCGCCACGCTAGCCCGGGAGGCTGCATGTGCTCGAAACGACATAAGCCCACTGAGGAAATATCATACCACTTTACCCTAGTTGTGTTTCACCAACCCCTCTCGCACCCTTCTCTCTCCTCTGTTTCTTCTCTCTTATAATTTGCCGGTTAACTGTCCTTGGCTCCCCGTCCCATTCTTTCATGTCCTCCAATCGCATTTATCTAACCTTGTCTCTGCTACTATAGACATATCCCACAAACTTCTCTGTGCCCGTCTATAACTCGATAGAAGACTGGAGTGCCGCAGAGCTGACTACCGACTCGGCACCTTCGCCAGGATCCGGATCTCCCATCTCTCCCATCTTCAACGGCTTTTCCTTCTCCAACTCGGGTGCTGGTGAGGACTGGGCTGCCTGGGACAAGGCTGAACAGTCTCCAGAGTCCGACCTCTTCCTCAAGACCGAGCTCCTCGACAGCCCGGACCTCTCATCCATACCTATCGTGAGCCCTGTCCTGGATTCCATGGACGTTGGGAACACTGGACTTGACGACGTCGTGTTTGGTCGCGAGGGAGTCAACGATACAAGGCCTCTGTTTCAGACACCACAGTTCAACAACCTCAACATGCCTCAACAACAACAACGACAACAACAACAACAGCCTCAGTCGTCGTCTTCCATGAATAACTCTGGCCTGCCCTCCCCACAGGAGCTCTCTTCAGCCAAAGACAGACGATATCCAGCCCGCAACGGCCTCAAGAGGAAGTCATCAGACGCCTGCTCCTCCTCCGCCTCGCCGTCCTCACCACGCTCATCATGCTCCCCACCCCCACCCCAACGCCGCCATACCTCGGCCTCATCCTCAAAGGAAGGCTCAAGCACCAGGCCCACCCTGGGGCCCAAGAAGACCGCCCACAACATGATCGAGAAGCGGTACCGGACCAACCTCAACGACAAGATCGCTGCCCTGCGTGACTCAGTCCCGGCCCTGCGCGTCATGGTCCACCGCCTCGAGCACGCCGACAATACCAACGACGGCACCGATGTCATGGACGAGATCAAGGCCGAGGCTGGCCTCGACGGCGACGAGGACCTCGGCGGGGTCACGCCTGCGCACAAGCTCAATAAGGCCACCATCCTGAGCAAGGCCACCGAGTACATTGCACATCTGGAGAGGAAGAACAGGGGCCTGGCAAAGGAGAACGCCGCTCTGAGGAATCGTGTGGAGGGGTTTGAGATGTTGGTAATGAGTCGGAGCGGACAACGGTCCGTCTGGAATTGAAAGGGGTCGGAACGAGACCTTTTGATACCTTTTTCCTTGTAAATATTTTCTCTTCTCTACTGCATTTATCATTTGTCACGATGATGGGCGTTGAGGATCTCGGAACTCTTGAGGAGTAGGGCGAGAGCACAGAGCTCCTAAGTCATGGCGTTTTCTTATGTTTCAAAAAAAAAAGGGGGGGGGGGGGCAGAAAGAGAATGGGAAGGGGGAAAAATGGACGATGAACTGGCAGTCTAGTCACATGGACCGATATGGTAAAAGACATTGAGTCTTTCAAATGCACACCACTATTACCTCTCTGACACTACTTTCTCTCCTTGCGTGAAAAGATTTGGGAACCCCTTTCGGAAGAACTAAGGCTTGTGTACGCGGACTCGCAAGACATTTCTTTTTTTTTTCACATTACTATCAGTATGAGAAGACAGGCATTGGAGACTGGTCACCATGGAAGGGGTCTGATGGCTCTGGTCAGTACAGCAAAAATCCAGAAGGAAGCATGCACACCAAGTAAGTCTATATATAATCATTATGGTGACATGTCGGGAACAATGACCCCTCTTCAATCTCGACTCTCTTCATTATCTTTCTTGCTAACTTTCTTCTCGGTAAAGACAGCTGGCGATTTCCAAGCAACGAGAAGCCTTCCTCCGAGGACAGGCCTCCCCCGAGGTGGATCGATTGCTCCTCGAGTATGGACTTCCTTTCTCATAGAAGACCAGCGACAGCGGCAACACCAGCGACGCCGGCCGCAACGCCGACCATTTCCATGCCCGTACATCTCGGCGCGGCAGCATTCCCAGTGGCTGTGGCCTTGGCCTCGACTTTCGTTATGGCGCTCTCCCAGGCGCTGTCGTACTTGGAAATCTCAGTCTGCATCGATTTGGGGACGTTGCTCGTGTACCAGCCGTTGGTGGTAATGTCCCCCCAGTTCCACTGAGACACGCTGAGGGACGAGACGACATTGGCACCGCCGCCCTTGGACGCGGCAGAGTAGATGGCGTCGACGATCGAGGTGTAGTCGGAACGGCCGCCGAAGGAGGTCTCGATGCTGTAGAGAGCCGATGCGAGGGTCGTGGCGTACTTGCCCGTCGCCCAGGTCGGCGTAGGGCCTTGGCCGGCCCACACATCAGAGAGATACGAAGAGGCTTGGGTGGACTTGGGGATGGAATTTGTGGAGGTGGTAGCGGCGCCCAGGACGAGGCCAAGGTTGGCTATGCCTGCCAGGACGACAAGGACAGGTGACCACATGGTTGCAGATGGCTATTCAGTAGTCGGGCGGTATTGCTGGCCGCGGTAGTGGTGGTGATGTTGTTGTTGTTGTGGTGGTGGTGGTTGTAATGATGTTGTAGACTTCTGGGAAGAGCCCAGGTTCTGGCTGAAGGAGCCGGCACTGGTAGGAGGCGTGGTAATTATGTGAAAAGGGGCTGGGGGACATGGGGGCCTTCGTCAAATAAACGAGGACTCTACCAGCAGGTATCATTCCATGAAATCACCAAGGTGACGCATAAGATGCTGCTGGGTCCTTTTGTTTTCCTGTAGCTGCTACCGCGCCACATTTGGCCAGGGGTCAAGTGCTGACAGCAAAATGGGTCGAGCCAATAGAGCAATACTGTTTTCCGTATAAACGCGCCCAGTACTCCCACTTAGGCTTCCTCTCTAGCTTCATTCGGATGGAGTACCGGGATTTTGCCCAAGCTTCTGCCTAAGCTTATCCCATAATGTGGGTTGTGCAGGCATCGTGAAATCCTACGAACGGGTGGTGCTTGGTGCCGTTGTAATTTTGCCCAGTCTGGAGGGAACCTATGCAGGCACTTGCTCGCTCGCACGCACGCACACACACACACTCTGTCTCTTCATGGACTATCCTATCCGATGCATGCTGATGATGACCCTCAGGGTCTATCCAATCTGAATTGGTGCGCTTTTTGTCACTTTTCATTTTCCTTTTTTCCCTTCGGTGTAATTACACCGCTCCACGACACCTCTCACAGGCACATTCGAAGCCCCAGTGCTTTCTCAACCTGGCCCGCCGCTCAGCTGTAGCCAGAGTGTCTTCTTCCCCATTCAGGTACGAGATGTACAGCTCCTGGCCGTCCCGGACATCACCTCTCGCCTGGAAAACCCATGTCCTCCCGACCCTGCGCCTGGTCACATTTGGGAGGCAGCTGTGGTTGAAGTAGCTGGCGCAGGGCCACACGCCAAAGCCGAAGAACTCAGAGCCCCCGTCCTCCAGAGACCGAATGCCGAAGCTGTTGTGCACCTCGCGGCACTTGATGGTACGTAGTGTCTGATCATTGGTCAGGGGCAGCAGTGTCTCTGGTAAGATTGCCAGGAGGTGCAGATATGACTTGATATGATGATCCAGCTCCTGCCACGACGCGTACGGACAAGGCTCGTGGGCCAGGGATAGGATGGATTCCCAGGAAACCGGGTCAGTGTATTGGGTCAGGATCGCGTGCGTCTGGAAATTGAGGATATCTGGGGGTGGCGGGCTCGACAGTGCTTGCTGCAGTGCTCTCTTGTGCACCTTGGCTGCTTGTGGCCCCCTGGCACGGGCCTCCACGATGGACGCAGCCGAAGGTGCTGCAGCATGCCAGGCATCGTCGATGTCCACAGCTGTAGGCTTCTTGTCGCCCTGTGTCATGTTGTTGGTCCCCTCCTCTGCCCCGTCCTCTGGTGCTCGCGATTTTAGCTTGGACGATTTCTCCACCGCGGCCCATGCCTCTAGGCAGACGCCATCGTTGCCTCGCTTCAAGAATACCGACTCGCACCGCTGTGAGCAGAACGTAAAGCCACGGGTCTGGTCACGCAGGACCAACTTTCTGCCGCGATCGTAGGCGAAGCATTCCCAGCACACCTCGCCACGATACTCCCTGAGGATAACATGCGCCGTCAACTTGTCAGCCCGCAGTATTACCGTCCCGGCCGTGATCTCCCGGACTGCAAAAGCTCCTTGTCCAGCTCCAGGGGATTTCCTCACGGTGAACGAAGGCGTGTAGCTATGGTCGGAGGCTTGTGTCATATTGCTTCTGATGGATGAGAGAGCATGACCGCTGCTTGGTTTTGGTTTTTTTTCTGGGGGGGGGGGGGTTGGTTTTTTTTTTTTAGCTTGCAGTGGAAATTTGAGGGGAAAAGAGAGTCGGAGTCGTGGAGTAGGCGCCGGGTGATGAATGGGTGGTGATTTTTTGGGAGTTGCACCCAGTCAAGGCAGAGGGAACGGGCTGCTGTGGAAGAGTTTTCAGCAGCAGTCGCAGGGCAGGCCAGCGCGACGCAGCGAGTGCTAACAAGGAAGGTCCGGGAATAGTATATTGGGGGCGACTCGCGAGCAACCCCGGAAGCCTCTTATAATAACCTAGTGACACAGAGTTACTGGAAGCAAAGCCTCATAAATAATGAATTTTTGAGATTAAAGAAAATCAGTCAGCACCAGTCCATACAATTAACAACTATTGGGTAATATTCCCAGCGTGCCGGCAGAACACTTTCACCCTGACTGTAGACTGCAACAACTGACTCGTTGAGCTATGGAGCAAGACCATCGCCAATAAAGAAACAGCCTGCACAGAACATCATGACGGAGTAGTGACTTGAAATGCGTGTGTACATCACCCAAGCATCGTCAGCGATTTGTTTTGACATCTGTGGATGATTGATTAAGGAAAAGAGGACGGGCTAACTCTCAGATACTTGCTTACCTTGCACCTTGTATCGATGCAGTCATTAGATCATGATGCAAACATGACATCATCCATGAGACATTCGTTTACTGTAGTGCACGACGCGTCTCTGCGCGACAAGGGAAAGTGCTACCCCAAGCCAGAAACTAACCACCACGTCTTCTGTGTACGTATCGTTGCAAGGCGGGCGCAAATCGAAGCTTCCGAGCATAACGCCAGACACATCTTTCAATTCCTTCATTCACCAATACTACGTTCCTATGACTTACGCGCCGAGTAGCTATTCATCTACACGCTGCTCATCCTCCGCATAATTCAACTTGAAATACCCCCCAAGCTGCCGCCATGACCCAGACGAGATCAGGCAAAGGTGCAGCTGCTGGCGACAAGCACAAGCTAGACGAGTCCGCGACGTTGCCTCCGTCCAAAGCCCCCAAGAAGGAGGGCAACGCAGGAAAACAGCTGACCTTGGACGAGTCTTTGAACGGGTTGGTTGGATTTCCACAAGGCCTATTATAATGAATTGCTCATTTTCCACTGACACTGGTTTCGCGCACTCAAGGGCCAAGAAGGAAGAAGAGGCGGGCGAGGTGGAGGATGACACTGCCGCGGAGAAGGGCAATGACGACGATGACGAGAACAAGACTGAGCACAAGAAATCCGAGGTCGCGGACCAAGACAGCGCTGTCAAACCTCATGGCCGGGACGGCTCGACGCCCTCCAACATCCTCGAAAAGGGCATCATCTACTTCTTCTTCCGTGGTCGCATAGGCATTGACCACCCCGACAAGGTTAGCGACATCGCTCGCAGCTACATCATCCTCAGGCCCATTCCGAAGGACGCGAAACTGGGGGATGGCCCTATCGGCGATGCTGGCAACTCTCGTCTGATTGCCGTCCCCAAAAAGGTTCTTCCCCAGTCTGGACGAGACCGCTGGATTGCCTTTGTCGAGAAGAGCGATGCCTCATTCGATGAGCTCAAAAAGAATTTCCTGGCGTCCAACGATTACCAGACCAAGGCTGGTATCGACCGCCACTCCCCTGCAGCCTCTCCATTCGGCGAAGGCGTATACGCAATTACCACTACCGGGAGGGAGAGCCACCTGGCGTACATGCTGACCCTCCCCAAAAAGCTTGATCAAGTCCAGACAAAGATGGGTCTCAAGGAAAAGGGTAGCTGGATCATCAGCACTCGAAATCCTCAATATCCTGCGCCTGCAAATACGCAGCTGCCAGAATCTCCCAAGTTCTCCAAGGACGTAAGTTAAGTTCAGGCTCACAGACTTGTCCGGTGACTGACGTGTGAATAGATTCTCGACGAATTTCGATCACTGCGTTGGATGGGAACCCTTCCTAAGCATCTCATTCCTAACGCACAATTCCTTCTTGTGGGCGAGTCCTCGGGTATCGACAAGGCTCTGCAACCAGATGAAAAGGACAAGAAGGACAAGGAGAAGGAGGAGCCCGTCGAGGAAATGGAGAGGCTTGAAGAGGAGGATGCAGCACGGATGGAGCATCTCGGAAAAGACGCGGCTGAAGCCGTCTTTGCCGATCTCGAGGCTCAGGCCAAAGGCTATCCTGAGCTGCAGACTACATTCTAGGTCCCGTTGTAGCCTGGTGGCCTGCTAGAGGCAGTACGGGTTATTATTAAGTGACATAGCCAAGACTAACATAAGTTACAAGAGCCGTTGCCATTTTCTTGAAATTTAAAAATCGCCTTCATGCAGGCTTCATGGTCGACTCATATATCTAGACTTACTCAGCCGAAGATTGAGGCTAGGAACTCATCCGTCGCAGCGTCTAGAGCGTTCATCTGATCCTTTGACGCCCCGAGGAAGACATGATCAGCCCCCTCCACTTCGTGCAAGGTCACTGGCACACCGACTCCCTTCAGTGCTTCTTGCAGCAATACACTCTGTAACAGTGGCACTACGTGATCATTCGTCCCGTGAGCGAGGAAAAAGGGCGGCGGCTTCTCGTCGTCGGAAATGTAAGAGATAGGATTGGCGCGGGCCACTTTGTCTGGGATCTCCTGTATGGCGCCGCCGATGTATTTGGACTCGGGGCTGTCGACAGGATCGTGCAGCATACTCTTGCCGTCCTTGGGAGCTTGGCTGTCCATCTGCAGGAAATCCGTCGGACCATAGTAGGCAACCACACCAGAGACGGCGCTCGAGGTGTCGAGATGGTCACCAACATCGAACTCGTCCCCCTTGGCGCTGGCGCATGTGACACCCAGCATGGAGGCTTGGTGAGCACCGCTGAGGTAGTATCATGGGCGTCAGTATTCAACCGGTGACAACAAAGAAAAGACATTGTTTGGATATCCCTTTTCGAGACATAGCAGTGTAAAGAGACTGGCATCCGACGGCTGATATACACAGCCCATCTGTGGCCATTTCCGGCCAGTAGGGGTGGTGATCTCCTTTTAGCTGTCGCACAAGAAAAATTCCCCGAGTCACGCCACTCCCTGTGGTCTCGGTAGTCACAAAGGTCTCGAGACTGCTCAAGCCCCGAGGACGAGAAGGCAGGAATCGCGATACAACGTACGCTGACTCTCCCCACGCAATGATGCGATGCGCGTCGAGATCATACTCGGAGGCATGAGCCCGCAACCAACGCACGGCAGACTTGCAGTCCTCCACGGAGGCGGGGAAGATGGCATCACCACTCAGGCGATAGTCCAGTGAGGCAATGGCAGTTCCCTTGGAGAGTAGTCGGCCCGGGAGCAGAGTTGACTCTTTGGAACCAAACATGAACGCGCCACCTGAGAATTTTTGGAACTACTCGTCAGCCTTTCTGTCTCTTTTGTCACTCTCTTTCTCTCTCCAGCCCACGACGATAAGACCTCGAGTTAGAGAGGAGCGTATTTACTCACCGTGGATGTAAATGATGAGCGGGATCCTCCCGGGTCTGCGGGACTCGGGCTTCGGCAGATACAGGTCCAAGCGTTGCCGAACATGGCCCTGCGAGCAGTACTGGATATCCTTGTGGGTCTCGACATCCTTGGGAGGAACAAACTTTGAGAAACCAAGAGCAGCAGGACTGGAGTCGGTCATCTTGTCAACGGGCAGGCTTTGCTTGCTCGGTGTTGGAGACGCACTTGCTCAAGCAGCAGCAGCAGCAACAGCAGCAGCAGGAGGAGGAGCAGCAGGAGGAGGAGGAGGAGGAGCTATGTATGTGTTCAGATGGTGGTTGCATGTGGTCCTGGGGAATGCTCCGGATCGAATGGGTGACGACACGTCTACTCCGGGCCCACTCTAGATTGTGCAGCGTGATTAGATAATCAACCTTGGGCATGAATTCACTTGGGCTCAGGTGTCTAATGTAGATTGATTGGCCTGCGGACCAGGTTCTTTTTTTCTCCCTCTTCTTTTTTGTTTTCTTTCTTTTTCTCTTTGTCCCCTGCCTCCAGATCGAAAATGTGATGCATTGTGGACTAACACTCGGTTTCAGCTAAGTAGTAACTTAACGTGAGACTACGCCATAGCGCACGCCCATCAAGGTAAAGTAGGCATTATTTAATTATCTTCTCCAATTTAATGACTGTGCTTTCTTCATTATAGGATGTGATATAATAATTATGAATTCGTCTGTGTGCCTGATGTATCTACACGGCGCCCCTTCACCATTCTGATCCCTCAGCTTTCGAAGTCTGGCTTTTCATCATCTCAAGAGTACCAACAATACTCTGACAGGCAAGCACCACATTCGCTGGGCAAGCTCGCCGAGCCAACCTCCTTCACCACGAGGCCACAGGCAAGACAAGTTGCCCACGCTTCATCTCCTCCCTGGGCTGCTACCTCGTAGCCGTCGGTAATTATGGCCTCTGTCTCGGTGGCCGTGTACTCGAGCTGCAGCGTCGACGTGTTGGAAGCAAAGGTCCAGTCTGCGTTGGGCAGGTAGATGACAGTCACCGCGTCCGGCTCGTCACAGCCAAAGAATTGCGCCTGCTTCGTGCTGAAGTTGCCCACAGCGGGGACCTGGGGAAATCGTCCGGCCAAGCGTCCGGTCAGCGTGGCCTCATATGCAGCCACCAGGGCCGCGCCGTCGGGATAGTCATCCTCATCATTGCCATTGTCACTGATGATGAGGACCGAGACGTTGCGACTGGGCTCGAGGAGCGGGAGGATGGGATCGTTGTGCTCTGGCTCGCCTCCGTCGACGAGGTACAGAGTGTCAAGCCCTGAGATGGAGCTGGTGGTTGTTGCCGTGGTGGAGTTGAAGCTCTTGAACGGATTGGCAAGGATGGAGTATCCATACTCGGTTGTCGAGGTGTACTCTTCAATGATGCCGACGATGGAGGTGGGGAAGTCCTCCGTGACATCAATCTGAAGGGCAGTGTCGCAAATGAACTCTTCCAAGATGTCGGACGATGTTCCCATGACCCAGTCGACCCTGTCAAAACCCACTGCGCACTCGGAGGCCAGACCGTTTGTGAAGTTGCTGCCCAGGTACTGGGTGCTCACAAAAGCGGACACATCATCCGACCACGAGCCAAACTCGTACGGGTTAAACTCAAAAATGGCCTCGGTCTCGCTGGGAACGCATTCCCCTGTCAAGAAGTTGATCTTGGTGGCGGTCATGATAGGGAATGGGACGTTGAAGGAAGTGAAGTTTGACAGGGAGGTGATGTTGGACATTGTGAAGCCTGCAGTGCCCTGTCCGCCGGCCATAATCTGGTACGACAGCTCTCTGCCCCATGCGTCGACCAGAGAGACCGGGAACCCGGCTGAGGCCTTGGCTATGATGTCCTCGGCGATCTGATCATAGTCGGCCACGGTCGTGGAACTGCTCGAATTTAGGATTCCACCGGCTAGTTGGGATTCCCATACGGTGGCCTCCAGGGAGGATATCGTGGGCCAGTTCCCAGTGATGAGGGAACTCAGTAACCACGCTCCACCCGACAGGGCAGCGTGATATGTGAGGGCCTGGTAGAGTCCGGCAGTGCTTGCATTGCTGTCTCTGCTGTCAAAGGCCTTGATCACACCGGCACCAACAAGAAAAGCTCGGAAGCCACCGCCCGAGGACGACAAGGCGATGGTGGGCAGGCTTGTAGTGTCGACGTCAGGCAGCGCGGTGGCTAGCCACGTCTGGAGGGCAATATCGGCATTTGCCTTGCGCGAGGTGATCCAGCTGGCCTCGGAGGCGGAGATACCATCTGCAGACCTCACCAGCGTCTCGTTTGGGCATGTGGTGAACGAGGGCGCATACGCAGAGGAGGCAGCCAGGGCCACAGAGGGCCCCAGGGAAAGTAGTGCGAGGGATAGCATGGCGTCCAAGCCCTCAAGCCACACTTATACGCCGCAATGTAGTGGATTGAATATAGGGCCGGAAAGGGGAGATCAGAGGGCTCTGGCTGGAGATATCTCGACTAGGCCACATTATTACTTGTCAAGAGAAAGAATGACGGGTCTTGGCAATTTATATTCTTCTTTTAAAAGCCTCGTGGGTAGTGCCGCATTTCCGTCAGAATTTAGATTTGAAGGATGGGGATCTCGGTAGAATCTCGTCATCGCCACATGAGATGCGGTATCATTTTACTCAATCCTACAGCGTAGCATTGTACACCAAAAAGAAACGCCCCAGACACATTTTTTCCTTCTTATTTCTTTTTTTCCTTCCTTTCTTCCTTTCTTTCCTTCCCCCGCCTCCGTCGAAAAAGCGGCTATTCCTCATGTTGACAAACCTGCAGCTGATTTTGTGCTCGAGGCTATTGAGGACCCCAGCAGGCGACATTGCGCACGGCAGTATAGCCCGGTACGTCGGTCATTATCTCTGTGATTGGTTAAAGCGCACGTGGTCGGTAGCAATATAGCTTTGTCCCGGTGGGGCCTCCCGGACGGGCGTATGCGCGTCTTCCGCTGATGCAGGCTGAAATTGAGAGAAAAGGGGGGGTCATGCTGACTGGCTTGGGGAGGGCGCAAGGTCCCAGGGACATGGCCACACCACACGCAGAGGTCGCGTGGCCTCGCTCTGCTGCAGAGGTACCATCGTCGCAATCCTACTATTTTTGAAAAGACCATCCCATCCGGGTAGTTATCTCCTGGGCCCAGCACGTTGGCTATGCACCCTATAGTCCTGAAGTTGCTTGTGTGTGTGTGTGTGTGTGGCGCAAGAAGATGCCAGGTTCCAAGTCCAGCACGCCATTCGTCAACACTAACTGTATGCACCGTTCATCCGTTGTCCTCCGCACGATTGGAAAGATGCAGAGCAAGAACAAGACATCATCAGGTCATTGTGTATCATTTGGAGATGCATCGTCGGTGACTTCACAGTTCCGACCTGGCGAGGGATTTGTTTAACAACACTAATCAATCGAAACGTCGGCTTTGAAGCGTGGCAAATCTGGCTGAAAGGTGCATACAGTCTCTCATAACCACACCAAACACAGTACCCACAGTATACAAGTTCAAGTGTACTGAGCAAGTCTGCTTTGGGAATACATTTCGCCTGCTTTCAGACTATCACTCGGCTCCAGAACTATCAGAGCCCAAGCCCCCTATGGTAGGCCAGGCATTGCACTCATCGACTACCATATTGGATTTGCCTTCGCACACGTGGGACTTTTCGAGTTCCACAATCTATACAACCCATGAGCATCGCTGAGCGATATGCAAGAGCGGGGACGTCAACATCCGATCCACACTGACCCAGTACTATTCTTCCGCCCTCCTGTCTTCCCCTTCCCCTCTGTTCAGCGATTCAGGCAAGACAATTGCCGGAGTAGGATTTCTGGAAAACGATAAACAGACCAGACTTTATGATACAATCCGACGAGAATTTATCCGAAGCAAAGAATGGGCCCTGGAAGAATCACAACCACCCTACTCATTTGGGTTCTCCATCTATCTTGCTCAAACGCCCACATATTGATATCCCTGTATATATATGTTGTCAACTGTTGCTTGTTTCTGGGCTGACTTTAATTGCTAGTACACCACAAAGAGCCTCATTAGCGCATACATTAATATTATATATAGCCAAGGCCACGGCGAGGTTCGCCACGTGTGCTGAACAACTGCAGGCGGATGTTGCCGTGCAGGAAATTTTAGAGGGAACCTACCATATGACCCATGTGGCGCTTTTTATTTATCCTTTTTCCTTTTTCCTTTAGCGCAAGCAACCCACCAAAGTAGCAAGCACTGCGAAGGCAACGACTCGATGCGCCAAGTATTCGAGCGTTGCCTCGGTCTGAGCACCTGATCCCACCATGATCTGCGCCGTACGAGTCGAGGGTGGGATCGTTGTCCAAGTACTATCGATATTCTTCGTCGACGTGCCGATTAGGCGTGCGGTGGTCATTGGTGGGCTGGGGCTGGCTATTGGTGGACTATCTGGGCCTCGGCTGCTGACTGGGCTTGAAGCTGAAGAGGGGCTTGATGTGCTTAGTGTGCGGATCTCGGTCGCAGTAGTAGAGGAGATACTCTTCCCTATCGTATTCGGCGTGTCGACTAAAGTTGCAGCAACACTAGTAGTCTGCGGCGCGGTCCCATGCGGCCCATAGTAAGGCGTTCGGAGCCCAGCAAGAGCCGACGGCGCCCCAGTTTCCATATCGTTGGAACATAATGGACAGACGGTGACGGTTCTCGTGAGGCGGATCATCGGTGGCGGGGGCGTGGTGCCCGCCCAAACGGTGATAGTCGTATACTCCGCGCTTTCACTGGTGACCCAAGTCTTGCTGGTTCTTGTTATTGTACTGATCGCTGAGCTGGGTTTATCTTGAAAGTTTTGCGAGGGAACGCTGGTTCTGGATGGGGCCGCACTCGTCGGACTCGTACCCGTAATACTATCAGAGTTCCCAGTCGAGGGGCTGTTGGCTGACAAAGAACTTATCGTTGCCCTGGACGATCCAAATTCCTGCATCAGTGCAGAAGTTGTCGTGACTCCCTCGGACGGTGGAGGGGCAAACGAAACCAGACTACCGGATCCCGGTGTCGAGGCACTCTGGTCTGAGGAAACAGACGAGGTCGCGGATGACAAGCTGTATGGTGCCGACAGTGTCTGACTCGGATTTGAGACGGTCATATCGTCCGGAATGCTGATAGATGACGAAGTAATAGACATTATTGAAGACTGCCCAATTAGATTGTCTGTAGAGAAGGTCGGAGTTCCGTTCGGCTGTGGGCGAGAACCTATGCTCAATTGTGAGCTGTGAGGGGGTACGGTCGTGGAGGCTGCTGATGGTATTGTGGATGCAGAAGATAGTGATGACGGAGTTATACTTGTGAAAGAGACTCCAAGGTCTGTCGCGGTCGAAATTGCGCTGGATGTTGCGGATAGGCTCCACGACATGCTTCTTGGGGAGGAAGATGAAATTGGTGCCGAGGTCAGAGGATGGATGGACGTCGACTCAATATTAATGTATGACCGCGAAGTCGATTTGGCAGACCCATCGCTCGTTACCACTGTAGACACAGATTGAGGACTGATCGACGAGGCGAGTATAGTATTCGAGCTGTATATAATGCTACGAGTTGGCGATAAGGAGAAGCTAGTGAACAGCGATGTACTCGCAAGACGTTCGCACTCAGTGTTGTAGATGAAGCGTGAATATAAATAGACGACAAGAAGCTGGACTGCGAGCTTGGTCTTGTGGTATCTGATGATAATCGGCCGGCGGAGGGTATCTTCGTAGGTATTGTGCTGCTCGAATGCATACTCCTTGTTGTCATAAAAGTTGACACGGAGCTGGACCCGGTCGAGTAGATCTTGGTTGAAATACGCAGCGATGAACTTGATAACACCCTCTGACTCCCTGTAGAAGTTGATGAGGGCGAAGAGGTTGATGACGAAGAAGGGGACTGTGTCTGTGGAATTGCATCGACATTATTGATAAAGCCTGCTGAGTCGAGAAAGGCATCCTGTAGATCACATATTACAAAGGTGATATCATGGGACCCAGGAGTCGTGGTGTAGTTGATGTAAAGCGGTTTTGAGGTGAATTGATAATTGCTGTGTTCGCTACCTGACAGATCTAGAGAATCATCATAGTCGATGGTCGGTCCTTCCAGATATCCTGTGCTTGTTTGCGGTGTCGATGCGTCAAGTTCGAGGGAATCTCCACAATCGCATAAGTTGAGTTTTGCAATTGGAATGTCATCCACGAGAACGACCATAACGTCTCGTGGATCACTACTTCATCCTTAGCAAAGCCCCTTCATAACTTATGCAGAGTCCTGATCAGCGGTTCACTGACTTGGATACAAATGCCAACGTGGCTGTCAGACCCGAATATCCTTCTCCAACTACAACACTCATGGCGAGAGTGGAGGCATCAAAAGAGTCACTTCCACATTGCTCTGATCCATTGAAGTTGTTGTTTGTTGACTGATTACCGTGCAAGGTCGCGTCTATCACTAAACCTGTTGTGAGGAGTGCACCGCCCGTCATGTTCCACGGTCCATTTGTAAAGGCGCCTGAACTGTTAGCAGCCCCGTCGAACGATCCACCACTGAGGGCCAAAGGAGCGTTAGGGAGCTCATAAATGAAAGCCAGAGCGATGTCAGCCAAAGCCTCCCCAGAGTTTGTTGCGACAACCACCGTGTTGGCTTGTACCCAAGAACCCGAGGCAACAAGCGAGAGAAAGAGAAGATCCCTGAGAATCATGATATCTGCCAAATATTACTTGAAAGAGACTCCACCTGGAATCTTCCTAAATCAAAAAGAGAAGAAATGCTCCGAGCGATTGTCAGACTCTTGAGGAACTGTTAAGCCTGGGCCACCTCAAGAAGAAAAAGTAGACAAACCGCATAAGGAAGGCATTTAATTGATCATGCAAAAGTGAGAAAGGCAGCAGTGTGAGGGACGGAACAAAAATTATTATTCTCCTATGCTGCCTCGACTATAACTTTGACAAGCACCTATAGATGCTTTATTGTGGATGTACTTTTTGGATGGTTCCCCCTTCAAGACAACGGCTGAGGCGGTTTACTGGTTTTTCACGCCATCTTCAAAGATCGAGTATTCTTCCTTAACACACCTTGAATTTTCTCTGCTGGGCGGTACATTCGACCAGCAGACCGCTAGAGGATGTTAGCTTGTTGGCGTTTGTTCATTACGAATTACGCGCACAAAGGGGCGGGATTGGACCGCAGTTTCGGAAACCTGCCAGCTCGCCTCTCCCGATGAAGTGAGCAAGGTAGCCTATGGTGCACCTGGACGAGGACCTGACGGTGGCAGGCCATGGATCTCACCCAAATTAGTTCTGTGGGACATCCCTCCCGATTCAACACTCTTGTCACGATGTCGTGAATCTGTCCAGCGTTATTCGTGAGTTCTAGAGATGCGTGCTCATGTTTGCTTGTGACATGACATATTGTGTAAACAAGAAAATCCAGCGTGGATCGTCCTATCGAGTTTACTATCAAGAGAGCCCGCACTGTTGATGACCATTATTTGAGTAGCGCGAGCACTGTCAAGAGAAAGCCATCAAGACAAATCCAAATCCAGCTGGGACTTTAGGCTAGGCTCGAGTGTCTTGAAGCAACAGAACGTGGGCTCACAAAGAACCGGTCCCCTAGTAGAACGTGCGGCGACGGCGATAACTACCGCCCCACCAAGGGCTGTATGTGCGATAGTCTCGCTGGGTGCTGACGCCGACCTGGTCAGCGACGTTATAGTAACCCTCGCGAGTGAGTCTGCCCTGCTTGATGTCGATGGCCTTTGTGAGCTCTTCATCGCCCTCCCAAGAACTGCGGCAGTATGGACAGGGAATCTGAGCGGCAGCGCCACCGCCTGCCTGTCGCTTTGTGGCAGCCCACATCTCGAAACATTGTCGATGGATGTTCTGGCCGCAGGCAGCCTTGCACCAAACCAATTGCTCCTTGCCGGGGCTGGACTTCATTTCTTCGAAGCAGATGGGGCAGTCTCCCTCGACCGGCTTGCGATTATTGTCCTTGTGATCGGAACCGCCTTCCGCCGTGGTTGTGCCAGGCGCGTTGTCCATGATCTCCTTCAGCTCGGTGCTGAGAAGAGCCAGCTGGTAGACATGCTGAGGCTTGGCGCGGAGAACTTTCTTGAGGACGAAGACGATGTGTTTACACTGGTTGCGGCCTCTTGCGTGAGGACAGTCGCAGGTGGGTTGACGGGCGATGCAGACATTGTAGATGTTGCCCGTGCTGCCGGAAACTTGCAGGTTCAGCTCTGGGCAGTCTTGGGTGCCGCCTCGGGTGCGAGAGAGGACGAAGAATCGCTGTGTCGTGGCACGCTCGAGGATGGCAGCGAAGGCGGCAGGTGGTTTGTCGCGGAATCTGGAATCTCGTAAGAATGTTAGTCCAATGTTAACCCTGAAGCCATCTTGCAAGCAGGTCTGCTAGCCACAAATGTTTGGGGTTGGACGGGCCGTCGCAGGCGCTTCTCGCCACCGTCAGCTCCGGCGGTCTTCGCCTTAGACGTCTTCTTGTTAGGCGGAACGTCTTCCAAGTATCCATCATAGGCCTCGTTGGTTGCGTAATTGGCTGCATAAGAGTCCTTATTGTCCTCAGCGGGCGTCTCAGCCTTCAACTTGCGCTTGTGGCCATGCGCACTGGTATCATCTGTAACGCCTGTGTGGAAGCTTGAGGATGGGCCGCTCCCAGTCGCGCTCGAACCAAGCGCGTTCTGGTAAGGGTCGATGCCCATGGTGTTGTGTGTGTGCGCGTGCGCGTCCGCATGCGCGTGCGCGTATGTATATCTGTCTGTATGTCCGTTCATGTGCGTATGGAGTGGCTGTACAAATCAATTGAGCTGGCTTAGCTGAGGATCGAGCAGTCTGTGTCTAGTCAAGTCAGGATAAACAAGATGAGGTGATCACATTCCACATTGGCAGAGTGGACAGGACCCTCTGGAGTGGTGCAACAATGGGACCCTGCGCGTATCCTGGAAAGGAATAGCGGGTTGCAGTATACACATATACGTCATCGCCGTTGTTTACCCAGCAAGTCCATTACTTTTTAATCATGTCAAGGAGGACAATTACCGTACAATCCTTGCCCACCAGTGTCAGCTGCAGGGTTTAGAGGAACCATAGAGGGCTTAAAGAGCCATCAAGTTTGCAACAAGCAAGAAGAAGAGATTCATCACAAGATTTTGGTGTGCTGGCAGTGTTAGGGAGGGGGAGGTCTCAAAGTTACCGAGGTATAAACGCATTCATGAAGTTGTACCCATGGACAGTTCCAACATGAAGAGCCTCTCGACAAGCCTTGTCCGCTGCATTGAGGAACTAGAAATTTTGTGGGTGATGAATGTGCCTGTGTGTGTTGTGACAAGAGGCTGGCGCAGCGGTACTCAGCGACCACAATCTCTGGCACGATATCACAATCCCATGTATCGTTTTCTCAAAGAGTTGGTCTTCCTCCAGCGTATGTTGATCTCTCTGACAGAACGAGGCAGAAGGCGGGCCTTTCTCCAAACCGGGTTCGGAGCTCTTGTGTTCCTGGAGGTATTGCAGTGGCTCTTATTCTTCGGCGACATATCGACGAGAAAGTAACGTTGGTGTATGGACCAGGCGATGGACATCGGTGGGGTAAAAGTAGCACAGAAAGATCCAAGGCTAGGGTTGATGGGACCTTCAGTGTCTTTATTCAGCGGTAGTATTCGCGTGACTGCATCAAAGTCCTAGTCCCTAGGTGTCTCACTGTCTCTGTAGTTCATATTTCTAACCTTAGCCGATGGACACCCCTAGCCAAGCCCCCCCTCCCAGAAAAGGACCAGGGGGGGGGGGGAAAGAGAGATACACAGAGAGAGCGAGGTGTACGCAAGTATATAGGGGTAATGAAGGGATCTCAGGCATACCCTTCCAGTGATCGGGGACGCGTCGCGACCCACGCCGACCGGTAAAGGCACCATGCCATAAGAATCTCCTTACTGATGGACCTCGGGGCTGTTAGTAGTGATCAGGAGCGCTCCGCCACGGCTGTGGACCCTGCATCATCCCCGAGATTGACGACGAGAGCACAAGAAAGTGCCCTGAGATCATGATCTCTTTGACCACTTACAGCCGTGCTGCCTAAATGCTGGCAGGCTGGAAATGCATGCAGGGCGCAAAAAGTCATTGCACGGCCTGCCTAGTCCGTCTTAAGTTGAAACAAACGAAAGGCAGCGGCTCGATCGACTTTGTGCATGCTGCGCAGATCTGCACGCTTGTCACGAGTTCCACCTTTCTACTATAGTATAAACGAATCGCAGACTCTTTCTCTCTGTCTTCAAAGGTTACATGAGACGACTTTTGGTTCACGTAGCAGTCAGCGCAGGTGGGTGCTCAGACCTGGCCCCCTTTGCGCGCTGCCAGGTTTCTCTTTTGGCAACCTGCCTGACTGGGAATTCTGTAGACGATGACGCACCCCCCTTCAGGTCTGTTCGGCCCCTGCTCGTTGTGCCATTGGCTGCCCGGGTCTGGACCCTCGACTTACACACGGGCATGCGGTGGGATCTCCCTCCGTGGGGTGTGGGCACCTGCATTAGCACCATGGCTATGCACAATGACCGTCGCCGACAACTTCTCAGCCAAGCGTCCCACCAGCCAACCTAATAGCACTTGAGAGAGCCCAATATCTCAAAAATCCCCGATGGTACTATAGCACGGCAAATTCACCCGCAGAGGCAGACGTAATGGCTGCCTTTGCCTCGGGGGTTGGGTTCCCAAACCTGCTTGCATCCCTCTTGTAAAAACCCCCCTTGGTAAGCCCTAAATAAAAAAGTAATTCGGGGTCTTGGAGCAATACGGAATGGATTTGCAGATTATTTTCCATTCTCGTCCACTGTCTTAGTTATCGTCGCCCTCGAGAAAGTCTGATTACACCCACGCCAGTGACGCCACAACACCAAAACCGGGAATCCACCAGCGCAACCTTGGTCCGGATCGCCACGTTCTATACTTCCAGAATCAATCCCGCCCTGTCAAAAGAGACCCTTTTCACCGCTCCCAATCCCTTCATCGAAGCCGCGACTGGCTGAGCTGGACTCATAACCTTGTTCAACCGTTTTCTTTTATTTTGTTCCTCTCTCCTTTTTTGTGAGCACAGCAGTCTCTAAATAAACTATTCGCGAACCTGCCCATTGCTATTATCCGGTGTGCGTCAGGCACATATACACTCAGTCTCAATCGACATTTCTAGACGACAAATTGCTCCTTAGAGAGACCCGACTTTCACTCCACCTGGGGTCAAAACAGTGGTAGCTCCGTCTCCAGGCTCCCAAGGCCCACCATGAAGTTCACCGTCGCAATACCGCTCGTCGCCTCCATTGTGAGCTTCGTGCTCACCATCCTGGCACTGCTTGCCGGCAGCCACAAGGGGTTCATGGAGGACTACCACGTGGTTATGGTCAACACTTCCACGCTCGGCCAGAACTTTTTGGCGAATCTCGCAGACGGTAGCAGTAGTTCCACGACCACGGGTACGACAACTTCGGCAACTCCCACGTCGACCGATAAGGGCGTGCTTGGCGGCCTAGGTGGTCTCTTTAGCTCCATCGAGGCCTCGGCGACTGCTGTCATTGGCTCTGTGGAGAGCGAGGCTGCCAGCATCCTCAACGACATCGGCAATGATGTCGCGGACAAGCTGTCGAAAGAGCTGGGCATTGAGCAGTTCTACTCATTCCACGTCCTCGACCTCTGCCAAGGTGACTATGCGCCAAACGCCACTGCGTCGGGCGCATGGCTGAACATCTCATCGTGTACCAAGTGAGGACCCCCCGTATCCCCTCTTGAATCTTTTTGGTTCCTCCTTCCAGCATGCTAATACGGTCTTCTCACAGGCCATTGAACTTCTGTAAGCTAAAATTGAACGGACTGAACTCCTCCAATCTAATGCATCCATTCTGAGGGACAGCGTGCTGACTACTGGAGCAGCCTCCATGGACATGTCTGACCTCCTCAACAAGCAACTGAGTCTCGGTCCATTCAACGTGTCCCTCTCGGATCTTGGATTTACCCAGAAGCTGGAGCAGAAGCTGAGCAAGCTGCCGACCGTTTTTGAGGCCCTGGCCGCTTTATACATCGTCAGCACCATATTCACCGGCCTGTCGATACTCGGCGCGGCAGCAGGCTTCTTCCTGATCCCGCAGAAGGGCCGCAAAGTTCTGGTTGCCAATCTCGGTCTTGCGCTAACCGCGGCCCTCGTTCTCTTCATCGGCAGCCTCCTGTACACCGTCGGCGCCACTGAGATGGTCAAGAAGATCCGTGAAGAAAACGCCGATGATATCGGACTTGAGGTCACCGTCGGCTCCAAGTTCCAGGGCCTCACCTGGGCTGCGTTCGCCCTTATGGTCGTCGCGACGGGTTACTGGACCTGGGAGCTCATCGCCGCCATCCGTGCCAGGAGAAGGAACCAGCGCACGCGCGGCAAGGTTGAAAAGCACTCCATGGACTCCAGCTGGGACCGTCGGAACTATAGATGAGCTCTCCTGGTTTGATATTCACCTGTTTCGAATCTTGTCTGGGAAGAAATTGTGTGTGTCGATCATCCGGGACGGTGGGCCTGGTGCCTCCGTACGCGCCGCTCTTTCATGAGACTAGAACGGTTGGCCGATACTTCGCACCCTCTTAAGGGATGTCGTCAGTTGCCTGTATGCGTCTGAATTAGTTGTGCATTATTTCTTATGTCTTAGAGATAGCTGAGGTCTCTTGTGAAGATTCAAATCGGTCTGGCTTCAATAAAAAAAATCAGGATGATGTCTGCGTCTTGGTTTGTGACAAAGAAAGGCGAGTGAGTATAGTACGATGAACCATCCCAAGTAACAACATTGCGTAATTAATTGGTGTGACGTTCATCAAATCCAAGTCCCAATTTCCTTGTCCGTGGCCTGGATCAACTTAACTATCTACTTCCTTATGATGATGAAAAGGCCAGCCTGATTCACCTTTGGCGTGCTGTTGCCCAAGTGGTCGTCACCGAATAAAATTCACATGAATGACATGCAAACATGATCATGTTGCGAATCTAAAGTTGAGGATACGTAGTAATTGGAAGTGACCACGGTCAAGTACCTAAGATATAAGAGTAATATCTGTGATAGCGTTTGCAAATGATAGTTGAAGGTGTGCCTGACCTTGAAAGCAATACATGATTCGGGAGGAAGATGAGAATCTTTGCTGACAAATGTACTTGAGATTCGGACAACATCAATTATTCCTATAACCTACGCGGGCTATATCGCTCGGCCCAAGTTCACAACCCACGTTCTGCCGTTTCAGACGGAAGCCCTCACAAGTAGGACCAGAGAGCTGAAGGAACAGAAGGTTCAGGGTGGCTCACTCCTTCGCCTTGGCGATTCTCACCTTCATCTTCTCAACCAACAGATCTTCGTCGAAGATACCTGTTACACTCGGCGATTTGATGACTGCCTCAGACCACTTGTGGAAATTGGGTGCCTGCTCAGCAAAGGCCGTGAGGAGGCCGGCTGGTAGAAGTCCGTGCTTTGCAAACACCTTGAGACGGAGCACAAATGGTGCCGTCAGGACCTTATGACAATACAATTAGTATTGAATTATGTATCAATGGGGGCCCCCGTAGTAACTCACCTCGGCAAACGTGAGCTTGTTGCTGCCTCCAAAGAACGGGCCAGCGTCTTGGAGCAGAGGCTCGATCTCCTTCACTACGACCTTGACCAGGCTGTCGGCGAGCTCGCCGGCCTCATCTTCAGCCTTAGCCTGCCACGTCTTCGTGTACACGCTGTTGCACTTGGAGAACCATGCATCGACAAAGAAGGCAATGCGGGCCCGAGTACGCGGGCCCTTGGGGTCGGAAGAGGCCGGAAGAAGGTGGCTTGGGTACGTATCGGCCAGGAACTGGGCCACAATGGCGGACTCGGTGAAGATCTCGCCGTTGTAGGAGAGAGAGGGAACAAGTCCACGCGGGTTGACTTTGAGGTATTCCGGAGTTCGGGGGACGCTGAGGTCGATGATTTCCTAGAATTGGCACGATCAGCTTGTCATTCTCACACAAACACATAGCAACCGCTTGCTCCTCTTTCAATAGTCAAAGTCCTTTACTCTTGCGAAATCCTCGCCAGCGTCCCTTGTCGGCCCCGACCTTCCGTGTCTAATTAAACCCCCCTCCCCCAACCCTCCTTTTTTAATTATTATAATGGTAGAACAGTGTAGCAAAGATTTCACTTACCTCCTCAAACGAAAGTCCTAGTTCCGCTAGAGTTATGTGTGCCCTAAACGATGCCTGAGGTTAGCCCGTCTGAACTGTTAGGCTGTTTCCAAATCATGACCAGTGAGTTCATGCGACTTCTGTAGCCTCGCCCTGGGGGTCCTGAGGACCCAGGCTAGATGTCATCGTACCTATGCGCCCCTGGGATCAACTTTAGCCTTTGCTGCTTTCATAGTCACGACATCAGTGAACGAGACCGCATCCTTACATGGACATCCATGGTTGGTATAGAGCTTGATAGCTGCATTTTCGGAACCCATTTTGGATGATTGAACCGTGTACAATAACGATGAGAATGACTTTGAGTGTCTTGGATTTAGTGATAGAACCGAATATGTGAAGCCTACATTGATTCCCTGGCCGATGCGATGGTGGAGGGCCATCGCATTATTAATACTCCCTCACATTCCCCGCATCAATGGATTTCAAAGCCGGATTGCATCATTCACGGTGGGATGCCGTTTGCCGGAATGCGGCCCAATAGTTGAATAAGCAGCAGCCATTTGTAAGATCCTGTAGGTCCATTCACTCTGTAGATTTTGCTCAAGCGTTGACCTGGCACTTGTATCATGTCTACTAGATAGATGGTGGCCAAAATAAAGCTATAATTGCGCTGACTGTTATTCAAGTCAGAGCTACGCCATCGGACCCCGGCCTTGTGGTCGAACCCGAACGGGAGCAGGCTAGTCCGGCCCTCTCTGGTGTCCGACCGTGCAGCCGAATTCCATATACTAATTCCGGCGTGGGCCATGCTCTTCCAAAACGAAGATTCCCATTCTGATGGATTTTGCTTCGTCGGTCCGTCTTGACTGTACACTCACAATCATCAGGATACTCGGCTCCACGTCAGCCACGGGCCCATATTCATTTCCCGGGTACCTGATGTGGCTTTCCTCCAACCTTCCGGCCTCATAAGGTCTAGTATTTGGCGCCTAATTCTTTTTCCTTCTTGATCTGATCCTGGTCGACAACGATCACTGCTTTCCCTTGCATCTTGCCACTGTGCACCTTCTCCAGCAAAGTTTCAATTTTATCCAGGCCGTCAAAAACATTTGTCTTGACACTGACCCCGTTCTCTGCGATAAAATGTACCATATTCTCGCTCTCCTGTGGGGACGAGACTACGCTACCGTGGACGCTGCACAAGCATTAATACATGTCAGCTATCGGCCGAGCAAGAAAAAAGGGTGAGCTGGAGAAACTGCTACAAGACGTCTCAAGACTCACCGAATGTCACGCATTACCAGTTCCTGGAATGGGATAACAACCTCGGCCGGTTGAGCGATTTGAACCATGGTTCCGTGCATCTTGGTCACTGCACACCCCAGAGCCGCAGCCGATGGTGCGTCCGAGAGCGTGACAGTGGCATCCGTCCCAGTACCCCCAACAGCTTCTTGAATCTGCTTGACGACAGCGTCCTTCCCCTTTCTCGCATCCACGACAAGATCAGCACCCATGGTCCTGGAGATTTCCAGGCCATCGTCCCGCGCATCGATCCCCACAACCTTCAGACCCTTCTTCTTGGCAAACTGAACACCCAAGTGCCCGAGACCCCCTCCAGATCCGACGATAGCAAGCCATTGCCCCGGTGCGAGACCAGCCTGTTCGACCCCTCTCCACGACGTTCGTCCTGCACACGCCAGTGGTGCGGCACTGAGAAAGCTGATCTCGTTAGGCAGTCTTGTCGTTGAGCGTGCATCGCAGACGGCATACTCGGAGAAGAATCCGTTCCTGTGTACTCCGCAGTGGCCTTCAACGCGGATACAGTATTGCCGCCAGGACTCTGTTGGGCCAGTGCAGTCGAGACACTTGCCACAGGAGTGAAACGGGAGTCCACACATAACGCGCGACCCCTTCCAGTCCTCGACGGATGCCCCACCGGCCACAACAGTGCCAGCTCCTTCGTGAGAAGCAATGACTGGGAGTGAGGTGCCGAAGATCCCCTGCTGGATCATGCTGTCCGTATGACAGTAAGAAGCCACGGCTATTTTCACAAGCAGATCATGTGGACCGAGTGTGGTAGGATCTGGGACATCGACCGTATTGATCTGGTAGGGTTTCTTGAACTCAACAACCTAAACACGCAAAGACGAGTGTTTGATGTCAGCAATGCTGTGGGCATCCTACCAAGTGAATTGCGATGCTCATGTGCACACTTGCCTGGATAGCCTTCATCTGCTTTGGTATATTTTCTGCAGCCATTTTATCACTTGGGAATTGTTTCTCTGAGAACGATCTGGCAATGTGGAGAAATTCACGCAGAGAGGTAATCAGAGAGTCATCGGTCGCATGCAAGATGAACTCTGTCAAAAAGAATTTCCGTGGTGCTAAATATGTTCAAGAAGGTTCATAATGTCGAAACCCCTCAAGAGGAGTAGACGTGAATGACGTCGTTGGTTGCAATCGCCGAAGCCGACGGCGATTTCACATTTGCGCTTTCGGATTTACATATACCGGGTTCGCGCAGTCCTTGGCTCGTGCAAAGCATATCGGTCGTAAAGTTTTTTTTGCGCGACACCATCGGAGAAACACGAATTTGTTGCACGCACTCAAATATTTCACACTAATTGATTATATCCCCCTCTCCCTCCTTTCTCCACTGCAGGAGACGCACCAAGCGCTGGAAATAGCTGCCAATACAAGATGCCTGCTGCTGCAACTGTACTGACGCCGGGACTTGATTCTCAAGAACCCAACTGACCTCAGCAGCAACAATATGAGGCCGTTCGTCAATGATATCGTGTCCACAATCGTCCACCCGCACGTACCGGGCATTGGAGCTGAGGCCGAGCTGGGCTCTCTTCAGCCGCTCGTCCTCCGCAGCCCACAAGTCCCTGAGCCTCAACTCCTCGGCAGAGGTGCTACCACCGCGTTTTCCGAGCAGCGAATCAGCGTGGATGACACTCAGGGGCTTAGAACCGAGGATCTGCTTCTTGTACTGCTCGGCCTCGTGCTTGATCGGGGTCTCTTGGCCCGTCTCTGCAAGGACCATACCAGCGACCTGCGTGGGATGCCACTGAAGGAATTGTCGTGCTATGGCGCCCCCGTAGGAATGTGCGATCAGGATGTACGGCGGCCTCAGCTGCAAGGCCTTAAGGAGGGCATCAAGATCAGATACGGCTTCCTCAGGCGTTTGGGAACGCGAGACTGCCATCGTGTTCTGTCCAATTTTCCGCCTCTCATAACACAGAACTTTTGTGTGTTTGCTGATTTCCCTCATCAACGGGAGCCAATAATCTATGTGCGGGCCCTGTCCGGAACCGTGGCAGCAGATCACACAGACGTTCGGAGGTTCGTTGGCTGAATCTTTGACTGGAACATGAACAAGGCCTTTGTCGACATCGCTGTGAAGGAGAACATAGCTGAGCTGCGTGTTTGGATCCACTAACGTGGCGGGATGCATTATGACCTGGAAGCCTTATGCGCTGGCTTGAAGATGAAGTGATTGCATTCGCACAAATGGCGCCTGGACAGTTTGAAGATACGCAGCGACGTATTTATGAAATCTTGTTTGATGATAAATAGTGGCGCTTTTGGTAGCGGACAGCAGGCAGCAACCATGGGCGCAGTGCTGGACAGAGCTCTGCCAAGCGCTGCGCCACACTGGTATAGAAACTCGCATTTGGCTTCTGGAAAAAGGAAAAGCGCCCTGGAGGAACCCACCGGCCCAGCCATTGTATCAAAAATACAAGAAAAAAAAAGACTGTACAGCACGAAGCAATAGTTTTGGTACGATGATTTCATTCCACCCTAGTCATTATTCTACTCTTCGATGGCATGTCACGCACCCTTCGCAGAGCCCATAATACCCCCACCCTGTAATCCTCAGCCTACCAAGCGACTGGCTCGGGCAAGATGCTCGGGCTGTCATCATCGCTCCTGATGGTGTCGAGGATGAGATGCTCAAAGGTGGACGAGTACTCAACTCGAGGCGTCAGCTGCTCGACACCCCACAGCTGTGACAGGAAATTCAGGATGCTCGTGTGGGTGTACTCGCCGCCATAATTCTGCCCCTGGTTCTCGATCAAGCCCTTGCCGACCCACGGCGAGATGAGCACCGTCGGTACTCGCACACCCAACCGGTCGAAGGCGAAGGTGATATTCTGGCCGTCCTGCGCCGTCTCTGTGTACGTCAAATCGTCGCCCGCGGGGACGTTGACAGGAGGAGGCCTGTGAGATAGATTTTAGCTTGAAAACGCGCCAACACTGAGGGCATATTTGCTCAGCATACACATGGTCACCGAATCCGCCGTGCTCATCAAACGTCAAGATGAACAGCGTCGTGTTCCACTGAGGTGAGTTGCGGATGGCCTCGTAGATGCCCTTGATGAAAATCTCTCCAAGGACGATAGGCGAGGGCGGATGGAAACTCTTGTGAGGCGGTTAGCACGAGTGTGAGGTTCAAGCGAGGCGATGAGTGAACAACTGCTTACCTGGTAGGAGCAACACTCTGGGTTGATGTACGTAAACTGCGGGAGGGTGCCAGCTGCAGCGTCGGTGTAAAAGTGCTCAATCGCCTTGATGTTTGTCACGTTGGCCCCAGACTCTGCCGTCCACTGGAGTTTTCGATCGTTAGCATCTCATTCACCAGAGAACAAAACATGCTTTTCCACTCTCTCATTTATCCTTTCCGCCCAGCTTCTTCTTTGGGGAAGAGGAACCGAAAGAGAGGGAAAAGTGGGGCGGGTGGAAGGTTTTGTCAAGTGCGACGTCGCGACAATACTGACCGAGTAGAATGCTGCATCTGGGTTGAATCCCAGCCTAAGGTTCAACAGTAAGTTTTTCATTCGTGTATATGGGACAAAACTTAAGTTGAATACCCTTACCCGGGTCCGGTGGTGCTGTTTTGGTAATTGGTCCAGGTGATGTTGTTCTCGCTCAGGGCCTGGAATATGCTTTTCTGCGGGAGCCCGTACACATCAAAAGCGTCGTCGTTCTCTCCATGGCCGTGCGAGGTGCCGCTGGTGATATAAGCTCTGTTGGGGTTTGTAGGTCCCGGCACAGAGCAGAACCACCGGTCGAACAACACAAAGTTCTCCGCTATTGCGTTGAAGACGGGAATGTGTTCAGGCGTCTGTAACAAAGTTCAGCAAGAATCTTTTCACTTGGCCCATCTGAAGCATCATGTTGTCCACCACTCACATAGTAGTTGATTGCCTCGGCCGCTCTTGTCTTGTTCAGGGTGTCAAACGTAATCGACTGCTCCGTGACGAATCCACGCATCGTCTCGTACTCCCAGTCCGCCGCCTGAGCCACCGCAGTCTCGTTGGGGTGGAATGTGCTGAAGAGTTGCATGTTTACACCGCTGATGCTGTGGTTAGGATCATCCGAGGCCACATCCGCAGCCAAGGGCCCAGCACAGATGTCAGCAGCCTCTGACGGGTCACTGGCGTTCAGGCTGTTGCAGTAGTTGTGGTGCAGGAGACCGTCGATAGTGCTGTTATACGTTAAACCTCCGGCAAAAGAATCGAATGATCTGTTTTCCTCCACTAGCACCACGACATTGGTGATCTTGCTGCGCCAGTCGCTGTTATCCGAGGAGGTATGTGTTTGGATGTTGCTGATCCCGGGGGCGGCACCGGCCAGTCCGGCTAGAGCCGCGAGAATGACGGCCTGGATTGCCATTTCTTTTGGTCCGAGGTCTGCTTGGAGACAACAAAAGCGTTCATGTACAGGAGAACAGTGACGCGCCGTGATATTTCATGGTTTATAGATGCTACATTATGACAGTACTTTATCTACTACGCCTTGATTAAGAACCGACCAATACACAGAGGATGCCCACTTAGGCTTGCAGCGATCAACCGCATTATCGATTTCTCTTATGCGATGTTACCCCGCTAAGCGTCGGTGTGTATATGTTTTCTCCGGGCTGGGATCCGGTCAGGGTAGTTAGGGAATCATGTTCCTGGCGCGTACTACATCTTGGCCTTTCGCCCACGTGCTCTCTGAGGTTCTGGCGGAGGGATACGAGTAAAATAAGTTAGAGTACCGTATTCATGCAGGATTCTGGAGGGATGACCCCGTGTCTGTATCTCAAAGATGCAGTGTTCTGGCGAATTATTTGTTCCTCTTCCCCCCTTCTTTAGGTAGCTGAGCCAAAGGTGCACGTGCTAAAGCCATCGGAGCGAGCCTGATATTGACAGGCAGTGTCGCATGTCATTATGAAAGGAAGATCCGTATTTGACGAAGTGAATACGCTATGGAGATAAACCGGGGCTGACATCCACCCACCCCCCGCCCCCCCCCCCCCCAACACACACACACAGGACTTTTCACCACCTAATACTATCTGCTCACAAACACAAGGCGCCTCAGGTCGACACTAGCCAAAAAGTTGGGGTTGTGGCAGCCAAGACGGCAGAGCCGGCACCGACACATGGCCTCGAGAAGGAACCTCAATGGACCGTTTATCGACCCCAGGGAAGGCGGAAGATCATGCAGGATGCAAATCTCCACTTAGTTGACCCACTGTGGAGGAATTCAACTATCCCCAATCTGGCAGGTCGTTCAACACCTGCTTCATCGACATGTTGTGTATGGATGGTGTAAGCGTTTGGATTTTTATACCACTGATTGACTTTAGACAGGAACACGTGCAAACTGAAAGACGATATGAAGGCTTCGATATGCCCTTATCTCTGCTCCCTCCGCGAAAAGAAGAATGAAAGAGAGAGGAGAGAAAGAGTGAAATTGGATGCAGAGAATTCTTCGAAATTCATGCAAACTCAATATCAGTAGATACTAATGGCTATTAATAGAAATACAAAAAGACAAGAGAATGCCCAATACATATATAGTTCTTGGTTAATGACTAAACTGTGATAAATTCCCTTCTGGTGATCATTAAGTCATTGATTGTCCCAATCCGTCGGCAGTCAAGCCCAATTGAGCCCAATTTGGCCCGAAAGTTTTTCACGAGCAGGCGGGTTGCGAGGATTGGTGGTTACATTTACGCTTCACAAGGAGCAGTACTTAAGGCTTTATCCAAGTCGACCTCAATCTGGTTTCACTTTACAACTCTTAGAATTTAAATTGGAGATATCGATCTGGACTTCTCCTATGATGCCAAAGAAGAAAAGAAGGAAAAAAAATCTACTTGCTCAATTCCATATTTTGCTCCATCCAGATTGGAGAGCAGTCTATTCGGAATAAAAGAAGAAGAAAAAAGTGATCATGCGAGGCCTTGGTGAAGGTCCCAGTGCGAATCGCTGCCAGCCGCGCTTCCTAGATCTTGTCCCCAGACGTCTCTGAGTCATGACCACCCTGGTCATCGGCCATAATCGGATATTCAGGTGAATCGCCAACCAGAGGGGCGTCCACAGATGTCTTTTTGTGGCCAGGGCAGTCAGGCATTTTCATCAACGAGGCCGAAGCACCCTTCGTAGCCCTGTCAAGCATCTCTTGCCGAAGTTCGGACAACTTTTCATATTTGTCCAATATATCCCGGAAAACGCCTTCAATGTTCATCTGCGAGATAGCTCGCACCATGTTCTCATTATCCATCAATCTTTGTAGGTTTGACCACGGGGCGAGAGACTCTCTGTGATGTAAAAGGGCATCTCCCACTCTTCAGAGGTGGTATCGGCGTCGTAGGTAGCGAAAAGGGGCTGAGCGACCGGGATCAAAACATTTTTCGCGTAATTAGACATGGCAAAAGGCTCCCATTTCGACTGTTCAGCCAACGTAGAGAAATTGTCGACTTTCTTTCGGAGGTCATCTCTCTGTGGTTTGGTGACCCGTAAAACCCGAGTTATGGTCAAGATCGTGTTTGCTGGATTGGAAAGACCACGTTGGCGCAGGCACTCTTGAAGCGACAAGTACAGGACCTTCGGACCCGCGCGGTCAAAACCAAGTTCTTTCAAGACACGGGCCAACTTGTCCTGAAGCTCTTCACAGAGCTCTTTGTGTTTCTCGGTCTTGTACTTCGAGATACCTCCATATTGGCTGACGGCTTTGATCCTCTCAATGCCTTCGCTGGTAAATCCAACGACACCATGTTCCCCAACGTTGACGAGTAGGGGATCAATGATGCCTGCTGCAGCACCTTCCCTCAAGACCGCCCGGTGAAGCCATGTGAGGAAATGTCTTTCTTTCTGGGAACTCAAAAATGATGGAAGTTCGGAGTCAATCTGTTCGCTCATCTGTTCGACAGTCTTGACACGTTTTGTCTTCTGAGGAGAATCGTCACTGGAGACCATCTTCCTCTTTGAGGGCTTGGTATCTTCACCCAACACGCATTTATGAGCGTAGTTCTTGATCTGTAACGCACTCATGGAGCTGAGAAATTTTGCCACGCGTTTCGAATGATAGCGACTGACTGGTCCTTGGTTCTGTTGCGTCTGAGAAGTATGCTCGTCTTCACTTTCCACTTCGTCCAGAGCTTCATCCACCTCTTCTTCGAGGCCGTGTTCATCGGCCAACTGATAGAATCTGTCTCGAAGCTGCGTAACGCGTGCGTCGAGCCGTAGATTTTCTCATATTTCTCGTGAACCTGAACCTTTCGAATCAGCTCACTGCAATCGTCGAACTTGGCGACCTCAATGCGGCGCTCTTGAAAGCCCGCTTCCATTGCCACATTCTGGGCGGTGAGCTGATCATTCTCTTCTTTTATCTCCTACTTGCGAGTTGTAAGCTCTTGGACTTCTCGCTGAGGCTTGACTCGTCCACGGAGGCCAGTTTGTGACGTATTGTCAGCAGTTTCGAATTGAGCTCTTCAATCCGGTCTTCGTAACTCTGCTTCATTTTGTTGAAGCGGAAGTCGCACTCAGAGTTCTTGCATCGGCTAGCGTCATTCGAAGAGTCTTCCATGGTGCTGGTGGTGTGGAATGATGGTTGGAGGTCTTAATTTCTGAAAGATGATGGTTTTTGGTTGCCTGGCACGATAAGCGCTGTGCTACTTTTGAATGACAAGTCAACGGGGTGTTTGATGGTATGGTAAAAGTGAGGGGAACACCGTACATCGAAAGTGGGAATTCGAACTTCTGTTGTCTGTTTTGATTCAGGGTTTGCCGCTGAACTGGGACGTTCCTTCCTCCGTACCTTCGAGAAAGAGGGGAATTGTTGAGAGCTGCGCTTCCTGTCGCCCAACAGATTTCTCAGCTGAGAAAGTGGCGTCAGAGAAGAGAGAACCTCCAGAAGTAACAGAAATGGGCAAATTCAAGGTCAAGGAGGTGTGAGGAAATAGTCTTTTCAGTTAAGTAGAGAAGGGAGTGTGAAAAGAAGACGATCACAGTCTTGGTGTTTGGATGGGGAGATGCGCTTCCTGTTGCTAAGAACTTTCTCAGGTGAAAGGTAGTGGAAGACAGGAGAGAGAAGTCAGAAGTAATGGGAACGAGCAGATTCCAAGGTCAAAAAATAGTGTGAGGAGAGTGCCATTTCAATTGAATAGAAGGGAGAGTTTAGATGGAAAAGGGCCACTCACGGTGTTGGGGAGTGGATGGGGAAAGAAAAGAAATCCCCAGACGTTGAAGTTTCTGCTCTTATCTGACCAGGACCAGACCCAATAACTCTTACCTTCTGTGTTGAGGCTTCTGAAAATGTGTGCGAGAGGAAGGTTTGCCGCAGAGGTCGTCAAATTGCATGGAAGTTGAAGTGGAAATGTTATATGTGTGGTGGAACTTGAGAACGGAAGGTCATAGAAGCTTCTGGCAGCCACGAACCGATCGTAGTACGGTTCGTTTTTGTTGTTTTTCAAAGGCTGCAAACTGCGAGATGCAAGCTACTCGATCATATGGAAGCTCAACAGTCTGACAAGTTTGTCGACGGAAAGACGGGTTTTGGTCGTAGTCCGCACGAACTGTGCGTTGGAGTTCTGAGAGATCAGCTGGCTAAAGGAATGGAGGACAAGTATGAGAGAAGAGAAGAGAAGAGCCTGGATAATCAATTCGTTGCTTTCTATTGAAAAAGTTGGCTGAACCAGGGATTCATATGGTTACGGGAAAAAGAGGAACGCAGAGTCCCCCACTTGCGGCCAGCATTTTCTCATCCAGGCGTGAAGGAAAGAGAAAAGAAAAGCCCGTTCATTTGGCCCAACAATTTTCGATCCAGATTTCGAAATGAGATTACCGTTCTGAATTGAGACTCCCATCGGGGCTTTTGAGCCCAAAGCCTTGATTCCAAGCTGAGATGTGAGGTCAGCCTGACTTCGCGATATGAACTTGTTGAGCCAAATCAGCGCTTAAGCAAATTTGGCTCACTTCCCTCAACCAGGTCTGTTAGGTGGGGTGAAAACATAGTCACAAAGATGGAGAGGAGGGTGCGATTTTCTAAAGACTGATTTCTGTATGCTGTTGAAGAATCAATTGGCAAGAATGAGCACTCCAGCAGACTGGATTTGTTGAGGATGATAACTTGTTGAGAGAGATGAGATGAAGGTGCCTGGCAGCTTACAGACCAAGCGTACACACTGGGATGAAAGCAGGTAGCACCTTCCGATCCATAAAGCCAACAAAGACAGAAAAAAGAAGGGGAGAGGCGCTAATGAGTGACTCGCGAGTGAGGTTCAAACTCCATGCTCAAAATCATGTCAAATCCATCTGAACAGACGCCTATCGCATGACTTCCGTGATGTCTGTCCGACTCACCGCTCGGTGCATATAAAGAGCCGAAGAAGAGAGGACAGCGGAATTCTGCAGGACAGTCTTGATGCCTTCTACAGAATCACATTTGGATGCTGAGCAGAGCGGCAGTGGGTTTCCATTGAGGGTATCTAGTGGCAACAGCGTGAGTTGTTAGCACCTTCATGGACACGCCTCAATCAACCTGGCAGCATCGCAGTGTTCGGCTGTAGCAGGTGAACTTCTACAGTCAATATGGAATTAACATTGGAATAAAAAGCCTGAACCATAACATATACCAAAACCCACAAGGGGTGATGTTGAATTGTCAAGATTGTGCATTTTTTCTTTAGTAACAAGCACGAAGGAGAGAAAGAGGAGGATTCGATACGGACATCAGACACTGCTATTCTTCGAAGTTCGTATACTCCAAATAATTTACATCCACCATGTGGCGGCTTGCAAGAGAATGAGACCTTGACTCATCCTGCACAACACTTGACCACCGTGACAGCTCAGATCTCGAATCGAGCTGCCTAAGAGTGGTATGTGACGGAGTAGATACCCCAGCTCGAGCCAGAAGAAGCCAGTTCAAGGCTGTCACTACTGCCCACAGACAAGTACTTACCCTCACTATTCTGAAGAGTATAGCCACCACCGCCAATATAGGCGATGCCAAATACCCCCGCTGTGCTGTTTCCGCTGGTCAGAGATGCATCAACGGTGATGTATCTCCCGTCTGCAGCGCTTGAAATCTCGAATTTTCCGAAATCATCGTCGGCGTCGGACAGAGCATGTAAAATCCAGCGCTGTGAAATGTTCTCATGATCGGTAGTAGCCGCAGTAGTCGTTACATCAGAGCTATCATTCGTGCCTGGGTTGGTCAAGGCAAAACCGTTCGTCTCGAAGACGAGATAATGCCCTTCGGTCAGGTAGCCGTAGACTTGTTTCCAACCATCTTCAAAGTAGAGCGAATCTTCAAGTGTCTGGTTGCCATAGGGAACCGGAGGGTCGACATCAGAATATGTTGCTTCACATGCCACGTATGTGCCGACGATATTGCCATCGTCGTCCGTGTATGGATATGGGGAAGAAGGAAGATCGGGAATGGAGTAATCGGGCTGAAAAACACGTTAACGTCTTTTCTCCATCTCTGGTCTTCATTTTTTCTTTTTGCTCTTCTCATATTCAACTTAATAGCCCAACTCTGCTGGATAGATTACTCACGTTATCAAAGTCAAAGGCGTTCAGAAGGTTGGACATATGAGTGCGCCGCCAGTCACTCATCTGAGTTGTAGTGATGTTCTCATATCCTTTCGCAGTCAGGTACTGCTCTATATAGAGAATGTGCATTCTCGTTAGCCCAGGAACTTTATTATTAATACACAAGGCAGAGTGTAATAAGACTCAAAGGATACTCCTCACCAACGAATAGAATATGTGAATTATGATCTGCATGCTCGGTGAAGACACGACCTCCTCTAGTGAAAGGCGATATGATAAAGAGAGGAATCCGGACACCTGCAAAGAAACAAAAGAAAATTATTAGTTTATGACGCCAGGAGTAGAGAGCATCGTTTCATACCAGGGCCGGAGAATTGATATCCCAGCTCGCCGTAAGGGTCTTCGAACCACTCGCCAGCTGTTCCTTCGGGAGAATGATACCAGACAGTGTCACCAAATCCGCCTCCCTCTGAGTTGTAAAAAAAAAAGAGTTAGCTCGTCCCTAGCAAGTCCTGAAGACTGGACTGGCCCGGAACCGATTTCTGTTGCCATCGTGAGACCTCATCTTACCATCATAGCAGATCAACAGGACGGTGGAGTCCCAGTTGGGTCCTTGTGTCACCGCATCCACGATATTCTTCATAAACCACGCGCCATCGCTGGGAACGTGTGGTGGATGTTCACGTGAATGAAGTTAGGTTATGCGATGTGAAATCGGAAATCGAGGGTATACTCACTTCACCGCCCCGGGTGGGAAGATCCAACTGATCTCAGGCAGTGTTCCGTTCGCGGCAGCTGAATAGAATCCATCCAATGAGTTCTGGTCACTAAAGGCAAGGCCACGCTGATAGAGGCTTGAATTCTCTGGAGCATTTTGGAAAGTATCGAAGTAGAATAGTCCGTTATTAGTCACGTAGTCATATTCATTCATGAACACGCCCCAATCGACTCCGGCAGCATCGTAGTACTCAGCTGTGGCGGGCCAACTACTACAGTTAGCCGAGCAGATGCGAGAGGCGAAGCGTGATTCTCCAGACTTACTATAGTGGAACACAGTTGAGATCAGTGGCCTCGCAACCTGTCCGTAGTTACATAAACAAACTTTTCCTATACGAGCTTGTAGATTAATCATTGGGATGTAAAGAAACTGACCTGGTGTCTGGTTGTCGTCGAGCACAACACCGCCTGCTCCTAGCGGCTGAGGACCACCAGGTACGTTGATAGATCCAGACTGCCACATCCAACGATTTCTGGACGTGATAAAATTGATTTTTAGCCTCGATTATAATTCATGGAGATGATAGTTATTACAGTACTCACGGGTCTGTGGCTGACATAACGCCTGCCTGAAGTCACTGTCAGTTCAATGCAGCTATTTCTAACAGAAAGGAAACAGACTTGGTAATGGTCGGCAACGGTAAATGAATCCGCTAGTGCATAGTGGAATGGGATATCCTGTCGTTTGTAGTATGCCCAAGCTTGAGGGGCCGAGCTGCTCTAATAAACCAAGCTATCAGTTATGTTCATTGACGTGGATGGCCTTGTACGGATCATAAGTCTTACCGGCCACAAATTGTTCAAACCTCCATTGTAAGCAATCTGTGTCGGAAGCCACAAGTTACTGCCAGGACTGAGACATTGTGTGCGGTTAGGCCAGTCGCCTCCGAGATAGTTCAACCAATAAGGCAAAAGATAATCGGTGTCATTGGTCAAGGATGATACGTCTCTGTTCTCATCAGCCTCTTCAACCTCAAATGATAAGAGACAAAACATCATCACAAAAAGAAAATCAAAAAATCTATACGTACTGGTACCATACGGGCAGTCCGTTCGGGTTGATTTGGACGTTGGGGTCAGCGAACCCGCGGACACCCTTCAATGTCCCGAGATACTGGTTGCACCGCAAAGTTATCTCAGTTGCTCAATCAAGGTGTCGTCACTAGTTATTACCACCTACGTGCATGAAAGATCGATTTTCCTGCATCAGCATCACCACATGCTTGACATCCGCAAGCGATGCGGCGCTTGCAAAGCGTAAAAGCGCCAGCAGACCAGCCCGTCGAAGCATGGTAGCATGTGTATGACCGATTTTACGAGCTCAGTCGGTCCTAATCAAACACCCCAATGCGAGACACGAACAGTTAACCTAGGCATATTATATAGCAGAACGTTCATAGAGGAACCTATTGTATATGGCTCACGCCATATAGGTGGGGCCGATTCCCGTCCGAATGCTATCTCGCTCAACGTCGCACGTGCTCGGTAACAGCTATCTCATCTGGGCTGCGTAACACCGAATCTAGACGCCGTACTTGCGAGGTCATTCCTTGACACCTGTTCCAGAAATGCTCTCCAGAACGGTGTCAATAGACTTCCCAGGCAGGCAGTTGGCATGACATGATATGCAGCTCGCATTGCGGAAATTGCTACATACTACAAGCCTGTCGGCTATGTTGCCGAGGTTTCTCCAAGGAATCTATTCCACACCACCCGTAGAATATGTTCCGGGAATACGAATATGAGGTGATGCTATTGGCCTGCAATGTAACCAGGCTCCCAATAGTTGATTGCTGCGATTGCCCACGTGCCGACTCTCGGCTAGAGATAGGGTCCCTTCTGATCTGCAAGCTGCAATGGTGTGGAACCGTGCGGTAACAACGCAGCATGCAGGTCTCATCACAGCACGCCCAGGATTAATACTCCTTCATATGGATCGATGGTCCCGTGGCGGACCTGTGATTGACCTACCGATAACTTTGTCACCTCGTGGGCGATGATCGACCAGCAATGTGACAAGCATATTGAGAGTCAACAAAACGAATACACCTGCCTAGAATATCGAGACGTATGGCCCACATCATTACTGCGCGGGTAGCAGAATCTGTCACTTTGTTGATGACAAAACCTATGACACCTTTCTCAGATGATGGAAACTAAGAACACATCGCCGGGACAGTCTTCACATCGTTGGCACTGCATTCACCTTGTATTGGGATGCGTCACCGTTCTGGTGTCGACGGCCTTGATTTTGCAGACTATATGGGATCCGACTTGGCCAACCCATGCCGACCCTTTCTCGTTTTCAAATTCTGCATCGGAATGCCGAGAGCTAGGTATTATCTTGAAACCGGAGGATCACAATAGACGGAATTCAGCGGTGAGATATCTTTCTTGGAATATTTCTTCTGAATTCCGGAGACCGGACGGCGTGAGGAAAGAGGTTATCCTCATAAATGGTGAGTAAGCGTGAGCCAATCAGTCATAAGTTCAGAAACGAGAATTAACAGCACGGAATGTCAGGCATGTTTCCTGGACCGACCATCGAGGGGCGCCCCGGCGATACAATCGAGGTTGAGATCTACAACTCATACCGTGAGGGCATCTCGATCCACTGGCACGGACTCCACATGAGAGGTTGGTTACTGTCTACCATCCCTAGATTAGGGACATTATTGTGATCTAACATGAGACCAGGGGCAAATCATATGGATGGGCCTGTAGGAATTACGCAGTGTGAAATTCAGCCCGGTAGTCTCTTTAGATACCGATTCGATATTGCAGAGGACCAGACTGGCACATTCTGGTTCGCATCTCGAAGTGACTGAAGCTTGATTTTTGACCGTATGAAGTTGATTGTTTTTTTTTTATTCTAGGTATCATGCGCACTCGCAAATACATAGAGGAGATGGCCTATATGGAGGACTGGTAATCCATGAGCCACTCGGCACTAAGAGTAGCAGCTCACAAGACCATGATGCAGAGATACTGCTTCTTGCAGGAGACTGGTATCATCACCAATCCTCCAGAGTCCTGGAATCTTTCATGAGCTCTACGGGTGACGGTAACGAGGTGAGCTTATTTTGGATCAAGAGGCACCGGACCCATGCGCGCAGAAGCGTCTGACTTTCTCAGCCCTGTCCAGACTCTCTCTTAGTGAACGGAATGGGACATTTTGACTGTTCTAGAGAAGTTCCGGCAAAACCAGTCGATTGCACGATCAGCCTTAAGCCCACAATCACATTGAACAAGAGACTGCGGTACCGGATCCGCCTCATTAATGCTGGGTGAGTTCTCGCTAAACTTGAGCTTATTGGTATAATGAGGCACTAATTGTCAGATCTCTGGCGGGTATTTCAATGGGTATACCGGATGCTTTGCTCAACATTACATATGTAGACGGAGGCCAAGAGGTCACAAGTGACGTGTCCAACAGCGTTGGAATCCTCTATCCAGGGGAGAGAGTCGATTTCACCCTCGAATGGCCACAGGTCCAGCAAGATTCACACACCGAGCTGATTCTGCTACTGGATAAAGAGTAAGTCACGCCAGGAAATCAAAGACCACTCCTTGATGTGGAAAGGTTTTGCTAAGGCCAGAAACAAGGGATTTTCAGTCGCCAAATCTGGCACTAGAGCCAATTCAAACATTCACGATATTATCACCCGGATCAACTCAGTCGGCTCAGAACACTGAAGCCTTACAATCATCAGTATCTCTGCAGAGGGTTGAGGGACCTATTCTTCGCGAACCTCTGCCAAATCCCGATGTGAAATTCGTCATTTACAGCGCCATGCAGATTCTCAACCGCCTTGGCAATGTCCCGACTGGGTTCGTCAATCGTACGCATTGGGTAGCGCAGGATCGGCCACTCCTGTCCATGAATCGAGAGTCTTGGGACGAACACCAGCTTGTCCCGTGGACCGGTGAGAAGCCCGCCTGGGTCGAGCTTGTGATAAACAACTTGGACGGAACTGGACATTCGTTTCACTTGGTAAGATACTCCCTTTTAGCGTCACATTGGAAGGAGCAGTACAGCCACGCTGACAAACAGTAGCATGGATTTGACTTTTATGTGATATCATCATATAGAGGCAAAGGCGGCTGGGATTATTATAACCCTTTTGATCCTTCGAGAGAACCCCGTGGTGGGGCATTCAATTTGCTAAATCCAGTCCGAAAAGATACAGTCTACGTTCCTCCTTTCGGTTATGTGGTATTGCGTTTTCTGGCAGATAACGAAGGGATATGGCTTCTACATTGCCACGTCTTATGGCACCAGGCCAGTGGAATGACGATGGCTTTCCAAGTTTTGGGCGACGAAGTAGAAGCATTCAGAGACACGCTGCTCGGACAAGACGCCGGTAAAACATGTCCAGCATAGACTCGTATTCAATCAAGTTGTCTGAGTCTCCAGCTCTGATTATTAGAACAAGTAGCAGATTCCCTAATACAAACAAGTATACATGCGCAAGTGAGAAGCTTTCGTAGAGTCCCTCCAGATGAATGTAGAACTATGCTGGAACATTTATAACTTTACACTAGCTGATAACGCCTTCTATCCAGTTAAGGCCCCTTCTGCATCCTTACTGAATAAGGTTCGACACTCTCGGTGATTCTAACAACCAGATTATCGACCGTTGAGCGTATATCTGGAGCTCATGGACATGAACAATCGACATACCGGTGATATTTGAGGGCAGGAGATAGCAATGGTATTAATCCCACCCATCAATCAATTGTCGTTACGGCCGGTTTTTCGTCAGTCAGTCCGAACTCCTCCTCGATTCTTATCTGGTAGGATTTGAACTTTCGCGCAGGAACTCGTTTGGCTGTGTGTGATTTGTGAGGTTATTTTATGCTGGCGAACAATTAGGTCTCAGTGATGTTATTTTGCTCACCAAAAAGAATATCAAGCTCCTCGAAGCTCCTGCCCTTGGTCTCTGGGAAGCGGTAGTAGCTCCATATTCCAATCAATACCGTCAGTCCCGCGCTAATCCAAGCAGTTTTACCCTTCAAATCTGCTGCAGTAGGGTTGATGAGGTACGGCGATACACAAGATGAGACCAGGTTAACGATGTTGTAAAAGTTACGTGAAAGAGCCAATGTCTGGTTTGAAGATTTGAAATTCATTAGCTAAAATTGTGAAAGTTGATTGCATGTCAAGCTTTGGCGTTTCGCTCACCTTTTGTCGAAGTTTGACTGAGCTGATCTCGCCACAATAAACGAATGGAATTGGACCACAAGAGATTCCATAAGCGAAGAACCTCACGAGTATGAAGACCCCTTGGGGCCAAACAACAGCGGGTGTTTGGTATGGAAGCAAAGACAGTATGCCTATCGAAACGATGGGCACAAGCATGGCCGCAAGTCCACAGAGCCAGAGCGTACGCCTGCCCACTCTTTCGAGGAGGCCCATGGAAATCATGGTCGCAAGGCCTGCCATTCCGTATTGTCCGATGCCTAGGTCAAACGAGTCCGTCGTTGGGAGACCACTTTCAAATACAGTACGTTAGAATCAAAGTTACCAGGACTGCTCAGGAGTTCAAATGTGCCCACTTACGCAATTTCAAAGAAATAAGTGCCCGAAGCGAGGGCAAATTGTGTCCAGATTTGACTGGACCATGTAATGCACGCAATCTCAGTACGACGTAGATCCGTACCTTTAAAACAGTCCCAGATCGAAGAACCAAACTCAAGCTGTTGCTCCAATATCACCGTGTGTTGAATCAGCGAAAGCGTCTCGCGATTGTCAACATTGTGTGAGAGGCGGTCAAGAGCTTTCAGTGCTTCATCATGCCTCCCCGCGCGGACAAGGAACCATGGGGATTCTGGAGCGAAAATTAACTAGAGTTATTATAATGGTTAGGAACATTTACATTGTTGGCTTCTATAAATTCTGGGGGAACTTACACAAATGAATAAGGGTACCGGCCAAATCCACTGCATGAGTTCAGTGTCAGTATAACTAGGAGGATGACAGCCCACAGGCCTGCTCAATACACGAATAGACAACCAGTATCTAACCTGAATTGCATAAGGGACTCTCCAGGCCCATTCCGTAGAATTATCAGCATAGGCCCGGAGGATGCCCGTGGCAATAATGTGCCCAAAGACCCAGCATAGGTTAATATACTGTAAGATGCACTTGTTAACACTACCGACGAAAATTTGAGGAGAGTGTCATGGGTAATTCTCTGTTTAATTCTGATTCCCTCACTGTTGCACCTGGGCAGAGTCCACGTCCGACGGGTATCGTTTGAGGTATGAAGACGAATTTGAGGACTGGGAATCTTACAGTTGGACCATAGTGACGCAAGGCGAGCGGTGCAACTTCAATGCAGTAAGCCGCTATTGAAGTATTAGATATGTGATCCAGCAGCCAAAAGGAAACCAAAATAAAAGGGGGGGGGGGGTCTCGCTCACGAGCAATTGTGTTGATGGTACCCAGTGGGAATCCAAGGAGAATCTCCCCCACAAGAAGCATAACGGCCGACTTGGCGCAGAAGAGGATAGCCACAAAGCCAGCAACGAAGACGAGTGCTATTTGAACCAGGACGATATCTTTGATCATGAAGGTCAGAAAGAAGATGACCACGTTACGATGCCCGATCATGCGGAATCACTTACTACCATAGCGGTCGACAAGAAATGTATTAGCAAAAATGCCAATGATGAGCCCAACATTCTGAACAAGTGCTATTTAGTCTGTTAGCCTTGATGAAAAGTAGTTGGTCCAGGCAAGATCATACTAAGGGCTGATTGCCAAGGAGCTGACACTTGGTACGAGCCGTCCGACGTTTCGAACCCAAAAGTTTTCTGAAAGGCGGGTAGGGCATAAAAGGAGCTGATAAGGATCTGATCATATGATTCCATGATGATGGTCTTGACAAATTTTTCATTTCAGCTTTGAACTTCTTGGGCATGATGCGAAATCTCGATGCGTCACTGCAAGCGCAACCTAAGCTCACATGCATCTGACAGATCTCGTGCGAGACCTTTGACTCTAACTCACAAGTCCCATAACAGCACTCCAGAAAAGTGCCTTCTTATAGCTCTGAAATGCTTCGAAAAAGGTCATGCGATGCTCGTTCATAGATGCTCGATACGCCTCGGCGATCTGATTCGGCGTTAGCGCAGATTGGTCCCATTCTGCCTTTGTCGACTGCATCGGTGCAGCGTTGTGGTGGCCATAAGCCTCAGAAGCGATCTCAGCCATGATCGTAAAGTACACAGTTGAGGCAATACTCGCTCGCAAGATTCGATATCCTTAGAAATCGAATCCTTAGAGTGTGATCAGCGCTTAGCTCCCCGCTTCACTCGCAAACACTAGAATTGGGGATGACACGGCTTTAAAAGTGATCACCGGTCTTCTGTCCGTACGACACGCATGGGAGCAATGTGATGTGCATGATTAGCTCATAAGGGTTGCGCATGTCACCATCTGTCCTTTTCCCAACCAGGATTTACTGGCCGCTGAGCAGGAATGAATGATAGCAGTATCCTAGTTCTGAGCACTGTGTAGGATTCAGCGGCTAGCTGCATTTTAAAAATACGTTCATCGGCCAATGCCCTATACATAAATATATTGGATTTTATCCACAACAGTTGGTCTGTATGAAGGGGTTCACAAATATATCAACAACCTGAGACCAAAAGTGCGCCGTTGAAGATTTTGCATAAGGCCTGTACAATGTCCTTATTACCTGAAATATTCGTAATCAGTGTTCAACATCTTCCTGTATTAGCCATTCTCTTATATTTCGCCCTAGATCTTCGCAATAGTCATATGTCTTTGTTAAAGCAAATGGAAAATTGTGCAGACTATCCAGCCTGATAAGCTGGGAAATTGCCCCTACCCCTATCTCCATTACCCACTTGCTTGCGGACAAGAAGTTCTTTAGGCTTAGCATGCTCGACGAAATGCAACATGACCGAGCATGAAGACTATTCTGTGCGCCTGGCTTATCATGTGTCCAGAGATCCCTGTCGTGCTCAGAAAGCTGCTGTATTGGGCTTCATATTGTCCCATACACAAGTTCACGCATCCCTCTCAAAGTTCGGTCCTCTCTTCTGGGGCCGTGCTCACCAAGAAGTCACCAAGCTCTTGCATGTAACGGGCCCTATCCTCCCAGTGTGACATGTGGCTGCCATCCAGGGTAACCCATCTCACCTTTGTAATCGCCTTGAACCACGGATACATGCTGAGGTTTGTGACTTCGTCATTCTTGCCATTGATAAGAAGTGTTTCAACTTCGATTTTGTGTGCCTCCTTCCAACCTTCCCAACCTTTGATAGAGCCAACAATGACGAATTCCGCTGGACCTTGACTACGTTGCCGTTCAGCTTAGTTGTGGTATTTGTGGCTGCTATGATTGACTGGAATTACCATGTTCCAATGAAACACTTACATCGTCAGATAGACAGTAGGATCGTCTTGCATATTCTTAAAACCAGCCATAATCTCTTCTGGTAAGGGGTCCAAATTACAGACATAGTGTGCATTGAAGATCTTGGATGCCTTCTGGAATTCTTCACTTTCATGGTCGCCTCTTTTATCGCAGTCTTCAAGCGTTTTGCGAACGTCGGCTGGCAGCTTAGCGAGCAGTCCTTTCAGACCCTTTTCTGTGGCACCTGGGATCAGCAACTGAGTATCCGAGTCAGAAATGCTTTCCTTAATTTCCCCACAGTAATGGATCATAATTGCCGATGAATACTGACCATCAGCAAGTCAGAGACCAAAGAATATATACGATATGATTTCAAAAGAGGGAGAGATACAAGATGAGACAATCAACATAACTTACCATACAGCGGGATGCTCGAAGGCCCGCTCGCGATGACTAATTTCCTCAACCCAGCTGGACTCTCGCCCTGGCGGCCGCTCATAGCATATGAGGCCGCAAGAACGCCACCCCAGCTTTGACCAAGTAGGAAGAAGCCCTTTCCCCTCAGCTTTAGGTGATCGACCAGGTTGTCCAGCTCCTTGATGAAAAGATCAAAAGACCAGAATTCAGTATCTCCCATCTTTTCGCGGAGATGCGTAGAATGACCACAGCCAATCTGGTCGTAGAGGACCGTGGGAATGCCGTACGGCTTATAGAGATCAGCCAGAGGCAACAAATACTCATGCCCGGCGCCAGGGCCACCATGGAGCGCTATGAGGACTGGACCTGTGGTGGACTCAAGGCTGCCGAGAATCTTGTACCACGTTTTACATGGCTTTCCAGCATTTGGCACCTCCTAGGCAACCTCTCCATCCTGCATTTGATACGTTGTCATTGCCGATAAGGCGGAATATTGGTTCGAAGCGGTCGTATTCTCTTTTAATATGTAAAAACCTGTCTTGTGGGGAATGAAAAGGTAGTTAGCAGACTGAAGAGCAGTTTCTGGATGGGCCAAACGAAAATCCAGCCAGGTGAAACCCGCGGGGTGGTACGGCACAGCAATTATTTGTGGTGAGGGATGGTTGCTGGTTGAAATAGCCTACTGTTACAATCCCTCTAATATGCTCATTGTTGGGATTGACTGTCCAGTAATGGATGGTGTGACGTGCTACGTGTAAGCACATGCATGCAAACAAGGTTCTCGACACCATTGTAAGCTAGACAGCTATTCCAGCCTTTTCCTACAATATACCCTCTGACATCATGTGAAAGAAGGTTCTTCACGGCCTAATTATGCGATATGTCGTATGTCCATTTTGATTCGTTGTAAATCTGAGAAGGTTCAGATCGTGGACTTCGTTTGCGAACCTCAGGAGGACCGAGGGACTCATGGAATGTTTCCGGATTGCAAAATTTGTCTATATTTACGTGTTCATTCGGTCCTCTGCCCCTCGAAAGTATTTATCATGCCCAACCAAAGAGGTCGATGTTAATTCCGAGACTCAAAGGGCTGGGGTGATATTCCTACAGAAGTGCGGTCCGAATGTTCCGTGGCTGCACTCATCCTTCCTAACTCGAAATGGACCCCATTCCCACTGCGACAGTTAGAACATAGCGAAGTTGATACTCGTAGGAGAACAAGTGGACTTAGAGGAGCAGGGCCCCTCATCCCTGTCCTGCTTTGAGCAAAAGTCAAGTATGCATGGGTGACCCCTTGCCAGACCAAGTCCAAATATTTGCATACCATTGTCGTTGAAACCAACATCACTTTGCATTACCTGCATGTTGATAAGGAGTTCAGCCGGACATGTTTTAAAGTAACATATGGACACACCCATACCACACAGAGCCAGCAATGTATATGCACAATCTCGAATCTTATAGTAGATATAGATGCGAACGCTCGCCCATTGATGCTCTCTCGTCTGGCTATGAGAGCTGTTGGGTACGGGACCAATGGTCTAATCAGTAAAAGAAAGGGGGAAAATTAAAGGATGAAAAAGGATGAATCTGTAATGACGCAGATTCCTCTGCCTACAATGCAAGCCGGCCCTTGGAAAAACCCCTGTGGAAGCAAGTGAAGTGCTGTCGACCCTAATAATTGCTCCGTCCCCTGCTGTTGCTATTGGACGGGCAGTACAGTCATGACCCTTCTATGTGTGAGGGCCAGTGAGTCACTGGCCAGCCAACAGCCAGACCTGTTGATAGCCTCAGATAGCTGCCCTCGTGGCTTTCTCTTCCTTTCTCTTTTCTCTTCAGCGCACTGCAATGCAAGCCTTTTTGCCCACGCATATTCCAGCTGTCGGAGATCATGCCTTGCGCTAGTTACTGTAGACCAACGAGTCCAATTTCGGATTAGTCTGATAATCACTCGCTTAATATTGTCGCCGGAGAGAGTCGGTCCGTGACCTTAGCAACTGGCACTCAGGTACGTACCCTGGGGCCCCAGATGGTCTTTGGCTGACCTGCCCAGCCCCTCTCAACCTCGGATGCATCATGCAACCTGGGGAAACTCCAACTCCACACTTCTACTCATTACTAGCCGTGACAAATACTTGACTACAACGGCTCATCATTATTCAGTGTGCTCTCATCAGTACTCTAACTCCATTCAAAGTGATACTTAATGTGAGCCACGTGACTGTGATATCGTTGCACCAACCTTGGGCACACGCGCCTCCTTCTCGAATGGAAAGCCACTCGCGAAAGCCATCAAACTCTCGACAGGCTTGCCCGATATGCGAGCGACAGTTTGACCGGGCAGAGCATCTGAAAAGGCATCTATCGACGCACACCAAGGAGAGGGATCGAATTTGCCGTGTCTGCGGCAGGAAATTCAGCCGAAAGTACATCATCCAACCAGTCTTCATTGTATTAAGCTGAACCCGACGCTCATGAGAGGTGTGCGACTGATCACATGCGGATTATAGAGACGCTCTAGACCGTCACCAGAATGTCCATCGGCCCCATGTACCCCTGCGGAGGTTCCGGGCCTGCACGAAATGCGCCGCATCTCGAGTTAAATGCAACGGTGCCCAACCGTGCACACGATGCGAGAAAAAGTCGCTGGCATGCACGTTCCCCGAGGCCAGCGAGAGTAACGACGTCTCGGCGGGGGCAGATCCGCCTCATGGGGATGCTCAGTACACGGGCCCTCAGAGTGATGAGATGCAAGCAATATCCATCGCTGAGCAGCAGCAGGTGCAGCAACAGCACTCAGTCGTCCCCATGCAGGAGCATAGGACACAAGCATGCGTCTTTATGCAACAGCAGATCCACCCCGTTGATCTGATGCCGCATGAGACGAATACTCACATGATCTCCGCTCTGAATTGGATCTCGCCATCCATGGACCTCGACTTGACCGAGTTCGATTACAACCCAATCGCCTCCAGCGAGCAGTATTGGAGTTCGTCCACTGGCGTTAACGACCTGTCCAGTCAGCTGTCACCAACGACGGCGCAACCCATGGGCACAATTGGCGCTCAATCGAACACGATCCCTGGGACTTTCTCGGATTCACCCGATACCGAAACGTCTGGCATGGCTTATGTGGACAACAGAGGCGCCAGGAAACCTCGAAATGGACGGTATGCTAACCGGATATTTAGCGACGAAGCTTCAAGAGGGTCGCCCCGCACTTTCCCAGAGCTCCCGGTCATGCCACCAGAACCGGAAGGCTTCAGTTTTATGCTGACTCCTTCACTGAACGTCCTCGCGCAAGACCTGTCAAGCACTATTAGAATCCAACTGTTCACGCTAGAGCAGTATCGTCTGATGTGTCAAGCTTTCCAAGAGTGCTGTCTGACACCCAACGGTGCGAGTGATGATGGGCCTTTCTTGTCCACCGAGCTTCCACCCATGACCACTTTCACAACACTGTTAGCACTTTATAGACAGTATTTTGATCCTGGAGTACTGCCTCTGATCCATCTTGGGCTGGACAGTGAAGAGACATCTTGTTGGGTTTCCAAACTGGCCATGTCAGCAATCGGAAGTCATTATCTCGAGATGGGAGACATGGAACTGGCAGTTGCCCTTCACGAATTTCTCCGGAGAGTCTTGCGACCACAACGAGCAGTGTTCTCGGCCGGGATCCTGACAACGGAGTCACTTGGCATGGTCCAGGCGAAAGTTCTCAATTACATCGGCTCAACGTACTGCGGCTCGAGACGGCTGGAAAGATACAGAACACCGGCACTTGAAGACCTTGTCAACGAGTACAGGGCAATGTACAGAACTCAACCAGCGATTCTGAAGGACGAGATAAGCTTTCGAGATCGGCGCCACTGGATGCTGTTGGAGAGCGCCCGTCGCCTCTGTCATGCAATCTGGCTCGTCGAGAGCATGTCTCACTATCATTTCGGAACTCCGTCGACACTGCTGCTGGACTTTGCTAATATTGCATTGCCCTGCACAGAAGACGTTTGGGAGGCCGAGATGGACCAGATACGGGCCCCCATCAAGCAGCCCACTTTGGAAAAGGTATTAAGAGTTCTGTATGTGGAGAAGCGACTCCTTCATGGCATAGGAGATTTTGCCCAAGTCCTGACAATCCACGGCCTATATTGTCAAACATGGGACGTTTTCAGGTCTTTCAACAAGCCTCTACTTCGCTGGACACCCTCGGCACAAATAGGAAATGCCGAATCACGTGAGCTCACCGGCCCGTCCTGGCTACCTCAAATACCTCTCTACAACCAGTGGAGAAATGCGGCATGTGATTGCTTGGATGTACTGCACTGGATTGCAAATAGCGAAATCGCAAAGAGAGGAACCGAAAACTCGACAGTATTGCACCTGCACTTTGCTCGACTTGTCCTGCTTACGCCATATCAGACAATACGCGAGATGGCCGAGTTGCTGGTGTCGGAGAATGTTCGGCACGGCAGCGCTGCAGAGAGGTTTAGGGAGCAATGTCAGGAGGTACAGAAATGGATCACGGATGACCAGTACAAAGCACGCCTTGCGCTGGTCCACTGTGGCGTCTTCTTCTGGCACATCCGACGCTATTCCATGGACGCCTTCTTCGAACCAGGAAAGGTGTTCCTGGCGACCTTGGTGGTTTGGGCCTACGGCAGCTTCTGCCCGCCACAGCAGCTGAGCACTTCATCGCGGGAATCCATGAACACCAGCTCGCGCGATGAGGGAGAATGGTCATCCGATCTCGAGGACATATCCTCCATCCGTCTAGACCGACCTACGGATGATGAACTGGTCCAGATATTCATCAAGCGTGGGAGGTCCATGAATGCGACTATCATGGGCGTTGGCAATATCACCGCCCCTAATGGCCCGCTGCGGATGCTGCGTGAGGGGTGCAAGCTGCTCAACACTTTGAATAAATGGCCTATTCGATCCCGATATCTACACATTCTTACGCAGCTCATCACTGTCTGTGGACAAGACAACCACTGGCGTCAGATGGGTTCGAATGCAAGGCAGACACATGGGTCGGCATCGCCTTGATGATTCAACGACCTTCTATTTCGCCACACGTCCCAAATACAGCTCTCCAATCCGCACCATTTTCATTGTATAATTTCCATCAATTGCCTCAAATGAGCACTAGATGTATATTGTATCAAATTACTTATGTACCATATCCTAATGCAGCATCTTAAATAAAATAGAGCCACAGCTTATTTACACTTTCGAATGTCTTCATTCCCCCCCACTTTTCCCACAATAAGCAAACCTTACTCCCTCAGATTGAGAACTCAAAGGCATAGGCGGTGGTTGCGTCAGTCTGGTAGACGGGGAAGCTGACGGTGTTATCCGTGTAAGCATGACCGTAGACACCAAGATTCGTCGGGCCATCAACCTCGCCATAGTGGACGTCAGAGGCGACTGGGAACCCCCAGGTCTGCACATTGAGGGTCCCCGAGGTGGGAAGACCAATGGAGGACAGGTCGTTGAGCTCCAGAGTCCAGGTGCCTGTGGTAATGCGTACCCCGACCAGGACAATCGCCGTGCCCGTGCCGACGGTGGCATAGGCGTCCAGCTTCAGATCGGAGGATGGCGTTGTGCCGACGCGGTAGCCGGTCATGTTCTGGTAGTAGTACTTGTACACTTGGTAGTCTCCGTTCGGGTAATATCCTGTTGCTGTTGCTGAGTAGTCGCCATTGTCGGGGTTATCAGGCTTGCTCAGCAGTGAAGCGAGGAAGTCATGCAGCTCGTAGCCGCTAAGCCAGTTCCCGCGCAGACCATGGGCGCCAATACGCTCGAGCTGGGAAATCCACCATGCCGACCCAGCGGGGACCTGCTCAGCGTAGGTGCCGTACTCGTTGATGTTGATGGGCTTGGCGGCTAAGCCGTACTCCTTCTGGAAGGCGACTAGGCCGCCGTGGGCAGACAGCAAGTCACCACCGCCGCCTTCCATGTGCCATGCGTACTGATCCGGAACACTGTCGTTGGAGGCGACAAAGGATGCCCAAGCTTGCCACCAGGTGTTGGAAGTCAAGGGCTCGCCGGCACTGGCAGGGCCCGAGAGGAGGACGCTGGTCCCATATTCCGCACTATACATACCGACCAGAAGCGTCAGCATACCTAGGTAGTAAAATGTACACCCACAGTCTGCACGATTCGCAACTTACCGCCACCTGTAGTAGGTCCGTCCCCACATCTCCAGGTACTGAGTCTGGGTACGATCCCAGAAAGTAGTGAGGTCGGGCTCATTCCAGATATCAACAACCAGATCGGTGGTCATGCTGTTGGCGTTCAGGTCCGAGAAGAGCTGGGTCAGATAATCATCCCAGCTGGTCCAGTCACCATCATCACCTGGGTACGGCGCAGAAGAGTTCTGAGTGCCATCAGCACCCCACAGGTCATGGATCAGTAGGATGAAGGTTCCGCCGTGAGCCCTAGTGGTCTCATAATTGTCGAGAACGGTAGCGAAGCGTTCCCTTCAAGAGCAGGAAGAAAAAAAGAAGAAAAGCGATTAGTAGGCTGTATGTCTCAGTGAGACATAAGTTGTCGCCAGGGGTCTTTAAGACGACTCACTGGTATGCGGTCAGACCCCAGATCCAACCCTTGCCAGTCGTTTGGGCACCACCGGCTCGTTCGTAGTTCCAGCCTATGTCAGTGAAGAACTCAGAGGGGATCTGCGTCGTGTCGTCGGGCAGACCATAGAGGGTACCGGAAGCGAGGTGCTGGGGGGTCCCTGTATTGTTGCTAAAGTTTACGACAGCCGTCACTGTTGACTGGCGCTGCTCGAGAGGATTGGCCACGGCTTTGGCCGCCAGCAGGCCAAGGCATGTACAGAGAACAGCAGCCATAATAGACGAGCAATGTTTCTTGTGGTTGAATCCGACGACTACAGTCAATTTGCCAAAGACTACATAGGAATCTTTGCTCATAGGAGATGTAGTGACTTTATATAATTATTTTAAAGTTTGCCATAAGTCCGGTTGAGGTCCTCCGGCTATCCGTTTCAAGATGGGAAATGCCACATCGTCAACGTATCCCATGATCCATTCGAAAGGCTTGGACTAGGTGACATTACACATACCAATGGATATATTCCACGAAGGAGAAAGCGGCAAGGAACGAGTCAATCCCACCTAATAGGTGAGATATGATGCCTTGTGTATCCCGAAGTCTCATGTGCGGTCAGATCACCTCCGTTACCGACACCAATAAACTCCACCACCTCCACTTCCGAAAGGGCAAACTTGCTTTTGCCCCGTGCCTTGGGCCCAGAACTTTGGTTCTAAGAACAACGCAAGGTCTAAGAATGCAATAGCTCAATAGTAGACCCTGTATGGGCCGTTGCAAGTCCAGCGCCTATTGGCTCGCTTCGGCTTGCACAATCTCCTCCGCCAATATCAACTTCCACCCCCACGACCGAAGCTTTCGACCACCCCCGCAGCCGAAGTCTAACCACCCCCACAGCCGCGCCCGCTGGTCTCTCCCTGTCATCTGATGTTGTTCAACTTTCTCTGCTTACCCCAAATCGTTCCTTCGGAGATGTTTGTGGGTGGTTACGCGGAGGGTTGTAAAGTAGTAAAGAAACACGTTTGCATATTAATTGCAACATTAACGATGTCCTCTCAAAGTCTAGCCGACGGCAAGTCGCTTCTAAGCTCGTCTGGAGGGTTGCAATATATTTTAACAAAGCACTTACACCTGCCTGCTATTACTCCACACACCACATTACGGCGGCGCCATTCATCATGTCGGAGGACAAAGTCATCGTTCCTACTCGGGACGAGCTCAAAGTCCTGGACTTTGACTCGGAGCATACTCATGATCTTATCCGTCAGGCCCAGGAGTCTGATGCTGCGGATAAGAAGCTCACCATCCGCGGAGCAATTAAGAAGTACAAGAAGGCTTGCTTCTGGGCTATGATCCTGTCGACCAGTTTGATTATGGAAGGATATGATTTGGTCATTGTAAGTAGCTCCCTAATATGGAGAGAGAGAGAGAGAGAGAGAGAATATTCAGGTGAGAGAGTCGTAGTGACTGAGTCCATCTTCTCAGATCACCTCCTTCTACGGACAAACCCAATTCCAAACGCGTTTCGGAACATACGATGCAGCGCTCCAGAAATACGCCATCTCCGCAGAGTGGCAGTCCGTTTTGTCCAACTCGGCCGTCATTGGACAACTGGTTGGCCTGGTAATCAATACCTTTGCGCAGGACAGGTTCGGATGTCGTCCCACTATGATGTTTTTTATGTTCTGGATGGTGATCACCATCTTCATCCCCTTCTTCGCGCCATCGCTCTCCGTCCTCGCTTTCGGAGAATTCATGTGCGGTATCCCTTGGGGTGTGTTCCAAACCCTCTCGACTTCCTACGCGTCAGAAGTCGTCCCTACAGTCCTCCGGCCTTACGTGACAGCGTATGTCTGCATGTGCTGGGGAGCCGGCATCCTGCTCTCGTCCGGCGTCGTCCGTGCCGTTGTTAACGTCTCTGGGGATCTCGGTTGGAGGCTTCCCTTCGCCATACAATGGGTGTGGCCTATTCCCTTGTTCATCGCCGCTTATCTGGCCCCCGAGTCGCCGTGGAACTGTATCCGTCGCGGCAAGCACGACGAGGCCCGCAAGTCACTCGCCAGGCTGCGTCAGGAAACGCCTGAGCGTGATCAGCAAGTCGAGTCTTCCCTGGCGTACATCGTCTACACGACAGAGCTGGAGAAGCGCGAGACAGAGGACGCCAGGTTTGTCGACTGTTTCAAAGGCACAAACCTCCGCCGTACTGAGATCAACTGCGTTGTCTGGGCTGCTCAGATTCTCTGCGGCAACGCCATTCTCGGATTCTCGGTCGAATTTCTTGAGGCTGCCGGCTTCACTGAAGTCCAGGCTTTCGACCTCAATATTTCACTCTCGGCAAGCTACATCATTGGTGGTCTCATCTGCTGGGTGCTAATGCCTCGTCTGGGACGCGCCACATTGTACATGGGTGGGATGGCCTTCATGTTCTGCTGTCTTGTGGCCATCGGCGCTCTTGGTTTCTACAGCAGCACCCAGTCCCAGCTCGCCGTTGGCATCCTGCTCGTTATTTCGACCTTGTGCAATATGACCACCATCGGCCCAGTCTGCTATCCTATCGTCGCCGAGACACCTTCTGGCAGGCTCAGGTACAAGACTATCACTATCGGCCGTTTCGTTTACAACGTGACCGGAATTTTCTCCAACTCAGTCACCCCTCGTATGGTTTCTGCAACTTGTAGGTATTTTTGGTTGATTACTTCTGTGGCATTCAATCAATACCTCTGACTAATTCCTCCGTGTTTTCTAGCCTGGAACTGGGGTGCCAAAGCCGGCCTTTTCTATGCCGGCACCAACCTTCTGTGCAATATCTGGTGTTGGTTCCGCCTGCCTGAAACCAAGGACCGTACTTTTGGCGAGATTGATCTCATGTTCGATAACCACGTACCTGCTCGCAAGTTCAAGTACACGACAGTCGATCAGTTCGCCGTCGGCGTGACCGAAAAGTCTTTTGTCGGCTCGGTTTCGGAGAAACAGGACCATGCTGCTGTTCATGAGGTCATGTGAAGCACATAGAATACTACATATCACAGTATTATGCTGCTCCATTATTTGTTTCTTGGGGTGTTCTCTTACGGATCTTTGCAGGAAAATGAGAGATCCGTGAAAGGGTAACTGACGAATGAAGAGGAGGAGGAGGAGGACTGAATGGGACAGCTGGCTTGAAATTGGTTAGGTCTAGGATGTAATCATGTATCTAAAGGGCTACTTGAGATAAATCTAGCAATATTGACCTGCATGCGTGTAAACCAAATAACAATCAATCCAAGGTCCTAATGCCGACGCGCATCTGGTGCTTCCCACCCCTGTTTGCCCTCGCCCAATACGGCACAAAATGAAGATCCACGCTACTCTTGTCAACAATGAGTGCCTGGAGACCTGTAACCTCCAAGGCAGGAGCCAAGCGCTCCTTCGGGAGCACAAGCCCGCCATTTTTCAGTGTAATACCAATGTAGGGCTCGCCCAGAGGCAAGTCCGTCTTCGTCTCCTCGACGACATAGCTGCTGAGGGTAGCCGCTCGTGTCATTTGCGGATGAAGCACAAGAGATTTGAAGTGGTCCACAACCCAGGGGTGGTCGACGTCTTCTACGCAGTAGATCAGAGGTCCGCGGGCAAGGACGGCAATGCGCTGCAGCGTGTAGGGATGGGGACGGAGGAGGCGGGGTGTAAGTGGTACGGTAAGCTTGAACTGGGGATTTTGCTTCAGATAGGCGGCATCGAGGTGTAGATAGTGTTTGTTCAAAGACGTAGATGATGGCTTGGGAGTAACCTATTGACAATTCAGGATGCGATTAGCAGACAGACATGAATGAGTCATGCATAAAGGAACGTGCTGCTCACATCCCAAGCGTCTCCTGCCCACGACGGTATCCGAACGTTGATCTCAATGTCAAGGCCTGAGGAGTTCTCCAGCTCGAAGTCGACGGTACCCTCCCATGGATAATTAGTCTTTTGGCTCAACTTGAACTTATCCTGACTGTCTTGCAACGTGTAGTTGATCGATGCAGAAGCGTATAGGTGAACGTTCACAGTAGCAGAGGATTGCGAGTTCGTCTTGGCAGTCCAGAGGTAACCTCCGATATGCCCCAGAACTCTGGCGATGTTAGGCGGACAACACGCGCACTCGAACCATTCCTCGCGCCTGTTAGACGCATCTTCCTCCGAGGTAGCCATCTGGTTAACATAAGTGAATGCCTTGCCGTCGACAGACATACCAGTGAGCATGGCGTTGTACAGAGCACGCTCAAGAATGTCCGTGTATTGGCCGTTGAGGTCGATCTGACCCATGTCAGTTTCAAGAATCACATATGTCACGCAGGTCACAGCAGTCTATAGTGGACGATTACGCACCTGCAGAATCCTCTCTGCCAGCATCATAACGCCAATCGCCGCGCAAGTCTCGGAGTAACACCCGCCCTCATCTGTGGACTGAGGCAGGAAGTAGTTAATCCCGAAGCCTTCCCATTGCTTGATGGCTCCGATTCCACCTGTCAGGTACATTTTCTGGTTTACCATGTTGCTCCATAGTCGCCGGAGCGCAGGCAAATACTTTGAGCCAAAGGTCTTGGGATCGAGGACGGCCAAATCGGCGACGGCGGTCAAAAGGTACATTGCTCTGACAGAGTGGCCCTCAATGGTCTCTTGTTCGAGAATTGGCTTATGTGCCTGGTTGTACCTATACTGATTTGTCAGTCAACGGTCCTCTAATACTCTACTTTCTAGAGAGAGACAAGAGACGTGATTACCAGTAGCTCCGAGCCGCAGGGTAGTACGAGGGTGCAGTGTGTTCGCTCTCGCCTCGTGCTTCAGCCTCAACGTCAAAGTAGTGCCTCCCATTTGCACCAGTCGTGTTACCTCGCTCTTCGACGAAATACCGAGCGAGCTGCACAGCTTTCTCATTGCCGGTTCGCTTGTAAAATCGGATCAGGGCCAGCTCGATCTCGGGATGACCTGGGTAACCGTGAATTTGATCCTCGCCGGATCCGAAGGTCTTATGCAGCAGTTCGATGTATTTCTCCAGCGGCTTCATGAGTTGGTCCGATTTGAAGCGTAGCTGATGAGCCAGAGCAGCTTCGATGAGATGGCCAGCGTTGTAAAGCTCGTGCATATCCCTCAGATTGGAAAAACGTTCCTTGGGTGCCACGACAGTGAAATGAATATTCACATAACCGTCTCCCTGCTGAGCTTTGTTGATCTTCTGGACGAGGTCCTCGGCAGCTTGGTCGAGACTTGAATCATCGCCCTTCTCGAGGTCCCCAAAGTAGGCAAGACCCTCGATCCATTTCCCAACATCCGAGTCCCAGAAGAGATGCTTGGGTACAGGCCATGTGGCGGGCTCATCGTCGTAGATAGGATGCCGCTGTAGATCAAATGCATCGTATCTCCCCGTGGACTTGAGCATATCTAGTTGGAAAGGAATTGTATTCTTGAGAACGACAGTGCGCTTCCGGGCCCAGAAGGACTCCGGTTGCAATGTCGTCCAGATGAATGAGTCTTGCGGATTCATGGCGGTAGTCGATGCTGTACGGTACGTATAGACACAGGCCGAATGTGGAAGGATAACGATGTAAATTTACTATAAAGGAAATTCTCGTGAACTCTGCTTATCTTGATTTGGAGATGTTAATGACGACGAGGGGCAAAGTCAAATCGGGGATGATTGTGGGGTGAAACTATGCGCACCAATACAACATACCACTGCTGTGTTAGCGCGCGGGCGTAGCTGTGGGAGGCCACTGGAGTGGTAAGGAAAGGGGAGGGGGAGGGGAGAAAAGTGGATAGCCAGGCATTATTCCAAACTTAGTTAGCAGGCATGAAGCATGCTTAATGATGAGAGAGAAGCCCAGTCAGTTATCGACTGAACAATTAGTTATCTTTCGGAGGACGACCGTTTGGGTTTACCTGTCTCACCCTTTTGCTGCTTCCAAAGTTATCCCGGAGCTGAGATAAACGAGGCGGTGCGCCCAAGTGATCCCACCAACCAACCCTCACCGTCCGCCTGCAGGTCGGGCTTTTGGCATTTCTGCCGAGGTTGACTCGCTGATATTGGCGGCATCGAGGTTGGCTAGCGAGGCTATCCTCCACCTCCCAGAAGTGAAGTATGCTGTATACTTAAGTAATCAATTCGGGTGCTACTCTTGGGAAGGGCAATACGAAACAATTCGTGAGAATATGGTCAAACTGTTCCATCTGCCTTCCTGTTCAGATGCCGGAATCCCTGTTGCTGCCTTGTACATGTGGGCGTGAGTTCAGCAAAGACCCTCCATTGCTGATTAACTAGTCATGAGACAACTTTTCAATCCTAAAACCCACATGTATCTACCTGACCCAATTCACCGCCCCTGAGTTGCCTATTGACGACGAAATACTGAGTGCCGGGAATAGAGATAGAGATTTTTTCCCCCATTAACCCCCCCCCTTTTCCCAAGAACAAGATGGCAAGGAAATGTCGACATGCGACATTCTATTGATCAATTGTTATTTAATGATAGCTGCCCCGTCAGTATCCTCCAAATTGGTTGCGGTGATCAAGTCGTTGATGCTTGGTGTCGACTTCAACCACTTGTTCTGCTCTAGTACTGCGAAAGTTGATGCGCACATGCAATGCATGATTGAAGGCGAAGTACCAACACAATAGTCCATATATATCTGCGACGCGTTTGCTTGCTTACGTTACCTAGATAGAAGCCTGGTTCCAAAGCAAATTCGTCAATACCCATAAGAGAAGCTTTCTCGGCTGGCTTTTGATGTAGAAAGTTAAGATATTAAGTCAAAGGGGGGGGTTTCCGCCCATCCGTAGTTTCCGCCCACCCTGGTCAGCCACACCGCTTCTTCAACCCCCTTTAGTTTGATAGCGTTTTTTCATTCAATTGTATTCCAAATGTCAGGTGGAAAGGTTGCAAAGGCAATGTGGCGAGGTCTTTTCTCTCTTTCAGGGGTATACAACCAGAATAACATTGAGGCCTAAGGAGCTAAGTTCTGCTCAGCAGTGCTGACGTGGCTAGAAAGCCGCTTTATAGCCGCATATTGCTTAGTCATCCGTAATCCAGCTGGCTTAGCTGGCCCTGAGCCTTGCTGGCACAATCGGCCCTGACAGATTGTCCCCCCTTATCAGGCCTTGTCCTCAAGGCCTTTGAGGCTTCCGAGCTTTTGTTGCTTCCAGGCTTCCGTTGCTCCCAAGCTTCCGTTGCTCCCAAGCTTCCGTTGCTTCCAGGCTTTCGCTGCTTCCTAGCTGCTCCTACGCCTTCTCAATGCTTCAGGCTCTTAAGATCTCTCAGTGCTTCAGGCTTCTCAAAGCTTCTCAAGATCCCTCAGTGCCTCAGGTTTCTCAAAGCCTCTCAAGATCTCTCAGTGCCTCAGGCTTCTCAAGGCCTCTCAAGGTCTCTCAGTGCCTCAGGCTTCTCAAGGCCTCTCAAGGTCTCTCAGTGCCTCAGGCCTCTCAAGGCCTCTCAAGATCTCTCAGTGCCTCAGGTTCCTCAAGGCCTCTCAAGATCTCTCAGTGCTTCAGGCTTCTCAAGGCCTCTCAAGGTCTCTCAGTGCCTCAGGCTTCTCAAGGCTTCTCAAGATCTCTCAGTGCCTCAGGTTTCTCAAAGCCTCTCAAGATCTCTCAGTGCCTCAGGCTTCTCAAGGCCTCTCAAGGTCTCTCAGTGCCTCAGGCCTCTCAAGGCTTCTCAAGATCTCTCAGTGCTTCAGGTTCCTCAAGGCCTTTCAAGATCTCTCAGTGCCTCAGGCTTCTAGGCCACTCAAGGTCTCTCAAGGTCTCTCAGTGCCTCAGGTCTCTCAAGATCTCTCAGTGCCTCAGGCCTCTCAAGGCCTCTCAAGATCTCTCAGTGCCTCAGGCCTCTCAAGGCTTCTCAAGGCCTCTCAACCATCTCCCTCCTTCTCTTCTAGCTTCGTCCCCGAAGCCTGTAAAAAAAAAATCTCTTTTTAATCACATTCCAGACGTAAGTCTTCCGAGTGCAATACCCGCGCTATATACGCTGCTCAGTCGCTGCTCCCTCAGCGCTTTATTCAGGCACTCTTCAGAACTTAAAGCTGTTTGATATAGATTGCAAGCCTTCTATCAGAGACTTGGTTTGCAGCTAAGAAGTTTAGCATCCAGGATAGCATTCCTACAGCTATAACAGATAATTACAGCTTTCTGTTTTGAAAGTTGCTCTCTAGCAACTCTGAAGCTATTGCTATACTTCGCTTTACTGCTAGATGCAGAAGAATAATTGGTTTGCAATCTAATATTCAAGCAACTTCAGTTGCTAAGTAGATACTCTGCTTCAGCTCTGCACTCTCGCTCAAATAGCAAAGAGCATACTCTCGAAAACAGAAGATACTCAGATCTACTGCTTGCTTACTCTGCTCTCTCGCTCAAATAGCGAAGAATATACTCTTGAAAACAGAAGATACTCAGATCTACTGCTTGCTTACTCTGCTCTCTCGCTCGAATAGCGAAGAACATACTCTCGAAAACAGAAGATACTCAGATCTACTGCTTGCTTATTCTGCTCTCTCGCTTGAATAGCGAAGAATATACTCTCGAAAACAGAAGATACTCAGATCTACTGCTTGCTTATTCTGCTCTCTTGCTCGAATAGCGAAAAATATACTTTGTTCTAGCTTAGCAACTCGAATGCTCTGAATCTCTTCTGAATGCTTCTCATACGCTGCTTGCATACTGCTTGCTTGCTATTTGCTCTAGCTTAGCAATTCGAATGCTCTGAATCTCTTCTGAATGCTTCTTGTATGCTGCTTGCATACTGCTTGCTCGCTGTTTGCTCTAGCTTAGCAACTCGAATACTCTGAATCTCTTCTGAATACTTCTTGTATGCTGCTTGTATACTGCTTGCTTGCTATTTGCTCTAGCTTAGCAACTCGAATGCTCTGAATCTCTTCTGAATGCTTCTCGCATGCTGCTTGCATACTGCTTGCTCAATACTGCTTGCTTGCTATATGCTCTAGCTTAGCAACTCGAATGCTTTGAATCTCTTCTGAATGCTTCTTGCATGCTGCTTGCATACTGCTTGCTCAACACTGCTTGCTCGCTGTATGCTCTAGCTTAGCGACTCGAATGCTCTGAATCTCTTCTGAACGCTTCTTGCATGCTGCTTGCATACTGCTTGCTTGCTGTTTGCTCTAGCTTAGCAACTTGAATGCTCTGAATCTCTTCTGAATACTTCTTGCATGCTGCTTGCATACTGCTTGCTCGCTGTTTGCTCTAGCTTAGCGACTCGAATGCTCTGAATCTCTTCTGAATGCTTCTCGCACGCTGCTTGCATACTGCTTGCTCAACACTGCTTGCTCGCTGTATGCTCTAGCTTAGCAACTCGAATGCTCTGAATCTCTTCTGAATGCTTCTCGCACGCTGCTTGCATACTGCTTGCTCAATACTGCTTGCTCGCTGTATGCTCTAGCTTAGCAACTCGAATGCTCTGAATCTCTTCTGAACGCTTCTCGCACGCTGCTTGCATACTGCTTGCTCAGCACTGCTTGCTCGCTATATTCAAGGCTCGAAAGCTCAAAAATCGAAGGCTCGAAGGTCAAAAGCTCGAAGGTTAAAAGCTCGAAGATCAAAAGCTCGAAAGTTCGAAAAGAATAGTGATCTGATCGTTTGCTCTGCTCCTGCTCAGTATTAGCGCTGCTCCTAGGGAAGAAAAAAAAAGATAGAAAGCCTCGCCGGATTGCCTCCTTTAAAAGAGCCAGGCCTCAAACTGTCAGGTAGAAAGATTGCAAAGGCAATGTGGCGAGGTCTTTTCTCTCTTTCAGGGGTATACAACCAGAATAACATTGAGGCCTAAGGAGCTAAGTTCTGCTCAGCAGTGCTGACGTGGCTAGAAAGCCGCTTTATAGCTGCATATTGCTTAGTCATCCGTAATCCAGCTGGCTTAGCTGGCCCTGAGCCTTGCTGGCACAATCGGCCCTGACACCAAACAACTTCATCTTTTCAGCAAATCCTCATATAATCATCATGAAGCTATACTCTGAATTTGAGCTAGATCAGGCTATCGAAGCTGTTAGAAACGGCCTGTCTCAACGAAAAGCCTCGAGGCAATAGTGCATTCCAAGGACTACACTCCGAGATCGTTTAGAAGGAGCAATACTACATAAAACAGCTTACGAAAACCAGCAAAGGCTTTCAATTCCTCAAGAAAGGAAGCTAGTTGAATGTATTCTTGTTCAGGAAAGCTTCGAGCTTCTACTAAGCTATTCAGAGCTAAGATACTTTGCTTAGAAGATTCTTCATATTTATGGTGATGATCAACCTCTTGGTATCAAGTGGACTGGTGCTTTTTTGAAGAGAAATCCAGAGATAAGGGTTCGGAGGATGAGGAGGATTGCTTCAGCTCGAACTAATAGCGTAATAATAGAGGTAATACAGCCTTGGTTTCATCTCTTTAATCTTTCTCAGATCTAAGCTATTAAGCTAGCTAATTGATGAAATATGGATGAAGCTGGGATATTAGAGGGCTAAGGAGCAAATGGATTAGTTCTTAGTAGCTCTTCCTTATGTTCAATTCAAAAGAAAGAGTCTGGATCAAGAGCCTGGATCTCTTTCCTCGAGTATATCTCTGCTATAGATGCTTACCTCTTTCCTTTGATTATCTTCAAGAGAAAAACAGTCCAATAGCAATAGTTTCCTCTTCTTTTACAGCCTTTTGATAGCTAAAAGTTTACAGCTATTCAAAACAGATAAACAAATAATGCAATAGCTCTCGAGTAGCTGGAAAAGATCTTCATCCCAAGCAGCTAGCCAGCAAACCCCTTAGAAGCTAGACTATTAATCTTAGATAGCTACAGCAGCTATACAACTGAGGAGTTTATATAGCAATGCTATCAATACAATATTCTGTTGATCTATTTACCTTCTCATACCTCTTATATACTTCAATCCCTTAATCTCGGAGTCTTCTCGTTTCTCAAACAAGCCTATAGAACGAAAGTCAGCTTTGAGAACCAATGGAGAGATTCAACAGTCTTTAGCAAGCGAACTTTCCTCGAGTACTATTGCCAGGCTCGTATGAAAGGTCTTTCAAGCTAGAATATCAGATCTGGATGAAAAGCAACTAGTCTGTAGCCTCTCAGGCTATCCAAACCACTCTTGAGCCCTCTTCTCCTTGAAAACAGCTAACCATACCTTCAAACTCAGTCAAATTCAGGCTTAGCACGATCAACAGCACCTCAGCTACTCCCCAAAGCTTCCTCACGCTAGCCAGCTTCCTTTTCAACTCCTCGAAAGGCTAAACAACTATACTAACAGCTACTACAGAACCGGAACCATCTTTTATCAGTACCAGAGCAATATCTACTATTCAGAAAGATAAAGAAAGTATATAGCGAGAAGGATATAGAGTTTGCTCAAGCCTTGGAAAGAAATAAGGCATTGGAAAAGCAAGTTGAGGCTATGAGGCCTACTAAAAGAAGGAAAGTTGATATAAGCCCGAATTCGAAGTTTGCAGATATTAAGGCTATACAGAAGGCCCAAATAGCGATCAATCAAGATGAGAATAGTCAGAATGAAGAGAACGATATCGAATTAGTTACTGATGAAGAGGATTGCATCGTGGTGAGCGAATAGTATGTAAAACTAATCAATATATATATATGTGTATATATGTGGTGTGGCTGACCAGGGTGGGCGGAAACTACGGATGGGCGGAAACCCCCCCCTTTGACTTAAAAGATTGTCTGGAGCTAGTGACGAATACAACAAATTGAACAAACGAAACTGTCGTAGGCCATTTTCTAGGCCATTTTCTCGAAGGGAAGGCGTAAGCACAGGGCATAATGGATGCCTTCCCTTGAGTAATCTCCTAGAAGTTCTCCTTACTAGTACAAAAACTGGTCTCAAGGATGCTGCCTCTCTCCGTGTGTATATATGTGCCTTGAGATACTTTCAACGTGCTCAACAGATCTTACTAGGAAGCCTCTTGAGGCAGTGAGAAGGACTAGCTTACACAGAGACGCCGCTATTCTACGAAATTTTTCGTCCTCGATAGACCTAATCAGAAATTCCTTAGAGAAGACGAAGGTATGGGCCATAGGGGAATACCTTTATCTCTCTCTCCTAGCTCTAATCTGGGCTGATTTGTCTGTGGAATGCAGTAGAAGGCGACGTGCGTTTTACACGCTCGAGATTGGAAGTGGGATGTTATTGAGCATGAAAAGAGGGGGGAGAGGGCCTGTGGAAATGTTCAGAGGGTTAAAGTAGGGACGTATTTTGTGCTGATACTCAGTAGCGTCTTTGGACAAAATAAAAAGCAACAACGTAATTATCATCAACATTGCGGACTTGGACGTACTTGGCTTGCCCGTTCTTACCGGCACCTCCTAGAACATGGTACTTGAAGTTCTTGTCAATGAAAAATTGCAGGAAATTCCCCCTGAAGACACTTCACTACGCCAGATATAAGTTGAAGACCGACTAGGAAACAAGAAGGAGGAGGAGAAAGGCCTTAAGCCTGAGCTAGGTGAGGTTACTGCAAAGGCCTGCTTGGGCGTTTACTAAAGTGAGTAGCCATGCTAGTAGGATTACTATCGGTTGCATGAGGGATTAGGGGGTAGAAGGACCAAACGTCCCAGCTGCACGGCTCGAGGTAAGCAGGCACTGTGGCACTGCAGGCTCAGTGGGCCGGCCCGTCAGCATTGCTACGGTACATTGTAGTTACAGTACATGGCGGCGGCTGCTGCTGCGCTGGACTTTGCCAAGCCTCCAAGTGGGTTACAGATCCCTTCCGAAAGCAGTGCCAACAAGCTACATTTCGTGCTCTTTGAATCAGCTAGAAAAAGTAGACATGAGCTTGTCTCTCCTGAGCTGTATAGCTTTTATAGCGATCAAGTCGAATTCGAGTTTGCTAACCCTGCCCGTTGATGCTGTTTCTGGGCGAAGCGCAATGTACCTAATCTCGTTGAGTCCAAGTGAAATCACGTAGCGTATTGAACAACCAGGATCGATCAGATAACTTTGGTGAGGCAGTATAGAAACGGTTGTGATCTAGGCAGCCAGATCAAGCGTTTGTCACGGCTCAAAGGTATACAAATCATATTATCAAATGACTCGACACGCTGCGTAATAAACAGTCACTGTATTAATTCTAGAGAAATAAATCCGTGTGCCCATTTCGGACCACCAAAATAACGACGCCAATATATACCGAAAGGTTTAGTAAAGCGGCAATTTGTATGCGTTGAAATCGTACTTCCAGGTGTCCAAAGATTCCTGGTCGTAAACGCATTCGAACGAGGTGCCATTGTTGGACCATAGCGGGCGCAGAGGCCAGCGGCAGATCTGATCGATCAGACCGGTGCCGTTGAGCGTGGCTGGGGCGACGCCATTCTCAACCCACTCAATGATAGTGGACAGCGTCGACTCGGGCCAGGCAGCATTGGGCTGGAAGTCGTTTGAACTACAGTGGGCGGCGCCGGGGATGAGGAAGAGACGATAGAACTCATCGAGGGCCGCCACGCTCTCATTATACCCTAGGTCACCGTACATGACGCTACGGACTGATTCGTAGTAATGCACGGACGAGCCCGTCGGGATTGAAAAATCCTGCTCGCCGTGCAAGTGGATCACCTTCTTGCCGGCGTCCTGGAAGTCGCTGAGGTCCGGGTACGTAGTCTGCAGAGAATCGGCGTACTTGTTCATGCCAAAGATCATGAGATCCTTCAGCGTATCCACGGTATAGTTGGACAGTTCGTCGAGGCTGATCGAGTCGGCGTCGCGCAGCTGAAGGAACTCGGCCACCCAGGGACCACCCAAGGTGCTGACAACAGGCTCCCACTCGCCCGTAGTCTCGTCGAACTCCGTAATGCCGTCGTAGAAGATAGTGCCGGGCTGGTAGCTGATGTAGACGAGACGGCCCTCGGAGTCGTGCAGTCCGGCCCAGATGGCGGCGGCAACTGCAGCTCCCTCAGCAGTCACTGTTCCGTTCTGCGCAATGTGGGGGATGGAGCCAAAAGCGTCATTGGTGTTGACGCCGCACGAGTAGGGAGTTCCGATGGTACTGTTGACATCAAAGTGGAGAAGACAGAGGTCGGAGCGGGAGACAATGCCATCGACGCGGCCATCCAAGCCGTCACAAGCTTCCATAGTAAGATTGGCAATCTTTTCCAGCTCGCAGGTAGGAGGAAAGTAACCTAGCGTTTGCTGGATGATATTGCTGGTCAAGTGGTTGACCTGTTGCTGGCCATAACGGAAAGCAGGTGCGCCCATAACAGTGCCGTCGAACTGGTCGGCGAAACGCTGGACTTGGCTCCATCCTTCTCGGCCACCTTCAGAGCAGCCTTGGTAGTAAGAATAGATCTTGGTGCCAGATGAGACGTTGTACAAGTTCTTGGTCAGCTCCTTGCCAAGCAGAGCCAGTTCGTGATGAGCCTGGTAGCCAAACATGTACGCTGCCTCCCAGTTCACCGTGCCATTGTCCAGAAGAAACGCAGCGTCCAGTTCCGTGTCAAAGGAACCGAAACCGCCGTCCGTGATGCCCGAGACAGCGCCGTTAATAATGCCGTTGGGGATGTATTCGGTGCCCGAGTTGATAGCAAAGCCACCACCACCAGTGGAAAGGTAGCGGTTCTTGAAGTCGGATGGCGCGGGTAGCCAATATGAGACGTGAACCTGATCGCCAGCAATGCCATTATGGGAGTAGGCAAAAGTGAGGTTACAGTAGTCGATAGTGGTGGTAGGATACCACTCAAAGTCGGCCGTGTAACCGAACGTCAGGTTGGTCGTGATGGACAGGGGATCGATAGTGATACCCATGATGAAATCGCTGGCGGGCAGCCGAGATTCGACGTAGGCAGAGTCACAGACATCTTCGAGCGAGGCAGACTGTACAGCGGTGAAGAGGACTGCGGCGGCGGCCGTGACGGCGCCCTTTACGCGTGCCAGAGACATGATGGGAAAGAGACGGCGCTGGATCACAAGACTGAGATGTTGATGAACGACAGGTGCTCGCTCCTTCAGCCAGCAGGAATTGTCGAGGTTGTTATAAAGGCGACGACAACATCAGGCCCCACATCACCGCACCGCCGTCCTGTTGCCAGCAGCAGGGCTGTTAGTGATTCTTCCTTGCTTATGAACCGGCCATGGCAAATCCTTGTGACAACGGCTAATTCTCGGTCCATCGGATTTAAAGCAGGTACCGTGCAACCGTGGTTGATATTGCCAGGCCGCATCGTGACTAGCAGTATCCATTGCCAAGGGATGTCAAGCGCAAAAAGGAAATAGATCGCGACTGAGTCTCCACGCGTCTTCGTCATCCGACAAAATGTTAGTTCGGCTTAGACTACATGCCTGAATTCTCTGTCCTGGTCGGCGCCCCATGGGGTGGGCCCCGCGCGGTCAAAGGCGGGTTCGGTGGTGTGCTGGAAAGTAGAAGTGGATATGGGACCACAATGGAGAGATATGGAGGTGGCGATGGGGGCATTATCAGGGGAAATTGAGGGACAATCTGGAGACGATGTGGTTGTATCCACTTTTCACCGGGTCTTTCTGTATCCAAATCCCGTTCAAGTTTTCATATACTATGTACTAGCTTTTGTGTCAATCGAGAGAGACTAGCAAGTGGGCCTTATATATGTAGGTTAGTTGTCACCCGTTTAGAAAAGAAGTGTGATATTGTGATCCGTTAAACACGCAACTCGAAAAGCTACAGAATACATGATCAAGCAAGCACCACAATTCAATACCCGGAGGGCAGCCCCACAATACGAGATTCGCCCGTGATGTCGAAGCATGAAGTGCGGGATTTTGTGATTTTGGCTGATTGGTTGCTACTCAACGAGAGACTCGGAAATTTGCGCTCTTCACCCAGGGAAGTCCGAAAGCTAGTTGTCGAGGCGGAAGTCAAACAATTGTCTTCATATACTTTGAACATTGAAACGCTATGTTAAGAATGTATAGCCTCTGGGCGCTTTTCGGGCGCAAGAAGTTGAGACTCCCAGCCAGCAGCATCAGATGTCAATCCAAAATAATGCGAAGTCTTTCATGCTGATTCACTAGGGCACCCAATCTTGTTTGCTTTTCCTTCCCAGACTGGGTACTTTCCATCTGCCTCTTCGCGTCTTCAACATCCTTCTCAGTCGGTAGATTGCCTATCACCAAATACAAAACATCCTGACTGGTGACCCTCCTCGCCAGCATCGCAGGGGCCACATAGCCCCTATCGAAGTTCGCTTCGGTTTTCTCGGCCTCGGACAGCTCGCGACCTTGGAAATATGCGCAACTGCTTCGGCGTGCTTGATGTGTTGCTTCCACTTGCTGGTCCATCAATGTATGCGACCATCCGTGGTCATGTTGATGGGGCCATGACTACAAGATCTTAACTTAGCTTCTTCCGTCTCGAGCTAACATTACAAGACTGGGCTTTTTGCAAGGAATCTTGAGGGCTATAAGGCTCTATCAAAATGGAACAGTGAGCAGGCAGGTAGCGTAACTTCTGCAAAGTGACTTACTGGTACATCTAATGAGTCTAGATTTCCACTTCTTCCTATGGAGCTACGACTCATGATCTGGGAGCTAAGCTGGCCCAACGCTCGCGTTATAGAGGCTGCTCGCCTAAACAAAGATCTGCCAGTGATGGGACTTCGTCTTATCTGTACTTGGTCACAATGGCGAGTGTGACCGGATGTTTCTATATATGGAGATCTGGAGACTGAACCCTTGAACCCGATGATGACAACGCCAGTGCGCCAACCACGCTTTACATATGTCATGAATCCCGGGTGCATACGATGAAGACCTATGTCTACTTTGAGCATTCCGGCTACCCCAGCAGCTCCTCGCTTTATCTAAATCCACATCTAGATGTTATTTGGTTTGCCCTTGATATCATCGATAGCCTGGATATTATTAAAAGCGGGTTGCATCAAATTTACGGCTCTCGAATTGATATGGTGGAAAACGTGCTGATGGCTGACAGCCTTTGGCGAAAGGAGTCGGTGCCTGGGATGGTGGGGTTCCTCGATGTCTACTGTGGGCTTCGGTCTGTCACCCTGGTGTTTGACGAGGATCCATTCCGCCGGGAGATAAAGAAGAGGGCATTGGAGGATGCCTGGGCTATCGAGTGTCGGGATTGGAAGATCCAGTACATGAATCAAAGGGGATTCCTTATGGAAATGAGTGTATTGAACGCGCATCAGAAAGTTAGGAAAATCAGCAAGGGAAGAAGAAGAAGAAAAAACGGAGGGAAAAACCCGGCTAAGCGAAGCTATCTAGATTCAGGGTGCGTGGCGATATTGGGAGCCAATGAGTCAGTGGCCCTCACAAATTGTTCATCAGCAGTATCCAGACCTTCTCGGTGGAAAACATGTCAAGAACGGAGTGATCTCTTCTTTTCGCACATTCAAAAGCTGTGCTACCGGAGTGTAGCAATTCTTGGAATAAGTGAGTTAGCATCAACAAGTGACATACCATAAATGGTCAAGACGCTCCATAAATAAGTTGGTAAACCTAAAGGCGAGGCTGGCAACTTGAGAGTACTCTGTTTTTCTTATAAAAAGCAAAGCTGTAATTTGACAGTTATAGACAATCCCTGCCGCGAAGCTTCATGTTGAAAATGCATACTTATCAGCATCAAATCAATCAATGGGAAGAAATGGAAAGTGAAGACTCCCGTATCGTGTCTCAAGACACATCCAAATAACACCAGGCCTCAACTCATCTGATAGTCGTCCCGAATAAATGGAGCCAAGGACGATAATGTGCATGTCATAACCTGCCCAGCAAAAGGGCGAAAGATCCAGCGACAACAGCATGGGACCTTGTTCCATTGGGTTCCCTGGGACGAGTAATCAATAGTATTAGCATGAGAAATTATGACAAACTCAGTATGGTACGTTCCCACCGGCGTTTGGTCAGACTTGAGCCCAAGATAAGACACGACAATGTCGCCTGGGAGCCAAAGCGCCCCTACTTATCTCTAACAGAGACAGATACCACCATTGGTTAATCAGTCACAAAAACTATGTATATAACCATAATACAAGCTTCTTAATTTTAACATTATTAGATCCTTAATAGATTTTACAAATTTGAAGAGATTTAATTAATCAAATTGAGTTATTACAAATCTAGATATAAGAGAGTTTAACAATTAATCTAACAGAAAATTAATTAGATTAAACTAACCATTGTAATCTTATAAGTTTATAAAGCTAGAAGATAATACAAATTGTACTTATATTATAAAAAGAAAATTAAGTATTTTTGATTATAATATATTAGTATTGTGAATAATGATTTGTTATAAAATATTGATATGCTTTTGCTTTTCACGAGGCCTGGGACCCTGTAGCTTGGCGATGGTTTTATGGGCGGGCCTATGAATTCATGTTTAAATCCAGAATTTCTTTTCTTCCGCAAACTTGTCAAACGATGACCATGCTGCAATTGCGTAGGCCACGCTGCAATTCAACACAGTGGCAAATCCTTATCAGGCGCGAGAAATCCTGCCCAATGATATTTGCAAAAGGTCGAGCGTTCGTATTCCACAACTCTTGGCGATGGTGCCAAAATCCGGATCGACTCGGGCTCCTTTTAGGAATTTATCGGGTGGAGATGGATACGAGTCTCTCACCTAGAGACCAGTGCGTTTTTCTGAATAGTTATACTTTCTGTTAAGTTATTGGGCAGCCCCTTAATTGCTTTGGGCTGATGGTAATACTAATTGTTGGACAAGGGTGTGGAAGCTATGGCCTATTGTCTAGGCGGAGAAGATCACAATATCAGTGCGCAAAGCCAGCAGCAAAAAAATCACAAACGTGATCTTGGGCATCAATGATACATTATGTTATGCAAGATTCGCTGATGTTCAATGATCTTTTGCAACCTTTATATATTTGTGTTTCTGTCTCGCTTCCGTTTCTGTTTTGCTTCCGTTTCTGTTGAACTGTCCATTGAATACTCCAAAGTCAAGTTTTATATTGTGACTATCCTAAACACTCCGTCTTTTGTACAAATCAGGTCTAGCATACCTCTCTCTATTCAACGTACGTCTGATGAACACTCTCATGGCTGGAGCGTCGAAATCAAAAAAATAAGGAGAAAGACAACATCACCTCCGACTCCCGCCATTTCTTCGACCATCGGGCTGTTTCCACAAAGAGGGTTCTATCTCAGTCATGGCTTCGCAAAGCTTATTCGTGACGCCGAAAGAGCTAGAAGATGGCCGGCTCCCTGGGCCAAATAACAAAGCACCTGCAGGACTGATGGTATCTGAATCACAAGTCCCAGAGGAACCGCCATTCCACATTTTCAATAAGAGACAAAAGTGGAACCTTGTGGCTATCATTGGCGCTGCTGGCCTCTTCTCAGGCTTGTCTTCAAATATTTACTTTCCGGCTCTCGATGCCATCACAGAAGTGAGTACATATACCGACGAAATGTGACCTATGAGAAACTGATTTGTGGCCCAGGATCTGAATGTGAGCACGGGTCAAGTCTCTCTCACGATCACGTCTTATCTGATCATCCAAGGCATATCTCCTCTGTTCTGGGGACCGCTTTCTGATACGCTAGGTCGCCGTGTGGTATACGTAGGCTCTTTCTCCGTCTATATCCTCGCGAACATTGCGTTGAGCTTCTCGCCGAATTTCGCTGTACTGCTAGTGTTCCGTGGTCTGCAGTCAGCCGGCAGTGCTTCGACCGTTAGTATTGGTATGAGAAGCAGACAATAAGGTTCGAAAATGATCTTGAGCTGATAGAAGATAGGAAACGGAGTTATCCAAGACATCGCTACACCCCTCGAGAGGGGTGCTTTTATTGGATTTTATCAAGCCAGTAGGTCGCATTACTCTACCCCACGGGAATCTAGAACAAACTCTTGGCTTACCTTCTCTAGTTCGAAATTTTAGTATCGCCGTCGGGCCTGTCCTGGGTGGGATATTGGGCAATTTTCTTGGTTTCCGGTATGAGCGCTTCATTTCTCGTTGACTTGAGACATCGTATATGTCGTGCTGAACAACTACTGGTCAGGTCCATCTTCATTTTCCTGACCATTATCTCCGGTGTCGTGCTTCTTGTCATCATTGTCTTCCTCCCTGAAACTCTCAGGGCCATTGCTGGCAACGGCACGAAGAGACTCACGGGCATTCACCGACCAATTATTCACCAATTCAAAGAGCCCGAGTACATGGAAGACCCAGAAAGCAGTACCCAGACGCCCAAGGTCACTGCCGAGACATTCCTCGGGCCATTGAAGATGCTTTTGGAGAAAGACATCTTAGTCACCCTCATCTTTGGCGGCATGGTCTACACTGTCTGGAGCATGGTTGTTGCCAGCACGACGGATTTGTTCGATCGACGGTTTGACCTCAACGAGTTGACTCTCGGATTGGCGTTTTTGCCTAATGGTACGTTGGATTTCGAAACACAAAGGCAGTTTCTAAGTTCTCCCAACTCAGATCGGGGCACATGCATGTGTCTGGCGACCCAGTTGGGCATAGAGAGTAGGGGAGGGGGTGCTGGACTGCAATGAGTCAACGCAATCTGAGGACGTACCCCACTCGGTTCCAATTCTTTTTCACTGACAAATTTCTCATCGACAGGCCTAGGCACCATTGCTGGCTCAACCATTGCAGGCAAAATGATGACGCGAGACTTTGTCCGCTACGAGAAGCGGTACCTAGAGCTCTACCCGGACGCACCACCCCCTTCCAAGACGAGAAAATCCCTATCGCCGGATTTTCCCATCGAGCACGCTCGCCTCCGTCACATTCCTTGGATGACCGGGTCATTCGTCGTTGCTACAGGTCTCTTTGGTTTCACCGTACTGTCGCCGGCCGAGTCTGGACTCGCTGCAGCGAGGAGCCCGGCCTGGATTGTGTTGCCGTTGGTGCTCCAATTTCTGATCGCTGCGACTTCCAACGCCGTGTTTGCCATCAACACAACACTTGTGTCCGACCTGTACCCTGGTAGCGGGGCGGGCAGTACAGCCGTGAACAATTTGGTGAGGTGCAGTATGGCGGCCATCGGGGTGGCTTTTGTGGACAGGCTCATTGCGCTTGTCGGCCCTGCCATGGCGTTCTCTGGCCTGGCATTGCTGGTTGTAGTATTGAGTGTCCTTGTCGCAGTGGAGTGGACCTGGGGAATGCAGTGGAGAGGCGAGCGGGAGGGGAGGAGAGAGGTATTGGCTGAAAAATCGATGTCCTGAGGTTTAGTGAAGAAAGACTCTGACTACTTTCCTTCAAACTTAGCTCCTTGGAGGGGGATGACAGAGTCGTGGTTTGATATAAGTGAAAAGATAAATAAAAATAAAAATATCAAAACCAAAACAAGTTGCATGAATCACTAAATGGTTTTACGACAAGGAAAGACAGAAAAAGTGTGTTTGATGTTCCATGATATGCTGACATGTCGAAAATCATAATGGACAACTCCATCCAGAGAATATGCTACAGTATGTACGAAAAGTTAAGGAGAAACGGGCCCTAGAAGGAAAGGAGGCAGGAAGGGCCAGCCAGGCTGAGCTGGTAACAGGCTTCAAGGTGCACAATATCCACAAGTATGGACACATACTTACGGGGCAGGGGATCCGCTGGTCTTGGCACAAATTGATTTGGCAGCCAGCTTTCGAAGTGACCCACTCGGGCAGCAAACTCATGACTACTGCAATACTGCAACCGTACGATACTGACACGACGTCCGCAGCGACCTGAGAAATCGTGACATGGTCTTCATGGCCCTCGGGAAAGTTTATTTGTCAAGCTTAAATGAGCTCTCGGCCTCCGCAAATAATTGCACAAAGCGACTCGACCGGCCGAAATACACTTGCTTGCAACCTCGTCGCCTTGCAGGTCTCGGGCCGGGCCGGAAGTATGGCTGTATCAACCATCACTTCTTCTTTTTGCTTTTGGAATGGAAAACTAAGAAGGACCCAAAGGCCAGAGAAGAGGGGCCAAGATAAGAGAAATCAAACGAGTCAAAGTTGAGGTGTAGTACTTGTGGCATTAAGAGATCGAATGCAAAAGAGCTTGAAAAGGCCCACTCGGCTTGACTCTGGCATCCAGATTACGTGTCACTTCCTCCAGACACCCGGCTTTGCACTGTTCTTGCCATTTGCACGAGTTTCCAATCTGCACTACGAGTCTGCGCTAATGATGCCGTGAATTGCCCAGAAGGAGCGAGGCTAGGACTCCGTCTTGACTTTTGATTGTGCATCGCAGCTGCCTTCTCATAGTCCTCCTCGCCGATCAGGAGCGAATCCACTTCCCCCTGTCGACCCTTGCCTATCAACGACCCAAATCCCAAACCTCTTCTCTACTCCCTGATCGCCCTTGCACTTCCGCCAGCCTAACCAATACGTCAGATGTTTCTCCTCTCCTTTCTGACCAGTCCTTTCGGCCATTTTGTCGAAATAGTCTCCTAAATTGCCCCCAGCAATCAGCGCCCCCAGACTCCCAATACTCATCGAGTCCCGAGGCAAGACATTCGTCCTGGACCCCGCCGCCCACGCAAACAAGGTCAGTCCGAGTACTGCGCCGAGGATTCCTTGCAGCACTCTCGTCAACGTCGCGTCCTGGACCAACCTCAACTGCCCTTTGGCGATGGTCGTCCGCGGGCCATCTTCGGGCCTATAATCACTTCCAGCGGAGGCGCCGGGTAGGGATGTAATGTTCTCCAGCGCATCCCTCGCATCAACCCTACCGGAAGGAAGGCGGAACTCGTAGTTCAATTTCTGTGCCGCCAAGATCCCATACTGGCTTTTCACCGCCTCGACGATGGCATCCGACTTGTCCACATCGCCAAAGTCGTTCATGGTCAGCGCAGACCCTTTCTGCGCGACAAGGAGCGCCATGTAGTCGTCGAATATGCTATTGTTCTTGAAAGGAGAGGTTAAATTAGCAACATCATCCCACGTCGAGGGGTAGTACGCTGTGAGTGACGACATAATGGGCCCGGTCGTATTCGCTGTGTGCGCCGTAGACATATCATATGTGGACACAGGGGGCTCGATCGGCTCCGTAGTTACGATCGATAAGTCGACATTGGAAAAAGTCGTATTCACATATAATACTTCCAGAGTCTCGTTGCAGCCCATCGCTTCAACATGAATGGTGCGATTGGGCGAGGGCGATACGGATCCCCATGTGAAAAGCACGTTACTATATGTTCCCCACGGCTGGATGGAGGAATACTCGTCCTCGAGTATGTTGCCCGCGTCGAAGTTAACTCGCAGGGTCAAGAGGTTGCTGACGCCGAACGGGACAGTTTTCGCGCTACTAGTGTTGGAGATGGTTGTATCGACCAGTAATGAGGACGAGGTGAAGCGGTTATTTTCGGGGATTACGCTGATATTCATTGGATACAATTCCAGCCCTGTGACGGTAGTCAGGCTCTTTGTGAAGCTTGCCAATATATCTGAACTGTTATACCTCCGGCATGTGAGGGCTACCCGCAGAGCAGGGACAATAGCCTGCGTCGCGAAGGAATCGTTGTCAAGAGTGCTGTTTTCTGGAAAGGAGATGGTGTACTCTGGGAAAGCGAGGTTTCGGTGCGTGAAAGCCGGAAACGACAAGTCTTTTGTCAATACAAGAGAACTCGTCAGGGACTCCGGGCCACCAACAAGGTCGGTGTATAGTGCGTAGGGAGGGTTGGTAGCATTGATGGAAAACGTGCTTGTCGTGTAGATCTCTGCCTGGTACACGGTCGGCGCATACACAACCGTGAATAATGATGAGGTAAAAGTGTTGAAATTTGCTGCGAGAAGGGAGGCTACAGTGACTGCTAGTATGGGAAAATCCCTTATCTGCAATTCTCGATACAATATCTTTGGTATGCTGGCGTCGAGCAGGTCCAGGCCAATAGACTTGTCAAAACTCGCAATCTTGCGAAGATGGAGGTACGGTGCTACTATTCGCTCCGCCGAATCGATGAAGCTAACATCCATGGCGACGAGGGTGAAGCATATTGCCGGCAGATTCGTCCAGACATAATGAGCATAGCCGTCCTGTCGCACACTGCCCAGGCCATTGTTTCGCTGTGATATGCGGAGGGTTACTTCTAATGTGATGATGATGGCGAGAAGTATCAGGCAGATGGCCAATCTAGCGAGAGGATGCAAAGCCAGTGGATACTTCGTTTTGAAGTTTTCCGCATTGACCGTGTTCTGGTTGAGCTTGAAGTCTTTCGACAGATGCGGCTCCATGGCAATATAAGAAGCTGCGACAGCGGCATCCTCGTGGGAAAGTTCGGGTTTGGGCATGATGTAGTAGTCGGCTTGGCTCAACGCCTTCTTGACCTCCTTGTCTGTTTTGGACCCCAAATAGATCCAATCAGCCAACAAATGGGGATTCCGACCCAGGACGGTACCCAGACTTGCCAGTCTCGACGCAGGCACTGCAGTGACAGATTTGTCGTAGATGCAATTCGTCGCGCATACGACAATACACGTGAGGCCTGTGAGCGCGAGCAATGCAGACATAGTATGGCTCGCCAAAGGCTGGACTAGCAATCGATTTTGGAGCGTCGTTATGTTCCCCGAGGATGCCTTTGACGAGACATACATCAAGCCTGCCCTGGCGAGCTGTGCTGCGTGTTTCTTGTAATACGACGTGAAGATTCCTTGCAAGTAGTCCGTGTTAAGCAATGCGGAAATGCTTAAGTTCGTGCGACCTTCGTTGCCGTAAATTGTGATTGATCGCCTATCGACGTCAATCGTGGCATTCTGTATGGCCAGCCGCCAGCCTCCCGATCCGATGGATTCCTCAAACCCGACAAGCTGCCAGGCCGTCTCGTTGAATACAGACTCTGCGATGGTCCACGAGGCCAAAGTCAGAGCATCGTCCTTCTGTGTCGGGTTGTCGGAGGAAACAGGGAACGTCGATGTCGACGTCCCGTTCCTCTTGATACCGACTTGTCCGACTCGGTGAGTTGGCTGGCAGATAATTGCAGACGACTCGCCCAGACGACACTCATCGGGCTCGCCATAGATGTCTCCAGGACCTGTTGTATTGGTCGTCCACGTCAATTTCGGGACCCCAAATACAAATGCAACCCTGTTGCCGTCCTCTTCAGGTGCGCCATCACACTGTCCTGTCAATACTCGACTGAAATGCAGTGGATCTGTCTCATTCAAGTTGAACGACATGCCGAACTCGGCCGCCATCTTGCAACTACTAGAGGCCATGCTGGCGAACATGGTAGCTTCCCAAGTCTCGAAGTCGGCATCGGTGTTAAACATGGTTTGTTCACAGCTCAGGTTCACATGTGCCGTTTCGCACTCCAGATCAGCCTCAAATGCCGCCACCGTCGCAGTCAATTGTGCATCATCCGGCAGCGTGGCATCGAACTCTTGATACGCTATTGTGCCATCCGTACCCGCTGGATACGACAAATTTGCAAGTACCAGACCCATGGTAATATATCTTGAGGTTATAGCCGCTGACTGTATCGTGGCGTTGAACGTCGAGTTCTCATATCCGAACTCGGTTGTGAGCGTAATAGGGAAAGACGGGTCAACCACATCTGTGGGCGTAAGAGTGATGAGACTGGTCGAGAAGATGATTTCCACCTGGATGATCAGCCCTATACCTCCACTTATGGCCACCATCCAGTCGCGGTTCCGCAAGGCGCGCACCAGAGTCTCGGGCAGGAGCATCGAAGTGTAGTCCAAGAGGATGGAGCGCTCTGCGCTTGTCCTGCCGCTATGCATATGTACCCAAGGTGCTGCCATTGATGCTTGAAAGAAGACTCGTGCCCATATCGATGCGAGGATGGTCAGAACGACGGTCGGGCCGAAAGACCAGAGATATTGAAGCTTTTGATTGCTCGTGGCTAAGCCATTATTTTTCTTGGAGACCCATTGCAGGATCTCGATTGCGACGGCGAGAAAGACAAATGACGCCCCTAGACCCAGGATAATGTACCGTTTGAGATACAATGGGCTCCATGACGATTGCGATGGAGACGGACCTGTGCGATTGCCAGGGCCTATCCCCGGCTGAACTGCCATAATGGACCTTTGCGCATCCGCGACTGTTTGTGTTTCTGTACATGTGGACACTCCCCCCTCTGGGTCATTAGAGTAGTTTTCCATGGAATATTGTGACGCAGAGGATGTCGACGGTGAGGATGTCGTGAATTCTTCTTCCTCAGTAGCGGAGTCTTCATGCCCTAAAGGCGATGGTGGTGTTGGACCGTGCACTGTTGACCATGAAGCCATGTTTAATAGAACCGAGACCGTGCGTAACAACAATAGACCTGGCTGGATTCAAGTGGGCTTGCCAAAAGTGAAAGGGGAAGGGGGTGCTCCTCGTGTAGCCTGTAATCATGAGCAGGATGAACGAGAATCAAGGATCTTTCAAAGAATTCATGTTGCCAGACATAAACCTAAGACCTGAATTATCTTAAGGGTAATTAATTGAGGCAAATATCGTTGACAAGTGTGATGGTCCTCCCTTTTGATTTGCGCAAGGCTTCAGCACACAGACCAGGTTGTAGACAGAACTGATAAGGAAACTGACTGGCAATTCTTTCTCTGATCTTGACACAGCCCCCACATGCAGGTCGTCCGTCCATCTTCACAGTCTATAGGCCCCCATCTTTGATGTTCTAGCTATGTTGCCTAATCCAGGCGTAAGCAGAGGGGTATATCGAAGAACTCAGCTGTGGAAGCACCGGAGAAACTAAGACAGTTGTGGTCAGACAAGAGGCGTGAGGCCCCCAATCGTAACACTCGCAGCCAACCATAGGCCAGCTAATGCCGCCGAGGCTGACTGGAACTCTGAGACAAATCGACTTCGTAGCCCTCAATGTCGCGTACTTAGTACACAGCCCCCAACGTCCGCGAAGATTTAGTTATTGTGAAACAGTCTAACAGTTCACTGAAGGGCACACTGCATGATTAACCGTCGAGACATCGCCCTGATCGTCGTAAAAGATAGCTATACAAATTGCTGCTTCGCCACTATCGCAGCATGCAGCCCCTACTTAAACTTCGTTGGAAACCAGTGACGATTTTCTACCCAACCTCTTCGGCTATTCTCTATCTCAGCATGCAGTTACTTCAATCTATTGATGTCAAAATCAGGCTCATAGTTCGATCGTCGCCACAAAATTTTGTGACATCAGCTAAGACAACTCAACAGGAATACAATCACCAATCCTTCTCATCCAGGCAGCATTTACCCAATAGCTTTTCTAATGGCATGTCAGGTTCAAGATGGCTGGCTGAGAGTATAAATCATATGTATTATTTTTCACTCGAAATCGATGAATATTGGGCTGGTTATAACTTTTCCTCCGTTCCATTCTCGGCCCACAAAGTAGACGGCTCGGCTGCTGCCCTCCTCCTGGGAACTGATCTCTACCTGTCCTTCTACTCGTCGGGGCAGATCAACATCGGGTACCACTTCAGCTTTGACAAAAAGGTTGGCCCCGCCTCGTAACTCCAGTACCTTCCCACCCCGCTCCAAGGCCTCTGATCGACTCACACGAAGTTCGAAAGTCGGCTGAGGCTTGTGGGGGTTTCCTCGCAAGACATCTCCCACTTTGACATAACCGCCTAGTGACCCTTGGATAATAATCTCCTCGGGCGGACCTTCTTCACAGAAGAGATTCACTCCATCGAAGTCTCCGCTTGTCCGGGTACTAAAAGAAACGTTCTCATGGTCATCCTGCGACACGCTTTCCTCTGGAACGAATGTAACTCCACCAAAAGGAAGGACACATGCGATGCGAGCACCCTTTACGGAGATCGTCCCTTGCCACACGGCCTCCCTGTACCGATCGTACAGTCTGGCTCCACCCCATGTAACTCGAACGATCTGTGGACAGCCCTCGGCAACGTCGGCTTCACGCCATAAGTCTCGATGATGTATTCGGCCTGATCCGTCAAACGCTTCTATAGTAGAGAAGCCAGCGTTGCCGTAGAACGAATAGTCCAGCACAATGGGGTTGCTCACAGTGTGTCTGACTTCGTCGCCTTGAATGGCAGTGCCATCCTTGACACTCGAGAGCCCCACCAGTCGCTCTCCAGTGGTAGCAAAAGTATGTCTGCTCCTTAGGGCGCGCGCGACATCTACACGTGATAACGTGGGTGCCAGAATGCCAGTGAGGCCACCCCTGGTGCCAAAGACAGCTGTGCCTGGGACGCCACCTCCGCAACGCCCACGATGCTCGTCCGAGTTGGCACACACTCCCATGCGCCATCCCCTCTTCACTGCATCTTGCAGCAGCCACTCGAAATGGCCCCAGGCGCTACTGATCTCGACGAGCCTCTCGAGATCCGGGTGGTGCCAATCAAGATTGCAGCGACGGCCTCCGACATGTGGGATCATGAGGTGCGTGTCGGCCGCGTGCGCATAGGTCGCATAGACTTCATCCAAGGGCCAGGCGCCGGGCTGCAGTTCCGCCGGGCCGTGCTCATTCCATTCGAAGCTCCGTGCAACGTTACCGTGCTTGTCCCACGGAAATTCAAGGGGAGCGCCATTCGTCGTGTCATCTAGGAACACGACGTTGTGGTCGCCACCCACGGCGCTGTTGCCGCACCATTCCGTGCCAGGAAATATCACGACTTCGCCAGATTGGTTGATCTTGCGGATGAGCTCCAACGTCGCTGTCCAGTCTTCGACAGTGATGTGAAAGTCGTTGGCCGTGTAGCCGATCACGTCGAGGCCGGCGAGCTTTTGGGCGTACGAAAAATTATACTCGCTGTCATTTGTCCCGACAGTGTCGTCAGAGTGGACGTGAAGGTCGCCGTACAGCGCACGTGGTACAGGAGAGATTCCAGCGACGGATACATGCTGAGTGTCCGTCAACTGCTGACCAGTAGCATTGTTCGTCACTGCAACCTTGACGACGTAATCTCCAGGCCTTTCCAGCTGAACCTTCGGAACATGCCCATACGTCCAACCGGTTTCCTTCAGCAGCAGCGTAGTCGAGAAGATGGGCGGAGTGGCCACTTCCTCTCCCTTGCCGTTCGGAAAAATTCGAACGGCGGCTTGATACCCTGCAACATCAGTCGTAGTGTTCCCCCACTCATCTTCGACGTGGAACGAGATGGGAAAAGGTGTCTCGGGCTGGACCAATCTGGCTGTCTGGATCTTTAGTTGGTGAGCCGGGCCGCTGTGAATATCAATGGAGATATCCGGCTTGATAGCTGCAAATCTGGACGTGCCGACTGGATCAATATACCATCTCATCAAAAAGGTCTTCTCGACAAAGGTCTGCGTCCTGGTACCCTTTCCACCGAAGCGTCTATCACCAAGTCGAATCACGATTTTGTCCCCGGGATTGATGTAGCCATCGACCACGTCAACAATGATTGCCTTCTGAAACGGTCGCTCGTGGCCTTTCTGGTCGAAGCGCACCGAAAGATCCTGTATAGTGGCCGGACTTTGTCCTTGGGCCAATGCTGTAGGAACATATTCGGCCGACACATAGTTATCTCCGCTCGGGTCAGATGTCTGGAACAATGCCCAATCCTGCCATGGTCTTAGCATGATAATCAGAATCCGGGCCATTGCTGTTCATTTCTACTTCTTTCGTACAGAATAGAACTTGAATGTGCCTTTGATCCAAGCACCGTCCGCCAGTCCACTTCCTCCTACAGTATATTCAATGACGACCTCTGTCCATTGTCCTGCGGTTAAAGATTGAGTGCTGCAACTCAGCGTGCCGAGAAATGGTAGCGATTTGATGTAGTGGTAATAGTCTTGGGGCGCAGTAAAGGCTCCCGCCGCGTCCTGAAGCTGGTGCTGTGAGAGCGTCTTCATGGCTGGCACGACGTCCTTGGGATTCACGACAGGATTCAAGGCTTAACGAGACACTCAAAGGCCGGGAAAGTATGTGAGACAGAACGACTATGTCTACGGGTAAGTAGAAAGAAAGAAACTTCATTACGCATCCACAAAGATGTGAATCACCGGAATGTGGACCCTGTTCCGGCACCTGCACCTCTCGTTCTCCGTATTGGTGGTCCGACCAGGTGTCGGCGTGCGGGGATCATGCTACGGTCTTCTCCGCTGTTGCGATAATCGGTATCGGCGTCTGCGTTTGATTGAAACAGGAGGGGGGAGGGGAGCGCAGAACACCTTGCGCCGGTTGATGTATTCGAGTCCACAGATGGCGTGCTCCATGTGGCCATCCACCAATTGCGCTACTGTGAGAAGCCACTTCAGTTTACTATGTCAGAACCTGAGTCATTGGCAGTTCATCTTTATCTCTATTTCCTTTACCAAGGAGATATTTCGAGGTAGCTTACGCTTTGTCTGCCAAAAATGGCGTGCTCAACCCTATCTTTGAATGTGGAAGTCGGATGAGTTGTCAAGGCAGTATCTGAATGGGCTGGTTGATCCTCCAAAGATACCACTTCTAGGCAGCACTTACACATTGCCCGCGTCATATACTACATCATCTTAATTATCATCTTGTATATCAGCAGAAACGTCATGTTCGATCTGCGGAGCGTCAAAGATCGTGTCAAGTCGGACGCCAACATCCTGCACGTTTGTCATTTGGGCAGCAAGGCAGTGCGGTCGACTCCTGCCTTCACTGCGCGCTACCTCGTTGACAAAGTTCCCATCATCCAATGGCTACCGCAATACAATCCAAGATGGATAGTGAACGACCTTATCGCCGGCATCACAATTGGAGTGCTGCTTGTTCCTCAAAGTCTAGCGTACGCTCGTTTCAGGATGCTTCCTCTATAATCATGCTGACTATGGGCAGATACGCGAAAGTTGCCAATATTCCGGAGCAATATGGTCTCATCTCTAGTTGGATACCCACCGCGCTTTATACGATCATGGGGACATCCAAAGGTTAGTCTTAATCAAACATGAGGCAACACTTACCTCTGGACTGCCAGCTCAGATGTTTACTATTTTCAAGACTTGACCGCAGGTCCGACAGTTATAATGGCCCTACTCACGGGTGACATCGTGAACGACTTGGTGAAAGAAGGCTATAGCGATCACTCAATCGCAACCGCCGTGGCTTTTTTCGTCGGTGTATATTCGATGGGAGTTGGTATGCTCAGACTCGGATGGATCCTCGACTTCATACCACTTCCGGTGCTTACAGGATATGTTTCCGCCGCGGCGTTGACTATCGTCATTGGCCAGGTTCCGACCTTGTTTGGCGAGACAATCTCAAGCTCTGACACTGGACCGATCATCCGCGAATTCTTCCTCAAGTTGCCTGAGACGCAGTGGCAGTCGTTCCTCGTCGGGTGGTCTGGCGTCCTGCTGCTTTTTCTCTGCCAGTATTTGGGTCGCAAGTGGGGACAGCGCCACAGAATCATCTGGTTTCTGTCCATCACTAGAAACGCCATTGCTTTACTGCTCTTCACTGGAATTAGCTATGCTGTCAATCACGGTCGCGCGAGCCCGGTGTTCCCGATCGCGAAGACGGTCGGAACTGGCATTAAAGCACCGTCCGTGCCCGATATGGCTCTGCTAGCCAGAGTGACGGGCAAAGCGGTAGCTGTGTGGCTTGCAGCGGCTCTTGAACATGTCGCGATTGGCAAAGCCTTTGGTCGCAGACATAAATATGCCATCGATCAGAGCCAAGAATTGACCTATATTGGAGTAGCTAACTTCCTCGGAAGCTTTTTCTCGGCGATGCCTATCACCGGCGGGTTTTCTCGCACGGCAGTCAACTCAGAATCGGGCGTCAAGAGTCCGCTTGGAGGCCTCGTCACCACAGCCTGCGTGTTGGTTAGTATATACACACTGACGGGTGCCTTTTACTGGATTCCGAAGGCCACACTGTCAGCAGTGATAGTCACTGCAGTCTGGCCTATCATCATCGGCCCTGCAACGTTCTGGAAGTATTGGAAGATCTCGTTCATCGACTTCGTCGCCAGTCAGCTCTCGTTCTGGGTCACATTGTTCGTTTCGGTGGAGGTCGGAATCGCGACTGGCGTCGCTTTCAGTATCGTTTACGTCCTTTTGCGGATCACGTTCAGTCAAGCAACATTGGTGACTTCTGCAAACATCCCGTCCTTGTATCCTGAAGGTGCCCGAGGAACTGCGACCACGATACCAGAAGATACGCTGATCTTTCGTCTCAATGACGCTGTCTTGTTCCCTAATGCTTATCGTCTCAAGTCGCAGATTGTCGACACTGTCACTGCTCTCCATGCTCCAGACTTGGGAGAGATGGAAGCCTCCATCCACGAGCGACTATGGAACGAAAGCCGGAAGCAAAATCCAATTAGCTCTACAGAGAGTCGTGCGCCTTTGAGAGTGCTCGTTCTTGATGTCTCTGGTCTGAATTACATTGATTCCACGGGCATGCAGATGCTGCTGGACTTGAAGGCAGCTTTGCTTGAATTTGCCGGCAGTGGCTTATTGATCGAATTCGTGGGGGTTCATGATGGCATTAGACAAAAGTTCGATCGCGCGAATTGGCAACTACAGAGTGAAGAACCTTCTGATGGACCAATTCGAGATGGCGGGGACTTGGTTTTCGACACTCTTCATGTAGCTCTAGCCACCCGTTCACAGTGCCAGCAGGGAAAGCCCGACCAGTCCACAGAAATGGCTGCTTTCAATTTAGCAGCTGGACTGGAAGGATGAGCGCGGAATCTAAGCAACTATCAGTAGATAGTTCTAGCATCTGGGAATGTTGATATCAGTCAAGCAAGTAAAAGTGTATCGAGTGTAAACAATGATTGTAGAAAGGGTTGTGTGCTACGAGGTTGAAACCGATTAACGGAATATTGAATGCCATAGCCTAGGAGTATAAACATATGGACTCACGTGCATTTTTCAGCGGAAAAGTCGAACCATACTGCGAAGCTCATCTGCACAAGCTGTGAAACGACGATAGCGAGGGCCGCTATAGACCGAATAATTGAAAATAGCAGCTCGAGAATTGCAATAAGACAAAGAAGGAATCAAAGAATACACAACACGAAATATTTCCACCGGTCGCCTCGGTCTAAACTTGACAACCTGCCGATTGGTAAACTGAATATTGATTCCAGGCCATGAGGCAAAGAGTGGCAAATATCAAGAAGCTGATCTTGAAGCACCGTGGTAGCACCGAGCCTATGATGCCGAAAGCCACCGAGTCCTTCACTCCCTTCGAGTCTCCCAGTCTCGCACGCGCTGAGAACACGCTCTGCAACATCACGGTACTGCCTTACCATAACAAAGCCTCGTCCATCCTGCTACAGGCAAGACAAATCTTCACATTGGATTTCTGTCTGTCAGAGAGTCAGATTAGCGAGCTCATTGCGGTTACCTATCTCAATACCCACACAAGACAAACTTCCTTTATCTTCTCTAGCAACCAGGTCAGATGCCAGAAGCAGCACTATATATGTAGCCGAAAATCAGTAGGCCAGGGATGGCGGCCATCATGCGATGGCTTCTCGACCAAGTGGGGGCCGCCCAGAACTTCCTAGAGCATGACAATAGATTACTTAAGCAAGAGAGACGAGAGAAATGTTGATCACGTGATTGGCAACTCCGTGTGCGAGACAATGCCGGTAGCTACCATGTATGGAATCACCGGGTACCTAATCTTGAACTCTATACTCGAGTACTTACGCACCCATGAACTACGTACACTGACTGTCAGCCTTCCACCTGGAAAATCCCTCCACGGTTAATCAACGCGTTTACAGCCGTGGGTGGCTCCACCCCTACCTTTTTTGCTGCCATCTGCGACGCTCTCGTGGACGCGGCAGTTGCTGTGGGCATGCCGCGCGACCTGGCTAACACTATGATTTTCCAATCTATGCATTGTACGGCTGCTCTGCTGCAGAGCGGCGTCCATACCGGTGTGCTCAAAGATCAAGGTACTTCCCCTAAAGGTTGTACTATCGGCGGTCTCATGGTGCTGGAAGAGACTGGTGTCAGAGGCCATCTCGGCCGGGGTCTGAGGGAAGCGCTGACCACAGCCCGACGCATGGGCTCAGAATCGCATGTTAGTGATACTAGGCATTGATAGAAGAGCAGCCCGGAGTACACTACTTCGATTTATCTAGTCAAAACGTGAATAAGAATGGTTCTCTGAGTTTCTTTTTCAAGTATTGTGTCTACTAACAACCCCCATGCCCCCACCCCCAAAAAGAAAAGAAACCAGTGGGCTTTCCACCCTGACTTGAATGAACCACTTCAATAGTCAGCGACCTCGGCCACAATGGTAGAAACTGAAAAGGCATCTGTCAGGGCTTGTACGCGCACACTCGGGCCTGAAAATTACGCAAGGCTTATGACAGCCGCACATACCCCCAGCGAGGGCTCTTCTCTACAATGGACCGCTCGTACGATGCTATCATGGTCATCAGGTCATATTTACCTCAATGAGGATGGACTTAAAATGTACATAAGAAAGTAAAAGAACCAGCGTAGCAGAGACAGAGGAAAATGGAAGAAAAAGGGGGTGGGGGAGATACAGATTCCGCAGGGCTTTTTGCTGTAATAGCCAGCTGAGCAGCTTGGGAGGAGCTCATACCCTTTTTGCCCTGACAGTATCTGAGTTCTAAGTAGCTAGATAGGAGCTCTAAGATTTTCAGGATGAAATCTATTTGACTGATTTTTCTTACTGGCTAACAGAAATTTTTCCTAATATCAATAAGCTGATTTATGTCATGTCTGTCTGCTGAATAATTCCTTTTTTTTTTAAAAAGAAATTAGCTCTTAGGACTTCATCCTTATACAAAGCTCATGTTCGAATAAGCTCTTTTCAATACTCTTGATAGTAACGTCTAGCTTAGGTTCAAGTTGGCTGTATGCTGGTCGTGTAAAGTGTCTTCGAAAACATAAAATTGTTTGAATTAGCATTGGTTGAGAAAGAGTCATAAAAGTAGCTTTTATTTATAAATACGATTGAGCCAGTCCAATATTCACACCCAGGCAAAGACATATACAAAGTCAGTCAAGAACCACTTCAGTGATTTCAGCCACGACCGCTAAACCATTGTAAGCATTCGATATGCGTAGTACATAGCATCATAAGAGCTCAATTAGAAGAAGACTCACAAGCTGATTTGTGCTTTCCTCTTTAGGCCCACGCCCAAGACCCTCCCGTGCGAAAAGCATCGTAAAACTGCAGGAAATCAATGTTCTCCTTCTCACCGAAGAATGCGTTCACAACAATTTCTGTCCTGCCTTCAAAATTCTCTGGCAGGCTTTGTGAATTCAGATCGGAATCCCCACAGCCATCCAGATACATGACAAGTAATAGCTTTGCCATCGCGGCGAAATCAGCGTGAGCTAAAGAAAATAATTGCAGTGGTATGTGAGGACTATCTTCCGTTGAGATCAGCTCCTTCGCTACATCCACCATGGCGACCCGATCTACTTTTCGCCATATTTCAGGCTGCAAGATCGTCATGAAATCGACTATGTCGTGGAAGTACTCATCGCCATTCTCATCTCGATTGGTTAGGGCAAATTCCGGTTCATATATCTCGTGGGGCCCCGGGGGGCTGATTTGCTTGAATGGCAACCAAACTTGTCGTGCTCGTTCGGCCGCTTTAGTTAATACCCAGAGAGACTCGTCAAAGGTATCAAGCTCAGAATCGGCAGGTTTTGCTAAGCTCTAAAAACAGCAACCGACGGTAATCGGCAGGCATGGATGTGCGGGTTCCACAGTCACCTCCATTGCCGAAAAATCCATAGTGGTGTTCTGGATGTAGGGGGACTGTGGCTCGGAGGCATTCCTTGCGCGTGATTGTCTTCACATCCGGTCCAGGCGGCATGAGAAAGGGATACCGAGACAGGTAGGAGAGCATGCGGAAGAAGACCGGAGCAGCGTCCCCAACTACTTGAAACCCTGCCTGAGGGACATGCCGGCGGAGGACATTCTCGAAGCCTTCCTGGCGCATGGTCGGCTCGCCATTCTCGACTTCGAATCATTGGTCGAACTCTGGAATCTGACGGCCAATAATAATGTGCAGTGTCGCGGTTTCAATCTCGTAGTCGAGTCGGTCCACAAAGCTGGAATGGTTCAGCAAGTTGTTGGCTCTCCACTCCTGCAGCCAGTATGATGCAGGGTACACAAGGATTTCCTTGTTCTTGTAGAACTGAGAGCAACTGTTGAGATATCGCAGCGTGCTTTCCTATTTTTCGAAGTGAATAGATAGTTTACAATAATCGGCAGAAGCTGGGAGGGGAACCTTTTGATGAAGGCATGTGGGAATGTGATCTGCCAGAAAGAAAATTCAAAGCTAGATCGCAGGTTTTATGAAGAATTTGGCTTGGATTCTTAAGAGGCACTTGTCAGTGGCTGGAATTTGTTGTCAGCTGCGAAACGAGACATAACATGGCATCAGCATCTCATTGTGTCAGATTCAATCCAAACATATAGTAACATGGCAACGAAAAAGTACCATGCATATTTTATATGGGGTCAGTGGGACACAACATAAGCAAGGGCAGTCTCCAACACAACGTACAAATGGCGCAGCAAACCTAATTAGGTCGACTCAAAGCCAGATCAACACTCTCCATATACCTTGTGAAGTGATTGTGAATAATGTAGCTAATACGTTTGTGACTTTTAGCTAAGGATTACTTTAGTGACTGACTACTTGACATATTAATGCGAAAAGCACGACTGCTTTACATTTGCAAGCAAAGTCGCTAGTAAATTGCCAGTGATCACGATTGATAGGATCAAAGAGATGGGTCTATCGGAGACCAGGAATCAGAGTTCATGCAGCATAGTTGTATGATTTTATTATTTTATTATAGTGTGAAGTGAATTAAAGAAAGATGATTAAAAACCATAGCCTATCCCAAAAGCTCATCTCTAAAGAGTAATAAACCAAGAACCTCGCCTCCAACCCCAACCGAATCCCTCCTTAAAACGCCGTGACTATCACATCTTACACAGCACTACACGCAACGGCACCCGCCTTCGTCTTGGTCGCCACTACACTAGTGACCGTAGTCTTCACCTTCACGGTCGTTGTCTTGGTGACTGTAGACTGCGACGTCACCGTGACGCTCGGCTTCAGCGTCACTGTTGCCGTCTTCCAGACCGTGCTCGTCGGCGTCGCCAGCGTCACAGTCGTCTTGATCGTCGTGTCGGCGCTCTTGACCACGGTGACTGTCTGCGCGGGCAGTGTGGTAGTGGCCTTGGAGGTGACGGTCTCGACGCTGGTGGTGACGACTCCCGGAGCGGTGACGGTGGCCTTGGCCGTCGCGGTGGCGAGGGAAGTGGTGTAGACCGTGGTGGTGGACGCCTTCAGGGTGGTCGCCTTGCCGGTGGTCTTGGTAGTGACGACAGTGGTGGTCGCGGTAGTGCCAGGGATAGTCGTGCCAACGGTCTTGAGGACAACAGAGACGGTAGTATCGGTGACGGTCACGGGCTTGAGCGTCGTGGTCTTGCCGGTGGTCTTGGTCACTTGTGTGAGGGTGGTGGTGGTGCTGCCGGGAATGGTCGTCGTGCCTGTGGCGGTGAAGGTTGTGGTGTAGGAGACGACAGTCACGGTGACTGTTCCAGACGCAGGAGCCGACGTGGTGGCTCTGACGGCGAGAAGGGGCGTGTCGTCGGGCCGACCAAAGATGACGCTGCGCTTGGCCTTGGCTGCACTCGGGATGCACGTCAGGGTAGTGGTAGACTTGGCAGTGGAAGTAGTAGTCGTGGTGACGGAAACGGTGGTAGTCGTGGCCTTGGCAGTTGTGGTTGTCGTGCCTCCGGTTCCGGCGGTGACCGTGGTAGAGCTGGTGACCTTTTTGGTGCCGGGGGTGACAGTGGCAGTCACAGTGATGCTGGTGCCTTGGGACACGGTGACAGTCGTGGCTTTGGGAGTGGACGTTATTATGCTTGTAACCGTGGTAGACGACTTGACAGTCGTTGCCTTGGCCGTGACAGTCACAACGGAAGTCGCAGTGATGGTGGACTTAACTGTCGACGTTACGGTGGCCAAAGCAGGGGTGACAGTGACGGCATCATTCACCAGAACAGTGGACACGGAGGTGACGGTCTTGTCCGTCCCCGAGCTCGTGGTAGTCACAGTGCTGGTCGACTTTGCAGTCTCGATGTCGGTGGTCGCTGCTGGTGTGATGGTAGTGCCGACGCTCAGTGTGGTCGTGGTGGCCTGCGTCACCGTCACAGGCAGCGCGGTCGTGGTGACCTTCAAGTTGGCGCGAACAGTCGAAATCGAGACTGCCGTCACTGTTGTGACCGAGGGCACGGCACTGGAAGTTACCGTTGGGACATTCGCTGCCGTAAATGGGGTGGTGTGCACCAGTGTCATGTTGATCCAGGAGGTCGACGCAAAGAAGTTCGCGAGCTGGAACTGCGCGGCATCAGTAGCCGTCAGCTGAGTAGCGAACGATGCACGACCCGAGGTAGAGGCACCGGGGCCATAGTTGGCAAACTCGCCAAACATGGCACCACTGGTGCGAGGATCACTGCTCGACCATGCATTCCAGCCAGCAGCCTCGACACAAGAGCCCAGGTAGCTCTCAATAAACGCAACGCGGGCATACGAATTCCAGGGCCGGCCCAGCGAGATTTGCGAGAACGAGGCTCCAGCTGCCGGGGTCACAGTGCATTGGTCAAACACGAAGCCGGCGGCCGTCGTGTTGTCGGTCCGCTTGTCCGCCGTCAGGGAGACCTTATCCTCGTTGGGCGAGATGGTCGAGTTGAGGAAGTAGGCCGCGCCCGCACCCCAGATCATGTCGACATTGCCCTCGACGTACGTGTTGTACGCAAAGAGATAGCCGTTGATCAACAGTGCGTCCTGGTTTCCATACACCTGGCAGCCGTAAAGGCCAGCGTACTTGCTGCTCTTGACGGCAAAGCCAAGACTGGCATAACTGTGTCATGATGTTAGACTCTTGATTTTTTTTTTAAAAAAAAAGCAAAGGAGTAGAGATCACTACTTACTCTTCCGTTGTTCCAAAAGTGTTCTTGAAGTTGATGTTGATAGCCTGGAAGTAGTTGCCTGTGGCATAAACCGTAGCGGAATCAGAGTTGGACGCATCGGAGCCCGTGTCGATGCCCTCGTTGTACGAGATTGTGACCTGGTTCTTGCTGTAGTCATCGCTAGCCGTCGAGTATCCCATAAAGATGGTCGTCCCGGACTTGTTAAGCACCAGCTGCTCCTCATAGACGCCAGGGTAGATGAACACAGTGGCGGTAGTCTTGCTCGACGTGGGCAGCGCATTCAGTGCAGACTGCACAGTATCGTAGGTCGTCACACCGTCAATTGCCGTCTTGGACACAATGAACGCTCCAGCCGGGGGCACAGTGCCATCATAAGGCGCAGCTGAAGCAGCAGGAGCCGCGGGGGCTGCCGGCGCGGGCGAGGGCGTCACGATGCTGTTCCAATACGTCATGTCAATCCAGTCGGTGCTGCCCATGACGGTCGCCAGCGGATATGTGTCGCTGGTCAGCAGAGTGCAGTTCTGCCACGCCACACGGGCCGCGGTGTTGTTCTCCCAGTTTCCAGGGCCGGCGTTGTTGTACTCGGCAAAGGTGATGTGGTCTGTGTTGGGCGAGGAAGTTCCCCAGATCTTCCATCCCGACGGCGCGATGATCGAGTCCAGGTAGCTGTTCTTGACCACAACCAGGGCGTAGCTGCTGTAGGGGCGACCGAGGTAGACCTGTTGAGTCAGGTCCACCGTGGCGTCTGGTGCCTCAGTGAAAAGACACTGGTCAAAGATGTATCCTCCGATTGCTGACGACGACGCACGACTCTGGGCAGTGATCGCGGAACCGGCTCGCTTGGCGCCGATAGTGCAGCCCTTGAAGTAGGCCTTGCTGTAGCCCCAGATGAAGTCGATGGCGCCCTCGATGTAGCAGCTCTCGTAGTACTGGTAGCCAGCCTTGTTGCCGGTGAGCAGGGTATCCTGCCAGCCGATGAAAGAGCAGCCGTAGAAACCAATCTGGTCGCCATAGATGCTGCTGGCCAAGGTGACGTAACTCGACAGGCTGCCATCGAGGTTGGCCGAGTTCACTATGTTGACGTTGTAGAAGGAAATCTTGGTGCTGGCCGTCGACACTGTTGCTGTCTCGGCGTCGGAATGGCCAGTAGGCAGCGGGCTGACTGACAGACCGTGAGCGTAGGTGACGGTCACAGTATTGTCCGCGTACGACGATCCCGGGCTGGCAGTGGTGTAGCCGATAATCATGACAGGGCCGGCGCGGTTGATAGCGGGCACCTGCTCTGTGTATGTACCAGGGTACATGAAGATGATCTGCGTGCTCGAATCAGCCGGCAGGCTAGCCAAGGCAATTGTCAGGTTGCTATAGGAGCCAGCTTCGACGCCACCAACAGAGACCAGCACTGCACCAGCCGGTGGCGTGGTGCCGTCGGTGGGATGGGCCCAGGTAGCCACGGCTGTTGCTGACGAGGTAGGGCTGGTGGTGGTCGTGGGTGTAGTCGATGAGCCAAGAGGATAGCTTGGCACGTAATTGTATGCCGTCGAGTCAAGCCAAGAGGTGCTACCAATGAATGACTCCAAGTTGTACGCCTGGGCGGCGGAATCGGTCAGGTTCGTAGCGAATGAAGCTCGAGAACTGGACCAGGCACCTGGACCGCTGTTGTTGTACTCGCCAAACAGGACGTTGTCCGTCTGCGGGCTGCTCGTTGACCATATCTTCCAGCCAGCCGCCGCGATATGCTTGTCGAGGTACGAGTTCTTGTACACGACGACCGCATACTGGGACCATGGACGACCGAGGTAGGTAGTGCCGGTAGTGGTGCCATAAGAGCTGGTATAGGTGACATAGCACGAGTCGAAGACGTAGCCGCCCGCCCAGGTAGAGCTGGGCCGGTTCTGTGCAGTTATACATGCGCCAGCGGTGTTGGAGGCGATGTAGCACTGGTGGAAGTAAGCTTTACTGTAGCCCCAGATAAAGTCGACGCTGCCTTCGATGTAGCAGTTGCTAAAGACCTGGACACCTTGATTGGCCAGCAGAGTGTCCTGATATCCCTTGAAGGAGCAACCGTAAGCAGCCATGTTGGTGCCGTAAAAGTCCGCTGCAAGGGCTGCTGTACTCGATGACGGTGCGTAGGTGTTGATGAAATCAATGTTGTACAGGGCGAGGCCGGAACCGTCGGTTCTCTTCCAGTTGATGACGGGAGTGATCTCGTCGGAGTTCGCGCTCGTCGAGACACCCATGGAGAACTGGATGGTGACTTGGTTCTGAGTGAAATCATTCGGGAAATCCGTCTCGCCGACCAGAGTGACCTTGCCCAGACCCGTCCGGTTCACCCAGACTTGCTCCGTGTAGGTGCCCGCCAGGATGGAAATCGTGTAAGGCTTGCCGTCCGCTGGCAGAGCGGCCACAGCGGACATTACGCTGCCGTACTGGCTCCCAGTGGGTGTTGGGGCCACAGTGTACACGGCAGTAGTCGCAACTGTCGCGGTAGAGCTCGCTGAGCTGGTAGTAGAGCTGGCAATAGAGCTGGCAGTAGAGCTGGCGACCGAGGATGTGGAGGACGAAGAGACTGTGGTCCCGTACACGGAGTCTGGGAAACCACTAAAGGGAGCAATGGCAGCAGTATCCAGCCAGCTCGCATCTCCCAGGACGCTGGCAACGGTGTAAGCAGAGCTGCTAGACAGAATCTGCGCATACGAGCTGCGCAAGCTAGTGGCAGCTCCCGGGCCAGTGTTGTTGGCCTCCACAAAGGTGACATTTACCGACGAGGAAGTCACCTTCCAACCGACCGGCATGATGTGTGCATCGAGATAGGAGTTGATGTAGACCACACGCGACGAGGTCGTGGACGAGGAGGTGGAGTAGTCTCTGCCCAGGTATGTGGAGCTCTTGGCAACGCTGCTGCTTGAAGGAACAATGGTGCAAGAGTCGTAGACCTGAATTGAGGGGCCGTAGGAGCTCTGGTAATCCTGGGCTGCAATGCTCTGCCCGGCAGTGCTACCAGTTGTGACAATCTTGGTGTTGTAGAAGTAAGCACCGCCTTGGCCCCAGATGAAATCGGTGGTGCCCTGGATGAACGATCCGGCGAAGTAGAACGCGCCGTAGTTGAGCAGCAAGGCTCCTTGGCTCGAAGTGAAGCTACAGCCATAGAAACCAGTCTTCTGAGCCTTGGCCACAAAGGCCACGGCAATCTGGTTCGCCGTAGCTGTGTACGTGTTGGCAAAGTTGATGTTGTAGAAAGCCAGGCTCTTGGCATTGTACTGTGTGGACTGGAAGGCTGCGGTGGCTGCCGAGCCTCCTGCACTGGATGCCACAGCCCCTGAAGTTTGAATTGTGACCAAGTTCGCGCTGTATGACAACGCGTTGTCTGTCTGGCCTCTGAAGATCGTGCTACCGGCTCTCGAGATGGTGATCTTCTCTGTGTATGTGCCAGCCAGGATGTACACATACTGTGTGCTGGAATCAGAGGGCAGATCCAGCACGGCAGCAGCGATACTAGTATAATTGGCGCACGATCCAGCAGGGCCGACGGTCTTGGCTGTCGAGGGGACAGACGTTGGCAAGACACAACCTGAGGCTGTCGCAGATGCAGAGGAGGCCGACGAGACCGTCGAGCTCACAGTTGTTGAGGAGGCTGATGACAGGGAAGTGGTGTCTGCCGAACTGGAACTTTGGGAAGACGATGCTATTGGTGACGACGAAGTTGCGCTGGAAGCAGGAGATGACGACGACGACGACGACGACACTACCGACGATGACACCGCCGACGATGACGATGACGAAGCCACCGATGATGACGACGAAGATGCGATAGATGAAGCAGGCGCAGCTGATGCCAACGCGTCCTGAGCAGCATCTGAGGCCTGGATACGGGCAAGCACGTCCTTGTCAATCCACGACGTTGACGATGTCGCCACGCTAGGGTATTGGTTTGAGAAAAAGCTCGGGATCTCGTAGACGCTCATCTGCGAAGCCTGCGTCACATACTTGACATAAGGCGCGCGAGCAACCGCGTTGTTGGCGTAGCTGCCGGCTCCTGAGTTCAAGAACTCGAAGTATGCATTGACGGGCGACTGTGTCTTGGAGTCGATCGAGGCACCTGATGGCGCTATGTAACTTCCCATCGTGGAATTCCGGTAGACAGCAACAGAGCCATTTTGATTGGCAGCAAACAGGTAGAAGGAGTTGGTGTAGCCCGTTTTCTGCACGACAGAGCACGAGTCGAAGACGGTCGTCGAGTTGTACAAGATCGTATTGTAGGTGTAGCCCTGCGTGTATGTCATCAAGCCGCCAGACCTGGTCACGGTGAGCACGGTGTTGTAGATATACAGCGAAGGGTAGGCATAGACTGCCTTATCCAGCGCCTCCATGTAGGAGTCAGCAATCAAAGCAACGGCATTGCCACCGGTGACGGCTCCAGATCCAGCTGTGACAAACTGGCATGCATAGAAGGCGTGCTGGAGGCCCTTGATCGACACAGCACCAGCGGAGGAAGCGGCATTGGAGTTGTAGAAGTTGATGTTCCTGAATGTGATGCCTTTGATCGCGGTAGACGAGATAGTCAAGGGGGCGGCCACACTGTTGGAAATGGTAACAGCGTTGTCGGCATAGCTGTTTGATGCACCTGCTTCTCCGACAATGGTGACCGTGGCCGCGGCGGCTATCGTGATGCTCTCGGAGTAGGTGCCGGCTTTGACAGTGACGGTCGGATAGCTGTGGCTCTGCGCATACGAGATGGCGGAGCCGATGACGCTGAACTGGCCGCTCCCGTCGAGGGCGACAGTGACAATTGAGGGAGATGCTACATGTTATCAGCAAAGCCCTGTCAGCGTCAGCTTGGTGAACATACCTGTTACAGTCGAGGAAGACAGAGACGAGGCCGACGAGACAGCACTCGAGGTCGTCGTGGTGCTCGATGCAGCAGTAGTGGCTTCTGATGTCGACGATGTTGATGAAGCAATGGCCAAAGGTGTGCTTGAGGAAGTCGATGAGGATGCTAAGGAATATGAAGAGTCAGATGATTCTGTCAGTGTTCCGAGCTGCTTCCAAGCCCACTGCCCCTGCCTGTCAACCTGGTCGGACCTCCTTCGTTTTCGTGAGGACTCACCTTCCTGCGCCGTTGCCAGGGCTGGGAGAAGACCCAGCAGGGTTAAATGCCACTTCATAGTGTCAGACAAAGGCTACTGCCCTTATGACTTGGCTAATAAAGGCCTGGGGATCGTTCGATGAGAGCAGCGATCCGTGGAGACGACACTCGAACAGATCAAGGGAATGCACGGAGAGGACGCTGTCGATACTTATAACACATTGTGAATGTAGCGCTGCATACATGGAAGAAATCTGCCAATTACAAGTCACGAACCCCAATGTACGATGTCCATAGTCCTGCATCGTAGATTTGATCTACCAGTGTGATCCCTGTCCCGTCGTGCCATACTCGTGGTAGGTTCGGCGGCCTCGCCGTGCGTGTCCCGAGAGTCTGGATAGTTGGCATGCCTCGGACCATCCCGACCCAGATACGTGCTGTGCTAAGCTCTTGTCACATCCATGCATAGATCTAGCCTAGCTCTCAGCCATAATACTAGGGCCATGCGGTGGCTGCGCGCTTGCCGGCGCACATCTCATTTTGAGGATAAACCCTTCTTGGCAGACTGATAAGCTACCAATCATTTTTCTACACGGACAAATGTTTAGGCATCCACAATCTTTTTCGATAAGAAGAGGGAATAGACTGCATAGGCAAAGCTCGGCCCAGAGCGCACTCTCGCGCTCTGGACCAAGTGCAAGTCATCATAGACCAAAGAATGGTGGACCTCTCTCCCAACTCTGCATTGATCTAGACGTCCTTCGAACCGAGGCAAGAACGTGAAGATACGAAGCCTAGCCTTGTCCATAATGCCTATGATGCGTTTGAACGCTTAGCAGCTTGACTTTACAGGTCCTATGTTCAGCGCGTCGGGTATCGTTACCGATCGGCGAAGCAATAGCATATATTTAACTCTAAAAGCTCACGTCCATGTGGCGATGGTCGCTAAGCATGGGTACAGACCTAAATCCATCAGAGGAGGAACGTGAAGAAGCAGGTAATTCCAATTCCACCATATACTACTCCTCGATAGAGTTGACATCTGCTTTATTGTATTTCTTTCAAACTTTCCTTTGTCGCTTGGGCCAAGAGGGAAAGAAAAAAAAATTGTTTTGGGCTAAGAAATACTTGCCTTCATGACTCCAGAAAAGACCATGTACCACGTGGTATCCAAAATAGACTTTTCGGCGCGGTCGAAAAACCCCTTCACAGCGTAGGCAAATCCTCGGCAACACGTGTTGTCCATGCTAGTTTACTCCGCTCGACCTATAATGATAGCGTGAAAATTTGCACATGGGTCAAGCTGAACGGGTTAGATGTACTTCCAGCCTCGCCGCCCCATGTGGCTTTTTCTTTCTATACCAAAACGAACCTAATTAGTGCTCGGAAAGGCTAGAGGACAAGAGTTGAGCGATATCGCACGGAGAAACATCTAGGCCACGAATGAGCAAGAGCCCCGTCGACTCAAGCGAACTCATACACTGTATATTAAAATTAAGAAAGGAAGAAAAAGACAGGAAAAGAAGGCTGATAGAGCGTCAGAATAAGGTGAAAGGACAGAATACATAACTATCCGTGAAGAAAATAAAAGACATATTTTTTTATACGCAACCAATGACATTAAGCTTACATGTCATCTGAGGGCTGACCTAACTAGTGGTTTTGACAACAGTAGCCACAAAAGGTGCGTTCGTCCGGGGAATCCCACATATGCTCGCATGGGTCTGGCCAAGGGGGAAAAGCGAATTCAGAGGACGATTTTTGTTTAGCTCAATTCAGCTCCAATGCCCAGTAATGTCAATATCGGTGTCTGCACAATTCTGTGCAATATTTAGAAACTGCACTGAACCTGGGATTTTCAATAAATGTAGACATGACGTGAACATTCTCCTGGGCCGAGTCTTGAATATGTGTTATCCCAGTACAGCTCTTCAATCAAGATCCGAGAGCAGTTGCACTAAAAGAAACGGTCGCTGAGCAATGACCAAACACATTCACAATTTAAGTTAAGCGTGCTTATTCAGGGGCAACCGCAAGTCAAGGCTATGACAGCATACAAACGGACTAATATGTCTGCTTTAGTCCAGGGATTTGTTGTTTATTTACAAGGGATGATGTCTTATTGTTGCTTGCCTATCTGGCCAAACTCAAGAAAAGCACCTCGTGAATGCCCTCATACTCATGACACCTTCTAGTACAGAATTCGCCTGGAAGAATCATTTAGCAGATGAGCTTTCTCACTGAAATCGTTATAGCTGTTCAAAGCACTGCGCTCTCCTCGTCCAGTGTGTCGCGGGTCATTGATAACGGACAGATGCCGAACGCAGTTTCGCCTAATTAATCTCGCGTCAGTTTCATCCTCCAGTTGTTGCTTGATTGCAGTGGTAAAGCTGATTAAGAAATTCAAGAGACTGTATTCGAGCATTTGTCTCAAATGCATCTTCACAAGCGATACCGATCATGTTTTGACATGTAACCATAATTTGTCGACATCCGCTTCGTGATGCCCTAGATAGATGCCGAAGCCTGTCTTCTGGAAGTATTGTGAACATGTCTGTGCTTTTTTGAAGCTTAAAATAAGCTCGAGGAAGTCATTCGCTAGCTTGCGATCACAAGTTCGAAGATGCTCCGATATATCGTACGTGGTCCACTTGGAAAGTATGATTAATGTGGGCTCTCATTTGACATCTGACATTTTGAGAGTACGAACAACAGGCGTGACATTAGCAGCGATCAAAAAAGGCATGTTTCCTAAAATTTGCGCACTCCAAGAAATATTATAATCAGGAGTTTCATTCTTGCGGAAAATAAGCATCGAGGGGTTCGGATGCCTTGATTTATTCCAGAGGCAGAGCTCGAACAGATTATCGATGAGGTAATGCACAACAAGAGGTCGATAGACAAGGGGAAGCCGATCGTGGACGGATTCAGGTACGCAGAGATATATGACGGGGCACCAATCCTTGACTTGGCCGAAGTTTTCAATGATGGAATACAAATTCTCCAAAAAAAAAGTCGTTCATTACCATTTTAGCCTTCTCGTTACGGGATAAATGAGAGCTATTAGAGAGTTTAGAGGTTGGCGAAATTTTGGTTCCTCAAAGACTTTTAGATCCTCAATATCTAAATAATAACTAACGAAGTTGCACGGCTCTTTATCTGAGTAAGGATCTAGTGGGAGCCAAGAATTGAGTGAGTTCGTTCATTAATTTCTCCCCCCCCCCCCCCGAAAAATGGCGGTGCTTATGAGCTTATGATAGCGAACGGCGAAACTAATGTGAATGCCTCAGATGGGATTGTGTATAAGCAAGGTGACAAACCATTTCCCCTTTTTTTCTCCCCTAGTGAGTTACACTGCAATGAAGCTGGGGCTCCAGGATTTGAATTATCGAGACCGACGTGACTCGAAGCCACTTTATGGCTGGACATGGCTTCGTCAGCTAACCAACCTAGGCTGACCAATTTCATTACGCCAACCAAGCCGGTGTGAACCTTACTATGCGAGGGCTAGCGAGTCCTTGGCCCCCATTATCGCCAGGCACTCTCCATCTAGGTAGTCTTAGCTGACCAGTTGTTTCCCCTTTTCTTTCTTTTGGCAGCATTTTCAATGCTACGGCACAGACAGGATTTGGTCCAGCAGGAGAAACGACAACCCGAGACTACTTTGGTAAAAACGCTCGCCTCATTTGATCGCAGCGTTGCAAATTCTGGGGTAACTGCTTGTGTGCGTGTAAGGCACAGAACACGATACAGATTTCAAGCCAACAATCTTACAGTTCAAAACTTAACTAGACACTCACGGAGTCAACTCTACCGCTACCAACTTCCTCGGTACTCGGGTTTCGGGACTTGAGAGTAATTGATGTATCACTTATAGGAAATCATTACCTGCGGCAAAGAAATCCAGGCTTCCCATGTCAATCCCGTCGCTGAACGAGTCAAACGGGCTTGATTGATGGGCCGCGTCAAAACCAAGAGATCCTACACAAGACGTCTCTGTAACCGATGGGGTTGGTCCCCGATTAAATGAAACCCCAGCGTTCAGATTCTGGGGTTCGAGGCTAAAGTTGGGATAGGATGAGGTGAACCTGCACTTTACCTTCCGAAACTCGTGCCGCAGCCGATCAAAGGCGTCCTCCGTGCTTCGAGCGGCGCTACTGGGAAGCGAGCTCACTGGCCCACCCTCGACAATTTGCTGACCGCCAGAAAGGACGCTCAGCGGACTTGTGGTGTTGGCGGCGGCAGCATTAGACACCTGCTCTACATATTCGGACACGCCATCAATAATAGCACCCAGCGTCTCACAGTAATCCCGGACACCGATGTTTCTCTCCGCTGCGGCAAAGAGTAAGGAGGAGCATGCGCGCAGGTCATTAGCTCACCCTGGTGTCCAGAAGCTAGGTGTTTTGGATATGATGAAACTTGAGATTTTCGCAAATCAGCTTGGCTGCATCTCAGACCTCCGCCCCCCCCCCCCCGCCCAAAAAAAATAATCATTTACGGATTAGGTTTCCATGGCCCTCACCAGATAGTCATTCCTGCCAAGAAAAACAGACTTGATCATAGGAGAGGAGAAGCCAATACTGTGATTAAGCCGGAGGCGCTTGAATAGGCGGCAGACAGCACCCGCTGCTTCCAAGCAGGATCGAGTGAGGGAGTCTGATGAATACAGGGTGGATAACAGTGGTTTGATGAGCATCCGCACGGAAATATTTATATGCAATTGAAGAAACTCGTAATCCGGGGCACTGCATTGCGGCAAGGCAACATCAAGCTCGCGCATCTGCTCCAGGAGAGGCAGTACATCCGATGCAACGCAGTCACGGCCCGTCCGATACGCTTGTACGTAGACTTGCGAATTGATACAAGCTAGCCTGATGGAGGTAATAAACATCCTCAAATCCACCGGCCGGTTTGGGCTACCCGAAGACTATTTGTTGCTCTCGTTCCCTTGGAGGCAGGCCGGATGGCTCAGCGGCGTGGGCAGCCGCACGTCGATGTCGTAGTCTGCTAGGCTGAATGGTCGTCTCATGGCCCAGCAAACGTTCCTCTCGATCGTGTAGACAGCCCAAAATAGTAGACAATGCCGCTCTGCTTCGGGCGGCGGCATGCGGTCGTGGTAGTGTCGCTCGCGGTGCAGGTCCGCAGCTATGGCGGCGCGCATAGCCGATCCGATCAAAGACCAGACCTCGTTCGTATACGAAGTCCGCAGCTTGTACAAGACCAGCCATAGCGTAATCTCAGCTTGATCGACGAGACCCACCTCTTCTTTTCCCTGTAGCATTGCTTGTAGCGCCAGCGCCCTCTCAAGAAACTCATGGGCCTGCGCTGCAGGCGACACAGCGCCGATGAGCTGCTTGACACACGCCCCGATAGCGCAGGCCATGTATAGCTGGATGAGTTGCATCCGTGCCGGGTGCGCCATTACCTGCACCTCTGCCTCGCCCTCGTTGGTCCTCAGTATATCCACGTAGCTGCAAAATGGAACTCGGTGATGCATATTCTCCAAATACGCTGCGAGGATCGGCCTCCATGACGCCGCAGTTCCGACTACACTGCACGCTTTCATACAATGCGACTCTTGTTCTATCTCTTTCTCTCGCGGCAGATTTGAGTCATTTATCCGCGGTCGCAGCATGCTCTCCCTCTCATCCAGCTGGCGTTTAGATACGACTTCTGCTGACTGTGATTGAGGTCTGGGATGTTCGATTCGCGTCGGCCAGGCCCGTCGATCAATCTGTGCCCGTGCTGATTGTGATAAGGAGGAGGAGGGGGAGGACGAGGTTGCCTCAACTGCATCTCCGATAGCTCTTCCGAATGCGCCGGTGGCGTGATAGTAAGCACCTCGCATTTCTGAACCCCTTTCAGTAACATTGTCAGCCCTTTCGAATCACTAAAGGAGCTATGGACCAGCTCTTCACATGCATGCGACCTATATCAAAATCACAGGGGCCTGAACTCAAATCAAATACATCTATCAAGTACTTTTGTCTATCTCATAAGATAGGGAAATAATAACTGCATAAAGGTGGCTGTGTTGGCCAACTCGTCAGGGATAGTACAATGGTAGTCATAGGCCAACCACATTTTGAGAAGGAAATGCTCACATCATCCCTATGAAGTGGTCGTAGCACCATGATGTGATTGCAATTCTATGATGCTATCACGCAACGATCCCAGTGACTTCTGGATTAGGTGCGCTGCTGCATAAGCTGCCTGAGCTGCAGTTGAGATGGTTGCCTGTAAATCAATATCTCCATGCCCAACAGCTGATTCGAAGTCATAGTAAACTCCAAATCAAGTACCTCGCTGACATAGCTTTTTGAACTTGATTCATTATCTACTTATACCAATCATTTATACTATATATATCACACCAACGTTCAAGAAGCAGGCCTCCAGATAGAGACTTGTGAAAGGTACACCATGAAGCATTGTTACCAATGTTCTATTTTCAAAACTGGATGAATGATCAACTATAATTACTACAAAAGTCTACTACCATTGCTTATCCAATGGCGTCCAAGTTCAAAGTTCTCGTGTTCGATCTTGGGGGGGTCCTGCTTGAGTGGGACCGACACACTATTACAGCTTTGTCTTCGACTCAGTTTCGAACCATCATGAATTCCACAGCCTGGCACAACCTAGATAGAGGCATTCTCAGTATTAGTGAAGCTTGCAAGGTATGACTTACCCAAAATCATCTCGGCTTGTATCTCAGCTAACACATGCGCAGGAGTTCGGCCACATCCTAGGTGTAAATCCATCTGTCGTGGAGACCTCCCTGGAGCAGGCCCAGCTGTCTCTAGCTGTCAATGTTCCATTGGTTCGGACGATTTATGAACTGAAAGCCTCGAACCCTGATCTCAAACTCCATATCATGTCTAACATCTCCCGGGTAAGTTCATGCTTGAACACTACGCCTAGATACTGCTTGTACAGTGGAGTGACTGAACCTGGAATAGGAACATTACAAGATGGTGCAAAATCTCGATCTTCCTTGGGCCATGTTCGATTCAGCCTTCGCTTCTGGAAACGAGGGTATGCGGAAGCCCGACCTCTGTTTCTTTCAACATGTCATCAAGCAGATTGGAGTTGATCCTAGTCATATGATTATGATTGACGATACGGTTGAGAATATCTGCGCAGCTCGATCTCAGGGTATGTACGGACTACTTGTAGACAAAAATGTAGTCAAGGTCGGTGCAATTCTGCGGAGTCTCATCCAAGATCCACTGTCGAGGGCGGAGGCTTATCTGAAGGATAATGCGGGCAACCATCATTGTGTTGTCCACGGCCATGAAGATCTTGAGCTCAAAGACAATTTCTCCCAACTGATGATCTGGGAGCTAACCGGAGATGAAAGTCTTATCTACCTCAGGTGGCCTTCCGGTCGCCGACTTGGAACACACAACGAGGACTCTGGCAACGGCAAAGAGAATGGCGCTGATAGGGTCGCCATGAGCTCGGATATCAAGAATGGTCTTTGGAATTACTTCTACGAAGAGCCTGTTCTCACATCTCGAGACTTCCCACCTGACGCAGACACGACATCGACAGCTTACTTGTCTCTCCCTGACGAGTACCTCTCTACAGTGGCAGAGGTGGAGCTCGTCTTGGACGCCATGGCGACAAACATAGACTCGGACGGGATAATGCAAACGTACTTCACCAAGGATCGCCCTCGCACGACCCCTGAAGTCTGCTACAACATTCTTAGGGTCTTTTATCGCTTTGGCCACGATTCCGATCCACGCATCAAGAAGACCGAAGACTGGATGGTCAGATGTTTGGACAACAATGCCTGTACCGACGGCAACCGCCATTATTCTACACTTGAGAGCTTCCTGTACTTCGTGGCCCGTTTATCTGTCGAGTGCGGCCCTGGCCCCCTAGCGAATCAATTGAGCAGCGTCAAGGAGAAACTTGAAGAACGGATCAATGTGCAAACGAACCCACTGGCTCTCGCTCTGCGCATATTTGCCTGTCAATTGGTTAGCGTTGACGCAAAGCTCTACAGAAAAGATCTTGAAGTACTCATGTCTTTACAGGAGGATGATGGGGGGTGGCCAGCCGGCCATTTCTGTTGCATAGGCAAGACCGGTGCTGTTATTGGAAACCGTGGCTTGATAACAGCTCTCGCGGCCAAGATAATCCGCATTGATAGGTCAAGCATGTAGCATCTAGCTATTACTTAGATAGCATTGCAGGAAGAACGCGCCTTTGGAGTAGTGTCTTTATTTGAAACGGCAGCCTTTCTAAAATTTAGATGTATCAAAGCGTAATTACTTTGACAGATAGTTCTGGAAATAGTGGCCTGACAGTGAAAGGAACGTGGGTCATCACCATAGTGCTGTCTGTTGTTAGCTGTTTTTCCCCGTCTCTTTTCTCTTACTCTTCATGAAGGAAAATAATGTTGAATCAAACGGAATACGGATGACTGTGACTGTGGGTATTGGTGCGACATTCGGAGAACTCATAGACGTGGTTGCCGATGCTGGTAGAGAGCTAAGTCAGTCCTATCGGAAGATTTGTACAGCATCTCGCTTATTTTATCGAGACACTAACTTGGTCGCAGCCGTTGGCGCATGTTGCTGCGTCGGAGCCATGGGAGCCATGCTCGGTGGTGGCTTAGGCCGATTCGAAAACCTCCATGGGCTTACCAGCGACGCACTGTTAAAGGTGCGCATGGTGCTATGGAACGGCACCATCACCGAGGCCTCGATCAAGTGAACGAGAATATGTTTTAGGAGGTTCGAGGCGCTGTCCATAATTTTGGAATCGTCATCGAGGCACTTTTCGAGATATATCCTGCGACGAACGGGGGCATCCAGTACAGCTCGGACCTGACGTTCAGCTGAGACCAGCTGGAAGCTGTATTAAATATCACAGATGGCTTATTAACACCTGAGCTGGATAGTTCATTGGCTATTGCAATATCACTTGCTTCCGGTCCGACGAGTCTTGAGGTGGGTAATCTAGGCCGACACCTTAAGTTCATGCACGAAACACGTTCGCACTTATATACTGACCAAGTTCTATCGGCTCAAGCCTGTCATGACGATAAACATCGTATATCCTGGAACTTTAGAAGAGGGTCAAGCGTACCGGGAGCTGTACTCTCCGTTCAGCTCAAGCTACACAGCAAATGGTCCCGTGGGCTAACCTGTCATCCGTTGCCTTGCCGGGCGTGGTATTAGCAGGGTGTCCCAAAGGCAACCCGCACGGTCAATATAGCGTCATGACCAAAGATCTGTCGATCAATAGCTGCGGCGAAGCTTTTGGCTTACTCTTCACCTTCGCTCGTCAGTACCCAGCGGCGAACGGGAGCAGCATCTTCATTGAAACATTTGGTCAAAAGGCTCTGAATCACTCCCACAGAACTATTCAGCCTTTCCCCACCGCGACTACTCTCTATTGATATTATGAAGAGAGTATAGTGTTATTCCTTAGCACTATGCTCGGGTCCTTGAGTCACTGGCCCCATAACGGACCTCTCGATCAAATATTCCATCTTCCCATTATCTTTATTGATCTTAGCAAACATAAAGCTCTCATATTCGGTCGTAGCCCCGTCGACCTCGATAGTGCCCACCAGCCTTGCTGCTAATTGATTACCATCGCGAAGAAACTCGTGTCTAGCCAAGCCCAAGTGGGATAATTAGAATTAGTAAGTCTTTGTTATAGTAAATATCACATCTCCATCCAGATTGACTTCTATTTATAGACTCACACTTTGGGCCGATAGCTAGTAACCTTGGCGCGCCACTCTTCAATACTCTTCAGGAAAACGTTATACGAGAGCTGATGCCCGTTTACAATCTGGTAGAAAGTGGGTGTCACTGTAGCTTCAGCGTATAGCTTGGATTCCTCAGGCGGACCGGCGAGGCTCCACTCCATGGCGCGCTGGAAGCCCTCGATCGTAGATGTGTATTCGGACATAGCCGCAATAATACAATCCAAAGTCACAATAGGTGGAGGATGGGCAGTCGGGTGGGTTTGAGTTGTATTGACGTACATGAAAAGATTGTAATAGAATGTAGTAAAAACGTTGGCAGACAATTAAACAGGTGGGTGATTAGGTGAATTTATTAGAACGGGCTTATGGATAAGCATGGCAGCATGAAGATGACTAAGTGACAACGAAAGCGTCTCTTGATGATGCCGATACCGATCCTTGCTCTGCGACAGGACACGGCATGACAAGGAGCGCCAGGTTATGCTGTGATTATAGGATCTAGTATTTTCGGTGCCGATCTGCTTATAGAAGACCTGTGCGAGATACCAAGTTTACAGGCTACAGTAACAGAACTGTCGTTTATCCCGGCTGGTCGGAAGAGTTTGAAGTATAATTGGCTGTCACTCATATGCAGCTGGTCAGGATCAAGCTTTTGATCGTCTCCCGCTGCTTGGCATCTGCCAATTCGCATAATCCTCCAAGACTACTGCTTACTAGGTCACGTTGATGCCATCCCTTGCCGCTTTCTAGCTTTTTCTGGCTCCGAATTATCGGGCATTTGCTGCTCCACATCGGGCCGACCTATGTATTCGAGCCTGGTGGAAAACGGGTCATGTCAATGTCGATCACCTCGATGATCCTCTCTCTTAGCCGATACACGCATGAAACGGCACGTCAAGATAGAAGAGGACCGCATTCTATAGTCAGGTTGGCGAGCACTCACGTCCAACACTCTGCCTTCCACGAAGAGCGACGGTCCGAGCTTTCAAAAAGTCGGATCATTCCTTGAGCTCGATTAACCCTCACAGACTGCCACATCTGCCCTTTCAGCTCTTGCCTATTTTACAAAAGTACATGAAGCTCGGGATTTCACGCATGGTCGGCATCCATGTCCGGTGGGGGGTTTTTTTTTTTGGTTTTTTTTCAGACCAGTCTTCTTCTTCTTCAGCATAGGCGGGACTGGTTGAGGCTTATCAAAGCCTGCTTGACCTCGATACTTTTCGAGAAGTTTGCTGTCTCGTGAAAACTGATTATAAACAACCCCCTGGCCCCACCCCCCCCAAAAGAAACCGCTGCATATTGTTTTATTCCTACAACGACTTTAGGGAAATCAATTGAGACAATTGGGCCACGGACTCGCATTTCCATTCTCTAGGGGCGTCGAAATCCAGCTTGATAGGGATCTTATTCTGCATAGCCCAATCCAGGTAATGTGCTGCAAGACTTTTCAGGCTGCCGCATCTCCGGATTGTTTCCTGATTGCTACCGGCAGCTTGGAGAGACTTGTGTTCCTGGTCCAGGACAGCAACTGTCAGTTGAAACGCGGTCGCGAGGAAAAAAGGGGTGACTGCTCGGCTCTCCGGAAGCGTAGCATAGCAGATTGCCTGTAGAACCTTCAGGGCATAGCTCATCAGCTGGACACGGTGGTCCTCAATTGTTTGTCGTGGTTGAGCGGGTAATTCATGTGCAGTCATTTTAGCCATCAGAGCGAGCATGTCTCTCATGAGGAGACGAAGAGACATGAGGATTGTCCAGTACAGGATGATAGTATGGTACTCCATCATCGTGCGGAAAGAGAGAACGGTGTCAAAGTATGACAGAACATCCGGCTCGTTGAGACTGGACCAAAAATAACCTGATATGGGGTCGGCGGTCACATTTTGATGGATAGATAGCCACGAAGAAAGGGAAACTTCACAGATGTTAGAGCTCCATCGTGCCAGTCTCTGTTCGTTGCGGAACAAGATGCTCTCGGCTGTGTCGTACAGGCCGACCAAAATGTGCTCGGTAGCCTCGTCGTCCGTTCCGCCTGTGGATGGCCTTCTGTTGAGCAGCTGGTCATATTGAGCCATGACAGACGCAATTGTAGTGACCTCGGTCATCAGAGCATCGGTCGAGGTGTGCAGCTCGAAATCGGTACTGAACTTGGGGGTCCCGGATGCCTCGAGCATCGACTTCACCTCGATAAGCCATGCAGAACTGATGGGTGAGCGTCGTCGCCAGTCGTGGCTCGAGAGGAAAGTGGGCTGTCTGGTTGACAGTGTCTGCAGAATCTGGATTTGTGTCAACTGGAAGAGCTAGAGGATGACTGCCGCGGAAAGCCCACTTACGATAAATAAACGAGAGAGGCCGAGCAGCCGATAGTTGGTCTCCGAATACGCATGGTCTGCACCTCGAAGAAGAATAGCGGCAGCCAGACCACGTATGTGACTCTGCCAGTTTCGTGAGGCTGGTGACATTTTCATCTTTGCATGGCGTTCGCGTCAGGCCATGACTGGACTGTGCATTGCATTGTGGTACGAAGAAGAAGGGGGAGGGGGGTAAGGACAGAACGCACCTCCCAGAACATTGTCACAATGCAGAAGAAGGCTAGATGCTGCCAGTCCTCTTCGGATATGTTTTGAAAGTCAGGATCGGCCAGCCTGCACTCTGCCAACCTAGCCGACATGGAGCGGAGGGCGGTGCCATAGCTGTGTTGGCTCTGGCGTACAGACAGGGGGTCGGCGTTGACTGTCCCAAAGTAACCCTGCGCGAGAGCGTTGACAGCCAAGACCACAGGCGTGCTCGGTGATAAAGGGGGAGTGGGCCCATCGAGTATGCTCGGGGAAGCTAAAGAGAAGTAATGCTGAAAGATCTCCCCAATGAAGGTGAGGGCCTGGAAAGGCCGGGTTCCGAAGGAGGCTAGGAAGAAAGGAATATGCAGGTATGACCGCTTTGTGGCTGGGCTCGAGTACAAGACCAGGTCCGCGGAAGTCTGGGAACACGGCAGGATCGAACCCGTTGACGTCGGCAGTGCAGATTCGGAAGGATTGTCGGACGTCGTCATTTTGCCCCTCGTTCTTGATGCCACGCCTGGGGCTCGCCATCCTTCGCTCATGAAGACAACCTCTTGTCTCCGGTAACCCCCGCACATCTGTTTCCGGTTCTCACAGGCAAGACAAGTCGGCCGCCTGCCGTCTGCGAAGAGCGTGTCAGAACAGAAGAACCCTGCATTCGAGACTCTCGAACATGAACTTTAGACGAACCGCAGCGCGTCTTGCGAGAGACGCAGGTAAGACAGCCCTTTGACCGGGGAACAGAAGGTAGAGACCTGTCTGCTCTAGGGACGGGCATTATGGCGGGAGATACTGTCCTCTTGCCAGTTGTTCTTTGCCTTCTTCTTGGGAAAGGGGGAGGGGGGCGGGGGGATTGGAGGTGTTGCTCTTCGGTTCGTGGGTTGATTGCTAATCACTGGGCGAGGGAATCTTGGTCTGCTGATGGCTTGTGATAGAGAGAGAAGTGAAGAGAGTTTCCGAGAGGCATCATCATCAGAGCTGATGGCGACAATAGTGGATCGGCACCACGCAACATGACTAACTCTCTTTGGGAAGAAAGGATTAATAACAAGGCACAAGCCCACCAACTCCTTTGAGAAGGGAGGCATTCAGTCGCACCCCCGGCTCCTCCGCGTTTTGTCTACCCGTTGTACTGTGGAGAATGTGGAGAATGTGGAGGAACAAGAGGTTAGTGGGCAAGGAGGGCTATCGCCAACGGGTTATTGCAGTCTCAATTCGCTGACCGCTCAACTCATAGCTACTAGTATATCACTGCTCACAGTGCTTAGCATACTTTAGATTATAGATTAATATCACATGATCAATTAGAAGGCGAGCGCAGAGATGGGAGCTTAAAGCGATTGCGCGCAAAAACTCTGCCACTCCAATTATTTGCAAGTGAAACTCTGCTGGCTGCATCTTTTCAAAAAGGTAATTCTTGCACATGCTTACTTAGTCTATTGTGGAAACAAGGCATTCTTTCGGCCGCAGATCGTCAACCACAGGGTACCGGGAGGTGAAACAAAAACATACGAAAGAGTGGGAATTGAATGGGTCGGTCCTTACGGTCGGCACGCTATCCGCTATCCGTACAGGCCGATTTCGACGTATGATGACAGTGACAAGACTCACACAAAGCTGCATGCAAGCTCTTGAACTCAAATGTGCGCCACACTGATGACTGAACAAGTCTGACACTGCAAGCGGACGTTGCAGGAGCGAAGTAGAGGGGTTGCGAAGCGTGAATGGAGATTCAATGTTTGCAACGAGAGTAAGATCACAAGTGCCACAAGTCGGGGTCAATTAGAATTAACACGATTCGAGTCCAATTCCCGGAACAGAATTCACGAAAAGTGCTCTGGAATAGTTCTTCTTTTCCAAGATCAAAAAGGCGTTGAGAATGAGTTCGAGTATGATGTATAATCCTAGTCCCAAATTCATTGGTAGACGGATTCTGAATACTTGCTTTACCCGGCGCTGGTGGATTGGCGGATGATGAGCCCCAGACACACCGATCCCCCTCTTTAGGTATAGAATAAGACGATCATCATAGTGGCGTCCCCCTGAGCGTACGAAGGAGGTGCTTCAGTGGCAGCTATAGGCGATTATTCCGCCAATGTTCAGTTGGCTATTAACTGCAAAACAGGCTGACATAGCTAGCTTGCTCCTTCTATGTACTATCCTGGTGTTGTCCCATTGTAATCAAACCCCACTGCCGAGTCTCGCCCATTCAGCATCCTTCCTTTAGACATTTGCAGGTCTTTGACGCCTATACTTTGTACCGCCCATGTAAGCAATGCATTCCAGAGCCGTTGGGACAAGGACAGGGCTTATTACAAAGCAGTGCTTTAGCTGTGAGATAATGGGTGGCAGCGCAGTTAGGCTATGGCTGCTCCAGCCATAACCAGTAGCCTCAGCACTATTATAATATCAAAGATTTGCGGGGTATGATTGCGCTATGTCAGGACAATAGTAATCACTCTAGTCAGCTGTTGCCAGTATCAAAGTGCGCGGCGGAGAGATTATGCTTCAAACTCTATAATTTTGTCGGCCGCCACACCTTGATAGGATTCCCTTTCGGCGCCTGGTTCTTGATCCTACATGCAGTCATCAAGCAGCAAGAAAAGACCCTTGGCTATTCTGGAGGAAACTTGAGTCTTCCAAGTTACCCACAAATTGCGAGGCGGAGGCTTCCGATTACTGGAACTTAAATACTACCATAGCACCTCTGAAGACCGATATGTAGAACAACCCTACACGTTCGGCGTTACTTAGCCGTCTCACGCCTCGCATCTCCGACTTGTTCTGACAAGAGTTACATCGGGCACGATGTCGCTGGATACATCAACCACGGCCAAATTAACGCGCCAAGCTTGCGAGAGGTGCCGGAAGCAGAAGCTGAGGTGCATCCGATCCGACAGTGCCGATTTGTGCAACAGATGCCTGCGCAAGGGGGCGCCGTGTGAATACAGCTCCAGCTTGCCCAAGGGCCGCCGACGCAGCACGCATACAGGCGCTGCAGCTGGCACAGACAGGGAGTCGCAGGCAGGCACCAGCGATGAGTGCTTTACGAGTTACCTGGGGGACACTGGCTCAAGGTCTCCAGGCATGGACTGGGACGGTCTGCAGGTCGACCTGGCGGCCGAGACAAGTACCATGACGACCGAGTCGGCATTCGACTGGCTCTATGGGGTGAACTCTGCAATGTGCGACAACGTCGTCACAGCGTCCACCCCCTACCCAGGCGCATCTCAGAATAGAGCTTCAAGGCAGGTGAATGACGCCGGCATAGGCTTCAACAACGGTGGCGGCGGCGGCACTGACGACACTGAGGTCCTCGTCGCGCAGCTGGCTCAGCTCAGCACACACATCTCCTCACTACGCCGGTCCAGCTGTTCCCTCGTCGAAGGCTCGGCGTCGTCCTCGTCCTCGGCCCGCCTGCAGCCGGATAACCACAGTGAAGCTCGCCAGCCGCCCCTTATCGACGACGCCTTCTTTCAATCGGTTGCCACATGGTTCGCCCACGGGCCGGCTGACATCTCGCCATCCCGCTCCCTGGTGACCGCCCCGGGGTTCTGGGCACAGGCGCCCGAGATCAAAACCCTGGGCGACCTGCTGTACCACATATTTTCTGCCTCTCACTACCTACTCGAGCTCCTGCGGCATGTGCCGAGCGCCTCGGACCCAAACACCGCCGCCACTGCTTCCAGAACCGAGCTCGCGCCCGACCTTGTAGAGTTTGCCCTCCCACCGCTGCACGTGGACAGCAGCGCCCGCCCGTTGGGCTCCAAGTCAGGCCTAGACCCTGAAACCGTGTCACCTCCGTCAGGCCCATCGGCCAGCAGCAACAACGTTATACGCCACCTGCTCATGGCCAACTACACTATGCTTCTAGGCATCTACCTAGAGGTGCTTGGCTTACTGCAGCGCTGCGCGGGCCCTTGCATGCAAACAGATGTAACGGCTCCGCTGCGTGACATTAGGCTGGTCTCCGTGGTGCAGCTGTGCTCCTACCTCATCGATTGTCAACACCAGGCCGTGGGCTCGTACCTGTCCTCACCTGCCAGCAGTCTCCTGCAGCCGGACATGGTTTCTGATGCGATGGCCACTAAGACTATGGAGTCCATGAGGGAGGAGGCGAGACAGCGGATCCAGTGTTTGCAGCAAATATTCTGATAGCATATGAGTATTGCATGGAGTGATGGATCGGGCGAAAGAAACGAGAATGGGACAAAGAAGGAAAATGGATCTCCATATTTTCTCCGTCTGAGGTCTTGGCAAGATCTGTGCGCTCCTCATGGTAGCGCTTGTATCGCAAATCTGGTTCACACGGTCGTAGTATCTGCCATAGCCCCGACCCGTTGGACGGCGAATCATAGACGGCGCTATATGGATGTTACTGACTCTACTCGGGCCAGTTGCAAGCAGAAATGAGGTTATCAAGACATCATGTTGATCCATGGGTAGTTTGTCCTAGATATAGTTTACAAAACTATGTCAGGACCAACTTCTATATTATTCTTGTAATTATCCTCGAGAGATATAGAGAAGAGCCAGTATTCTAGTCAGTATACTACATCAACTTTGAGTGGGCGTAGCCCGCATCTCATCGACAGGCTGGTGCGCGTGCCACAGTAGATAAACTACATTGTTCCCGTACCAGCCTATACAGCGATATAGGTGTCGCTCCCTATGTGAAGACAGGGACTATAGAGTTTATGGTTTTCGAACGAACACGGAAGATCTGTCTAGTGGTTGCGAAAGCAAAGGATATTATCGAAAAAAAAAGGTTAAGATAAACTTCTTCTTACATCCGCGTACAAGACTGTAAAAGAAGAAGATGTCAAGATTTGCCCACAGATATTTATTCTGCCTTGATGATGAAGAAAAACTCGATGTTTGCTGAGAAACAGAATTCGAATACTATGGAGACAAAAGCACAAACAACTATGGAAAGCGCTACAGTGCCTAGTTACATTGTCATCACCTTAGTCAAGCTGATGCGAATGCTTCCATGGCGGCCTTAGGGATGGACATCTGGTTCTTGAAGCGTTTCATCCAGAGCTGTCCTACCGTGACTTTGTCTGGGTCGTCTGGATTCAGAGGATTTGTAGCCATGACGTCGCCGTGCCAGAACAAGGCGGCCGACAGCCTTTCCCCGTCCGACTTGTTGATAACCCTGTGCCGGACGCTCTTATATTGGCCTCCTGACCACCTGTGAATCATATCGCCGCAGTTGATCACAAAGATATCCTCATGCGCTGGCACTGACAGCCAGGCCTGCTTTTCCTCGAGCCAGACCTCAAGCCCTTCCTTGCCTGGCTGCTGGAGCAGCACAGTAACGCCGCCAAAGTCAGTGTGCGACCCTGCGCCAAACTGGCCTGGCAGTGTCTGGGACGGCCGAGGATAGCGGAGCAGCTTGAGAGCTACTACAGGCTTCTTGGCAAAAGACTCCATAGCTTTTGTAGAGTGACCAAGGCCCTGCAGCAGGATCTCCCAGATAGTCCGCCCTAGCTGGCTCGTAGCCTCGTAATAGTCCCAGACTGGGCTCCTAAACTGGTCGTCTGGGAGATCTGGCCAGTTATTAGGGCCATAAAAGCCCATATGCTCGATAGCCGAGTCCTCCCGGCCCATATAAAAGGACTTAACCCCCCTTTTTGTCAACCGGGCGAGCTACATCAATCAGATTAGGGCAAGGGAAGCGCACCTCTTTCGAATCGGCCATAGCGTCAGTATCCCTCAGGGACATACCAGAAGCCTCGTAGCCCCGGCGGCAGGGGTTTTCCAAGAATGAATTCTTGAGCTTCTTCTCGGCAGGCAGGCTAAAGAAGTTATTCATGCCCCGAAAAAGGCCCTGCTGCTGCTCCAGAGTCACGCCGTGGCCCTTGAGCTGGAAAAAGCCAAACTCGCGGCAGGCATCGCGCACCTGGGCGATTACTTTAGCTCGGTCCTCGGGAGACCTGGGCGTGATGTACCCGCTCAAATCGATGACGGGGAGCTGGAGGTCGCTTGCTGCCATTGGTGAAGGACGTGGTGGGGAAAATAATATAGAAAGGTAAGAAGAGTTTGAGGTAGTCAGCTACAGGGAGGAGAGAGAGGGGGAAAGGTAGCAGGCGTGGGCTCTCATGCACGCAAGCCTCGCTTTAATGAATCGTCGAGGAGGCCCTGCTCTCTTAGAGGAGCCTGAAGCTCCTTGAACTTCGGAAAGTTCATATGAATGAGCCTGGACCGACAGTTCGGAGTGCCTCTTCTAGGCTGACCAAGGGAGCCAAGTGCCGTGCTGCATATTCGGCCCTACAATTTCTTCCTTCCGAACCCAACAACGTGACCGAAGGTGGCTGAGCAATGCGAGTTGGATGCATGCCTAAGAGGCACGCGTTACGGGCTTCGCTATTGCCCAGCATCATTTTCTCAGCTGCCGGCGGAAGTTCTCATGGATGAAATCGGTAGGACAAATCTCCGACGGCAAAGGCCCAGGACCGGACTCAGAACAGACCTATTCACTACGGAATGGACCGAAAGGACAGAAGTGCTTCGTTTCAAGAGGTGGCCCTACTCAATATTATCGTTCATCCAAGTATTGGGCCAGCTAGCACTTTTCAATCGATTCACAATTATTGCTTGGCAGTAACCGAATATCGAGCCGTACCAGATGCTGCAGCACCTGAAGATCTATACTCGCGCACCGGCTCCGTTGAATACTCCATTGGGACCCAGAAGTGATGAGCCTAGGAGGTCCCAGGTCCGCGGAGCTTGATTCGGGTAGATATAGCCTATCCATGTCTGCATCTGCACCGTAGCTGTGACAACCATGGAGCGCGTAGGGAATAGTGTCCGCAGCAATTCGATTGCAGTTATCAGATATTATTAGAGGACGAGGAGAGAAGTCTTGGGAAATGTCTTTTTATGGTGGCCAGAAGAGAGGAGAGATAGAATAAAGGCCAACATCAAGGAGTCATACATGTCGGTATCACGGAAATTCGTATTAGCACTGGAGCAGACATACAAGACAGCAGTAGGAGGCGACGACACTTTCTATTTGTCAAGTTTTCTGTATCCAGTCAAGATTGGCGCTGTTGGCGCCCCAGCCTCCGCCTGGGAAGATAGCTCTTCCAAGTAGCGAGCTGGAACATAGACACATACACAAAGACCAGCAAGGATTGTACAAACAAGTCACCCTAGGCGACAGGAAAGACCAGTTTGCAGCCGGACGGCGGCTCTGTCAGCATTGTGCTCACCCCCCGCATAACACCCTCCCACGCGCCAGGCATGACTCTGGCAGGGTGTGTGTCGACCAGACAGCGATCCAGCAGCCCCTGCATGGCTAGAAAGGAGCGGGCCCCGAAGATGCGGTTCTCAGGGCGAGCCTCTCGTGCATACTCGCCATGCATGTCGACCTCGACCCCGAGTAGGCTGGGGCCCATGAACCAGGACGGCTGGACCGTGCCGGAGCGGGTCTGAGCAATGGTCTCGCGGAATGGTTCGAGGGCGACGTAGCGGCCGCCAGCACGTCCAAGGGCGGCGTAGCACAGCTGGGTGGTGTCTGCTTGAGATACGCAGTCGAGGGCATAGGCCAGCTCGTTTCCCGTGTACTCACGGATGTCGGCGGCGCACGAGGGGCTGTGGTAGTCAAAGACCTTCTCGGCACCGAAGCGGATCGCGAGGTCGTGGTTGGAGGGCGAGCATGTCGTGATGGGGCGTAGGCCAGCCCTGCATAGCACGAGTTAGCCTGGATAGGGGAAGAAACTGACAAGGCAGGACGAGGGAAACAACTCACAGCTTCAGCAGCTGGATGGCGCGCGTGCCCGTGGCGGTGCTGCCCCCTGCCACGAGAACAATCTCGCGCTCATCGTCGCCGCCGGGGTCCACGCCTGCTGTCCCTGCCCCTGCAGCCGCCCCCTCGCGCCCCAGCTGGTCTAGCGACACAGGCAGGCCCAGCTCGCTGAACAGTGCGAACATGGCTGTGGCTGTGCCCAGCGGCAGCGTCGCCGCCTCCTCAAAACTCATGTGGTCGGGGATCCTGAGCAAAAAGTCGGCCATAGCGCTGACGTACTCGGCAAACGCCCCAATGTCAGGCCGCAGCTTGTTCATGCCCAGCACAGTGCCGGCCACGCGGTCGCCAATAGCAAACCGGCCAGAGGCCAGCGCGTCAGCCCCGAGGGCGACTACAGTGCCGGAAAAGTCACTCCCCACGATGGCGCCCGGTATAGGGCTGTACTCGAGCGTCTTGGCGTCGTGCGGGTTGATGGCCACGGCCGCCGTCCTGACGAGGACTGTGTCGGGTTCCAGTGCGGGCACAGGGGCCTCAGGACGGATCATGAGCGTACCGCGGGCCTTGGCCGCCACGATGGTGTGGTGTTGAGGCAGCGGCATGGCGAGAGAGCACAGAGAAGAAAGAGGGGCAGACCAGCCTCGACGACGTGTGATTATCAAGTACTCAGCTAGGTGCTCGTCCTGGAGGAGGGTAGCAGCAGCAGTACTCTTGTTGGAGAGAGAGGGAGAGAGGGAGGCCGACTAGGTACAATGTTGCGACATGGTCTCTTCCATATATTTTCATTCTTGCCGTCTCGTGCAGCCAGCCAGCCAGTGGAAAGCATCTTCCTTACCCCTCGGTCGAGGTTGGGGCAGGCACGTGGGCAGGGAGGGGAACTGTGTCCAGTGAGAAGCAAGCCAGCCTTGCTCTTACTCCTGTTGGCCTTGCTCCTGCTCCTTCGCACTCAAACCGTGAGGGTTTTGTAATTCGGACCGGTAGCAGGCGCTGACTCATCTTCGCGCCTTCCCTTCCCCTGCCCCTTGGCCCCCTGCCCCCCTGTCCCGTCCGACACCGAACCCGCCCTAGCGCATCAGGCCGCAGCTGTGATTGGGCAGGAAGCTAGGTTAAGAACAACCCACTGGCAAGACGACAACTTCGGCGCCTTCCGAACTACTTTAACTACTACTACTACCGACTACTACAACAACTCCGAATCGTCTATCGCACTGTTTGGCCAGTCGTCAAAGCTACCTCCAGCTCGACCACCATTGTTTTCCGAAGAATTCGGTCCGACATGCTGCACGGGCAGCAGAAGACAATGGCCCGGGACGATCCTTGTGCATCGACATATGTGTTTCGGAGCGCCAACATCTCACATGCAGCGAGCAGCCTGCGCCAGGTGAGGCGAGGGGAGGCGAAGGGAGGCGAAGGGAGGCGCGTCGCGTCTTCCTCCTTGACCACAATGACCACTCCCTCCGACACATGAAGGAATGATGTCTGCTCTGCCCGAGATCTGCTACAGGAGTCTGTGGCTGGCGGGACTATGCTGCTCTTGCGCTAGCACAGCGAGACATTGATTGTCAAGAAAGCGAGGGTATAAACCAGGTCCTGCTCACCTGTCCGTCCCCGCAGCCTGCTCGCTTGTCTAGATGTACACGGAACTGACTGCCCCAGCCGTGACACCGAGACACCACCCTGAGCTTACGACCTGCCTGCGAGGCTTCCCATTGTATTACCAACATTAACCCCTCTAGTCGCTCATTGGGAGGGAGGCTCGAGCAAGATGCCTACCAACACCACCACCACCACCACCACTGCAGCGGGGCCAGAACCCATTGCCATCGTGGGCAGTGCCTGCAGGTTCCCAGGAGGGGCAAGCTCGCCGGCAGCGCTATGGGAGCTGCTGCAGCGTCCGCGCGATGTGGGCACTGATATCCCAGAGGACCGGTTCGATCTGAGGGGTTTCTATCACCCCGACGGCAGCCATCACGGCACCACCAACGTCCGGCAAGCGTACCTCCTCCAGGAGGACCTGCGGCAATTTGACTCGACTTTTTTCGGCATCAGCCCCAACGAGGCCGACTCAATTGATCCGCAGCACCGCCTACTCCTGGAGACCGTCTATGAGGCGCTCGAGGCCGGCGGGCACCGCGTCGAGTCGCTGCGGGGCTCCGACACAGCGGTCTACACGGGCACAATGAGCGTTGACTTCCTGGACAGCTTCACACGCGACCCCGATGCCATGCCCAGATACCTTGCCACTGGCGTGAACCGCGCTATCCTGTCGAACCGCGTCTCTTACTTCTTCGACTGGCATGGCCCCAGTATGACTATTGATACAGCCTGCTCCTCCAGCCTGGTCGCTCTCCACCAGGGCGTGCATACCCTGCGACTGGGCGAGTCGCGTGTCGCTCTGGCCTGCGGCACCCAGGTTATCCTGAACCCTGAGCCCTTCATCATGGAGAGCAAGCTGAGCATGCTGTCACCCACCGGCCGCTCGCGCATGTGGGATGCTGATGCCGACGGCTATGCGCGTGGCGAGGGCGTGGCCGCAGTCGTCATGAAGCGCCTGAGCGACGCTGTCGCCGATGGGGACCATATCGAGTGCATTATCCGTGAGACGGGCTCCAACCAGGACGGCCACTCCAACGGCATTACTGTCCCCAGCACCGAGGCGCAGGCCAGCCTCATCCGCCAGACGTACGCCCGGGCCGGCTTAGACCCAGCACGCCGCCCCCAGGACCGCCCGCAGTTCTTTGAGGCCCACGGCACGGGCACCAAGGCCGGCGACCCCAGGGAGGCCGCCGCTATTCACCAAGTATTTGGCCCGCCTCAGGACGTCGTCAGCCGCTCCTCACCCTTGTCCACCACTGCCTCCGAGCCCCCTCTGTATGTGGGATCCATCAAGACCGTCATCGGCCATCTCGAGGGTGCCGCTGGTCTCGCCGGCGTTCTCAAAGCGTCTGCTATGGTCCAGGGAGGCGCCGTTCTCCCTAACCTGCTGTTTCACCGGCTGAACCCAGATATCGAGCCCTACTACCGCGGCTTGCAGGTGCCGACACAGCTGCTGCCCTGGCCCGAGCTGCCCGACGGTGTCCCCAGGCGTGTGAGCGTCAACAGCTTCGGTGAGCGCCCCCTGTCCCCCCACTCCCCCCGGCGTATGTAACGCTGCTAACACGCTACAGGCTTTGGCGGGAGCAATGCCCATGCCATTGTCGAGCAATACTGCAATGCCTCCGACCCCGGCCCGCCCGCTGAGAGCACGAGCTCCCCGGACCCTGCTCACATCCCAGTCACGCCATTTGTTTTCTCAGCCCTGTCAGAGGCCTCTCTGGTAGCCCAGCTGCAGGCCTACTCTGAACACCTCGGCAGCCGCGACGAGATAAACCCCCATGACTTAGCCTGGACACTGCAAGCGCGCAGGAGCGAGTTTGCTACCAGAGCAGCCTTTTCTGCCGCCACGACCTCGCAGCTCAAGTCCAAGATCGATGCCAAGCTAGCAGAGCTAAGCAAGACGCCCGGTGCTGTTCTCGGCGTGCGAGCGAGGCCGGGAGCTGCTAGGCCCGGCGTGCTAGGCGTCTTCACAGGGCAAGGAGCCCAGTGGCCTGCTATGGGGGCGCAGCTGATCCGCTCTTCTGCGTTTGCGCGCGGGCGGGTGCAGGACCTGGAGGACGCCCTAGCTACTCTCCCGCCCGCAGACCGGCCAGCATGGCGTCTCAGCGAAGAGATGCTTGCCCAGGGCAACGCATCGCGTGTCTCGGAGGCTGTCATGTCGCAGCCGCTGTGCACTGCACTGCAGATCCTCCTTGTTGATCTCCTGCGCGAGGCAGGCCTCCGCTTCGCTGCTGTCGTAGGCCACTCTTCAGGCGAGATCGCTGCGGCATATGCAGCTGGCTTCCTCTCAGCCCGCGACGCCATCCGTATCGCCTACTATCGGGGTCAGATTGTCCAGAAGGCGCAGCACGGCGCTATGCTAGCTGTCGGGACCTCCTGGGAGGACGCAAACGACCTTGTGCGTCTGCGAGCGTTCCGCGGCCGCCTGGCTGTCGCAGCCCACAACTCCTCGGCCAGCGTAACTATCTCTGGCGATGCTGATGCTGTCGTGCATGCAAAGAAGATCTTCGATGAGGAGAAGAAGTTCGCAAGGCTGCTCAAGGTGGAGAAAGCCTATCACTCCCACCACATGCTGCCGTGTGGTGACGCCTATATGGACGCGCTTCGGGCGTGCGCCATTGGTGCTGAGCCGCATCAGCACGGCGGCGATCCCTCCTGCGCCTGGTTCTCGAGCGTCGCCCCCAGCTCCAACCCTATCAGAAGCACTGAGGGGTTGCAGGACATATACTGGAGAGATAACCTGGCCAGCTCGGTGCTGTTTGCCGAGGCCATCCAGAACGCCGTCACTAGCGATGAGGACATTAGCCTTGTTGTCGAGATCGGTCCTCACCCAGCGTTGAAAGGCCCCGCTATGCAGACTATCTCTGATGCGCGCTCTGAGCCCCTCCCGTACTGCGGTACGCTCAGCAGAGGGGCAGGCGATATCGAGGCTTTGTCGGATACCCTAGGTTTCCTATGGCAGCACCTAGGCTCGCGGTCCATCGACTTCCAGTCCTTTAGCCAAGCCTTCTCAGGCAGCGGATCAGCTAAGCCTCACCTGGTAGTCGGCCTGCCGTCCTACCAGTGGAACCACGGACGGTCTCACTGGAGCGAGCCACGCCGGTCACGTAGGATCCGCAGCCGCAAGCAGGCCCCGCACGAGATCCTGGGCACTCTGTCTCCTGACTCCAATGCGCACGACATGCGCTGGTCCAACGTGCTCAAGGCTTCCGAGATCTCGTGGCTGAGCGGGCACAAGCTCCAGGGCCAGACTGTGTTTCCCGCCGCGGGCTACGTGGCCATGGCGCTGGAGGCGTCCCGGGCTCTCGAGTCGGCCGCTGCGCCTGTCGAGCTCTTTGAGCTGCACGACCTGTCTATTCCTAAGGCTATCCCGTTCGACGAGGCAGACAGCATGGGCGTCGAGACTCTTGTCGCGCTGACGGGGGTGCAGCACCACCAGGGGGCAGCCGCCACGGCGCACTTCTCTTGCTATGCGCTGCCGATAACTACTGCGGGCTCGGATCGCGACATGGACCTGATTGCAACAGGCACTGTCAGGGTTGTGTTTGGAACCCCCAGTGCAGACGCCCTATCCCCCCCGCCGCAGGAGGACCACAGCATGTTCCCAGCAGATGCCGACCGCTTTTACTCGTCTCTTGCCGACCTGGGCTACGGCTACTCGGGCCCCTTCCGAGCCCTACGCGACATCAAGCGCAAGCTTAATCACGCCACCGCCCTCATCGACTCATACCCTTATACGGATGCAGATCTTTCTACATACCTGGTCCACCCGTCCACGCTGGACACAGCGTTCCAGCTCGCCATGGCAGCTTGTTCGGCCCCCGGCGACGGCCAGCTCTGGTCCCTGCATGTACCGACATCTATCCAGAGCATCCGCGTAAACCCGGCTGTCTGCGCCTCGATGCCACTGGCAGGAGTCCCAGTGCCGGCTCGCACTGCAGTCGACGCTGCGCCCCAGTCCTTTACAGCTTCTATCGACCTCCTGAGCGACGACCGCCAGAGCGTCATGGTGCGGATCGAGGACCTCGTCATCAAGCCGTTTGCGCCCGCAACGAAGGCGGATGACCGTGTCACCTTCACGTTCACCAAGTTTGACCTGGCTGCCCCTGACGGGTCGCTGGTTGTGGAGGGCGTTCGGCCCTCGGCGGACGAGGTCGAGACCTTTAGCGCCTGCGAGAGAATCGCCTACTACTACCACCGCAAGTGGAGGTCGGAGATCACCGACGCCGAGTGGGCAAACGGACCACCGCACCAGCTATTGCTCCGGGACTGGGTCAACCACACCGTGTCCCGAGTCTCTGCAGGGCAGCACCCGGCCTTAAAGAAGGAGTGGTCAGAAGATAGTGCCGAGGACATCAAGGCCCTTGCTCGCCGGCACTGGGAACATGTCGTCATCCGGATCATCACGGCTGTCGGCGAGAATATGGCAGCCGCCGTTCGTGGGGAGACAACAATCCTCGAGCACATGACGGCCGATAACATGCTGACCGAGTACTACGAGAAGGGTGCTGGCATCTCCACGTACCACTCCTTTCTGGGGAGCATGGTGCGCCAACTGGCCCACCGGTACCCCCGCGCCAAGTTTATCGAGATTGGTGAGTCTCTCCTGTGTATCCCCTCGTCACCAAGTCCTCCTCTGCCCCCTCGTGCTATATTGACTAACCGTTTCTTCTTCTTCGGTATAGGCGCCGGGACGGGCGGTGCGACAGGGCCGGTGCTCGAGGCCGCCGGCTCCACCATGTCTTCCTACACGTACACAGACATCTCGCCGGCTTTCTTTGAGCAGGCCGCCAAATCGTTTGCAACATATAGCGATAAGATGGCCTACCGGGTCCTCGACATTGAGAAAGCACCAGCTGCTCAGGGGTATGAACCACACTCGTACGACATCGTGATTGCTTTCAACGTGCTGCATGCGACGCACTCGCTGCAGGCCACGCTGGCTAATACCCGGCAGCTTCTGAGGCCGGGCGGGTATCTCATTCTGATGGAGTTCACCAACAATGATGCTATCCGCGTCGGCACCACCATGGCTGGACTGCCTGGCTGGTGGCTGGGTGCTGATGACGGCCGTGTCTTCTCTCCAACTGTGACGACTCGCGAGTGGCATTCTGCCCTGCGCAAGTCTGGGTTCGGAGGGGTGGATACGGCAACGCCCGAGATCGACGGCATTACGTGGCCACTTTCTATAATAGTGGCACAAGCAGTAGACGACCGGGTGCAGTTTCTGCGCCGTCCCTTGTCCTCGCCTTCATTGGCGCCTGCTCGCATCGAGAGCCTCGTCATCCTGGGCACCGGGACTCTGGTGAGCTCCCGCATTGCTGAGGAACTTGCTGAGCTGCTGGAGGGCTTCTGCGACGAGGTCACCGTCCTGGACAGCCTTCCCACCAGGGAGGAGGCCCTCGCGCTGAGCCCTCTAAGCACCTTCATCAACCTCGCAGACCTCGACACGCCCATCTTCAGAGACATGACCAAGGACAAGATGGAATGCCTGCAACGCATGTTTGACCTGGCCAAGCATGTCTTGTGGGTCACCCATGGTGCTGTTGTGGACCAACCCTACCATATGGCGAGCATCGTCTTCAGCCGCACCGTGCGCAGAGAGGAGCTGCACATTAGCCTGAACCACCTCGACGTCTCTGACCCAGGCCGGCCCGACACATCCAAAGCCATAGCCGAGCACTTCCTTCAGTTGTACGCCCTCGATGAGTGGGAGGCGGATCGGCAGCTCCTCTGGTCCAAGGAACCCGAGGCGTTCCTCGACGCTGGCCAGCTCAAGCTGCCGCGGCTTGTGCCCGACCCTGGCCAGAACGCTCGAGTCAACGCCTCAAGGCGCACCGTCACCAAGACGCTTCCAGCATCAAGCCCTAGCACGAATGCCGAGATTGTGCAGTCTCCTACAGGCTCGCCGCCTGATGTGATGGAGGTCGTTGTCCCCCCGGGCCGGGTGCAGGGTGCTGAGGGACACGGCCCCCTCGCCGGCGTCCACAGCTCGAGCCTCATGGCGCTGGGTGTGGCCCCAGATACCTTTCTCTTCCTCGCCGCACGTACTGCCGATGATGGGTCGGGAGCCTATATTCTCTCCCTCTCCGCCACCAACTCGTACAGGACAGCTCCGGTCGCCAGCTTCACCGTGCCTGTGGATGCGCGCAGCAAAGAGACTAGTACGGACGGCCTGGTGGTGGCCACCGCGGCCGAGCTGATTGTCGACTCGATGCTGCAGAACGTATCACAGGGGGCCCGGATTCTGCTGAACTGCTCGCCTCAGGACGCTGTTCTCATCTCGGCTCTGCGCTGCCGTGCCGCCTCAAAAGACGTCCATCTGATCTTGACCTGCGATGTGGGGGCTGCCGCCGAGGATGCGCACAGCAGGGACGTGACGCTGCTCGACCCGGGCGCTCGGGCATCGCAGTATCACATGCGACGCGCCCTACACGTTGTGCGGCCCACGCTCTATGTAGACCTAGCTCTCGTCAGCGACGGGCAGCAGCCGCAGCGTCCTGGCACGAACAAGCTTGGCCTCGAAATTGCTCGGGCCTTGCCCGCTGGGTGTAGGACCGTTGACGCGGCCGCCTTCTTCCAGCGCCAATCATCGTTGCCGAAGCTATTGGACGGACCGGCCCTGTCGCAGCAGCTCGAGGCCGCCACTGCCCGCTCCCTAGCGGCGGTCGCGTCCTGGCGCGCATTGCCGCCAGGCCTGGTGGTTTCGCTGCACCAGATCCGGGACATTTCCACGCCCCATCATGCCACAACTGCGGTCTGCTGGCCTCGGGACGGGCTCCTCGAGGCGCACGTACGCCCTCTGGACGCCCGCGCGCTCTTCTCGCCGAACAAGACGTATCTCCTTGTCGGGCTAAGCGGACAGATTGGCCAGTCCCTCTGCGAATTTATGGTGTCCAATGGGGCAGGCTGCGTGTGCCTGACGAGCCGTCGCCCTCATGTGGATGAGAGGTGGCTTGCTTCGGTTAGGACGTCTGGCGCAGAGGTCAAGGTTCTCGCGATGGACGTTACAGACCGGAGCAGCGCCGAAAGCGTGGTGAGCCAGATCCGAGCTAGCTGCCCTCCGATTGCCGGTGTAGCCCACGGGGCCAATATCCTCTCCGACGCGCTCTTCTCCAGGACAACTATCGACGAGATGACCCGGACTCTGCGGCCCAAGATCGATGGAGCTAACAATCTCGACGATATCTTCCGCGATGACGACCTCGACTTCTTTGTCCTCTTCTCCTCCGTCTCCTCCCTAGCAGGGAACATTGGCCAGTCCGCCTATGTCGCAGGCAATGGCTACCTGAACGGGCTCGCTCGGCAGCGCCGCAAGCGCGGTCTAGCAGCGTCCGCTTTCGATATCGGGCGGGTGGTGGGCTTGGGCGTTATCGAGACAGTAGAACAACACGTTGTGGACCAGCTCCTGGCTCTGGGGCTTCCGCCGTTGGGCGAGGCCGACCTGCAGCAGGCGTTTGCAGAGACCATCCTAATGGGTTATCCTAACCCCGAGGACCAGCGAGGCGTTCCGCATGCGGTGGTCACCACGACCGTCCGCCGCTTCAGCGATGATGAGGACGGTGAGGTCAAGGGCCCCTGGTTCAGTAGCCCTCTGTTCTCGCACCTGATCACAGAGAGTGCTGGTATCGGTCTTGGGCGCCAGTCGGACGAACAGGGACAGGCCTCAGCATCAGCACTCCGCATCAGCGAGCAGCTTTCCAGGGCGACAAGCATGGAGCAGGCGGGTGCTGTCCTGCGCGAATGCTTCTCCGCCAAGCTGCGAGTGATTCTGCAGATCCTGGATGAGGAGGCCCTCGACCCTAGCGTGCCCGTCGTGGAGCTGGGGATCGATTCTCTTGTCGCTGTCGAGGTCCGCTCGTGGTTCCTGAAGGAGCTGAAGGTGGACGTCCCTGTACTCAAGGTTGTTGGCGGCGCCTCCATCGCCGAGCTGTGCGAGGGCGTGCTCGAAAAGCTGCCGAGGGAGGCCCTCAGCAGCCTCGGAAAGGAAGAAGTCAAGCCATCCGCCGCCCCAGCAGTAAAAGCCGCGCCCGCGCCCCTGCTGCCGCCTCCAGCTGGGGAGCTGTTGCAGGCGCCAGCTCCCAAGGAGGTGCCGATGGACTCGGCGGCAAGCTCTTCGGCGTCAGACCGCGACTCGACGCAGGGGGCAGGCTCAGAATCCCTGCATCATGCCCCCATCCCATCTAGGACGTCGATAGCGACCACCCCGTCCCCCTCTCGATCTGTGTCGCCGCCAACGGCTGAGCTGAGCGCGAAGTCGAGGAGGTTCCTCAAGACTGTGCCCATCTCGTTTGCGCAGTCCCGATACTGGTTCCTCCACCAGCTGCTCCAAGACCCGAGGACTTCCAACGTGGCCGCCTGCTACCATGTCCAGGGCAACCTGCGCATCGCCGACCTAGAGAGGGCCACGCGAATAGTGCTTGCCCGGCACGAGGCGCTGCGCACATGCTTTGTGCAGGACGATGCAGACGCTGCGCATGCCTACCAGAGCATCCTGCCGCGGTCGCCAATACAGCTGAGATGCGAAAAAGCTAGCAGCATAGACGAGGTGAACGCCCGGTTTGCGAGGCTCAGGGAGCATAACTTCGATCTGGCCAGCGGCGAGCTGCTCCAGATGGTGCTTATAACGCTGTCACCGTCATCTCACTATCTGCTTGTGCATCACCATCATATTATTATGGATGGGGTGAGCGTGCAGGTCTTTCTTGCTGACCTGGAAAAGGCTTATAGCGGCCAGCCTCTGGGACCAGCGCCTCGCCAATACCCTGAATTTTCCGTTACCCAGCGACAGCAATTCAGTGAGGGGACTATGGCCCAAGAGCTGCAGTACTGGCGAGCAGTATTCCCGGCTGGCGAGCAGCCGCCTGTTCTGCCCTTGCTTCCCATGGCACGGACAAGGTCGCGGACGGTGATGAAGCAGTTCGACACCCATGAGGTCCAGTGCACGCTGGAGCCTGACGTAGCTGCGCTTATCCGGCTTGCAGCAAAAAAGCAGGCATCCACCCCATTCCATTTCTACTTAGCCGTCTTCGAAGCTATGCTCTTCCGCCTTACCGACGCCCAGGAGCTTATTATTGGCATGGCTGATGCTGCTCGGAATACCGGCGATACGCAGAATAGTATCGGCTTTTTCCTCAATCTGCTTGCTCTGAGATTCCGCCGCCAGCTGGACCAGCGCTTTACTGAGGCTATCAACAATGCCCGGAAAACATCCCATGCTGCGCTCAAGAGCTCGCGCTTGCCATTTGACGTGCTACTGACAGAGCTAGGCATTGCCCGCTCCTCCTCGCACAGCCCTCTGTTCCAAGCCTTTATCGACTACCGGCAGGGCAGCCAGGAGGGGAAGCAGCCCTGGGCTAATTGTCAGCTGGTTATGCTGGAGTCGACCTTAGGAAAGACGGCCTACGATGTTACTCTAGATGTGACGGATAATCCCGGGTCGCATGCTCTTGTCACGATGCGCGTTCAGAAAAGCCTTTATGATACGGCGGCAGCAGACCTGCTACTCGAGACTTATGTTCATCTCCTGCACGCCTTCGCTTCAGATCAGTCTGTCCCGTCAGGCACTCCTCCCCTCTTTAGCCAAAACATGCTCACTCGCGCAGTCGAGGTCGGGCGCGGTAAGACGCCCTTGTCAACTAGCTCCCCACGATAAACCATGCTCCCTGAGAAGCTGACATGTCCTCGCCGTGCATCCATTAGGACCCGTCCTGGTGTCAGATTGGCCTGAGACGCTCCCCCATCGCATCGACCAAATTGCTCAACAGTATCCAGACCGCATCGCCCTCATAGACGGCCTGGGCGCCGCGCCGCTCACCTACTCAAGCATGCTGAGCCGGATCGAGGCAATTGCTGAGGCGCTGCAGGAGGTCCAAGTTGGCCCTGGCGCTCGCGTCCTTGTTCTGCAGCAGGCAGCAGCCGATTGGGTCTGCTCGATGCTCGCCATAATGCGCGTTGGGGCTGTCTATGTGCCTATGGACCTGCGCAACCCCGCCACGCGCCTAGCTGCTGTGGCTGCAGACTGCATGCCGGCGGCAATCCTCGCTGACGCGACCACGGCCTCCGACGCGCCTCGGCTCAATGCACCGCAGGCCACCATAATCAACATATCAACTGTGCCCTCTTCGCCTGCTGGAGAACGCCGTGTAACAAAGAACTGTGCCTCGGCAGCTGCACCCGCGGCCATCCTCTATACCAGCGGGTCAACAGGAACACCCAAAGGCATTGTGGTTTCTCACGCTGGCCTCCGTAACGAGATCGAGGGCTATACCAAGACCTGGAAACTAGGAGCAGAGCGTGTGCTCCAGCAGAGCGCATTTACTTTTGATTTCGCCTCGGATGAGTTGTACACGGGCCTCGTCAACGGCGGTCTTGTTTATATTGTGCCTGGGAGCGCGCGCAGTAGCCCCCTCGACATCACCGAGATAATCTGGAAGCAGGGCATTACATACACCAGGGCAACCCCATCTGAATATCTGCTCTGGCTGCAGTATGGCGGAGAGAACCTGCGCCGGGCATCCGAGTGGCGCTTTGCGTTTGCTGGCGGCGAGACCTTGACCACTACAGTTGCACAAGAGCTTGCTGCTCTCAACAACCCCCAGCTACGCTTCTTTAACTCTTATGGGCCTGCTGAGACCTCCATCTCGTCGTGTAAGATCGAGGTGGATTACCGCCGCGAGGCGTCGATAAACAGCAGCAGCAGCAGCAGCAGCAGCAGCAGCAGCCTCGCCCGCATTCCCTGCGGCTACTCGCTGCCCAACTACCAGACCTATATAGTAGATGAGAAGCTGCAACCGCAGCCTGTGGGTATGCCTGGAGAGATATGCATCAGCGGCGCAGGCGTCTCGCTGGGCTATCTCAACAACGAGCCGCTCAGCAACCGACACTTTATCCCTAACCCATTTGCGACGGCCGAGGATCTAGCTCAGGGCTGGACGCGCATGTATCGCACAGGTGATATCGGCCACCTGGAGGCAGATGGGGCCCTGGTCTTTCATAGGCGTGTGGATGGCGACACGCAGGTCAAGATACGAGGTATTCGCGTCGACCTGGCCGATATCGAAAGCAACATTATCGCAGCCGGGAAGGGGGCGCTAAGGGAAGCTGTGGTGACGCTGCGCGAGGGCGATCTCTTGGTGGCCTACGTCGTCTTTGCTCCCGGGCAACATACAGCCTCGGACCAGTCTGAGGCCTTCCTCGACCGCCTGCTCAGCCAGCTGCCACTCCCCCAGTACATGGTGCCTGTGGTGGCTTTCCCGGTGGACAGGCTTCCCCTCACCAGCCACGCCAAGGTGGACCGCAAGGCCGTCCAGAACATGCCCCTCCTGCACCGCAAGACGAAAGCTACAAACCGGCATGATGACAGCAGTCTGACGGAGACCATGGCACAGCTCAAGGACATCTGGCAGGACGTCATAGGGCCCAGAATCCACGAGCTTGGCCTGGACATTGGGCCTTTGACCAACTTTTTCTTCGTCGGCGGCAACTCTCTCCTGGTGATCCGGCTACAATCGCGCATCCAGCAGGTCTTCCACATTGCCGTTCCCCTTGTCAAGCTGCTTGGCGCCAACACGCTGGCAGAGATGGCTGCCACGATCGAGGAGGCCGTCAGCGTCACCCTCACCATCGACTGGGACAAGGAGACTGCCCTTCCGAGGCTCCCTGCGTTCCTGGCAGACATCAGTGCAAGCCCACTAGACTACCAGCAACACGCCAAAACAGTGCTCGTCACGGGGGGCACTGGCTTTCTTGCGCGTCACCTCGTCCCCATGCTCGCTGCAAGCCCGGATATCTCAACGATCCACTGCCTTGCTGTGCGAGAGGAGCGCCCCGACAGGCCGCGCAGCCTGCCTGACTCCAATAAGATCACCTGGCACCGGGGAGACCTCACAATGCCGCTGCTTGGGCTCGAACAGGACATGTTCCGCTCCCTTGCCGCCCAAGCCGATGTCATAGTCCACCTCGGTGCCGCCCGTTCCATCTGGGATAGTTACCACACCCTACGCGCCAGCAACGTTCACCCCACCCAGGAACTGGTCAAACTGGCGGCTCCGCGCCGTATCCCTATCTACTTTATCTCTACCATCGCCGCGGCGGCCAACTCTGCCGCTACTGCCAGCATTGCCGCCCCGTCTCCCACTCCGTCGACCGACGGCGCCGACGGTTACGTTGCTACCAAGTGGGCCAGCGAGCGCATTCTCGCGCGCGCCGCGGATACCCTTGGCATCCCCTGCACCGTCTACCGCTTCCTTCCCGCGAGCAAGCCCAAACCGGCGCCCAAAAGGCTCATGGATGAACTGGCCCGCTTCGTGGACGTCTTGGGCTGTGTACCCGACCCGAGTGGGTGGGCCGGCCGCTTGTACATGATTCCGGCTGACGAGGTTGCACAGAGGCTGTGTGCAGCGGTTGCATCTGGCTCCAACAAGGAAAGGGGGGCAAAGGCAGAGCAATACCAGTGTGATGTCACGCTCACGGGCGACGAGATCATTACGCACTTATGCAAGCAGAGCGGGAACGAGAGCCGCGAGCAGATCCCCATGCTCAAGTGGTTCGGGCGCATCAAGAAGCTTGGCTTTGACTACTTTATAGCGTCGCACGAGGCCACCGTCGGCGGAAGCGTGGGTGAAGGAGGCTTGGGTTCAAGGAGGTAAACGAACAGGGCATCTTTTCTAGCATCGAGGCCACCCTGCCAAATATCCTCTTTTTTTCTTTCTTTCTTTCTCCAATTCTGTGTAACTAGGCCGTATTCCGCAATTCATCAATTCACTCTGCGATAAACTTTGTCCACACTCTAAGCAGCAGCGTTCTTGGCCTACATGTAACGATCAACTGGGCACGGCATGTGGCAATGGATAGCTCAGGCGAATGAATCCCCAAATAAGCTCTTCATACGGTAATTCTGGCTCTTGAATCTTGTACAGGGAGGTGGCAAACATGGGCAAAGAATGTATGCGACAGCTAAAAGGAGTGACCACTCCCAGCTAACTGGAAACGGCTGTGGCCTATATAGCTGCGTAACGGTCGGACTCACACACCCCCCCTCTACTCTAGAGATGATCAAGCTCTAGAGTAGACCAGGGAGGCCGAACTGTGCTAATGGTTTTAGGCAACAGACTTTTCCTTGTCTGTGGTTTTCTGATACAGATTTTTCTTTATCTGTGTGGCTATTGTTAAAGACTTGCCCTGTCTGTATGAGATCTAATAATTCGGACGATTTTTCCTAAGTAGGGCTGGGTTGTTCCCTACTGAAGTAGGAATTCGCTATGGAGTTGCTTATATATCAGGGAACAAGCGAAAGGACTCATAATGTGCGAGGGCCAGTGAGTCACTGGCCCCTCCAGCCAGCCAACAGCCAGACCTGTTAATAGCCTCAGATAGCTTGCCCCGTGGCGTTTTTCTCTTCTTTTCACTTTTTTGCCCCTTCTTCCCGCCGTTCCTAGAGTTCATAATGCTTCTTCAAGACTGCTTCTCAGACTGCTTCCCAGCCTCTTGCCCAGACTGCTGCTTTTTGGCTTTCTTGACGCTTTTCCACTCAACCGAAAGGCTGCCAATGATTGTGAGAGACGACATGACCACAGCAACCAGGAAGACCCGGGTCAAGGCGTTGTTGTAGGCTACCAGGACTGCCTGTAGGTCCTCTGGGGGCACCATAGATCGCAGCTTGGTGGCGCCCGCGGTGGAGAGGACGGAGGCATCGAGACCGCTGCCGGGAAGGGCAGCCTCGATGTTTTGCACGAGCTTGTTCTGCAGAACGGCCTGCCCAATGGCGATGAAGATGGCACCGCTCAGCGACTGGACGAGGACGACGATGGAGGCCCCGGCCGGGATGTCAGCCTTGGGCAGGACAGTCTGGATCGCGACCTGGGGCTGCTGCTGTCCCATCCCAAGGCCCATGCCTGTCAGGGCTTGGTAGCCGACCCACTTGGAGAAGCCTGTATTGACCGTCCAGGTTGTCATCAGCCCCTCTCCGATGGGTGCGATGATGGAGGCGAGCAACATGAATGGGGCATCTAAAATGAAAAGATTTCACAGGCCGACGATTAGCTGCTTGTCGTCTCTCCAAGGTTTACCCCAGATCGAGTTGTCACCGGAATGCTCTGGTGCGAGCTGAGGGGATGAACCTACAATATCCAAACTTCATGACGAGAAACCCGACCAGGTTGGCCATGACCACGACTCCCAGAACATAAGGGAGCAGGCTGACGCCAGACGAGGCAGCGCTGGCGTTGCGGATGACCTGCTGCCAGAAGGGAATGTAATAAATCAGGAGGAAGAAGGCGGCTCCGTTGCAGAAGGCGTTCCAGGCGGCGGCGGCAACACTCCTCTGGGTGATGATGTGGATGGGCAAGGTGGCCTCGGGGCCCCTCCAGTACTCAAAGGCCACAAAGGCGATAAGTAGCACACCAAAGAGCACAAGCAGGGCGATGATGCGGCCACTGTCCCAGGCATAGGTCGAGCCGCCCCAGCCCAGGGCTAGCAGGAGGCAGACAATGGCGGGGATGAAGATCAGAAGGCCACCAAAGTCGATCCTCCTGAGCTTCTCGGCCAGGCGGACGGAGCTAAGCTCGGGGCGCCGGAGAGGGGGGAGGAAGAACAGGAGGGCGGCCATGGTAAAGCCGCCAAAGGGCAGATTGATGTAGAAGCACCAACGCCACGTCAGGTCGGTAGTGAAGATGCCGCCCAGGACTGGACCCAGGACAGCAGCGACGGCAAACACCATGGCGATGGAGGAGATGCAGATGGGCCGGACGCGGAGGGGGAAGACGTGGCCGATGATGATGTAGGCGCCCGCAGCTATACCTGCACAACCCACGCCGGCAATGGCACGGCCGGCGATGAGGGCGTTGCTTGTGGGGGCGACGCCGCAGATCAGGGACCCGAGCTCGAAGATGAAGATGGCAGCCAGCATAGTGTACTTGATGGAGAAGTTTGAGTAGATGCGGCCGTAGAATAGCTGGAACGCCGACGTTGTCAAGAGGTAGCCTGTAATCTCTGTCAGGAAGAGAAAGAAAAGAAAAGAAAAAAAAGAACCACTGCACTCCTCTCTCCATTGGGATCAAGGCTGGCTTTTGTGGCGCCCACGTACTGCTTCCATACCAACCCTCGTCCGATGTGCTGTGGAACTCGTCCGTGATGCTCGGGATTGCATTGGATACAATGGTTTGGTCCTGCCCATGGTGAATTGCGCCAAAGAGTCAGCAGACACGAAGTTTGCGATCACGACCAGCCCTTCGCAGACTCACAAGAGAGTACAAGAACACGGCGAACCACAGCCCAACTCCGATACACAGCAGCCTTGGCCATCCCAGAGACTCGTCCGGAGAGGACTCGTCCGGCTTGCTATCCGGATTTTCTTGAGCTGTATTTTGCTCTGCATCTTGGGCGCCACTGCCCATCAAGGCATTCTCTGATGACGGCTGCTCGGATTTCTCCGCGGCCGCCTTGATTGTCGATTCCTGGGAGCTGTCTTCTGAAGGCATCGTGATCACGCGTGGGGCCAGGAACAGGGACTCTGGGTGTGGATGATGATGATGATGAAGATGATGAAGATGAGACGGAGAGAGATTTGAAAGACAAAGGAACAAAATGAGAAGGGAAAAAAAATAATAACAAATAATTGATTAAAAGAAGCCGGCAAAAGTTGTATTTGTATGTTGGCCCGTTCGAGAACAATACCTAAACAATTGTACTCTGTAATATGACATAACCAAGACGGGACAGTCGACAGGGATCGCGTTGCCTTCCAAAAAGAGACTTAGTTCCTTTCTCCTCCACCAGATGCAGGGGCGCCTGTTCAAGGGCGCCTGTTCAAGGCGGGCGAACTCGGATGACACTCGCCCCTCAGAGACGTCGACACCTAGCCCTCGGATCCTAAATGATCTGCCCCCTCCCCACCGCTGGACTCCTTGTCGTCTGGCGTGTCTGGGAAGCTCATATCGTGTAAATCGGACCGCGTTCCGCAACTCAGAATTCTCCGAGTCTCCCGTGTCCCGAAACCGATTCGTCACTCCACATCTGCATCGGTCCTAAAAGACAGAGACAATGACACAGGGTTAGGGTTATGCTGGATCCATTGGCGTGGTTTGGCTTCCTGTTCTCGTGGGTTGTAGTTATCGTTTTCAGAGACTGCTCGATGTTGTTGGGTGATCTGGCATAATTCTATCGTAGCACTTTAGCCGTCAATCTCAAACGCCTGTAGTTACAAGATGCTGTAATAACAAGAAAGACTCTCAGCGCGAGTTTTGAACCCTTCGACGAGACTGCAATTATACAAACCAGGAAAACGACGAGGTTGATAATGCAAGTCGATTACGAATCTGCAGTGTCTGGGGAGCCTCCTGGAAACATAAGACTAGCAGCTGCGTCCAAGCTTCCTCAGGTTTCCTGGGACATGGCCGTATTAAGGTGATTGATGGATTGAACCACAAGGAGAGAGAAGAGGGCAGCAGGACAGTCAACGAGGGTCGAATATCACTACCAAGGAGACTCTAATATAAATTTGTGTATATATTCCTGCAACTTCACGCCGCGGTCTAGGTGGATATCTGAAGAAGCCATCACTACAGAACCTGGCTTGTTCCAATCTTACGCAACCCAAGGTGTGTGTGCAAAATGGCCTGTGAAAGGTACATGACAGACAGCCACGTGGCTTGCTTCTCAGCTCCAGTCCCCATCGAGCACCGTCGGCTCGCCCCTCTCCTTTTGTGCAAGCAGCGTGTCAGCCGTCCACGGGCGGTAGACCATACCTGGCGGCAGATTAGTGTTCCTGAACGGCGTACCTTTCTGGAGGTGATCCAACGCCTCAGCAAACCGCTCGCGCGCATACGCTTCAGCATCATGCGTTACGATCCAGCGGCTGTACCTGAGCAGGTTCTGGCCCTTGCCTCGGAACGCCTCCGAGTAGAGGCCAAACGCCTGGATGCACGAGGTGCGCTCGAACCGGAGGAGGTTGGACACGCGCGTGGCCCAGGGAATGTCGAACCCGGACAGCAAGACGCACGAGGCAAGCGACGCCGCATCCTCCAACGCCTGTGTTGCGCCGGCGCCGGAGCTGGGATGGTATATATGTGCTGCGTCGCCGACCTGGATGATACGGCCAGAGGGCGACGTCCAAGTCGCCTGTGGCTCGCGCATCGAGATCTGATAGTCAATGGCCTCGCCAGGCGGTGTTAGGCGGATGACCTCGGCCACAGCAGGAGGAAGCTCCGGGTGAGCCGCGAGAAATTCCAGCACCCTCGAGGGAGATGAATATCTCTCCCACGACTCCTCCGACCGGCCATCGTCCTGTTGACAGAATTTGTATCAGCTCGAAGCCACTTCTCTCGAGTCACAAACGGATCTCACCTTGCGCTGGGCCCCCCATCCTAATTCATGCTGAAACCGCCAGACAAAAAGCTGCATATCCTGGGGTCTACATGGGCCAGACCAAAATAAAAGTCAGCAAAAGCAGATAGGGAAAAGAGATATGGCACTTGAAGGAGAGAGATAAGAATGAAGAAGAGCGGCTTACCGCCCGAGATATATGCACATCATGGACGCCTTGTCTGCCGGGTACGCCTCTTGGATGATAGCGTTATCAGCTGCGAGCTCGGGCGGGTATGAGGCGCGAAATGCAGCAGTCCCGACAGGCTTGACAGGGACGTCTTTTCCATAGACCAAATTACAGCTGCGGCTCTGCAGGCCGTCGGCGGCGACGACGAGGTCGGCCTTGAGTCGCGTGCCGTCCTTCAGCAAGACACCAGCCCCGTTCTCCTCGTCGTCAAAGTACGAGGAAACCTCGCGGCCGTGCTCGACGAGGACGCCCACACGCCGCAGCTGCGACAGCATGGCCGCATAGATACGTGGCCGAGAGGTCTCCTGCGGGGCGGTGCCGGGAGGAAGCTCGGCGCGGGCCGACTCGCTCAGCATCTCCCTGATGGGGAACTTTCGAAGCTGTGTCCCGTCGTACTTGAAGACGTAGTAGTCAGGAAACTCCCCAATGGCATTGTTCTCCCGCATCAGGCGAGGGAACTTGCGCAGGGTCGATATGCCGCTGGGGCCGAGCAGGAACCGGTCACCTAGCAACAATTCTTTAGCATCCAACGACATCTCCTCCTGGCATGGTGCACGTTTTCTTGTATCTGTTTCTCTCTTCTTCTTCTTCTCTCTCTTTCTCTTCCCTACGGGACATTTCTTACCGGTCAAAATCTCCTGCGGTCGTCTCTCCAGCACTCGAACGTCGCATCCGATGCGCCAGAGCTCGCGGGCTGCAGACAGGCCGCCTATGCCGGATCCCACAACAATGACAGAGACCCCGCTGGACGGGAGCTGTTCGACAGCCTCAGGCACGCTGGCTTGGTCGTCACCATTGGCGTGGCCATTACCATTGGCTGCTGCTGAAGACATGATTGGGCAAATTGGTGGTGGAAGAAGAAGAGCCAAGAGCTGAAGACTTTGTGACCAGGGCAGGGCTGATGCAATAGGCCATTACGCAAACGTGGCTCAGCTAATCCGTGCGTCGCTATTTATCGCTTTCTCTGCCTGTCTCTCCGAGATGATTTGCCTTACTACTAGCCGCGTCGGTGCTGTGCTGACATGTTTCCGAATGTCGGAGGATCGGGAGCCCAATGCAACTAGGATTCCAAATCGGACCGGCCTGTCATATGTTCTCCCTCCGCCTTCCCCCAAGAGGAGACAGAGAGACAAGACCACGCGGATGTTGTCCTGTCTTTCGGGCGCAACTTGAGTAGGAACAGCCAGGAAGGCACTGGCGATCCTACAGGATGGCTAGACAAGGCGGACAACGGGCCGGGAAAGGCTCGTTGCTGGAAGTGCCGCCGATAATGTGTAATGAATATCTGACGGACGATTGATCAATCGCCACGCTCTCAGGTAACTTTTACCTTGAATATTCTCCCATTCGTTACAAGAGGCTGAAAATGAGTGTGTGTATGAGAGAGAGAGAGAGAGAGATGTGCCTCCGTCAGGAAATGTTGTGTGAAGGTTTTGAGATAAACAGAAATTGAAACTATTCAGACGCCGTTGTTCGATCTATTTTGTTTTCTTATCACCGTACTTACCACCCTAAACTGCACTCGTCCTTTGGCCTGGTTGAGAGTATCAAACTCAAACAAGATATTCGGTCATGTGACAAAGCATCTGGAATCTTATTGTAACTTGCTTCGTCGATAGCAATTAATTCCGGTTATAACCAAATCCGGTCCAGCGCATCGTCTTGCAAGGCACGACGGGTAATTACAAACTAAGTATTGTACCCAAGTACCGAATTACTAGTGTGTGTTGATATACAACTCATATCATTTCTATACCAACAGTTACCAATCTTCGACGACGCTTCGTGCACAAGTCCAATTGTGTTAATATCTGTACGTCGAGTTGCCTCGGCCGCGAGCTGTCGCTTACGGCTTGTCGGTAGGCGGCTTGGGGATGTGAACAGCAGCAACCGAAGAATTCGGTCCGAACTATCAGTCCCAGATCATAATAAGCCGACAGCATCTCTGCGTTTGTTCTGGGCCGTGCTTGATGATTGATGAGGTAGATAGATCACCTCCGGCCGACACTACCAAGACTAGGTAGCTTCCATAAACCTTCTACATGATCCGACTTTTCGTATATATCGATGCAAAAACTTATTGGTACGATTTGTGACTTTGTCCCCCCTTTCTCCTTATCGGAGGCACTCATATTCTCACAATTATTTCTTCCACCCCCTCCCCCCCTTTCCTTCTTAGCCACTATTTAGTGGAATAGGAGCACCATCTAACCATCTAATCATCTAACCATCCATCCATCCATCCATCCCTTGATACTCAACCTCATCATGGCCGTCTCCCTCAACCTACCTATCCTCAGCGAGGAGGTACCCGTCTCTATCCAGTTCGTTGCCGCCGCCCTCATCTTGAGCCTGGCCTATCTGCTGTACACAGCTGTGGCTCCAGAACGCCCCCACAAGGGCTTTCCCCTCGTCTCGCTACCCGAGGGAGGCCTCTCACACCGCGTCATCCTCAAGGGCCTCGCCGAGCACAATGGCCGCCCGTTCCAGGTCATGGGCGCCACCGGGCCCCGCATCGTCCTGCCCAACAGCTACGCCGATGAGATCAAGAACCACCCGAGCCTCAGCCTGGAGAAAGCTCTGAAGCACGACTTCTATCACAAGTTCCCGGGCTTTGAGGCCCTGGAGGCCGCCGAGACCACGGGCATGAAGGACTTTGACTTTCTTGTCGAGGTCGTGGTCAAGCTCACGCAGTCGCTGGGCGTCGTGACCCCGGACCTCGTCGACGAGACCACGCACGCCGTCCACGACATCCTCGGTGACGATGGCAACTGGCATAGCATGACCATCAAGCAGGACATGCTGCAGCTCATCGCGCGCATGTCGTCACGCGTCTTCCTAGGCCATGAACTCTGCCGCAACCAGCACTGGCTTAGGATCGCCCGCGACCACTCGGTCGAGGTCATGACCGCCGCCCGCATCCTCTTCACCGTCAACCCGCTGCTGCGCCCCATCAAGCAGCTCTTCCTTGAGCCCTGCGTGCGCCTGCGCAGGGCCCGTGACGAGGCCCACGACCTGATCCAGCCCGTGGTGGAGCAGCGTAGGGCACTGGTGCGGAAGGCCCTCGCGGCCGGTAGCAAGCCGCCCCGCAAGACCGACTCGATCAGCTGGATGTATGAGACTGCTCGGGACAAGAGCGAGCAGGTGGACTACTCGGGCAATCAGTTGATGTTAATGATGGTCTCTATCCACACCACCACCGAACAGCGTAGGCTCTCCTTTCTCTCGCTCTTTTCTTCTTTCCTGAGACTTAACAGAGGGTGAAAAGAAGATATGGGGGGGGGGGGGGAGGAGAAGATAAAAGGAAAATAAAAAGGGCACCTCATGCTGACATTATCCTTCTCTACCTCAAGTTTCTCAAACGCTAGTGAACCTCCTTGCCAACCCGCATCTCATTCAGCCTCTGCGTGACGAGATCGCTTCCGTCGTCGGCGCCGAGGGCTGGTCCAAGACAGCACTCCACAACATGCGACTCATGGACGCCTTTCTTAGAGAATCTTCACGCTTCAATCCTCTCAGCCACGGTAAGCATTGCATCTTTGTTTTTGTTTTTTTATAATAAAAAAAGAAGAAGAAAAGAAAGAGATTCATCCCCAACCCTCAAAACTTTCAGCACGTTGAGTGCTAACCGCGTCAACTCTCTACCCCACCAGTCTCGATGAACCGCCGCGTCGTTCGCCCCATGACCCTTTCCACAGGCGAAAAGCTCCCCGTGGGCGCCATCGTCATGATCTCCGACAATTACGCCGATCCCACCCTGTACGCCGACCCCGACAAATTCGACCCGTATCGCTACATTGCCGCCCGCGAGGCAAACCCTCACTCAAACTACCACGTCAGCCTCACCCCCTCACACATGGGCTTTGGCTACGGCGCGCATGCCTGTCCGGGCCGGTTTCTCGCCAGTAACATGATGAAGATTGCTATGGCGTTTATGGTCATGAACTATGACTGGCGGGTTGGAGCGGGTGCAAACGGGGAGGGGACCAAGGGGCTGCGGACCGAGATGGAGACTAAGCTAGTAGTCTACCCTGATGCAAAAGTAGAGTTGAGGGCGAGGTCAAAAAAGGAGAGGGAGGTGGAGGTGGACTTCTTGATTGGCGAGGAAGGCACTGGGAGCGAGTAAAGCCTTTCATTAGGTTGCTTAGCTTGGACTAAAGGCTTCGATCGGATTGGAACGGATTGTAGGCTGATGTTATGAGCTGCGAAAGGATAGGCGCATGTCTCTATCAACGTGCGAAGCGTGGCATAGAAGTTTCTGTGATATGATTTGCCATTTTGCGGAAAGTATCTTTGTCTGCTACGAGACGGTTTAGACCGACTTACTCTGCTTTAATCGCAGAGTTCTACTCAGAAGCTGAAGACGTGTATGTTGTTACCAGATATGTCGAACAGCGTTGGTTCTGTAAGAAATTCAACCGATGTAGCATTTGAGATAACAGAAAGTGACAGGAGCTGCATGTGTAGTGTTGGTGCATGAGTTTCACCCTGCTCTTATGCCTATGTAGCCCTCGTTTGCTCTCTTCTTTTCTACTAGCATACTTTTAGTAGCTTTAATCTTGTCAGAGTTGCGTATATCAGCTCGATACATAGAGTCTGAGATGGTGGCGGCTAAGGCGGCACCCAGTAGCGCTGCAAGGAGAAAGAAGAAAGTAATTTGGTTATTGTTCAAGGATTTCGACAGCTTTTGCTTCTTTTGTTGTGAATATTGAAGATTTATAAAGATTTTTTGATAGATTGTAGATGTCGAAAGAGTCTGTGAGAAAGAAGTTTTGAACTGTGAATATCCTAGATCCTCATTACCAACAGTACCAACAGTACCAACAGTACCAACAGTACCAACGGTACCAAATATTTATGTTCTACTTCCCAACAAAGAAAGAGAACAAGGCTTGTTAGCGTGAAATAGATCATCAAGAGAGTTGGTTTGGTGAAACACATGACTGCCAGCAAGATTGGAATTTAAGAAGATTTACAATGTGCTTCTGTCACATCTTTCATTTTTATACAGGACTAAGAGCCTGTCCACAATCCTCATGATATTTGAAAGGTGCTCAGACGCACAGGAAACATTGACTGTAAGTAAATTAAATTTGGAAATCAGCCCTTTCTATTATCTGTTGAAAATATGTTCTTAGACTTAATATCCAACTGCGAATGCTAATGTATCAGTACTCCCAAAGACCATAAATTGGGATCTCAAATTCATTGCGATTGAAATACTGTTGAAAATCCAAAGTTTTTTCCCTGGCCAAAAAGCAACACCATGGCGCCTCTCATCTGCAGGATGTTCAACCCTTATAGCTACGCTATTTCGAATGTTCGCATTGCTCTGAAGAACTATGAGGCTAACTTCAGTCTATTTGGAAGTACTGATCAGGATATTTATGTGACCACGTGAGGCATTCATAACAAAATTGTGCCCAGGGACAAACAATATAGCTTCAACGATGAGAAATCTATCTGTGAGCTCCTAACAGTCACTGACCCCTGTGCAGATCCTGGACTTGCATTCAGAGATATTTATGTCATTCTAGATCTTAGTGGCAACAAAAGCTACTATGTTTGTACTCAGATTCTCAGTTTTACTATGCACCAGGTAGATCATTGTAAAATCATACACAGACGGTGTTCTGTACAAGCAATGCTTAGACAAAGTTCTTAAACAAGAGCAGAGGATGAGATTCTTCTAGATTTACAGAGTTGAGATTGGAAGTATCAAGAAATTCACAATTCAACCTAGATACTTGGGAGAAGCTTGAGTGCAATCACATCGAGAGCTCAAGCACTCATACACAAATTGCAATGCAAGCTCAAGTCTCATGTGTTATAACCCATTCAACATGCAGGTCACAGAACGGGCTACGGAAACAAGTAGGCTCGGGAAGCCAGTTTTCAGATTCAACAACTGAGCTACAGGAAGGCTTATGCAGCCCAGGGTTAGGATTACCAAGGATGGGGGATAGCTGAGCTCACTAGCTATCCCAGCAATCCATACTGAAAAGCTGAATGTATAATCTCATGTTTATTACTAGTAGATAAATCATCGTATATAGCTCTTCATTTATTAATCTAATTATCAGATTATATATATATTCTGATAGCTTCAAAAGCAGTGAATACTTGCACTCAGACTTTAGTTATATTTCCGTATTCAAAGCTTATACTTAGCACTGCTCTTGTTAGCATAAATCCCTTGTATATTTAGTTATCTTTGGATTACTGCAGTGCTCATCACAAACAGCCCTTCTTTGATCACGCTGGCCAACTCATTATGATCGAGTAAACAAAAGCACTCCGCTTATGGCTCGACTCATCACGGGATTTTGCAAGAAAATTGCTTAGATGATAGCTTTGCAATCCCTTTTGAAACTCGTGATAGGCTTGCAGATATTTCTTGATTCGTATCCTTAAAATTCTTCCACTTGCTAGTCTACGGAGCTAATAACTTAGGCAGTGTGCTGGCAATGAAACATGTGCTTGTTTGGATATTTCTAGAAGCGCCCCAGTAATCTCCAAGATGCAAACAACCTTGAGTTCAACATCTGCAGTCAACAGCGAGCAGCAATCTCTTTCTCAATCTCCCTATCAATTCAGGACGGGATCCAGCAGCTAGATCGGCTCTGCGCTTCATTCAAGCTTATTCTTTATCCATCCCAAACAAACAAGCCAGGCCTACAGATTCTCAGTATCTTCTAAGGTTCCTATTTCTTAGCCCACAAATAATTTTAGTCATACAAGGCTAGCTATCACAGGAAAGACATGGACAAAATGTCAAGTATGCTCCCAGACAGGAGTTGCTAATGCAGTTTGACTGGCGATTTAAACCGCGGCGAGGTGGCCGTTTCGGGATCCATACGCTCAACCTCCCTGAGGCTGACTAAGCCATTAACCTCCCTCCTCCGATCCCGTGATACCATGCTGCAATCCAGATATGTATGTTCCCAGAGGCTGCATGAGCAGCGCGCCCAATATATGGGACTGCTTTCGATCCCAACCACTCGGCGTGCCTTGCTACAATGATCAAACTCGTAGAATCGCTGTTTTCGACTGCTTCGTGTGAGTCGCTGATCTGCTAACAGCACTGGATCTTAGCTGCCGGTAGCTATTGCTATACTACCCGTGGGCACTAGCCACCCTGGCCCACTACCTCCGTTCCTCCCGTAGTGCTTGGGTGCCAAAATAGGTTGCCGGCCAAAAAGGTGTCCATTTTCAACGTATTTTTTCCTCACCAACACACCCTCCCTTTTCTCAGCAACTATCGCGATGGCTTCCAGCCCTGGCCCTGAGGACCCTCCAGGCCCTTTTCAGACGTGCATAGAGGCTGCTGCTAGGTTTCTAGCCATTCAGGCTCGAGAAGACAAGGCTCACGAGGCTTTCCTGACCAACCTCGAGGCGTGGCGAGGGCGTCGAGGGCGCCGTCGTCAAGGGAGGCGCCCTCGAGAAGACCCCAGGCTTATCAAGCCCTCAAGGACCTCTCTTCGCTCTTTTGCTAATTGTACGCCATATAGCAGAACCAGCCTTACGAAGGATATCCGCGAGATACAGCAAAACAGCTTGCCTGCCCTTACATCAAAGCCTCCAGACTGCCCAAATTACCTCGAGCCCTGGGAAGGTGAAGCCCTCGTCAGATATGTATGCAGCTTGATTCGAGCAACTTTCCATCGCTTAGGCTAATGCTCGTTAATGCTGCTAATTCTATGCGAGCGATGCATTAAAAAGAGCTAGTTAGTTCTTACTTCATATAGCAATGGCTGAATAGGCATCCTGAGATTGATCCAAACCATATGAAGTTCATCGAAGCAGATTATTAAAGCTTCAAGCTTGCAATAGCTAATTTGAAGAGCTTTTTCAACAAATACAAAGCTGCTATAGCCTCGTATAAGCTAATATTCTTAGCTATCTGCAATGCTGATAAGTGTAGCAATTGTATTGGCATTCTATCTAATCGCATTCAATGCATTATTATTGCTATACAACGGAAGACGAAGAGGGAGATCTACAACTTCAACAATAGGGAGTTGATAACCCTTATCAGCTGTAGCAGCGCTGCTAGCAATGCTATTCCTGCATACTGTATCTTCAAGCAGTAGACACATTTTTAATCCCTCCGGCTGGTCTCGTCAGGATGAACGAGGGCTTTCACTGCAGCATTGTTAGATCTTTGGAGGAAAGGTGCCGCCTACAGCGTATATCCGAGCCTTTGAAAGGCCTGCTACTGTCGATGCTGGCGTGGGAACCTAATAATCGACCAAGCGCTGAAGAAGCTCTGCAGCACACAGCCTGGGAGCCTCTACGGAGGAGGGAACAGCAAAGGGATGACTGCAGGGGATAGCAGAGGGAGGAGGTGATGCGAGGACCTGCAGACGGAGCCAAGAAGGTCAGGTTACTCTCGCCTGAGAAGGAGTGAGTCCAGATTCGACGAACAAGTGAATTCAAGCGACTTGACATGTAATATTCTACGCTATTGATAGCATAGTATACAGCTCTAACTCGCCCCACTTAGGCCTCGTTAGTATCAAGGCTGTGGCCATATTCGGGAAGAAGGTAATCGCTTTGTGCAGAGATGGATAAATAGGTAATCCCGGATATCACCCTGTGCTAATAGACTATAGAAGCAGTTAGTATCTCAAGATATTGTCTTGTTGCGGGCTGGGAAAATGTTTTCTTGCTTTCCCACCGACGTGCGCTATGACTGTAACTATTTCGCATTAAACGCTCAATTGTCAACACACATTATAATTACAGTAATGTACTGTAGCCATTTAATAGGATCACCGAGGTAAAATGCTGTTTGCAAGCTGGCGCTCGTATTCGTCGTAACAAACCTCCGCCAGCCCACTGACGTGGCTACCACAAAAACTATGGTGCGCCATAACAACCCCTGATCTGAGCCTGAAAGAAAGATCTATCCCGCCAAGCCGCCATCCTGTTAGCTAAGTTCCAGTAATAGTGGATACATCAGGACGCGTATTATACATAGTACTAGGGCTAGCGTCATCTTGGTTCAGGACTTGGTATACGCTTATCGCACGCCTTATCTCGTCGGATTGCACGGCAACAAACAACAAGCCCAAACAAAACCGAATAACATCCCTCAACATCCATCACAGACCGCTATCAACCGAGTTAACTACACCGCGACCTGGCCTGCATAATAGTCACTCCACGATGCAATGATAACGCAACACGAAATCTTGGTCTGGCTATCCCGCATCGATTGTGCAGGCGCTGCAGCACACGAGGAAAGGCGACCAAGCGAACAGCAGCATGAGAAACTACAGCCACGGAGCTGTGCCAGCTTCGATCATCGCTCGACCCATCAATACCATACAAAAAATCTTAAGCGCCAGCACAGCCAAAAGCTCGATGCAACACCCCAGCCTCGCCTTCCGACACCGTCCATGTCTACAACACCTCGCAAGACCAAGCGCCTCAAGACCATCCACAACGATGACACCGAACGCGAGGAACCCGACGAGCTGTTAGCTGCGACGGCACCCGCCAGCGTGGACAGCGGCGCTCAGTATAACCTCGAGGCCACGGCGGAATTACTAGCAGATGCAGAAGACACGCCACGCCCTGCAACGCGCTCAAAACATGCACACACGAGCAGCGGGCCATTCGGCGCCTCGAGAAGATCCTTCGGCAGCGTTACAGCGACTTCCTCGTCTACTTCGGTCTCGGGGGCCGCATCCTCCCCTCGCAAGCTCCTCGCTGAGCTCAACGTCGGCGACCATGCTATAGATGCTCATCCACTTTCATTAGCCAATGCCCACGCCCATCGCCTGCCTGTGCCCCTCGTGGCCCTGTTGGAAGACCTCGAGGATGTGGCCACGGGCCGCCCTGTCGTGTCGGCCGCCCTGCAGCCCGATTTTGATCGCCTGGTTGCTCACCGGTCTGTACGACGCCGCCCGGACACCATCTACGCCCCCACCCCTGAGCGCGACGCTGTCGGCCCCTGTCCCCCTCTCGATGATGTGCTCGCCCTGCTAGCCGAGGCGGAGCGGTGCGACGATAGGAAGCAGTCCGAGGCCGGCTGGAATGCTGCTGTGCACTTCCCGCTCTTGCGCCTTGCCGTCCACGGACAGAGCGCGCGGAAGTCCCAGCTAGTAGATGTCGAGATATGGTATGTGCTTCTCTTCCTTGATACTACTTCTATCTGTTTGTCTGCCTGCTAAACTCACACGCGAACCTGACTGCCAGCACCACGGCCGGTATCATCAAGGAGTACCACTGCGTGCGGTCGTCGACCAGCAAGAAAGTCGACATGGTCATGACCATCGAACCTACGGCCGACGAGACCGACAGCACCGAGGCGGTAAAGCGCATCGATGTCCTGCGCACGCGCAGCCCATGCTTTTCCATCAACCACACCGACTTCGAGCCCCTGCTCCGGTCGCCCATCGCTATCAGCATCGAAACTAAGCATCCCAGTGCCTCGGGCGAAGGCGCCGCCTTGCAGGTTGGCGTGTGGCAAGCAGCCCAGTGGAGTCTGCTGCAAAGTCTGACCCAGTCTCAGCCTACCAGCTGCTCAAGCACCGCGCTGCCTGCCTTCCTTCCCGCCATCACCGTCGTGGGTCACGATTGGACACTTGCGGCCACCACAAGGCTTGGGCAGAAGACGGTACGTACATCTTCTTCTCGCTGTGTCCGTTTCTGCCTGTATATGTGCAAGAGACATTGCTGATACAGCTTTCCAACAACAGACGCTTTGGACCGACTGTCCCATCGGACACACCCGTAATATTATCGGCATCTACCGCATCATCTGGGCTATTCAACAGCTCGCAAACTGGGCGCGTGATGACTATTGGCCATGGTACAAGACCGAAGTGTTGGGTATACGCACACCATCCCCGAAGACGAGGGGCTCATGACTGGAGGCCGAGCAAGGCAAGGAGGGCTTTTCAGGGACTGTGGGGGTTTTGAACTCTCGATGATGTAATGACCCGAAAGCGATTTCTACGAGGAAAGAGCATCACGACGACTTCGAGAATCTAGCAATGAAACATCAACAATTTAGTAGAGTTCTATCCGGATACAAATAAATTAATTTAACTACAGTATACTCGTAACCAGTCGCGGCGGCGGAGGTAGGTTGTCGTCGTCGTCGTCGTAGTGCGTTGCGGAGGCCGGATAGCTGGCAAGGCGTTGAGGGAGAGGAGCTGGGCAGCGAGGAGGAGACGGACGACCCAGTTGAGCCGAGTTAGACGAAACTGGCTAAAACGCCAGCAGGGGGCGATGAGGAAATCGGACTTCGTGGCGGTCTGGATAGCTGTAGCTGCGCAGAAAGCTAAGCGCAGACCGATGCTTATTATACCTGTCATCAGAGATGAGGCTCTAGGATGGTAAGATGTATTAGCTGTCACGCAACAAACCATCTCACTGGCGGCCTTGATATCCTCCCACTTCGGATCTCAGAAGCACTAAGTTCAGATTGTGATTGTAGTTGGATCAACTAGCGCTGAGCTTGTGCTCGGCCTCGAGTCTGCTTATCTGTGGGCAAAGTTGGTTGAGGGGGCTAAGTGGTTTCTCCTTAGCACAGGAGCTTTGTTCCTTGATGCTTCGGTTTTTGTTGAATGCAGTCCGGGGCTCTGATGTCAAAGTTCATAATGACAGGTTGGAATTTCGAAGCTTTCAACATCTGGGCCTGCATGTTTGAACTCTTCAGCGTGGGTTTCGTTACTCTGATCTTGCCTCGGACTGTAGAGGTGTTGAATTGCTTTGACCGGCGCTGATGAGAGGAGACTCTTGGTATGGCTCTCTGATCGTCAGTCTCTCTGACAGAGCGAAGAGGCCATGAATCCATCCTAAGCCGTTGTTGCTCGATCCACTCCAGGAGAATCTCGTGAGATCGCAGAGGTCGTTCAGCAAATTCTAGGCATCCCTGAATAGCCTTCTTGCTGCAAACTGACAAGTCCAGAACCTTCCAAGTCCATAGCACCAGCTTATTCTTGGAAATCATGCAACTTTTCTACCAATCCGTCTTGCTTCTTTCCGAACCGCTCATAGCGGATAAGATGATAGTTCTGAAACTCGATTCAAGTCTGTTGCTAGCTCTGCTGCTAAGAGTTCAACAGCAATTGAATATAACTACCAAGCCTGTGCCTCCGCTAATGTTTGCAAATACTAGCTACAAATATGCTGAACGAATTGTATTGATACTGGTTCTGAATACTTTGTTGAAATGCTTGAAACTTCCGCTCTTCTCTTTGAGTACAAAGTACTACATTGCCTGTTAATGAAAATAATTGCTAGTACTCTATTATCAGTTAGTATTCATTTGTTAGGTTTTGCATGAGTGTTATAACCCATCCAACATGCAGGTTACGAAACAGGCTCCGCCAACAGAGAACCAGCGATTACAGCCCAACACGTAAACAAATCAACTGTGATTAGGTAATCAAGGGTTAGAGCTACGGGATCAGTATGGATCAGTGATTGATCCAAGGTAATCCGGATCAGTGGAATCGCTCAGGTGATCCAAGTAATCCATCCAGCAGGAAACATAGTTAGCGAAACTGAAAAGCTGAATATATAAGAATACATTCATTACTATTAGATAAACTATCAGAATATAGCTCTATTCTAAAATCAAAGTATCCTATCCTAAAGTCAAAATGTTCTTAAGATAGAGAACAGTTTTTTTGGATAGGAGAATTTTCAGCGCTAGCAAATGCAGAGAGTAGCGGATCGTTTTCTTTTCTGCAAACTGTTCTCAACTCAAATTTTAAGCTTTCCAACTCTTTTCAATTTGAAATCTGATTGCCTTTCTTATAACTCTATTATTTCTGAATTTAATATTCTTATTATCTCTTTTTCTATTGAATCAGAACTAGGGCGCTGTTGCCTTCGAAAGAAAAAGGGACAAACAGCTGCTGAAGCAATGAGCAAGATATCAGGGTAAAAAGAGCACACAAGTGAGGTGAAGGGATATGTAATGAGCACTGCAGCAATCCGAAGATTCCTAAGTACACGAAGGGGTTTATGCTAACAAGAGCGGTGTTAAAGTATCAAGTCCTTGAATACGGAACTGTACAAGTCTTAGTAAGCGATACAAGTATTCACTGCCTTTGGAGCTATCAGAGTAGAGAGTAATCTGATACTTAGATTAACAACTGAAGAGCTATGTACTGAATCTATCTAATGGTAATGAACGTGTTTTTATATATTCAGCTCTTCAGTATGGATATATTGGATAGCAACATATTCAAGTTATCCTGCTAGCTCTGGATAGCATATATTCGAAGCTATCCTTCCTAATTAGCTGTGCTCATAACCCTAACTCTGGATTATATAATCAATGCTTTGTTAGGATATTGAGTTCTTGATATCTGGTTTCTGTTATCCGTGATCTGTTCTGTGATCTGCATGTTGGATGGGTTATAATATCATCTTCCTTCTATCAGTTATTGTTCCCAACGATCTTCTGTAAGTATTCTGGCAAGTTTCCGTATTCGTGATCTTGCTTTCCTAATCGAGATATTGAACAGAATCAACAAATCTTGTTCTCGTGCTGAGAAGACTAGATAAAAGGATTCTCTTCTTTCCTTAGTTCTTTAAAACACTATTACCATGCCTTCTTGTTCCTTCTATAAGGATTATAGTATTCAGTCTTATCAAGTCTCCGTTGAGAATTCCTCTTACTGTACTGAATATATTCGCTTGGATCGCTCTTGGTGCAACGTTCAAGAGTTGAGCGCAGCGGAAATTCGTTGGATAGGCATTCAATACCAACGTCTGGAGAACCAACTCGAGAGTGCTGAGAAGCAGCTGCGCGATGCTGCTGCAGAGGTAGAATGTTTGCGGAAGCAGAAGCATCTGTAGTTTGAAAGGATAATGAAAGCCATTCATCAAAGCCTTTCCAGTATGAAGAAGTTGGAATATAAGAAAGCTGAGAAGGAGCAGGCTTGCATTGCTACTAGGGTTTGTTCTGTAGTTGCAGAGAAATCTGCTGTAATTGCTAAGGATTCTTCTTTTGAGGGTTTTGACTGAAATTCCGTGAATGTAGGAAATGCAGTGATAGATTGGTTGGATTTCCTGGAGAGCGAGGTTTCTGAGGCTCCTGGATCTCGGTTCGGGATAGAGCGATTATCTTAGATACTAGCTTTCCTTTTCCAATATTCAGCTACCTTTTCCTAAGCATTTTTAACATTTTTCTGCAATTCCCAAGAATTTTCGCTTGCTAAGTAATCTTTCCATTTAATAAGATATTCTCTTATATTGTTTATGCTTCTATGCTTAAGAATCTTCTCTATCTTATACTCTGATTTATTATTTTCCACTTCTGCTATATTGTTTATTAGTATTTCCTGTACTGCTGATTCCAGCAGTAAAATGTGAAAAACTGGATATATTCTTATTTTATAAGATAATACTAACTTGTAATTAATCGGAGAAATCTATTGCAAGATTTTGAATAGCTCTAACTTCTTATAATCAAGTTTATTGCTGGATTTGATTGTTTTAATATTTTTCCGAAATAGATAAATCTTATCTCCTTTCTATAGGATTAGTTCTTCAATCCTCTTGGAATTTGCATATTGTATCATTCATTCTTAAACAAATTGTAGTTCTGATTGAAATTTCTTCTAAACTTTCTTAATCTTCTTAACTCTTTTATTTGCAGCTTCTGCATCTGCTTCTAGCAATGCTTTGTAATAAGCTGTTGGATTATATCTATAGAATATAAAGAATAGTAACTTCTTTATTATGCTTATATCTGCGCTATTATAAGCGAACTGTATAAAAAGCAACAGATTAACTCAGTTATTCTGTTCCTGGTTAATATAGTATTATAAATATTATTCAATAACTTGATTTATTCTTTCTATCTGTTTATTTATCTGTGAGTAAAATGCTATAGATATTCTATGATATGTTTTAAGCTGTTTTATAAGCGAAATTCAAAACTTTAAGTTGAACTTTCTATCTCTATTGGAAATCACTTCTTCTGATATGCTATAATTAGCAATAATCATTCTGAGGAATGCATATGCAAGTTTCTCTGCTATACTGCTTTTCTTATAGAGAAGAAAATAAGTATATTTGCTCAGTCTGCAAATTACTACTAGAATGCTATCATATTATACTTTAGTTAAGAATTCTTATAAGAGAGATAGCTTAATAATAAAGTTTAGATTAATGAATTGCTAAATAGTTATAAGTACTGATAAGGAATATAGTAGTTTGTAAGATTTGTATCTTTTTGCTTTATTCTTCTTGCAGCTATTGCATTGTTATAGGATGCTTTCAATTCTTTTTCTAAGATCTAGTAAATTCCAATATCTTTTGATATATTCATAGATTGCTCTAATTCTCTGATATTCATATGCTAGTATACTGTATATATTCTTGATATAGTTATCTTGTTTATTCAGAGTTATTGATTCTGAATTTCTTTTTAAAGATTCGATTCTGAGAGCAGCATTCAGTTCTCTATATATGTTAACGAGATTTCCCAATTTATCTTGAATGAAGATATTCTATATATCCGAGGAATCTGTATCTTGATAGTTTAATCTTCTGCTAAGAGCATCTGCTTATCCGTTTTCCGAGCTTTTGTAATGCATAATCTTGAAATCGAATTATAAGAAGAATTCTGCTTATCTAATTTATTGCTTATTCAAAACCTTAGTTGTTATGAATATAATTAGATTCTTATAATTCAAGTAAATTATAATTAAGTATTATATGCTAATAAGATAGTATTGCTACTTCTTAAAAGCTTTTACTATTGCTATGAGTTTCTAATTAGGGATTCTGTAATTGATTTCTGAGCTATTCAATTTCT